ACTGTTAGCAATCAAATTGACTAAGCCGATACCAACTACATATATATAGCAGCTACCGAACCACGCTTAAGGTTCTTTAGTGACTCCATCTATCTTGCGGCTTAGCCGAACTTACTTTTGATTCTTCGGAAGAAAGAGGAATTCTTGATCCCCGGGCTTGGATCGGATGCCAGGGAACCTTTTTTTAAGCAAATGCGGCAGAATGCGATACCTAAATGCAAATTAAAATTGATTTATTATCTTCTTAGAACCATGTATTCTAGTGAAAAACTTGCTTGCTACATGGATAACCCCCTTAGTAAACTTAAGCATCCATGAAAAAAAGCATTTCATTCCACCCAGCGCCAATCGAGAATGCAGTTCCTAAAGCCAGGCCTTAATAGAAATAGAGCGAGCGGCAGATCAAAGGAAGACCCTCACCTTATTTCTTAGTCATAGCCTTAAAAGACGTTGAAAGGTTAATCCAGTAGCAGTTAGTTCCCAGTAGCACGACGAACAGTTAGAGGTGCACGAGCAGTTCCACCTCCAATTCGGAAACGGGAAACTCTTTGGATCTAGGTTTCCGCCCTTTCCTGAACCAGGAAATTTGGAGCAGTGGCTCTAAGAAGCCTGATTCTTCTTTTGCGGTGCTGCTGTATGGTATTGGGTTCATTCGGGAGCATTGAGCATAAACTTCTGCACTCCTCCTTTGGTGATAGTTGACCCTAGCATGAACCTTTCTTCTCTGAGTCCGGCAGATTGCTTTCCGTCAGACTTGGCCTCCTCCATTCCTCCTCATTCTTCTTCAATTCATTCGGAGCCTACATAGATCGGGGCGTTTCTCTTTACCAAACTGCGGGGTATCCTTTCAAGGATATGTTACTCCAAACAGTTTGGGATTTCGGGAACATTAGTGATCCCTTTCCACAGGTTTCTATGGTCTATAACCTGCGCCATATCATGACAGCCATACCCCAATCTCCCGGCGTTTACAACTTTTCTTGGTGCTACGAGAGAGGGGGATCCTCCTCTTCGGTTGCAAGCGGACCACAGATTGGATTTCTGACGACATGGGAGCTCTGATTGGTGCATTTCAGGCCAAGGACGACCACATTGTTCCAAGGATCATATGCCTAGCTGGTAAGGAATAAGTAGGTTCGGAACGGGGAAGAAGGGAGATAAATTCAACCTACAGGAACAAGACCGGTAGTATAGTTCTCAGGTAGAAATATAGTTAGGGTATAGGATAGAATCTGCCTTCAACCCAGAAATCCTTGCCCGGACCAGTAGGTCGAAGATGGTGAGGCCTCGGGTTGCCGAGCCATAGGTCTATGGGCCTGCGTTGAGGACGGGTGAGAGGTCTCCATGAGCGTTAGTAAAGGACTGACTCTTGAGTGAGTTGCCATTCGGACTTTTACCATTTTCCATTAAATGTTCAGGCGTTCAAGGTTTGGACCCCTAGGTTAGTTTTCTATCTTATTTATTTGCAATTGCATTGGATAACTCCTGATTTAGTAGCTTAACGCATTCATTTCATACTGATGCTAGGGTGGAGATTCTCTGTTTTCAGAAAGCGTAATGTGCTTTCGCTCTAAACACCGTACAGTACAGCGGTCTTAGTTCAGGTCGCATTCTCAAGCGCCTAACTCGGAGATCTTCATGCTTCCTCTTCAAAACGCCAAATGCAACTTAACTTTTCGCACCCGCGCTTTACATTGGCTCCATGTATGGTATGTTCGCAGGAATGGCCCACCATTGAATTAGCATGGAATTTGCCGGTCAACATGAATGCCGGCTCAATCAATCCCATATATAGGGTGATGTAGAGCTCCTGGAAGGTCTTTCTTCAAGCCAACCTTAGAGGTTCATGAGTTGAGGGTTTCGGAGTTCAGTCGAATATGCCAAGAGGCGCTTCACCCAGGTAGCTAAAGGGGCGTAGCCTCCTTATAGTTCCAGAGACGGGAGGATTAAACTAATAAGACCACGATCCCTCCTGTCTTAGCCTAGGCCGATCGGAGTCGAAGGGTTTCAGATTGAAGGTTGAGGGCATTTCTAGGGAAGACGATTATCAAGGGTTACACCTAGGTAGAAAGGGGATTTGACAGTAGATGTATTCCCAGATAGAGTAGGATGTCATGCGTGGGATGTTATCCCTTTTCAAGGGTGAAGGTCCACCGGTCATCATTCATACGCTCCAGGTCTTTATATTCAAAAGTACTTGATAGTCAGAGTGAATGAAGGTATGTAGAGAGGTGTAACTCCCCGAAGGGTTCCCCTTACATCGTTCTATTGAGTGGAAGTGACGTCAATTGGAAAACGAGGAGAAGAAGGCCAAGGTCGGCTGGCTTTGCTTTTTTTGGGCTGAAGGACTCCTTCGACTCCTGCTTCCCATTGTTGGTGCTGCTCTACGATGGTTTGCAAGGTCCCATAATCCTTTAGTTCTTCCGCCGTCTTGATAGCGTCCTCGACCCTTTAAGCTTGGTACCCAGATGCGGATTTCGGTTAAGTAATCAGTCTATCCATCAGCTTCAGTTTTTTTTCCTAAGCGTGTTAAGGGCTTATTCGTAGGGTAAAGAAGCATAGCCTGCGCAGCATTTCTTCTTTTCTTTTCATTCTCCATATTAAAGACTTTTTTCCAACCAAATAGAAGCTTAAATCCAATTCATAATTCGGAACGGGCTCGAGAGCTTCAATCAGACTTAGGGGGAGCGGAAGGACAAGCAGCAGAAGAAGAAGGGGCGGTCTCCGGTGCTTAGGCGTCAAGACAACTTGCGTTACTTCACCTACGAATATCCTAATCTTTCTCTCCTACAGCTCTTGGAATTCGAAAACTCTTTTCCTTTCCGAGCCCCACCAATGATTTTTAGATCTTGTCTTCCTATGTTAGGCTTGCAAAGCCTAGGCTAAGGACAAGCTTCCCGGCTATTGCGTCTAGAAATGCTGCAAGAGACTTCGCGCGCATTACATGGAATGGTTTAAAACTAAACAGAGTTATATTAATATCTTAAAGATTTTACCTTCACCGACACTTACTTACAGTCCTCTATCGAAACAAAACAAGTTATAATAAATACTCCAGACACGGCTTTGGGGAATTCTCTTTCGATCCAAACTTTCCAGCCTTGATATACGCATCGCAATTATTTCCGTCCTTTTTTTTTTTCGTTTATAAGATTAAAAGTTGGCTTCAATGCCCCCAGTTAGTAGTGCGAGCGCTAAAAGCGCGCTGAGTGGGCCTTTTTCGTGCCTTTATTATCGCATTATCGCGAGTTAGTGGAGCTTTCTTTTGTGTTAGGAAAAGAGCCTGCGTGCCTGTTTCTTTTTTTGCCTTAAACACCCTGTCGTTTTCACTCGATCTTTGAGATTGGTTTGAGCATCTTCATCCCGTTACTTGTACCCATTTTGCTCTCTGCCGTAGGCCCGCTTCGGAACCTTCTCCTTCTAGTGGATTCTCCCTAGTTCTCCTTTCTCCTGCTTTCAATTGAGTGACTTCACTTCTAATAGATTGAGGACCCGGCCCTTTCTACTTCTCAGTCTTTTACCTCTCCTTGTTCGAATTTGAGCTAAGCTAGTTTTCGAACCCGTATGTCAGGAAACCCCTCTTTCACAAAGCGATTTTGTCCTACTCCTACTGCCTGGAAGAGTTGATTTCTACCTCTCCTTTGGGCCCTGCTTCACTTGGGTGACTGGGACTTTCTCATCCTTCTGCTTCTGTCCTGAGTTACAATCAAAATTTGGGACAAGCACTACCGTGAAAAGGTCCGGTCTCGTTTTACTAAACTTTTTTGATTCCCAAACGCACTTTCACTCTTGGGCCAGACGCCAGCGAGACGAATGGCGTCAATAGTCGGCATGGAGCCTTTTCAAGGGCAACCTTTGGAAGAGCAAGGGTCTTGTAGAAAGTTATTCGCCTTAGCACCCTCCGATCTTTCAACCCCAATATTTACAGCGGGCTTGGGTCTGGTCTACTACAGCAAGGCCCCTATTCCCAGTCTGCATCATAGCCCACCAACACTGCTCCATCTTGTAGCTTCTAATGGGTTTTAAAGCCTCCCGCTTACCGGGGATTCTCAAGGATTCCTCCTTTCGATTTCTCTTGTTTCTTCCCTCTATTCTACCGTCCGCTATCCGTGCTTTTTCCTTTATAAAAGTCGAGTAAGAAAGAGTGAGGTGTGAGCGCGAGGGATGGGTTTGACTTTCCTGGTGGACAAACATTTCCCTATGCTTAGTCGTAGGGTTCAAGCCTTTTTCCTTCTTTTCCCTAGGAGCTTTTCTTAAGTCCCCGTAGTTCGTCCTTATCTTGTCATTCCGTCTTAATAAGTGTTGGGTTTGGAATCTTTTGAAGCTTTCCCTTACGTAAGCATTGTTTTCCGTCAGTGTTTCTTTAGCAGCCAGCCCCGCCCCCACAAGGGTTAGAATTCCTCTCAAACCTTTCATCCCTCTTTCTTTGTATTGTTTCCTAAAATCTATCTTTTTAGTGTTAGTGTTGTAAGCCTTGAGTTTTTCAATCCTCTCATTGGTTCAAGTTTGTCTCTCTTTCTATCTTTGTCCTGGAATTTCGTATAAAGAGAGAAAAAGTCCCGGCGACTCTCTGTTCTCCCGGAATTTTGGAAATTCTTTACGCAGTGGCCAAGATACCTTTGTGATCAACATATGTAGCTCTCACCAAGGTGAAGAGGGCCCCTTGTGTAGTGCGGTTGAACCGCTTAATCAAGTAGCTGAGAAAAAGAAGGAAAAGGCGGATTTTCTGCTTTAAAGAAAAGAAGAAAGGGATTTTCTCTAATGCTCTAAACTCTCTCTTTGGCGCGAATTGCTCGCTGCAGCGCTCCTCGCCGAACCTTGGCTAACGAGCTTTTGGTAAACCCTTCTTCAACAACGGTTATTCTGGCCTCTCTCTAAAGTTCATTCTGATTGAAAATCTATTCGATCCAATTCTCACCCTCGAGTTCAGGAGTTCTTGCCCCTAATGTAACTTCCTTTTTTCCTTCGCTAGCCTTTTTTTTTTTTTTTTTTTTTTTGGGTTTTGTCGGTTTTCAAATTCGTTTCGCTTTTAACAACATAGGTGGTCAAGGACTCTAAGCATGGCTAGAGCTCTTTGTGAGCTTCAACTGGAACTGCAGTTTCATTCATCCAGCTGCACTAAGGCTCAACAAACTGACATGAACAATTTCATTCCAAAAACACCTGTTGGAAAAGAGTCCCAGAAGAGGAAGGGCAGAGTATCTAGTGCATCCTCAAATTTATCAACCAAGTTGCTGGTAACAAAAATGGATTGGGACGAAGTTGATACTTGCTTGACAATGGTTGATACCCGAATAAAAAGAGAAAATTTGACCCCGAACTTCTCTATTAATAGCATAGAAGACAATTCATGTGGCATTTGCAAGTCATGTGTTGGACCGTCTGGTATTCAATCTCTCCAGCAGACTCAGTGCAAAAGAATTTGGAATTTTCCAAGCCCATGGGAACTAGCAAATCTTGATGAAAGATTTCTGTCGAAGCGCTGTGGTCTTGGCTATAGAGCAGGTCGGATAATAAAACTTTCTCAGGGTATTGTTGAAGGGCGGATTCCAATGAGAGAACTTGAACAAGTTTGCAATGGTGGAAGCTTAAATAGTTATAATGAACTGGCTGATCAGCTCAAAGAAATTGATGGGTTTGGTCCTTTCACACGGGCCAACGTGCTTATGTGCATGGGATTTTATCATGTTATTCCTGCTGATTCTGAAACTGTTAGACATATAAAACAGGTATCCCTTTGTTTTTTTTATCATTCTTTTGTTAATTATTAAGAAATACTTTGAATTTCTGAGAGTTGTCAGTGTAGGTTCATGCCAAAAATTCCACCATTCAAACAGTTCATAAGCATATCGAAGAGATATATGGAAAATATACACCCCTCCAATTCTTAGCTTACTGGTATTAACCATAACTGCATGATGTTATCCAATTGTTCCAAGTAGATCGCTTTCCTCAGTTTGTTTTCTATGTTTTCAGGACGGAATTGTGGCACTTCTACGAGCAAAGGTTTGGGAAGTTCTATGAAATGCCTTGCTCTGAATATAAACTCATTACTGCCAGTAATATGAGAAACAAGGGAAGTTGTAAAATCAAGAGAGCTAAAATATCTTGATAGAGTGACCATGACTTAAATTAAATGTGAAAGTGAGTGAAATTTGTTTCTGTTGTTTATAATTCATGTTTACCTTTTGGTTTATTGCCTTATTCTCGGTTTATATGCACATTATACCAACTTTTCCTTTTATCATTTTCCTTTTATTACCCTGAATGTCTAATATACTGAGACATACCAAGTCTTTTTCATTACAAATACTGATGTTATGTATTTTCTTTTCAATTTTCAGATTTGAAGGCCATACTTTGCCAACTGCAATAAAGAAATCGTCCCTTTTGTTATTTGTCCGCATTAAGTTTCTTTCTAAAATTTGTGAACTCCAACACTGTCTTCATTCTGTATATGATGCTTTATGTTATCAACACATCACTTCTGCTTTACGCATGAAAGCGGCCGGGGTGTACACTATACTTTCATTCAAATCTTAATAATTAACGGAATCGGTATCAAACAAGCTAGGGATTCGCGCCTTGATTGTCCGCGAAAGCCGTAGCCCTTTAATTGCTTAGGAGAACCGGCCTTATTTAGTAAAAGCCTTTTCTTGCTGATGATGGAACAGCAAAGTAAACAATCAATGGCGAGAACTGATGACTCTGAGTAGCATTGCTTCAAATGAGCTTATTTTAGGTGCAGTAAGATTGCTTGAAAGAGAAAAAACTTGTGTGTCATCTACCCTCTGATCAGCAAATTAGTTATCAGGATATATTTGCTGTTATGGCTAAGATTTAGTTCATGTAAAGTTCCCTTGACTGTGGTTGCTAACGAAAGGTTGCACACTACTACCAACTAGATATGCATTTGGGCTAAGCCATGGAGAAATGAAGGGGAATTTTGGGATTTCTGCTTAGCCATTCGCGTGGAACACAACTGGTAGGTCCTTTTAATCCATGTAAGCTGCCACATAAAGCTAATATGGAACCACGTTTGCAAAATCAGCAATCTTGTAAGCAAAATCAGCAATAGGCACTTAATTGATTATTTTAAAATATTTGAACACTTAATTGAAAATATTTTTCAGTCAGACACTCAAACAGAAAAATTTGAAAAGTTCATATACTAAAATTATTATTATCCCTATTTTGTATAACATGTGGTAAAAAAATTATTATAATTATAAGGTGAGTTGAATATTAGACTATATAAAACGTATTTTATTAAATTGATTTTAGGTTATTAATTTTATTTCGATGTAATATTTTAATTATAATATTTATATATAATTAGGTACTTTTGTCTTTTCAATCTCACATTTCATTAACTCAGCTTTATTTTGGGAATTCAATATATTGACCAAATATAATTATGAACTTCGTTGGACCTCTACTTCCTAAAAAATAAATCAATTTAAACCAAATGAAATTACTAATGTCTATATATTTTGAAACAGATTTTTATATGTTACGTTAATGCTCTTTTTCTTAGAGTTTGATGATTGATATTAATGTGCTTTAACAATGCTAACGGAAAAAAACATTTATTTTTATTTCTCTAGGTAATGAATTAACTTTTATTATTTTGAATAAAACGATATATTATTAATAAAAATAAATATGATGGATTATTTGATTTAGTTTTTAAAAAATACATGGACCATTTTTTAGAAGGAAAAAAAAATATCTGGATTTATTAACTAAGTTAAATAATAAAAATTCAATTATAATTTACATAAAACGTTAGAAAAAGAAAGAAAAGAAAACAGAAAAAAACAACACTATGGTTTATTTATTTATTTTTTATTTTTCTGAGAAAAAGAAATGGCTTAAAATGTTAATTCGCTGTTCAAAGTCGTTAATTCTAGAGTTCTCTTCTCTGCTTTCTTATACAGCCCGAGCAGACAGAGAGACGGATACCTAGTCGACCCCTTCAAACCCTAGAGGACTGTTACTGTCCGACAATTGATCGAAACCCCTATCTCCACCGTTACTTAATTCTTGTTCTCGACGGTAACTCCCTCTCCTTCTATCTTTTTTCTCTTTTTACTTGCTTCTTTATAGTTATTTTTGTTCTTTATTTTTGTGCTTATGGCAGAACAGCACTCGTGGTTGACAGTTTTGATCTTGCAACGGAGAAGCTAGCAGATGGAGGATTGGGGTAAGATTTTTCTTCTTGAAAATTTCTGAACCCTTTAACATTTCTTATGGATAGTCTCATAGTTCAAGATTTAGTTTATAATTCAAAAAGAATTTATTATCTGGGCAATCAAGGTGAAAGGCTTTTTTAGGGATTGAGATTAGGTGGCTGCAATTGGTTTTTAATGCTAATTGAATGATGGAAGAGGTAACTTGCTAGATTATTAAGGCAATTTGTGTACTCTAGGGCTTTGGAATCTACTGCCTTGGTAACTAGATTCACTTGAAATGTCTTGAGTATCTTATAGCCAGTGACTTCATGAAATTAACTGGTTAAGTGTGAGATTTAAGTGAAAGATTCTTTTACTTATGGTCGTCTCAAATGAAATTTTGTCTACACTTGTCATCCTGATGTTCCATCTGAGTAGGTGATCTGCAAAGTAGTTTGTTCCTCCATATTGTCTTCACCATTAGAAGAATGGAGTTTGCTATCTACTGAACATTTGATAAAAATCTTTGGATGGGTGAGAGCAACACGATGTGGCAAAATTTGCTGAAATTAAAGAGATTGACTAAAATTATAATTATTTCCCTTATTCATTTGTTTGAAAGAAAGGAGAAAGGAAATTTTAATGCAGTATCCTGAAAGTTCATGGATGGAAAATGATATTTAGTCCTTTCTCCACTTAGAATTCACAATCTTGCTTTGTGCAATGCAATAAGTATGCTCTGCTTTCTTATCTTAAACTTTGTTCATCTAATTGTTTAATTTTACTGACATGTATGCTTTTTTTAGAGGATGAACAAATTCCACCTCTCCTTTTAAAGGAGCAACCTAAAAGCAAATGGGACGATGAAGACGTGGATGACAATGATGTGAAAGAATCATGGGAGGATGAAGATGAACCAGCTCCGGTATGCTTGATGAAGTGATCATGATTTATATTACATAATATTTTAGCAGATGGTTCTTCCTAACTGTGCATACCATACCTAAAGCATCAATGTTGACAGTAATCCATTGAAGGAGAGACCTTGATATTATTTAGTAGTGAGCCAATTTCTCAATGCATTTCCTAGGAAACAATAGGACTTCGAATGTGAATTCATCAATGTGAAATTTAAGGATTTTTTTTTTCTGAAAGTCGATGTGACTACTTCGTCATCACAAATTCATAATAATCTTCTTGATGTTTTGATGTGACATCATGTATAAATGCTTCCATATGTCTTTTCTATGCTTCTAGCTTTCAACCGGTGGTAACCTGTGGGCATGTTACATTAATGTTGTCGCTTTTATTATTGATGAGAATTGAAGAAAAAAATGGTTTGTGCTGGAATAATAAGTAAGAGAAAAAAATAACTTCTGAAGAAGATATCGACCAAATATTGATCCAATCAAAATCTCTGAGGGTTGACCATGTTTGGGTCTGCTTCCGAATGTGCTCCTATCCTTTGTACCACACAGCTCCATGCAACACAGAACAGGATCTCCTAGCATTGTCAGTTTGGCAAAGCGCCTTATCCTCTCTCTTTCTTATCTTGGTTGCATGTGTCAGAAATAAAAATAAAAATAAAAATCCAATCTCTGTTTCACATCCTCAAGAGTCCTTGATTTTTAGCATTACGCACTTCTGTTTTCACTTAACCTGCTACTTGATCCTCATAAATGGCATTAAGAAAGAACTCTAAACGTATAATTCCTCTTTTTTTGCAAGCATGCTATGCTTATATCCAATTGTGAAATACTCTTGTAATGATATCTTATATCTGTTCATAAAAAACATCGGTGAGAAGTGAAAATTAGCAGTTTCTGTAAGTGTCCATCGTGCGTTTATCGCAAAATTCTTCGTGGGTCATGAAACCTTGATAACTGACTTGTTCATAGAATAGTGTTTCATTCTCTCAAAACCTTAGAACTTAAATTTTGTTGTGTGCTTGTGGCAATTGAGTTCCACTGTTACTTAGTATTGCCATTTGATTTATCCTTCTATTATTTCGTGTAATGGGATCAGGCACCTGTAACACAGCCTCCTCCTGAAAAACCCTCTAAGAAACCCGTGACAAAATCTACAGAGAAGAAAGGGAAAACTGTTGAAGTAGCAAAGGAAGAGCCTGAACTTCTAGATCCTGTTGCTCAGAAACTTCGCCAACAACGGTACCAAAATGATATTTTTTATTTCTTCCATCTTTGTTGATCTTTTTTATATCATTTTTAATTTTAATTGGGACAATAACATGAAAATGTAAAATCACCTGTATACAGACAAAAGTATCATATATTATTATTATTGTCATTCCCTGTTATGACATTCACATTCGAAATTTAGAAGGTTTTGGTAGATAGAAGGAAATAGGTATGTGGTTTCATCTTTGGTGTGAAACAAAGTTTGGCTGTATGCTCCTGGAATTAATATCTGAAATCGGGGAAAATATGAGACAAAATCTGATCTGGGCAATTGTATCCAGCCTAGTTCTCCTCAATAATGAAACCTGGTAAAGAATGTTATCTCACCCTCTGAAATGTGCTCAATGGATACAGAAGAATTGATGATATTCTCAAAATTACTTCTAGTCCTTGTTGGCATTGGATGTCTAGATAGATCTCAGGACACTGTTTCATCTATGCAATCAATACTTTTGTCAACTCATGAAATAGTAGTAAATAACTTTGACTCATGGGATGAAACTATGTTCCCTTTTAGGTTTCTAGCAGTTAATGATACTATCAAAATGCATTTAGTGTAGAGTTAGAAGCTAAATAAGGCATAGCAGTGACTGAGAAAAATTTCTAATACCATCTCTAGTAAGCTGGATTGTAAATTGAAATATGCGACTCTCGAGAAGGAAAGGGAACTGGCATCTTGTCCGCAGATAGATGGAGTGTGGTCGTGTCCTTGGCATGACTTATATCTCCTTCAATTTTGATGGGCCCAAAGAAGAAAATAACCTCTGCTTAGCTTGTTCCTGTTCCAAAGTATTATGCTATCACCACCTGGCACTCCAGGATGATCATGTGTACATGTTCTACCTGTAGGCTTTCTCTTAGCTGAAAGCTTTGGAATCACTATCCTTTCTATTACATTGACATAAGGACTTAACTTTGTAGATTGGGTTATTAGGAACTGTCCATAGTAAAAATCACAGGGGCAGGGTGGTACCGTTTGTTGGACTATCATCATGGTATTGCAATAGTTCAATTTTGGATGTCTCTTACATTTAGTTTGGGTTTGATGGAAATGGGCGGAAAGCAAAGTGGAAGAAAGGAAATTGATATGTATTTAACTAATTGCATTGAGGTGCAATTTCCTCCCATTACCTTCCATTTCCTCTCACTTCTCTGAATACAAACAAAACCTTAGATTTTGGACATTGCTGTTATCTTATTTTGATTTATTCCTTTCATTCTAGTGTTCACTTCTATGTCTTATTTTCTGAATCTGAACACAAAAAGTCTATTCTCTTTTTCACTATGTTATTTTCCGGTAGTTTCTTTTATATTATATTATATTATTATCATCTGCTATGCATTGCAGTGGAATAAGGTCCACTCATGAGGTTGTAAAAAACTTCAAATGATGTTGAAGTCTGTATAATTTTCTGACTGCAGGGTTTATTTGTGCTGGTTACTGGTTAGGAATATATATTTGATCAAAACTATCAGATACTCTAATATGGAGGATAAATAGTTTCCAATTTTTTAAAAAACTTTTCATGTTCTACTGATTTATAATGAGCAAGGGTTTCTTGCTGAATGTTTGGCACAAATGCAGGCTAGAAGAAGAAGCTGATTACAAATCTACTACAGAACTGTTTGCTAAGAGAGATGATGAGAAGACGCTTGATAATTTCATTCCCAAATCAGAGAGTGATTTTATGGAATATGCAGAACTTATTTCACATAAGCTTCGCCCATATGAGGTCTGTTAAATTAGTTTTTATTTATTTGTAATGTCTGAAGACTGCCTAGCCCTAAGTAACTTGGTAAAGTCATATATTTTTGACAGAAAAGTTTTCATTATATTGGTTTGCTCAAGGCGGTCATGAGACTGTCAATGACTACACTGAGAGCGGCAGATGCAAAAGATGTTGCATCTTCTGTAACAGCAATTGCAAATGAAAAGCTGAAAGCAGAGAAAGAAGCCAATGCTGGTAAAAAGAAGACAGGTATAATTCTCCTTTTTCTTTCCCTTTTTTCTAGTATGAAAAATAGCATTAAGATTCATGGTTTCATGAGACATCAAGTCTTGTTTAGTCTTACAGGCTTACTGTCCTGGTTAACTAAAAACTGTAGTTCACAAAATTGGTGTATTTTCATCTTGCGAAGTTATGCCTGGTTTTTTTACTGATATGTCGGACTTCGTGCATGGTAGTAGTGGCTTGGAAAATGTTTAACTTGTAAAAAGTGCTGCTTACTTTATAGATTCGTGTCTTAAGAGATGGAGAAGAACATAGTAAAGCAATCTTTTACCATAGGGAGTCCTTTGTTTTGTATTTTGAAAAATCACTTTTAAACTTTTTTTGCATCAAATTTCAGCCGATTTGAGCAAAGTGAGAATGCTGATTGGAAACAATTCCAGTTTCATTAAGAGAATTCACTAGCAACGTTTGTTGATAGTGATGTTACTTCCTGCTTAACCTTTTCATCCCAAGATATTGGTCATCACATGAAAACTTTTGCAACATGTTTGACATTCTAAAAATTAGACTTTTTTGTCCTGTCTGATGAGTACCTTTGTGATTGTGGATGGTGTTGTGGTGAAACTGGTGCTCTTCATGAACTCATGAAGGGATTTGGTATGTCTGTTTACTAAGTTAAGTGACTTTCAATACAAATTGTTGTCTTGTTTAATGATGGTTGAATTACTATTTAGTCCTTGTAGTTTGGTGAAATTTATAGGTGGGGACTTTTGTTTTCAAATCTCAATTAAAATTTCTCTATTTTTTTGCCGTTCAACTAAATAATCCTTCTGTTAAAATTTTGCTGATTTTTTGGTTAGTCAACTAAAGAAAGAAAAAAAAAAAAAAACACTCTGTTTCATGACCATGAGGAAAAGAAATCGAATTTTATTACTAAAATTTATCTAATCAAATAATCGAAATTTATGATTGAGTTATTGTTTTTAATGAGTTTTCTGTTTATGAATTAGGATTGATGATGTTTAGGATGAAAGAAAACTTAAGGTTTGATCTGGGGTTGACATGCAAAAGTTCAATTTGTGATATCCATTTGCATCATTTTCAAAAACTAAACATTTAACGATAATTAAAGTAGTCTGTAGCTTAGGTTCAATTACCTTAGATGGTGTTTGGTAAAATTGATTTAAGTGCTGAAATTTCAAAATTGCATATATTTGTTTAAAGGTCAATTTCAAAATTGATCATTACCTCTGAACTTTGAGGTTGAAGCATGTTAAACCCTGTTTGAGCTTTCTGAGAAACAGGTTTAGCAAAGCAGAATGAGAGTATACGGCCTAAAATCTCTATTAACTTTGCTTGGTTCATTAACTTGTAGATTGTTGTCAATTACTCTTGCAGGAGGGAAAAAGAAACAGCTCCATGTTGATAAGCCAGATGATGATTTAGTGGTGGATACATACGATGCTCTCGATGACTATGACTTCATGTGATCTATTTTGAAGATAATATTATTTTTGCTTTAGGCTTCGGCTGTTTTTCCCGTTTGCTCATTTACACCGTGATTGATTTTTATGTTGTAAACCATCTGAGAGGATAACATGAGCTTTCACCTTTGTTTTCAACTGTTGGGTTAAACCTTGAAACTACAAGCAAAGAGAATGATTTTATATTCATTGGTTGTCAGTAAAAGTTGAAATAAAGAGTGATTGGCGGAATTCTAATTTACATCCTGATTTTTGTTTATGAAATTCTATAGGATTGGAAATTCTAATGGACCAAAATCAAAAGATTAGTTAATAAACAAAACAAATGCAGCAAATGCGTAATCGATAAATGTGAATGGATAAACCAGAAACAGCTTTTGACAGAATGGTGGCGGATTTCTATTCCCATTAGCTGCAATGAACTGTTTTATGTGAGCTGTGGTTTATATGTTGGTGGTGAAGTGGTATTGACTTTGATTTTTATGTGATCGGTCATGTCAGTCATGTAGGCCTTCGTGGGATTAGATTTTTGCACCTCACTGCATCTGATGTCATGGTATTATATGGCAGGGGTGACATATTGGAAGATGTTTGTTTTAGGACTATTAGTCAGAATTCCTTTTATAAGTTTGAGATCTTTTACCAAAAAACGTATAATCTACAATGCCTGTAGAAGAAAGAGACATCAAACCTTAGTTCAAAACAAACAACCATTTAAAAATCATAAACCATATCAAAAGCTTGGTCTTTTAAACTCTAGAAATGAAAAATCAAACCGCCAATTATTAATTTGGGCGGTTTGATGAACAGTTCTACTTATAGATGTACCTAGCTAATAAATGTCTGTTGTTAGAGACAGTTTCATATATGTACGTCTCGCAATTTTCAACAATGGCAAATGCCACAAATTAAAAGTTATGGGATTCTTTTTTTCTAGCAACGCACCGTTTTAATTATAATTAACCAGGGATGAGTTACCTTTTAACCCTGGAAGTGCATATGGGTCTCACTTTAGATTATTTTGTTCATTTCTGAAATTTCAATTTCAATTTGAGGTGCAATGGGGTATCTTAATTAGGGGTTAAGTTAGAAATTAGAACAAAATGCAAATTAATGAAACATATAGGTTATTAATGAAAATATCATAACTAATCTAATTATTAATGTATTAATTAATTTTGAGATTGTAACCTTATTATATTTCAAAAGGGTTATTATCAAGCATGTTTTACGCGTATTAAGCTGGAAAGATAATATTTTTAATAATGTATTATCAAAACTTGTTGTTTAATAAGTTTTGATGCAAACAATGTTTACTTAATACTATGTTCATTTCAATCCACATATGAAATATCTAACTATGTATTAATAGACTGTCTTTGATATTCTCACTCAAATAGTAAAATATGCTTGAGTTTATACGAGGAATGATACAAGATTAGGGAGTTTGATTCTTGAAAAAACATTTATAAGGGAAGACATACACATCCTGAAGCGAAATTAGTTTTATTTACAAAAGAAAATGTTGGGATATTCCTAGAAATCTAAATAGTATATCCTTGATAACGCCATCAACGAGTTTAAGTTTCTGCAAAATCCAAATATTTAGTATGCAGCTTTGGGGTTCACGTTTAAGAACAAGGTTACAGCCAAAAGCAGAAGGCATGAGTTGTCAAAATGGTCAAATGCACCCACCAACTATATATATATCATTGTTTGTACTTTGCATTTTAAAACTTGTGATAATAATGGCCCAATTTGCAGTGTCGTTTCAGCTACTAATTGTGCTTGCGGCAACTTTTGTCTCTGCAAGTTTGAGTTATGGTATTTTTGAAAAATTTACCGATGCCACAGAAGAACTTCCTCCTGAGTTTGTAACATTGTACTACACACAGACACTCGACCATTTCAACTACAAACCAGAAAGCTATGAGACCTTTCAACAGAGATATATTTTGAACTCAAAGTACTGGGGTGGGCCAAATACTAGCTCACCCATTTTTGTCTATGCAGGTGCAGAATGTAACATAACACTTGTTATTCCCCCAGGTGGGGGATTCATGGCTCATCTTGCTTCTCGTTTTAATGCCTTGTTGTTATATATAGAGGTAAATATTACGCTTTGCTTAGGAATTGGGAGTGGAATGCAATTCTTTAAATAGGATTCAAAATTTTGGTTTGGTGAGGCTCACAAGAAATCTATATTGTCTTAATATCATTAATCGTCTAAATATCTACTATCTATGTTGCGCGGAAATTTTCTCTGGCTGCCATTGCTGCATTTGGGAAACATTTCTTGTATGGAAAAGTTTGGAAACTCCACATAAAAGTTTCAGGCCGTTTCTGCAAATTGAGTAATTTTGAAACAATTGTTTCCTCTATTGAAAATATGTTTTCATAAACTGAAAATTCTTATAAACTCATTTTTCTAATTAAAATAAATACATAAATGAATACAAATTCATTATACTAATTTATATTTTTTTATATTTATAAATATAATTCTATATTTTTCATATTTACGATTTCCTTTTCGTTTCTTATATTTAAAAAAAAAAAAATTTATTATTTTTTTATATTTATTAAATATAATTCTATTATTTTCATATTACGATTTCCTTTCGTTTCTTATATTTTAAAAAAAAAAACCGCTTCCTTGTATCCGTTCCTGGCACTGTTCACGTTTAAATATAATTCTATATTTTTCATATTTACGATTTCCTTTTCGTTTCTTATATTTAAAAAAAAAACCGTTTCCTTGTATCCGTTCCTGCACTGTCACGTTTCGTTTCCGTTTCCCTTTTCATGCAACATAGTATATTATGCTCCATAATCATAAAGGAAAAGTAAAGCACTTGAGAGATTATGTAATGTTTGCATGCAGCATCGCTTTTATGGAGAATCAAACCCTTTTGGTCCTTCAAGTCTCCAAAATGCTACTACTCTTGGTTACTTAAGCTCGGCACAAGCTTTAGCAGATTATGCACAACTGATTCTAGATGTTAAGAAGAATCTGTCAGCAGAAAGTTCCCCAGTAATTGTTGTTGGAGGTTCTTATGGTGGAAGTAAGCATTATATTTTTTACATGTATGATATTATTATAGAATGAATCTTAAGGTTCATATATATTAACTTTTTCCACAAATTGAATTTCCTAGTGCTTGCATCATGGTTTCGTCTGAAATATCCTCACATTGTCATTGGTGCCTTGGCATCATCTGCTCCGATACTTTACTTTGATGACATAACACCACAGGATGGATTTTTTGTTGTTGCAAGCAAAGATTTTAAGGTAAGCAATTAATTTCGAGTACTCAGGATCCCTGTCCCTTAATCATACACTTAAAAATGATTCCATGGTGCTTGTGATTATCCATTCTAGCTAGCTAGGCATGAGAAGGAACTTGAAACTACTAGTATAACTTGAATTAATCATTTAAGACTACAGTTTAAGGCTCTGAAGCAATAGATAATGCAAAGAGTTTGGTTTATGGTGGAAAAGGAGATAGATAAGTCACCCTTGCTACCACTCTACACACTCTACGGCACCGTACTGAGATTTTCACCTTATATGGCTCCTCCTTCAATTCTTTCAAATTCATTGGTTCCTTTTCCTCGTTCGAGACGTTTCTCCCATGATCCATTCCATCCTAAAGCGTAACTAGGATAAATTCAGTTATGTTTTCATATTTCAATTGAAACATTTTTTTTTTTTTAAGGATTTGAACCTATGATAAGTCAGTAAACAGCCAACCTCTCTACTTCTGAGCTACTAAGCAATAACGGAAGATTCAATTTCGTAGAGTTCAATTCCCATTCTCAACTCCTGACCAATATGAGCTTGAAGTTTCCTATGTAACTCCTGAAACTTATTCGTATAGTGTCTATGTTCCATGCCCCATTTCATACATAGGGATCAGGTTGCTTCAGCTCAATATCTTCAAGAATTCCTGACCGTGCAATGGCAACAATGTGGTCGCTCCTATTGACTTGATATCTAAAATTTCTGATATTTCAATTCTAATGTTGGTTTCTGCCGCAGGATACCAGTGAGAGTTGTTACAACACCATAAAACAGTCCTGGTCTGAAATTGATAAAGTTGCAGCTCAACAAAATGGACTGGAGACTCTTAGAAGCATCTTCAGCCTTTGCGAGTAACTCATATTCTGACACTGCTTGACTATTATATGTTTCAATATACAATAATTTATTTGACTATCTTTTGTTTCTGCCATTTTTAAGTCGTCTGCACTCGGTGGGAATGCTCAAATTCATATTACGAAGAGTGTATTTATATTCAGCTCAGTATGACAATCCTCCATACTTTTATGTTGAAAAAGTATGTGGTGCCATTAATGGAGCTCCAGAAGGAACTGATACTCTCGGCAGAATTGCAGCAGGTCTAAACGCAAGTATCTTCTCATGCCACTCTAATCCTACTTGGAAGTCAATTGTAGATGAAGATTTATGGCTATGGCAGGTACGTATAGTATTATAAGAAATTATTCTCTTATGGCACAATAAAATTCAGCTCTTAAGTTCAGGGCCTAATGATACTAACCTTTAAAGATGATACTAACTTTTTCCCAGGAAAACAGAGAGAAATTGAAAGAAAACTTGGAGATTATGTTAATTTGTCTTATTTAACATATCACTATATTTATGTTTCAGGTATGCACTGAACTTGTAATGCCAATTGGACTGGACAATAACAATACAATGTTTGAGGCATTGCCTTTCGATATGAACAGACACGTGAATATGTGCCAAAGTATATTTGGTATCTCGCCAAGGCCTCATTGGATCACAACGGAATACGGTGGCCATGTAAGTTTATGCTTTGTTTTACATTTATGGAATAAAAATAAATCTTATATTTTCATTTTAAAAGTTCTAAAATAATCTGCAGGACATAAAATCTGTACTGGGAAACTTTGCAAGCAACATCATTTTCTCCAATGGACTAAGAGACCCGTTTAGTGTTGGAGGGTAAAGAATCCGGAACTTTTTGGCTATATAGTTGTGGTAACTTGTGATGATTCATTCTTTATTTTGATTTTCAGAGTTCTTGAGGACATATCAGACAGCGTTGTTGCCATAAAAACAGAAAAAGGTACCCATCTGTATAGACACATTTACTGAATCTTGGAAGTTTTTCTGTTATTAGATGAAAGAGTTTGATTGAATACAATTTATGGTACTCAGGTGCCCACTGCTTGGATTTATATACAGCAACTCCAAATGATTCTGATTGGTTGGTTGCACAGAGGGAAGAAGAGATCAATATCATAGCCCATTGGATTGATGAATACAATGCCAAGCCCAGCAATGACGCAAGAAATTCACTATTTTATTGTAATTATTATTTGATTTCTTTCTTCATAGCTATTTGGTTAGTTGGTTAATTAGATGTGTGAATCTTGGAAAGCTTTATAAGCTTGTAGAAAGCAAAATAGGAAAATTCCCTCTTTTGGACTACCTGCTTGTGAGGGAGACTTGATAAAGATGAAAATAAACCCAGAAGAATAACAGCAATTTGAATAATATTTTATATACTAATTACACATATATGCAAATTTCCGAACAAATCCAGACTTGTTTCTTTTCATCTCTGACACAAACCCAATGCAATTTACAAGAAAGCAAATTGCTCAACCAGAGATGTCAATAGCCTTGACATCAGGTTTCTTGACTTCCTGTTTAGGAACTGTCACAGTAAGAACTCCATTCTCCATTGAAGCCTTCACTTGATCCATCTTCGCAATCTCCGGCAGCCTGAATCTCCTCAAGAACTTGCCACTGCTACGCTCCACGCGATGCCAAGTATCATTCTTGTCTTCTTTATCCACATTCCTCTCCCCGCTGATTTGAAGCACTCTGTCATCTTCAATCTCTACCTTCACTTCCTCTTTTTTAAGGCCAGGAACATCAGCCTTAAATATATGCGCTTCAGGCGTCTCTTTCCAGTCTATGCGAGCGTTAATAAAAGCAGAATTTTCACGAGAAATGATTGAAGACGATGAAGGAAAATGGGAAGTCTTTGAATGGATCCCAAATGTCGAAAGCAGAGAAAGGATCGAAAATTCTGCTTCGTGAGTTACCGAAGAAACTTGGAATGAGAGCCATTTTCTAATTTGATCTTAGCTTGGGAAATATTTGATTGACCGCTGAAAGTAGTCTGCGAGTTGCTTTTTGCTGTTGATGTTGAAATGGTGAGAATGAAGCGGATATTTATAGGAAGCGGAAGAAAGACTCTGATAGTTTCCTTGTGGGTGAAGCTTCTCGAACATTCAATATCTAAAAGCATGGAAGATTCTGGATTTGGACTTCTTCTAACAAATTCTTGATGCTTCCTTCTTGGTTTTCAAATAATGTTAGTTTATAACAAAAAATAATAATAATAATGTTTTTTTTTTTTTACTCAATTTTCAGAATTCTAAATTAGTTTTTGGATATAGATTTTTTTTTAAATTAAATTTATTGATAACTTAACTAATCAACATGCAGCCTAGACTAACTTTTTTCATTAAAAAATCTCTCTTTGACGAGAAATAATTATAGAGTATGGCAAAAATGAATGATTTACCAAAGACTACCGAAATATATTTTTATTCAGTTACAACGAAAGTATTTCTGATAATTCATTAATAAAAAAAAAAGACAGACAATTTTTTTTTTAAAAAAATACTTTATTTATCTCTATAATAAAAATCCTTGGTTGATAATCAGCTTAGTGTATGAAGTAGTCTCCTATATCCGAAGCTAGGTTGCACAAATATAAGACACAAGATACAGGACATGATACGACATGTATTGGGTACGATAATTTTAAAAAAAAAATCCACATGCTTAGAATACATTATGCTAAATAAGTATAATTTATTAATAATTCAAATAAATAAACAGTCATCTATAATAAACCATAAAAGTAATAATTTATTAATAATTCAAATAAATAAACAGTCATCTATAATAAACCATAAAAGTAAAATTAAAAAAAATACTTAATTTCTTATTTTAATATAATTTAGTTAAATTCTCAAAATTATTATCACTATTAAAAATCATAGCATTTCTAGTTTATTTAGAAATAAATTGACAATTTAAATAATTTCAATATTTTTAAAAGAAATCAAATTAATCTCTGACGATATTCTACATTTTTATTTTTCAAATGTGTCTCTAAAATATATTTGTTCAGATATATCCTTAAAATGACCGAAATTAATAAAATAAAGCAACGTGTGAGAGGTGACGATATCTTTCTTCTTTTTTTTTTTTTTTTTTCTTTATCTTCTTCTTTTTTTTTTTTTTTTTTCCTCATTTACTCATTTACATAACATAAATGCAGTGCTCGCTTTCTGGTTTCTTTTAAAATATCCTCACATTATCACAGAATTAAAACTTGTTTTGCTTAATCAGTTTACTAAATATTGATTTTATAATTCTAACATTGGTTTCTGCAGAATAATAGTGAGAGTTGTTACAGTACTATTAAACAATCTTGGTCTGAAATTGATAGAGTTGCAGCTGAAGCAAATGCTCTTGTTACTCTTCAAATAATCTTCAGCCTTTGCAAGTAATTCAATTACCCCTTGTTTGTTTTAAATAAATAGCAAGAAGAAAATTTTATTTTTAAAGAAATGGTAGCTGGAATTTAGATTAAATGTGGCTTTTATGTAGCGGTAAAGTTACTCTACTTATAATCTGAAGATCATGGGTTCGAGTGACCTGGAGGTTATGGAGCCGAACCACGAAAACAACCTCTCCGCTAAAAAATTTAGTTGATATGTTTAAACTATATTTGATACGCTAGTTTTTCTTATTATACTCTTACATTATAGTATCCATAAAAATTAAAAAATTCATATTAAATTGTTATCTGAATTAATCAAACATTTGATTAATTATAAAGTTTTAATGGAAGATTAAAAGTTAATCTGTTAATTTTGTTTATATCAAACATTTCTATTTTTTTTTTTCCATTGCAAAGGAGGGGTTAAACCCAGAAAATTAAACTACACTACAGATCTATATGGCACCAACTCTGTCCGCCTCAAGCACCACCCTCACAGACAAAGGAGGATGCTCCAAAACGTAAACACCCTGCTGCAGAATGACTATATTAGCTAGAATGTCAGTAACTTGGTTTCCTTCTCTGTAAATCTTCCTTGCCTTGACTTCCCACTGCCTTTGCAACAAAGACATTACCTCTGAGAGAATATTCTTATACCTCTTGGAATCAGTTCTCTTATGATCAATAATATCTACCAATGTCTGGGAATCCGTTTGAAGCTCAAGTCTCCTGAAACCCATGTCCCAGGCAAGGGACAAGCCACGAAAGACACCCCATATCTTTGCCTCTAACGCATTACAACACCCAATCTTCATCTGAAAACCACCTAACCAGCGCCCAGTTGTATCCCTAATAACTCCACCACAACCCGCTGGACCCAGATTTCCCTTAGATGAGCCATCCGTGTTGACCACCACCCAATCCGGAGGAGGATGATACCAGCTGACTAAATTTTGACGTGGAACCCGATGGAGGCTCGACACATCCATTAACTTAAAAGCATGAATACATTCTCTAACTTTTTGAAGGATGAACCCGCGCGAAAGAGAAGTGTGCTGCTACTAAGGGTTAAATATCCTTTCATTTCTTATCTTCCACAGCCACAAAATGGTAGTCGAAAAAATAATATTACAAGCACAATTAGAAACCGAAGTATTCACCTGACTGAGATTAATTAATCCAATCTACCAAGGTCATATTAAAGCAATTTCTTACAAGCTGACCTGCACCAAGGGAAACCCAAACTCCAACAGCTGCAGACCGATCTCTCAAAACACGAAGTGTGTCTTCAGCAGTAATTCCACACTCACTACGTGTATTATAAGAAATGAAACTCCTTTGACGTTTGAAATTCGTCATGATCTTGTCATGAGCTACTTTCCAAAGGAAAATCCTTAGTCTTTGAGAGACCTTCACCTTCTAGATTTGTTTCCACACTCCTTGAATCGAAGCTGGGTCCTCATTAGAAATCAGTTGATAAGCTGACTTAATAGAGTAATGTCCTGATGAAGTCCCCCAGACTACCTCATCCCATTCCCTCTCATTATTGCTATGTGACTAGGGAGCTTCGGATGCAATAATTCCCGTCTCCAAGAGCCATTACCATTACAATAATCATAGACAAAGCGGTCTATCTCATTAACCTCGGTAGGAGTTAACGCAAAATCAGCTAGCTTGCCAGCGTGTAACCACTTATCAGTCCAAAATCTTGTTAAACATCCATTTCTTACATCAACAATTGCCCCCATTTTAACCGCCTTCATAACCTCACAGACAGATTTCCAGATATGAGAAGATTCTGATTTAGTTGCACAATCCCATGACATCCGACCCTGCATGTATTTATTAATAAAACATCGAGCCTAAAGAGCATCAGAGTTATGAATCATTCTCCAACTAAGCTTGCCCAGAAAATCTTGATTCAAAAGTCTGATTGATATGTTGCAGGCCCAAACCACCTCCCTCCTTGGTCCTTTGAAGAATAGACCATTCAAGCAAATGGATTTTCTTTTCATTGTTCTGACCTTTCTAGATGAAGTCACGGTATAACCGCTCAATCTCCTTGCAATAGAGACAGGGAAGCAGCATGTCTGCATAAAAGGGAAGGGTAGCTAGAGTAGACTGGACCAACGTTACTCTACCTGCCATAGAGAGGGACTTTGCCTTCCAACCCGCCATTTTAGACCTTATCTTCTCAAGAATAAAGCCATAAAAAGACTTGTTAACACACTGGTGAACCGAAGAAACACCTAGGTACTTTCCCGAATCAAAAGTGGAAGGAATACCTGCCTCCCTCGAAATGCTAGCCACCAAAGCACTTTCAGCATTATTGGAAAAAAATATTCTTGACTTCTGGAAGTTCATCTTTTGGCCCGAAGCAAGACTAAATTTCTCCATAATGTCTAAGATTACCGGAAGCTTGGAAAGGGAGGCTAGAGCGAACATCACCATGTCATCTGCAAACATTAAGTGAGAAACAAAAGGGCCCCTGCGAGAAATTGAAATGGGTCTCCATTCCCTTCCATCAACTGCTTTATGAATAAGTGAGCAAGACATTCTATCCATAAAACAAACAAGTATGGGGACAAGAGATCGCCCTGACTTACACCCCTCAAAGGAAAGAAAGAATCAAGTTGCTCACCGTTCCTCCAGACTGCCATCAAAGAAGAACGAATTGTTAGTCAAAATTGGCATGTATGGCATGCATGGTTGGCCACCAACCAAAGAAATTTGTTAGTCAAATTTGGTATGCATGGTTGGCCAACAACCATCCTCCCAGACTGCCATCAAAGAAGAACGAATTGTTAGTCAAAATTGGCATGTATGGCATGCATGGTTGGCCACCAAACCAAAGAAATTTGTTAGTCAAAATTTGTATGCATGTTTGGCCAACAACCAACTGAAAATTAAGACAATGGTGGCCAACCACCAAAATTCTACATCTATAAATTAGAGCACCTTCAATAAGTGTTTTATATTAACTACATTTTTAGAGAGAAATCCAACTTAGCTAGAGTTTAGAGAGAAATCCATTAGCTAGAGTTCAGAGAGAAAAGCTTTGGTGAGAGAAGATTGAGAGTAATTTCTTGGGTGAATTTATGAGTTGTGGGTTATAAGTGTTGTAAACACTTTGTATAATTTTTCTTCTTTTAGTAAAAGATCTGCAGCAGCTCCGGAGACGTAGGCAGAATTGGCCAAACTCCGTTATCAAATTTGTGCGTGTTATTATTCCGCTTTTATTTGGCATTCTCACTAATCTGGTTTTATAGGAAATTTTGCATAGTTTCCCGACAACTAGTATCAGAGCCTGGTTTCGGCAAGTCCAGCCGGTCAGATAGCAGTACCGGATCCGTGGATATACTCTGAAAACAAATATACCACGACAAGTCCATCAGTGCTGTCCGCTCGGAAAAATATTGTAGTATCGACTTAGTGGTGAATAGTAAAACAGTAACTTAGAGTTGGTGGTGAACAGTACTATTGGCGTTACTGCTGAGCCCGTGACTCTTAAGCCTAGCACTATTCACGCATAGTGCTATTCACGTGTATGGTTACTATGCACGTGTACTGATACTATTCACGTATACTATTATATTCACAGCTACTATTCACGTATACTAACAATCAAGGCGGAGTCAGACTTGAGTCGGGGCAATGGCTGCAGATGAAGGAAATGTGAAAATTGAAAAGTTTGATGGTACGGATTTTGGATTCTGGAAGATGCAAATAGAGGATTATCTGTACGAGAAAAATCTCTATCAACCACTCTCAGAAAAGAAGCCAGAAGGTATGAGAGATGAAGATTGGGCTCTTCTAGACAGACAAGCCCTTGGAGTTGTCCGACTGACGCTATCCCGCAATGTTGTTTTCAACATAGCAAAAGAAAAGACCACAGCGGGTCTTATGGCAGCTCTCTCCAGTATGTATGAGAAGCCATCAGCCGTTAATAAAGTTCACTTGATGAAGCGGTTGTTCAATTTGCAGATGATGGAAGGTGCATCAGTTGCTCAACATCTCAATGAACTCAAGACAGTCACAACCCAATTGAGTTCAGTTGGAATTGAATTTGATAACGGAGTTCAGCCAATTCTGCCTACGTCTCCAGAGCTCCTGCAGATCTTTTACTAAAAGGAGAAAAATTATACAAAGTGTTTACAACACTTATAACCCACAACTCATAAATTCACCCGAGAAATTACTCTCAATTTTCTCTCACCAAAGCTTTTCTCTCTGAACTCTAGCTAATGGATTTCTCTCTGAAAAATGAGTTAATATAAAACACTTATGGAATCTAGGCCTACGCTCATCCAGAAGCTCCTGCAAGATCTTTTACTAAAAGAGAGAAAAATCATATACAACAGTGTTATAACAACACTCATAATAACCCACACTCAAAATTCAAACCCAGCAGACAATTCACATCATCTCAAATTATATCTCTCACCAACAGCTTATTCTCCTCTTGAACTCTAGCTAATGGAATTCTTCTCTTGCAAAAAATGAAACAGATTAATATAAAACCCAACTTATAGGAAGTGCAATCTATTATAATAGATGATAAGAATATGAGTGCGTTTGGACCAACCATATGCACTTAATTTTCGTTGGAGTATAAAACACTTATGGAAGTGCTCTATTTATAGATGTAGAATTTGGTGGTTGGCCAACCATTGCCTTAATTTTCGTTGGTTGTTGGCCAACCATGCATGCCATACATGCCAATTTTGACTAACAATTTTCCACTTGAAGACTGATTTCAATATGTCTTCACAATTTGATCAATACAGCAGCTTTTCATTTTGTTACTTTAGCAGGCCAACTGAAGCTGAACACAACTTCAGCTTATCAATAGTCACTGTCTTTGTTAACATATCTGTCGGATTCTTACTTCCTTGGATCTTCTCCAGTATTAACACATCATCTTCTAATAGAGATCCGATGAAGTGATAACGAAGTCCGATACACTTGGCAAAGAATTCAACATTTCATTCCAGAACCAAGCATATTGGACTTCGTTATCACTTCATCAGATCTCTATTAGAAGATGATGTGTTACTACTGGAGAAGATCCAAGGAAGTAAGAATCCGGTAGATATGTTAACAAAGACAGTGACTATCGATAAGCTGAAGTTGTGTTCAGCTTCAGTTGGCCTGCTAAAGTAACAAAATGAAAAGTTGCTGTATTGATCAAATTGTGAAGACAGATTGAAATCAGTCTTCAAGTGGGAAATTGTTAGTCAAAATTGGCATGTATGGCATGCATGGTTGGCCACCAACCAAAGAAATTTGTTAGTCAAATTTGGTATGCATGGTTGGCCAACAACCTATGCATTGTGGCAACAACCATGAAAACAATTAGGCACACAATTGGTTATGGCCAAGCACCAATATCTACATTCCTTAAATAGATGCACTTCCATAAGTGTTTTATATAATAACTCATTTTCAGAGAGAACTCTATTAGCTAAAGTTCAGAGAGAAAACTTTGGTGAGAGAAATTGAGCAGTAACTTTTTGGGTGAATTTATGAGTTATGGGTTCTAAAGTTTTGTAAAACTTTGTATAATTTTTCTCCTTATTTAGTAAAGATCTACAGCGCTCCGGAGACGTGGTCAGAATGACGAACTCCAGTTACCAAATTTGTGTGTATTACTATATTCCGCTTTTATTTGGCACCATTCCTCATCTCATTTTTCAGAGAGAAATCCATTAGCTAAAGTTCAGAGAGAAAAGCTTTGGTGAGAGAAAATTGAGAGTAATTTCTTGGGTGAATTTATGAGTTATGGGTTATAAGTGTTGTAAACACTTTGTATAATTTTTCTCCTTTTAGTAAAAGATCTACAGCAGCTCCGGAGACGTAGGTAGAATTGACCGAACTCCGTTATCAAATTTGTGTGTGTTATTATTCCGCTTTTATTTGGCATTCTCACTAATCTGATTTTATAGGAAATTTTGCGTAGTTTCCCAACACGAATGGACTTCATAATATTTTAAGGACCCATACTTCCAGAAACCCTGCATCATTTAAGACCCATGCAATAAAATCCCAACTCAACCTATCATAGGCTTTTTCAAGATCAATCTTGATAGCCATGTAGCCTGTAGAATTTTTAAAAGTTTTCATGGTATGAATGGCATCATATTTGAATTTTTATTTTTAAGTTCTTTTAGGTTCATTAGTTTTTGATGTTTAAGCATAATTAATCCATGATGTTTAATTAATCTATGATTTAAGCATGTTTAGATCTATGTTTTTGGCATAAAATGTGAAATCTGTTGCCTAATCCTTCGGACCAGAAAATAGGTGCTAATCGAGTTCAACGCTCTTAAAGATTAAGGCCCAAGCATCACATTTCGTGGTCCAAAAACATCGAACAAGTGGTATCAGATACTGTTAGTGCCTTAATGGCCTAAAGATCCTGAAAAAGCCTATCTAGAGACCTAAGCCCAATATGACAACTCATCCACCTTATAAGAGGTTGTACTTGGAATAGTGGGGCCATAAGAAAAGAGGCCTACTTAAGCAAAACACTTGTAAGAAAGCTTAGTCCAGTTACACTTGAGGAGTGTTGGAAGTCTACCATGGAGTCGAGCCTAACACTCTCATGTTGGAGGCTCAAACATACCATGGAACCCATGGCTCCATGTACAAAATCTCCAACAAGTAGCCCAAATATATTTTTTGATTAGCTTATATTAATAATTCTTTTTAATGATTTATATAATAATAATTGATAATTGATGGAGTTATTTGAAATTAAAACCCCTAGAATCGTCATTTGGCTAGTATTTCAATTGTCAAGAACTTGTTTTGATTCATAGTGCAAGATGTAGACATTTAAATCCTGAGAGCTTTCATTTTTATACCCTTTGAATTTTTTGACATTCATATAATAAAAACAACAAAACCCCAAAACTATATATATATATATTAATCAAATCGAATTTCGGTTCGGTTTGGTTTTGGGTTAAAACCGGTCTACGCTAACCTCTACCTCCCTGGTCTGAAACTCAATTTATATATGGATAATGACACTGGCAGAAATGCTTGAGGCCCATCTTGCCCATGCCGAAAGTCCGATGCTTATAATACTATTCGTGTTCCAATGCATGGATGACGAATGGTTGCTTTTGCTTGTTCAGTTTCATTTACTTCAACACCCAAATCTATAAAAATGAATGGGAAGCAGAAAATGACGTAAGAAGAGAAACGGTCCCAAACAAAATCTCCATTGAAAAGAGAGATACGGATAATAATAATAGTTACCCCTCTCAGAAACTGCCTTCTTCCCTCTATTTCCATTTGTCATCGTCTTTAGCTTTCCCTTTCCTTTCTGTGTGTATATATATGTATATAATCCATTGAAACAATCCCTACCCACATACAGATTTTATTCTTTTCATTTGATCAAGAAGCTGAAGCCTGAAGAGAGTGATCAATGTCTTCAGGAGCATTTGCAAGAGGAGCACACTCCATGTTCTCCAAGTAATTATTATTTAAGAGCTTCTCTCACTTTGAGTTATTCTTTAATGCCATATCTATTTGATACATACAGGCCAGGAATGGTTCGAAAAGCCTGCTACAGGAAAAACACAACCAGCACTAGCAGTGGAGATAATACACTGAGAGGAAACAGAGATGGTGAGGAAACGAAGATGATGAAGAATAGCCATGTTGGAGATGGAAATGGAATGAGTTGCAGTTGGGTTCCAGATGAGAGGACTGGTATTTACTATCCAAAGGGACAAGAGAAAGTCATGGATGACATTCCTCAAGGAGCTTCAAAGGATTTTGACGCTGTTAATTACTTCTCACATAATTAATCATTCACTAATAATAAGGATATATATGATGCTTTTGTCTAGCCTCTAGCTAGTCCAAATACATGTTTTGTTCTTATAAAAGGAAAAAGAAAAGAAAAATAATAACTAGACATATATATAAAATAATTAATTTGAGTTGTTCAATAAATGCTTATAAAAAATTAATTTATGAAAATTATTTTCCTGGAGAAAAACTTATCTAGACCGGATTCAGAGCCGGATTAAACCAATGAAATGAAGTATTTTTATTAAATAGGGGTATGTCTAACAATATACTTGAAAAAAATATATAAAATAGGAACACCTTTTAAAGAATTCTTAATTTAAATGGTTTGGTCCATAAGTGAAGTCATGGATCCAGTCTGGTCAAGTATTTTTCACAATGAGTGTATGATGGTCCTATACATCAAGCCAATAAAAAAAAAAATTTTTTTAAATGTTACTATTTCGCCTTTTTTTTTTCTCAATATATGGTAAAAAATATCATCGTTTAAATTAAAATATTATTTATAATTGATTTGATGTGTAGGTGACATATATACCGAATATAAATAAGTCTTTCACTTATTTTCACTAATAAGTTGCATGATAATTAAAGCACCAATAATTCTAATTAGTGAGAAAACAACAATTAGATATAGAAAATTGTGACCCAAATCTCTTCTTCCCTTTTTTTTTTCCTTACCTCCATCAAGTACTCTAATGTCAATTATTTTGTTGAGTCCACTCATTGTCAAAATATATGAATACATGATAAAATTGTTTATAAATAATTGAGTTGATCTAAAGGAGCAAACTTCTTTTTTCTTGTTTGGATTCTAGAAAAAAGGTAACCTACATTGGTTTATATACGAAACAAATCTTCTTTTTTTTTTTTGGAATAATAAAATTTTGTATTAAAATTGAGCGAAATAGTAAATTTGTAGGAAATGTAAATAACAACCATATTGAAAATGGAGTCATCTTAGTTCGAGCAAGTGTTTTTGTTGGGTCTGCATTTGCTTTTTTTCTTTATAGTTCTTAAAATATTTTAGAGCACCGACTTCTTCCATCATTGCATTGCATTGCACTTCTGGGACAATGTAGAATGTGGCGACCAAAGCTATTACAGTGATTTACTTCTTCCTTAATCTTTGAATGCACTTTATTGATCGTGATCATTATAGTGGTGGGTATACACAATGAGTGTTAACATGGCAGAAACACGAATGAGTGTAAATCCAACATAAATAAGTATTTCCCATACTTTGCCTACGTTAGGCATACACACCACACCAGATCTGTAATAATTATATATGGAGAAGAATAAGGCATTTACTGGAAAAAGAGAATCAGAAAAAAAAAAAAAAATAAAGCTATCGTATATATACAAGATCAATTACGTAATATTTCAGTGAAAATATAAACATGTATTTGGAGCATATTACTCAGAAAGTGCAGTGATCTTTCAAGACCTGCCTAGCAAGGTCCAATGCTCCACTTTTCTTGTATATCAAGTGTAAATTGTAAGCTGCCTCCTTACGCAGGTCACAGTAACCTGGTTTTAGACTTTCTGGAGCATCTAAATTCTCATTCAGAAGTTTTGGAATTGGGTAATCCTTCTCACTGGTTTTGAGCACCTTTTCGTAATAAGAAGCTGCTAGAGATAGAAGCCCAACTTGATGGCATGCGCGACCAACATTATATAATGCCTCCTGCACCGATTCCTATACAAGGTAACATTAATTATAACCAAACTCCATCAGTTGTGACGCAAAATGTTTTTCTTTTAGCACAAAACAAGTTAACAATCTTTGACAACCTCAGATATGTAAAAATAGTTGCCCAAGACAAGAAGAAGCATGCAGTTATCAATAAACTAACCATAATGAAATAAGAGTGCAGGAAAAAAAAAAATACAAGAAAAGAAAAAAAAAAGAAAAGCAAACCTGACTGTTTTCAGCAAGCCGCAAATTATTATAGAGAAAAGATAAGCCTTGTGCAAGACACTGATGCTTATTTTGAAGTCTAAATCCAAGAGTTAAATTGATCAAGGCCGTACCTGGAAGAAACAACCATGTCAAAAAATTTTAATAATATTGTAAGCACAAATATGTGATCTTCAAACTGCAGGGAATGATAGGCCAAATCTTACCCACACACAGATTAATTAGAGGATTCTCTGGCAACAGTTTATAAGCTGCTAGATATTCTCTCGCAGCATCTTGGTGATGGCTAGCTAGCGTGAACTGATGCCCATAAATTACTATTGGTGACACACAATCATCGTGTTTGGATCGCATATGGCGTAGAAATTTTGCATGCCTTGAATAGTTCTTTCCCAACCTATGATTGCAAATGAAATTGTTAATGAATAGTAAATGGGATACAACTGGAAGAGCTTGCACAAAAGAATGTGCTCAGTGCTCCTATTTATGTTTTATTGTTCTTATGATGAGTAAAAGACTTCATTCCTGTCAGTGTTATTACGCTCTAAACACACTCAGAAAGAGAGACAAAGGATGAAGAACACCCAAAATCCAAGTCCTGCTTTTTCATTTGTTGGAAAATTTAATAAGATTGTGAATGAAAACTCAGCCCAAGGTTCTCAGGTTAAATACTAGTAGAAAAGAATACATTTATAAAATCAGGTTTTTAAATTTATTTTTTTATGAGATCAGGTGGTTTTCTTCGCTTATTTTTCGCCCTATGCTTTAGGAATTTTTAAAAGCAGACCTTCTTTAAGTACATATCCAATATAAATGGACAGCAATACTTTTCAATTTCTGTGATTTGAGGTTTGTCTCTTGTTTCTTTTGTCACACACACACACACACACACATATATATATATATATATATTACAGCTTTAAATAAGAATACATCCTTGTAAATTTAGATGCTTCAAAATACTTGATGAATGAAACACGTGAATCATTGAATGATAACAAATGAAGCATCATGACAATATATTTCAACCTAGAGAAAGGATCGTTGAAAGGATTAGCACCTTGAAGTTATTTTGTAATAGCAATTCCAGGCAGCAAGGCTGTATGGATGTTGAATAATAACTGATTTTACACAGTCAAACCCATGCTTAGGATCTGTGGTCTTGTATGATATTTCTGCAGAAGAATAAACAAAATCAATGAAGCTTTAGGAGTCTTCATAAATATTTTGTTTAATTACGAAATATCATTTAAGTTGTTTTTAGGATATGCCTCCAATGAAATAAATTATGGAGAAAATTTTGGGAAATATGAAATTTTATTTAGGGTTCTTTTTTCTTTTTTTAACTTGATATTTTTGGAGCACAAGCTTCCTGCTCTAGAAAATGGAACTAACAAAAAAAAACCAAAAGCATCAGTTGGTAAGTTTAGGAGTTACGTGCAGCAAGAGACTGAAGTTCCTCCCTCTTCTCAACAGGCAGTTTCTCGCATGCCAAACTGCGTGTAAGGTTAATAATCTCCAATGCTTCCCAATACCGTTGCAGCATTTGCAGTGCCTTGCACAACTGTAAGCCGTACAAAGAAGAGTGAAATCTCAGAGAAAAGAAAACATAACAGTGAATCCATCCAAAATTGATTTAAATAGTTAACAATATAAAAAATATTAATTCAACATTCAAAAAGAAACAGCATTCGAAGGTAATATTTTTAGCACAAAGAATAGGTAAAAAGAAATAAGGAAAAGTGTAACTATGAATCAATAGAAAGAAAGAGTATACAAACATCTATAATCAGATTGTGATGCTCCTCATCCTTCAAAAAATTAGGAAGGGGTGGGACTCTGACTTCTTCCTGCAGATACCCAAAAAAAAAAAAAGTATGCGAAGGGATCAGGCCCAAATCATGGGAGTTAATTGAATTAACAGCCCTAGTACTATTTAGATTGCAAAACAATCAAAAACATATTACCAAAGGTTCATCATCTGAATCATCACTATGCCAATCAATGCCGGCAGCCCTGGCCTCAGCTTTTTTTTCTTCCTTCTTCTGAAGCAACCTCCTTGCTCTAGAAGCTTTCGCTCTAATTCAGGCCATTAATCATAAAACAGTTAGTATGCTATTCCTGCCAAGATAATCTATAATATATAATCAAGCGCCGATGTCCTAAAGCATTTCATAGTAGAAATTTTGACAGGGTTCCTTACACTTATGAGGTTCATATAATTCCATTTCAATGAAATATTTGCAAGACTATTGGTGCATTCCCATGTGGGAAAAATATGAAGCTTATTTGACAAGATAAACAAATACAAAAAGCATATTGAAATCCTTCCCTAGCTCTTAACAAAACTGTTGCATTGTAATTTGTCTAAGCCTCTTTAACAACATAGGATGTAATGCAAACTACGAACTGGACCTTGGACCCAATATTACAGACCTAGTGCCTACAAAAACAATGATTCCAAGTCAGACTATTTGAACAAACCTCCAACTATGATCGAGAAGCCTGAGTTCTAACACAAGGCAATTCTTGTCAAATTCCTAAATAATTTAATTCTCCCAGTGAACTCTAATAACCAGCAAATCCATCTTATCAGATTGACTAAACACCTATTGATACAAGACAAAAAAAATGTGAGGTCCACTAGACATTTAACTGTAACTGACAATTTAAAAAACAACTGGTGAGTTTTAAATGCAATTTCTAGACCAAGGACCACCCTGACCATAAGAGAGAGATATTTTTTCTTCAGTAATGAACAAACAAAGCACAATTAACTACTCACAGATCTGGGGGAGCCGCCAATGGTCTGACTCCACCAAATACATCAACAGTTTCTCCAACATCTAGGATCTTGGTTCTTTCACGGAGTACACTTATTGTCAATCTTCTTTTTACCTGTTTCAGACCAATGACCAAATCAGTATAGAAAAAAATAAACATAATGATTTACATGCATTATGCATGGGAATCTATTGGCAAAATATTCATAATAACCAGCATAGCTAACAATAATACCTTGGCTCAGATAAGAACCCATATGTTAATAATTGAAAGTAGCATTTGAATGAAAGAAACAGTTAAAATGTACAACAACGCTTAAGCAATTGTTGGAGTTTAATAAACAAAGACGAGAAGATAGACGCACTTTTATACATACATCATACATTCATGCATGTGCACATACAAATAGATCCCATGCATGTGCACATACAAATAGATCCAAAAGATCAATTCAGAAATGAACAATGATAGGCAATAAGTCACCCTCCCCCCCCCCCCCCCCCTTCTCCCGGGAACACAGCTTAAGACTTTCATCAAACTGTGCTCTTCAAGGAGCAACTCAAGGGAGCCCACTCAACTCTATACACATAAAAACGTCGACTTTGTTATGTAGGCAGAAAAGATGAAACAAAACTAGGAATGTAAAATTCTTCTATGGTTGACTATGTAAGCAGAGATAGCCTAGACAGCATAGATGTCTGTAAAGCACTGCCTTCAAATACCTTAGCTCCACTTAATAAAAGGATGGGGAAGTAAAATATCCACCACAATATTAAACCAGAAAGTAAAATATCCACCACAATATTAAACCAGAATGGATAGAAAGGAAAATGCAATATGACTCTTGTATGATTGTAGAGACAGTAGCTAAATTGAATAAGTACTAAAAAACTGCAAATTAGACTGGTGATGATATATGGCTGCAACAGTGAGTATTGGGTGGTGAAGAAACAGCTTCCTCACAAAATAATCATGGCAGATGAGTGGACATACAAGGACACGTGGGAAAGGAAAAACACAAATTTGTAATAAGGTGCGAGTGTCACATATTGAGAAAAAGTTGAGATAGGGAGATAGATGGTCAAGATAGATGGCTCTGACACCTGTATTACAGAAGGTTGAGAACCATGTTGTAGAAGATAGGAAAGAGAGAGGCAGCACTAGAAGATAGGAAAAGAATTGATTTAGCAGCTCTTGATCTTTATACATCCTTACATAGGGATAAACTCTTAGTTTAGTGACTTACGTTTAGGATATTAAACAGTATTACCCATATGGGACATCCTTATGATAATTGTGGAGAAAGAATCAGTAGTATAAAAGCATAAATCAGTATTATTCTTTGAAGGTGCAATTACCTTCTGTCGTAGCGTTTTGACATAAAGTGATTCACGAACCAAAGGGAATATCGTGTTGACAAATTCTTCAAACATTCCTTTAGCTCTATATATGTGGCATATTTTCAGTTTTATTCTCCCATCAAGCCACCACTGTTTTTGTCTATCAGAACTCAAGTTAACAGAATCTGCAAATGTAAGCCACAACGAAAAGATTCAAAAAACATATATATCGTTTTTTTAAAAAGAGCAATATCCCAACAACATTCACTTAATCAGTGCAGAGAAAATTCTTACAATCTATTATTACCTAAACTTTCAGGAGGTGATAGCAAAGAAATAGCTTCATCTTCTTTACCATCTTCAAGAATAAGTGATGCCAAAGCCAATCGACAATCAATACTATCTTCAAGCGCATGCAAAGCTGAAGAGAAAAAATTTGTTAGCCACCCCACTCGATTTATATACCTGGAATTCAGCCCAATTTAACCACCTAGAATACAAGTTTTAAGGGAAAGAAAAGCCATCATAAAGAGTTATCAATAACAAACAACACATCAGAATGCATAGCAAAATATGAACTAATACTCTAAAGGATTCAAAAGTTACTCAACTCAAAGAATGGCATAACCCTGTCGTAATCCCAAATTCTAACTTCTCTTTAACTCTGCCAAATTTCATCTATTAAAACAATGTCACATGCAATCTCATACACAAAGGATAAACTCTCAGACATTTTGTGAACTCATCCATGACCAAAGCAAAAACAGATACAAGGCTGAAGCCAATCTTTGATGGAATCCGATTCCAGTAGAGAAATCTTTTCTATCGCCTCAAACAAGCCAAACACCAGTATGTTACATTTATCCATTAGTTATTTGTTTCTACTCCGAAATCCATGATAACCTCTCATAATGTTTTCATAAGCTTTCCATGGACTGAAAAATCTGATGAAGGTCTTTCCTTTTCTCTTGGAACTTCTCTAACAATCCTCTCATTGAATAACTTGCATCTTATAGTTTATTTTATGACTAAGATTCTAACAAAAAAAAAAAAAGCACAACAAAAGAAATTGTTTAGGACAATGGATATTACCTCTGAATAGTATTCACTGTTAGATACCCAAACTAATAACTATACATTTATCCCTATCCATAGAAGATATTTATTATCAGATTCTTTTTATCCAATCCTCTTTCATTCAGTGCATCCATGTACCCATACGGTATAAGCAAAACCACCTTAGAAAAGCACCAATCCACTTACCCTCAATTGATTGGTCCCATATAGTTTTTACAAATATATTCAACATTTCTTGCATTGTCAACAATATAAATGCATTAACTTACTTTTTCCTCTTTCCTCCCTCATTAATTTCAAAATTGAAGAACTTCGTTTACAATGTAAGTTACTAAACGTTATTGACATCATCCGTCTCACGGCTGTTTTTCAAAACTATTTTACACAGTTGTTTATTAGTGTTGACACTGGCCCAAAACCCAGGCCCAAGTAAGCGGCCCATTACTAAGGCCTTGCAGGATGGAGAATATGCCAAAAGGGCCAATTGGGCCTAATAGCCTACATGTGTAAGAAAACCTTTATACAAACTGTATAACTCGTATAGAATTGTAAATATTCTAGAATAATTATTGTTCTTGGAGTGCACTCCTCAAATAGGGGGTGAAACTCTTGTAAATGACACGAAATCCAAGACATACAAACTTGAATGCACAAGCATTTACTCTATCTCTATCCTTCTTTCTCTCTTCTCTCTCTCTCTCTCTCTCTCTCTCTCTCTCTCCCCTCTTTCTTTTTTCAACCCCCAATTTCTCTAATTTCTCTTTATTTCTCTCATCTAGTTCTTTTCCTCCTGTCTGTCTCCCTATATCTCCCCCCTTCTTTTTGGACTAACGAGCTCACAGCCCGTTTAGCCACTCTATCCATTGAACCCCAAAGGCATTCTGAAAGATGCAGACCCAACCGGACCTGTCCTAATTTTAGACCAAACAATTAGATAAGGCTTATTTCTATAGTTCGTATTGGTCACTCTCATATCATTCAGAGGAATACTTCAACACATTTATGCTTCTGATTCTAATAACACCAAGCTCATAGCTTCTACAAGTACATCAACTGTGGGAGCTTAGAACGGAAATAAAACATTATACACCAGCCAAAAATTGCACAATCTCTTTAAACTCTAAAATAATTGAACCATGTGGAGTGTCTCCCAAAATGTGACAATCCTAAGCTCCTGAATTTTTCCTTCTGTGACCAATCCTAAGGCCCTGAATATTTTCCTTCCCAGGGTTGGGAGAGGGGAATTCACAGGGCAGGCCTATACTAATGGCAGAAAAATGTAACATTATAATCTATTTCCAAACGAGTTACAAATCACCAATTCTCTTTTAATTTAAAGAGGAACGAGAACATTATGGTGTTGAGTAATCACAATTCTCTTTTAATTTAAAGAGAGAACATTATGGTGTTGAGTAAACTCTATAATCTTTTAACCAAAATAAATAAATAAATAGACACGAATTATGTACCCAAAATTTGTGGCCAACATGAAATTTTGGCCCATACTTTTGCAATGACCAATTTTAGCCATACTTTAACTATTAGGTAATTGTACTTGGTTAAGGCAATGAAATCCAAATACTTGCTATCAATATTTTAATCATTTAGGCAAGCACAATTATTTATTTGGTAACTTGCTATCAACATATCAATTTTTCCATCTACAGAGCATTCTATACTGAGCATCTACAACAGTAAATTTACAAATAATTAGATGATTTAGGATGACCTATCCAAAATTGCACCTTAAAACAAAGCATAGTCATAATTTTTGTTGGTTTTGAAAGTATGGGCTCTAATTGCAACTTGGATAAACTTTGAGGACTGCGATTAAGCCAAAAAATTTATTATACAAAGAAAAAAAAAATAGTAACAATAAGATAGCCACGAGGTTGGTGGCAATTTCTCTTGTTTGCAAAAATGTATATTTTACTCGATGGAAGCTTGGGGCAAGAATCATTTTACCTTTGTAGAAGAACATGATTGCTTTCACGCGATCTTTCAAGGATAAGTAACATTGAGCAATTTTCAAACATATATAACCCTCCTAGAGAAAACATACAACATAAAGTCAAGCAAAGAATTGTGAACTCAACAATTGAATTCTTACTGTAAATATGAGCATGCACATAAAATCAGCATTTTTAGAATAAATATAAATGCCCCAAAAGGAGATTTTATGCACGTTTACATTTGGTTGGAAACTTTTGATTTGAGAAGACAAAATACTTCAACACATAGTTGTCAAATTGAGAATGGAATTGAGAATCGACAGTCAAATCAAATCATAAGATTCAACATTAACTTTTATGAACATATTTCCATGAATTTTATCAAAACATAACAAAAATTTAATTGCAAACAACGTATTTATATAATTCAATTTCAAATCATGTACTAAACACAAAATGAAAGAGAACCTAATGCCTCGTGTAGTTGCAAGTTCAAAATATCAAACTATGAAGTTAAAATTTAAAACAAAAACAAAGTAAAACTATCAAGCCGTTAATTTTTTATCCAAATACATATTCATTCATTATCATTTCCAAATTCAAGCCCTTCATCATCTTTATCTTCTAATTTAACCATGTATCTGTTGCTATTTCTTTCTCTACATTGACTCTTCCACTTGTTTTGTTGGGTAAGAGAATCGTTTGGGCATGAGAATTGAGTCGCATGCATAATAAGGTTCATGCTCAGTTCCAATTCATCCGTAAGATTCAAATTGTTAGGCATGAAAATTGAATCGAATCATATGATTCGAATTGTAAATCATAAGATTTTGATAACACTCTTCAATGATGTATGAGAACAAAGCAATAAATGATAGAGCAGACGGAATATTCTCATCCAAGGGGATCCAAGCCCAAAATAATGTAAAACAAACAAGATAGTACTCCCAATCATAATGAATAACCAAAACACCATTTCAAAAGCCCCCAAAGCAACAACATAGTGCACTATCATGACTTTAAGCCAACCAAAACACCAATTTTCAAAAGCCCCCAATAGGCAACAACATAGTGCACTATCATGACTTTAAGCCCCTTCACCAACCAAGAAGCATTTTTTAACAACCAAATTAATGTAAATTGTTGCAACTACCATGCGTTTTAAGTCTCTTCACCCATCAAAGGGAAGCTCGAAATTTCTAATTTTGATTAAAACCCTCAAACATCTCTATACAAATACAAAGCTCTTATTTAAAATCAACACAACACCGGAAAGATGAGAGTGGAAAAAACCATATCAGTGTCACACCAAGTCTTCTGATGATGAAGCCAAAGATTGGAATTGGAATGATGGAAAGCCAAAAATGAAAAGGTGTTACAAAATCTTCCCAGATCGGTTATATTTAAAATCAAATTGTCGCTATGGATAGATTCATTCCAATTGGCTGGACAATACAAGCACTAACTCAAACACCTAAATGGTATTTAAAATCACACAACCACCGGAAAGATGAGAGTGGAAAGACCATATCAGTGCTCACACAAGTCTTCTGATGATGAAGCCAAAGATTGGATTGGGAATGATGAAAGCCAAAATGAAAGGTGTACAAATCTTCCCAAGATCGGTATATTAAAATCAAATTGTCGCATGGATAGATCATTCAATTGGCTGGACAATACAAGCACTAACTCAACACCTAAATGAGTAACCTTACAGTTCCAAGACAATCAGGTCAGACTCGCAAATCTAGGCCATGTTTTAGAGCATTGGTATTTCAGCATATTCATATATTCAAGGAATTTTAAAGAAAAAAACTACCTTATTTGTCAGAAAATGAACCAGATGTTCAGCATACAACCTAAACTTGAATTTTAATTGTTGATACCCAACCCATTTTCAGTGTGCAAACACCAAGCAGCATGCAGATTGCATGAAAAAACAATACATTTCTTCAATGGAGGCATACTTTAGCAACCAGTTCAATGGTATAATGAATGCAAGCCAGAATTCCTTTACGTTCTTATCTTTCTACATCAATACAAGATTTAACATAAATCCTTTTTTTCCTTTTTTTCTGCATTAATGGACAAAATTTAAGGAAAATACTTTTTTCTTTTTCTCCTCCTCTAACAAAAATATATCTTTAAACTGAATGAATAATAAAAAAAATAATTCAGGAGTTCATGTTCTTCCTCCTTTAACAAAAATATATCTTTAAACTGCATGAATAATAAGAAAAACAATTCAAAAGGAGTTCAAACATATATATACTTCAAAGTGACCTTATTCAAAGGAAAGAAGGCAGAATTTTGATCTTATAAATGTTTAGTTTGTGAAAACAATTCACGGATAAAGAATGTAACAAAAATACTTCTATGTGATGCACAATTTAAAGTAAATCAAAGGGGGAGAGAAAGAGAGAGAGAGTAAACCTTTTCCTTACATTGTCAACACCAGCATTTGACTCCAACATATGATAATACTTCAAGGCAGCATGAAAATGTCCAAGCTTCATAAATGCATCAGGAATATCCACAAACACTTTATCATTATTAGAGGCATTCTCCAATTCCAGGTTACTGAATAGAACCTACAGATTGTGCAAAATTTAGCAACACGATTAGTACATCCAAAAGAGAAGAAAAGGGGAAAAGAAATCCTTAAACCCTAATCATTATTGTTGCAGATTTCAAAAACAGTCATTACATAATGTAGGGACGTTTCATAATAGAACTTGAAGGGCCAATCATTATTGTCCCATAAATTTGAGGAGGATCTTGACATTTCTCCACTTGAATCAAAGATTATTTGATAAATAAGGTAACGTATTCTGTACACACACACGTGCACACATCCTATAGGTATATGTTTTACATCCTTTTGCTAATAAATTTTATTTTCACTCTACAACTTGGCTTAACATTTTACTTGGATATACAAATCTAAAGTAAAGCTTGTGTAATTAAGGAACAAATTAGAAAATGTGAAAACTGAAAGTTCAACCAAGTTGCAATCTCAAACTAAATGGGTATTATGAATTGCATGCCATACAAAAAATCTGGTGTGGCATTGTTTTAAGGTATTTAGGCTGGGATCACAAAGAAACACAAAAAACATGGCAAGAAAGGTTTGAGGAAATATATAAATAAAGTTTGAAGATGCTAAAGAAAAAATAATAGGGGCCAGTTTTAGTGCAATAATTGGAGATGCACTAAACATACTTTTAAAGAAATTGCAACTATAACAACTAAACTTTAATCACAAACTAGTTGGAACTGGCTATAGGAATCCTTTGTCTCCATTCTGCTATGTTCGTAACTCAGCTGCACTAATACCACAAAATAGTCAGTCTTTTGAGACTACCCTATGTGTGATCATGAATCAACCTTTTCCCCTTTTAACATCCTCCACCATCTAAACATCGACTTACAAATTGAGACACATGGAAATCTACATAGGACGTGACCAAACCATCTCAAACATCATTCTCTCATTTTGGCCCCAATTTGTGCTACTAGCGTCTTTTGTGGGATGTGGTCATTTTTAAAATTGTCCAATCTTGTGTGACCACACATCTATTTTAACATCTACATTTATGTAACATTCATCTTATAAATATGTTGGACCTTTGGGACCCAACACTCACTTCCACATAACACCGTTGGTTTCATCATTGTTCTATAAAACTTGCCTGTCACTTTGTTAGATATATTTCTATCACATAGCACCCTTACAACACTTCTCAATTTCTTTCATCCGATTCTAATTCTATGAGTTCCGTCTTCAACTTCATGCTATCATTTTGAAATACAAGGCTTATATATTTAAATCGATTGCACTTATGCACCACAATACTATCCAATCCTATCTCCTTCCCATTCTTTCTATAGGAGTTAAATTCGCAGTGCATGTACTCTGTCTTGCTTCTGCTTAACCTAAAATGTTAATTCTCAACTGCCTACTATGACTACATGTGCATCTTGTATGCTATTAATTATGTCGCCCATAACTAGGGAAAACAAATATGGGCTCAAGGCAGATCCCAAATAAAATCCTACCCGAAAAAAAAAAAATAGCAAATAAACAAAAAAGGAAACTTCCAGAAATAAAAATCCAGAATAAAGATTCATCAATATTTGTAGGAGTTCATTGATCTCAAGCATTAGCGGAAATAAACACAGATTAGAAAAGAAAAAGAAAACAAACACAAGAATGGTTCAAAAAGTGTGCCTATGTTTAAGATAGTCGCCTGCTTTTCCACTGTATAATTAAGAGAGTATTATAGCCTGATTTTAGACAGCAAGATGAAACATAATACAAATAAGAATTACATAATCACCGTCCAATAATGAAAAAAGCCAATTGTATCATACCACAACAAGAGGCTCATATTTGTGTTGGTGAAAAAATTTAATAAAGGAAGAAGCTTTGCAATTTGGGCTGCTAAACCAAGGTCAACAATAAGGGCAATACGGTTTTAACCCATTGTCTTCGAAGGGACAAATCAATGGCAACCAACAAGTTATAAAAGCTCTTAACAAGCAATTCCACCATGATCCTACCATGTTAGGGCTTTATCTTTACATATTTTCTCCTTTTGGGTTCTCATTTAAACTCTTGGTTTCACAAATATCAAAAAGATTTTCATGTTCTTTAAGAAGTTGATACAATAAAGAATCACATATGGCCTGAAACATCACCATGATATCAACAAAGAACTACACTTTCAAACAACTAGCACAAATATGAAAGACAATACATGAACATAGTAAGCACAAAAGGCAATATACAAATGACTTTTTTTGGCAATTTTTTTCTCATTTTTTTTTTTGTTCTTTTTCTCAGTTTTCAGTGGGGAGAATTTACATAATATTTAGAGATGTTATGAAGTAAAGACAACAAACCTCTGCCTGTTCAATATTTCCAAGGTAAATATGGCAAATTCCTGCCTTGATTTTTAACTGCAAAGGCATTTCCCTTCCAGAGTAGTAAACCAAATGAGCATTCTCAATATGCTGAAGAGCATTATTATGTGCATTGGTTTCCATAAGTATAGAAGCTAGCAAATCAATGACACTAGAATCAGCTTCAGATGGATGAGCCTTGAGATAGTTCTCCAAAATATTGATACATCGCTCTTTCTGGCCACAGTCAAGATATAACTGACATGAAAAGAGGAAAAAAATTAAAGCCTTAGGGAAGCTAAAAAAAATTAATAGGGAAAGGAATACCCTAGGAAGCATGAAAGAAAATCAAAATCACCATATGTTCAAATGTTATAGTCTCCATATAAAGTTATCACTAAACAAAGGCAGTGAATATATATATCTCCAATATGTATTACAAGAATAGAGAGCAGAGGAAATTAGGAATTCAACAAAATGAAAAAAAAAATATTAAGTGTAACTTAAATACAAAAAGAAGAGGATTGATGCGCATTAATGTGCCACTGTAGCAGGAAACTCAGAAAACTAAAAATAATATTAGGATATTACAATTTTCTACACATAATAACCTAAGGTAAATGTTACTCAACAAAAAGTCTGATGTAAGTAATCGCATAGCTAGTTAAAGATAGATTTAAGGGTTAGTTTTTAATATTTTTCTTGCAATCTCTTAGTTTTAGCTTAGATTATACTTTTGTTTATTCTCTTGTTTTTAATCTCTTTATGTTTTTGATGATTTGTCGTAAGAAAATCAATCTTTTTGATGGATTTCATGACTTAAGAAAAGTTGGGATTCAAGTTTGGAGCCTTAGAAGCATAAAGAAAGAAGTCTTGAATTGTAAACAAAGAGAAAAGCAGGCTAACAGCCAGCCTGTTAGTCTCTCACGGGTGTAACTCAATTGTGCTTATTTTGGGTAAAAAGAAATAGAAGCAAGATAAAATCAGCAACGACCTCCCCTTTAGTTACTAACAACCGTGACCCAAATAAGGCAGATTTTGCCTTGAAGATCCAGAGAACTCTAATGGCCAGAGCATTGCGGAGCTAATGGCTGTTAATTAATGCAAGTTTAATTGGCAAATTTCTAGCTGATCTCTATTTTAATTGGGTCTCTTCCTAAATTAAAAGAATGCTTTCCTACTTGGATTCTAAGTACAAAAAGCCTAAAGAAACGATCAAGTCTAAAGGAAGAATTTCCACGAGAACTCATAAAATTTCTCTATCAAGAAGATTGAAGACGAGAAGAATTTCCAGCCCTAGAACTTCAAGCTTTGCATGGAAGTTTTTATTTAATACTTTGTGGATTCACTTGTCAAACAGGTTAGGCTAATTTTTTTATTCTTGAATTTGAATATATAACCCTCTAAGTCTTCTATGGTTAATTAATAATATCATTCAATCCAAGATTATTTTCTGCTTTGATTCAATTGTTATTTCTCTTAATGCTTGTGATTGTGTTGGTACCATAATTGCATGATTTGTAGATTTCAAATGAAGAACTGAAAGATGAAATTTGTGATTGCAAAAGCTAGCAATTGAGCCAAGGAAATTCTGGTTAGATATAAGCAGAACTAATTTGAAGATTTCATTGGAATTCCAAGAAATTTAACGAGTAAACTTATAAAATACAACTTTTATCTTGAAAGAGAACATTAGTTACCTTAGTAAATATCACCTTCAGAACAGATCATTTTTAGATAGAACGAGTTAGACCATCAACCATAGCTAAATTAGGCTAGTAAAACCTAAATCCATGAGGTCCTTTATCCCCTGCTTATGTCTTCAGAATAATTGTTTTGAATTGAGCGGTTAGTTACTTTTTGAATTTCATTTTCTTAAATCAAAATTAATCATTAGTCTGGAAACATACAATTGCTAGGATCAATTATCTTACTAATCAAAAGGATCCTCGTGTGAACAAGTTTTTACTACTTGTGATATTCATGTACATGCCGATTTTCTACAACAAAGCCGAAAGTTAAGCTGAGTAGTAGAAAATTATCTTACTTTGGAGAATTATACCTCAAGTAAGTCAATTTTTCCGTCAGCAACAACAAGTTTCAACTCTTACCAACAAGTAATTATTGACCATCACATGTTTGCAACTATTACTACCAGCCATCAACAACTACTATCAATAACCAGGATCAATTATCAACAACCATCTCAATTTAGCTTAATAAGACATTTATTAAGAAAATTATGAGAGCAAGCATGATAACTTTCAAATGGAAAAAAACAGAAATATAATTCTTAAAATGAAATTTACGAAGTATAAGATGTCAAAATGTCTCCCACGCCAATCTTGGCAACAGCACAATTTTGATCCTACAAAGATTGCTTTGTATAGACAGAAATCCAAATAAATTAACTGCCCAAATCAAGACACCTAGAGTTCTTCTATCCTCCGCTTCTATCTCATTTTATCTACTCTTATTTATGTAGATAGTATACTTCATAACACAATGTTATTTTTTCTGTCCAACATCACAATATTAGCATTTCACAACATCTTTCCCTTCTCTTGGAAATCATGAAAAACTTATAAATATCTTTTCCTTCTTTGGGAAATCATGAAAAATTTATAACTAAATCCCCAAACAATCATAAAATATATAATTCAAGTAAACTCAACCTCAATCATTATCCTTCATTTGGCTTGACTTTTGGCAATAATTTCAATATGGTCATGCTATACAAAATCCTTAGCGACCACTTCAAGCAGGTCATTATCAATCTAACTTTCATCCACTTCATTCAATTAGCTTAGATTTATTACTGCTGGAAGTTAAAAGACCATCTCAATTAGCTGCCCCTCAAATAATCAAGGATTGCCACTTCTACATTCCCATAAACATACTCATTCCCTGTAAGTCCTTGCTTCTGTTTTCATGCTTCCATTTTCAGCATTCGTATCTTAAGCATACTCTTTTTGTGCTTTCAAATTAACAATGATTTTACAACCACAAAATACACCAGTTTCACCTCTCTGTTTATTAACCAACCCAACTTAATCTGATTTCAGTATTCTCTTACTCTCCACATCCCTTCACAACATAGAACCCTCAGCACCAAAAGTGATAGCTTTGCAGAACTTATACTCCCTCAGTTTAATCCAAGCTGTCAGTTTCAATAATCAAAAAGCAATGGATATATTCCATTTTTACTTTTTCATATCTGAAATCCTTTAGCCAACGAAATGCTTCACCAATGTTCCAACTTCTACTTAACCCAAATCGGGTTGTTAGCAACTTCATCCATAACCAGAGAAAACAGGTAAGAGCTTGGGGTTAATCCTTAATATAAATTGACTAGGACAAGTGTTTTTCCCCCCACATTGTGACAGAACAGTCCTTGCAGTAGGTTCATAAGTATCTTTCAAGTTTCAATATATTTATGTATATCTAACAACAAAAAAATGCTATAGCTATTACCCCTCCTCAATGCCTAGATTTAAATATAGACCTATAACACTCCGTTAACATATGAGACCTAAGGAAAAGAGGTGGTTTCTGTTAGCTTCATTAATCAAATGACATAAATAGTAAAGAAAAAGTTAATATTTTGATGGGTAAAGTAGCAAGCATGATTAAGCCAATAAACCTTTGAAAAGGAAAAATTAAGTAAAACCTTAGCAGCTTTCTTCAGAGCTTCAACATCTTCAGGAAAGATTTGTGATATTTGTTCATAAGACTCAGCGGCTCTTTGAAAATCTCCGAGTTTAACATAGATTGATGCTTGAAGAACTCTCAATGTAATATCATTAGGATCTGCCCTTATAGCTTTAGAAAGGTACATCCAGGCTCTAGCTAAATCTCCTCTTTCACTGCATTTTGTTCGATAGATTATGTTGTCATGCAGCAAATAAAAACAGAATGAACAATTATCTAACTAGCATATACACTTGTTAAATCATATTTCAATATATAAGGATAAGCTAAGGCACAGGTCAGAATGCTTTGGAAGAGAAAAGGACAAAAAAAACTGTTATGGATAGTGCAGAAATAAGGATCCTGAACATGAAAATTAGTGAATTCAAAGGCAAAGTGGATTGCAGAGGTATTCAACATCATAAGTTTGACCACTGAATGGTGACCAGTCATCTTTGCAAAGCCAAAGTGGATGGGAAGTGAGAACTCCGAAGCAGCTCAAAGAATTAATGTTTTGAAAGCAAGACCGGACCAGCTGATCGGACCAATTAAATCGCAAACCAGTTTTTGGTCCGGTCCGATATGGTCTGGTTTGCAGCAGCGTTAATTTTAGATAAAAAAGTTAAATTTTTCACTGTAAACTAAATGGATCAAATGGTGAAGGCACAAAGTTACTTTTTAAAAAGTCATGGGTTCAAATCTCGGAATTCACAATTTTTTTCTTCAAAAAGCTCATACTTTTTCTTAAAAATATAATTGGTCCGAAAATCATAATAAATGAAAGGTCCGAAAATTACAAATAAATATTGTAAATTTTCATGAAAAATCAACATCAATTATGGTGTACCAAAAATTTTTAAAATTTTCTTATTTTATAACTAATAATTATTTATTTATTTACTTAATAAATAATAAAAAATTTAATTTAATTAGCACACAATATTTTTATATTTTGTATGATTTATGAATGATTTAAACATTATTATAACATTTAAATTACTATAACCTATTCTTATGTTCAATATATAATATTTGGTCTGGATAATAAATGACATAAAAATTAATAATCATAGATTAACATTAGATGATGGATGGTTTAAAAAATAATTATACATTTATAATTACATTATTTTTTCATTATAATATTATTTATGAGTATATTTTGTTAATTTTTTACAAAAAATTAAAAAGTAAAAAAACGCAGTTGAACCGAATTGACCTAGTCCAACCGCAAGCCAGTTCGATGTTCGGTCTAATTCTAAAAACATTACAAATAATTTATAAAAATGGAAATAAAGATGCAACCTAGTTAAAACTATAGGAAACCAAGCTAGAAGTAGTAAATAAACTAGAAAAGAGGTGCCCTCTAATTGGGGATGACCACGGTTCGGTTTCAAACCGAAACCAAACTGAAACTAAACTGATCAAAACCAACACTAAACCGTAGTCAACGATTCCGATTCCAAACTGTAACCGAAACCGTGCACTTCACGTTCGGTTTCGATTCTTCATTTTTTGAAACCAAAATTAGCAGTTTGGGTTTAAAACTGGCAATTTCGGTTTGAAATCGTGAAAAACATGTTCTTAAAAAAACTCTCAACTTATTTTTTTGTTTTATTATAATTTTAAAGTAACTTTTAAGAATTGTTATTAAATTAGTTTGATTTTTTTCAATAGTAATATTTATTATTATTATTTATTGAAGTTACAAATCTAAAAAATTTTGGTTCAAAACTAGAACAAAATCAAAACCAGCAATTCCAAAACCGTCTTAGAAACCGCCTAAAAGCGGTTCGGTTTCGGTTCCACCTTTTTTATAACTGAAAAAAGGTTCTGGAACTGTAGTCATGCCTTCTTCCAATCATGTCAAATCACATTCAAAAACCACCACCATGAGAGCCCCATAAGCATCCATAAATAGATCAACAGAAAAAAGATACTACATTTCGTTACATCTTTAAATTTCTATATGGCGACCTTCTAGTTATAACAATTGGATCTTTGACTATAGTTTTCAATTGATTGGTGGTGACTGAATGAAAATGTCGAGCTCTCAATATTGATTTGCTTGGGTCAAAAAATTACTATTATTCTCACAAACATAAGAGCAGCAAAAAGAAATTATATCATGTTGGCTTAAGTGAAGTAGAGAACCCCATAAATTATGTGCTTATTGTGTCTCCTTGTGAATTGCAATTGATTGATTTTCCTAATTTAAATTAATTAGTTCTATTTTAGTTTTAATTAAAAAAAACTCAGTTTGATAGTCTAAAAAATAATTTTGGTACTTGGTATATAATCCTAGTGAGAATAATACTCTACTCTACTTTATTACTTGTTACTATTCATGCAATTGCGAAATTTGCCTATCAGAAACTTACTAAGATTCAGACATTTTATTAACTAAAACCAAAGAAAACAAGTAGATATAGCATTAGTCTTAAAGATTTAATAACTTCTCCTGTTAGGATCAATAATCCTTAATGGAAGAATTCTAGGCACCAAGTAGGAAGCAAATGAATTTTCAATAACAAAACTCCTTAATGATATTACAAAATCCTACTTTTCTTGCATAGTCCCAAACAATAAGTTGCATAAAAATCTAATAAGGAAATATAACCAACTTTACATGTTATGTTCACACAACCATGATCTCATCACGAGCCTGTGAACAGTAAAATCTGATTCAAAAGTTAAAGCTTTTGTTTTACTATGATTCTTTCCTTAACCAATTGATGCTGAAAATTGTGAGCTTGTTAAAAGGGAGCTCTAACCACAGGCTCGTTAAAAGGGAGCTCTAACCTTAGACTCATTAGAGAGTCTAGATTTTAGTCAAAAATAATTCAGCTTGTTTTATTTCATGCTTAAAGCCTCCAATTTATAAAGGAATATAAGTAATAATTAAAGTAATTGTATTAGAATGAGATCACCTAGACTCCTGCCATAAATAAAACAGGAAACTACTAAATGGGAAGGCTACTAAATAGAAAGACAACCAAATAGGAAGATTACTAAATAGTAGATCTCCTACCAAAAACGAAAGTAGGAAACTACTAAATAAGAAGACTACTAAATAGTTTATCTCCTACCAAAAATAAAATAGCAAACTACTAAATAGGAAGACTAAACTGCCGTAGTTGCGTCTCTAACATTATATCATATCATACAGAATGAAGAAGGAATAATACACTAAGAAAAATAAATTTCAAGGACTTGATCATCCAAAACCACCAATTAAAAACTTTAGGATAACCGTTTTTTGTTCTTGTATGCTTTGGTTCCTCTTCTCTTGGTTCCACATCTGTCAAGTGGGTAAAAATTGATTATAACCTTCAAAATCATAACAAACAGCCCATCACAGAAAAGTGGTAATCAAGAGCGGCTTACTGTCATTGGCCAACAAAAATACCAAGGATCTGCTGATTATATTGCCAATGCAAAATGGTGTAACAACTCTCCTCATTTGGGACTTAGCATCCTCATTCTAGGGACAACAATTTCTTTTGGACTACCAAACCTAAGATACTACAGGCCTGCATTACCGTAATACTACAGACCTAGGTTAGTGTAATACCATGGACCAATCAACAAAAAGTGCTAGCTAGCATATTCTTCGGGTATCAAGGATTAACAAAGAAACCAAGAACCTCCTCACTACAGAATTGATGTGGATGTGGAGTTTGCTGATGTCCAAACAAATCATGGTGAACCCATATTTGCTCCTAATCATCAAATGCAAAAGAAAAATCCAGCTCTAATGACATCATAACAATTTCCCACTGGAGCAAGAGTGCCAAATTAACAGGATTTTAACCCTCTTTAAACATGAGGTTAGATAGATGTGTCAATTTACTGAACAGCCCTCACACCCAAAGTTGTATAAACTTTTCTATAATACATTGCAAAAGATAATAGCTTACCATTGTCAAATTTCTTATGATGTAAAGTTAAAATGGAAAATAAGTATCCATGATCAAGAATTAGATAGTTTTGTTTGCCAATAAACATTGGAATGGATTATGCATGCTTGACAACTATCCTTTTACGTATAGCTAATCTATACAGAACATATTGTGAAATGGTATTAAGGCATGATACTTTATGCACGCAATTTTATTTTACTTCTGATTCTTTACTATGTTATCAAAGCTTACATGGAATACTAATATTTGCATTTGCTCATCACAACTAGAGTTAAATGTAATTACAAAATCAATTAGAAGAAGCAAAGCTAAGCATAAAGCCTCAATCAACCATCTAAAATTAGGGCTGTAAACGAGCAGAGCCGCTCGTGAGCTGCTCGAGGCTCGGCCCGATAAAAGCTCGCTCGAGCTCAGTCAATAAGCTTATCGAGCCGAGCTCGAGCTTGGATCATTAGCTCGCTTGAGCTAGCCGTATCGAGCCGAGTCAAGCTCGCCTTATCGAGCCAAGTCGAGCTCACGATTTAGCTCAGTAAGCCAAAATCAATTAAAATCCATACTAAACGACACCGTTTTGGTTAATAGATTTCGAGCTCGAGCTTGGCTCATTTATGGTTATTGAGCCGAGGCCGAGTCGAGCTTGAGCTTGGCTATTTTTAAACAAGCTGAGCTCACCAAAGCTCGACTCGGCTTGGCTCGTTTACAACCCTATCTGAAATTCAGAGACAGATAATTATGATGCAAAGTTTAAACGCAGAGGAGATCACATGACAAAAGTATTAAGATTAACTGAAATGTTCTACTTGAGACACATACATCTATCATTATACATCACTTATATAAGCGATTACAACGGAATAAAATCACAACCATTTAAAGAAAAATTTTGCAATAGCACTAACAGTGATCCCATAGGTAAGACTACTTACTTGTACCAGGAAAAGAGCATTCTCCACAAAGGTGAATCTTTTGGCATAAGGCGTGCTGCAATTGTATAAAATCCCATTGCTTTTTCAGCATTACCAAGTGCCATATGGACAAGACCAAGTGTATGGTATGAATCAGGCACACGAGGCTCTAGCCTAACAACTTCATTCAGAATAGATATGGCCTACAAAATATTTGAAAGAGTCAACAAAGACGAACTGCCACTTATTAAAATTAAAGATTGTTTAATAAATTGAAGCCATCAACAACCAAAACAATCCCAATAATAAAATGAATATGGCAAAACTCAAAGTAGCAAATCAATGCTTGATTTATTTTGCAAAAGTATTGGTATATATTTAGAAACACTTTCCCCCAGGATCTATGGTAGGAAAAAGAGAATCTTCCAAAAATCATATTTTACATCTAGTGTTGGGAACATAAGAAACCATAGTGATCATGTATTTCAGGTCAAAAGGAAAAATAACCCATGTCCAATCTACTTCCAAATTCACATATGCACATGAGCATCACCCGCTGTTGATTTATCGTTAGTGTCATTGACGACCAGCAACAATTAAAATTTACCTCACGCATATGTTTTGTACTTGTATTCAAGTATCCTAAAAGAAAATGAAAATATATGGAGTCCTCATTTGTCTAAATATTTTTCATTGCCATTTTCATTGAAAGAAAAATGATAATCTAATAGCAGAAGCATACTTAACACACAAGAAAATTCCTGGCTGATTTTTCAATCTACACCCAATACGAAAACGATTCATTTTCTAAGAAAATCTTTTCAAGTGATGATTAAGAAAAGTTCAACAAGAAGTTATTTTCCAAGGGAAAAAAATTTGGAAACATAAAATTTCACATGGAAAATAACATGATGACATGAAGTAAATCAAAATGAAGTGCAACATTACGACAGTGGAAATTAAAAAATAAATAAATAAATAAAACAGTAGATAATCCATGTTCAAACAAGAGTCAAATATCAATTAATGCTGTCAAAAGCAAACCAGAAAATGACCTACACACTTGGGCAAGGAAAGGCTCTTTAACGTGCCTCATCTTGGTCTAGGTTTGGCAATTTCACATAAAGTAAATAGAGACAGGTTTATTGAATTTCTATTCTGCATCAGTTTGTGCTTATAAAAGAATATTGAGAAATTTTATTGAGATAAGGATGAACGGAGACTTGAATTATGTTGTGAAGGGTATAGTTAGTAATTACATTGAAGACAAGCAAGCAAATGAGTAATTGCAATTAAAAAATTTTTATACAGAGTTAAATCCCTGATGCAATGTTGTAACAGGCCAAGGCCATACTTCTTTGGTACGCATTTTGCCACAAATTCATACTTGAATTCATGCTCTTATTCATCATTTTGTTGTGATCTTGACATGCTTGGTGCCGAATTTTTTAACGATTTGCTCTTTAATGAACGAAAGCTAGTTCCTATTTTTGTATTGTGTCAAAATGCAAAATTTTCAGTCAGTCAACCCTTAAATGTTAACCAAATTGCACAGCCTCATTTTCTCCAATATGGTGACAAAGTTACAGTTTGAAGATGCATGCAAATTTACAAATTTGCTTATGAAATAAAGAGTGTATTAGCACCTAATGTGGTGCCTGATGATCCAACTCAGCCTTCTGTTCTCCAGATCAGCAAATGAGCACTCACATTTCATGCTAAGCAGAAGAAATTGGATTCAACAGGACCTATAATAAGAGTCCAATGGCACAACTCCAGGAGAAAGATTTAAAGTGAGGCACTAAAGGACAAACAAGTTTATTTGGTCAAGTTCAGGGGTTCATCTATACATATCAATTTATATTTCAGTTCCCAAACAACTCGGAGTTATCATGCGAAATGATGATTTCACATCAAATGTGAAATCATGGTTAAACAAGAAAAGTTTTCCTTCAAATAGAGCATGGAGATTTGTCATGTTGCTTACCTCTTCATAACGGCCATGTGCATACAGAACAGTGCCATCACCCAGCATCTTAGTGATTTCAGGGCTAAGCTTATTCTTTGATCCCCTTCTCCTACCTTTTTTCTTAGACTGCATTAGAACAGAGTAAGAACAATTTATTAACATATTTTAATCTAACATACACAAAGAACAAATTCAACATTCCAATTCTTCATCCCTGCCTCTTTTCTCAAGAGAGCATGAGGCTTTGGAGGTCAAAGTAAATAATGATGAAGTAACAACCAGGAAAGAAATAACAAATTATCCATACCCCACATTAAAGAAAGGCAGTCTCCATAAAGAAATATAATCATATAAAAATAAAGCAGAATTAATGATTTCAGATGAATATGATCCATAGTTGTAGAAGTTTTGTACTGTGGTGCCTATTTCATTACCTTGAGAGGCCCAAAAGTTATTTTTTGTTCATTTTGTGTAAGACATTATCACATAAATCATAACAAATCAAGATGAAAAGTTGTTCTAAGCAATTTGCCTTGGTTTATATGTACAAACTGTGCCAAAAACATTCTCAAAACACTCTTATAACTTTCAGAAATTATAGATGGTAAAGAACCTTTGAGGCAATAATAAATTTAAGAAATAGAGAGATTGCACAAAATGACATACCTTTCGTGACTTTCTCCGAATACCGTAACTCATGGCTTCCATTATTTCATCCATGATAGCTCCAGATATAAACTCTTGGCTAGATTTCATCTTAGGCCCCACGCTATAATTTGAAAACACTTACAAAAATAAGTCCAAATACAAGTATATTAACATCACACTAGTAAAACTTAGTTTGCATGGAAGATAATACGATTACAATCACTTCTTAATTGGAACTTCCACAATCCTCTGAATTCAAGTATAATGGAGAATTGTCCGTTACTGTTACAATTGTCCAGATGGGCCAATTCATGCCAAAACAAATACAAAGTCACAGCTTTTGTCTCAAAATTAGAATCAGATAAACATGAACATACAGAAACGCCAGCCAAAAAGAATCTCTGTGAAACAATGGAAAAAAAAAAAAAGAATGGGTAAAATAAGGAACTTGAATTCACTGAATCAAAGTAATTGTTTCCCTTCTTTTAGACATAGAAGGTAGTTTGTTTTATATAACCAAAATTTAATGAGATCAAACAAAAATTGAATTGACGCTGTGAAAAGAGAAGAAAAAGGCTAGAGTACGGGGAAGAGCTGCGGCAATGCTATGTGCAGAAGAGGACTTTGATCGGTTTGAAATCAACATTGTAACAAAAAGGCTCGAAATATTTTGATTTTGGAACTGGTCTAGTGTGTTTGCATTGTGTTGCAATTTCACCAGAATTTTGATCAGCAAATGAGACTTGTGAGGATCTTGAGTTGTGACATAATGACGGCGGATGGGAAAATTGTGAATGAGTAATCCCATAGATGGGCCATCCATTGGGCTACTGATTCAATATTTTCCCATCCAACATCATTGCTTCAAAGCTCAACATCCACACAAGTCTCATTTGCTGATACAAATTCCGGTTCCAAATCAACATCCACACAACTGAACAAAAATTCAGGTCCTTCAACTTTTCAAGTAACCATTTCGTTCTAGCTACTTGAACTTATAGCTAAAGCTTCAATACCTACTTGAATTTATAGCTAAAGATTCAATTTAATAACTAAAATTTCTCATTTTCTGACTCTTAAGGTAATCAATTTGTTTCGGTCAATTTTTTCCTTAACTACCTTCTAATATCCTTTGCCGAGTTTTTCACATTCATTTTACCGATTTGTAGCTTTTTGCATATCTTATTTGCAATTTTCCTCTACATGTTTTGATCGAGATGTCCTATTGCAATATATATCATCAGATGCACACGAGGCCGCCGAACTCCCCATATATGGCCGACGGTATCATAGACCGTTCTCATAAACCCATGTGACCCACTTCATCCCAGCTCTACACAACCAAAGAAAAGCATTATCACAGCACAAGTAATCACCCAATCCAAATCAATGCAAGTTCACTGAAAAGAAACTTATATGCAAGCTTTATAAATATATTCGATATAGATATAGAAATAGTTACTTAAATATTAAATAAACATAGTTTTATCATCTTCTACATATAAGAGCAATAACTCAAGTATACAGCTATGGTAGCGGCTGCCAATATTTGCGATTTATGAGTTATTATCAAATTTTATCATTAAATACTTTTATGATCACTTACCAATTAAAGAGAACAAGTGCGGGTCTAATACAAGCTTAATTCAAGTAAAACCTGTGACATTCCTCTAGCTAGTAGTTGCCAACTACTAGGAGATCCTAACCTCTAACCAACACTTATTACCTAATTGCTAACTTATCCGATTCCCAACAAAAGTTAAATATACAGCCTTCCTTTCAAATCTAAGTACTGTTAATCTCATAAGAATAAACAGCATAGCTGCTGTCATCATAATAAAATCACAATCTCCTTACCCAAGTCTACTAGAATACATTGATCACTCATTGCTCAATCATTGCTCATCAAAGTTACTATATAACATCTTTTTCTTCTACTCATAACAAAGTTAAACAATCAATCAAGTTAGCTGCCACCTTTTTCATGATTCTCTCATTTTCTAAAATCCATCATTAAACACTACTAAGATCGTTACCAAATGAGGGAATGAGTTCACAGCAGTATTATTAATTCAACCCCAGCAAAAATTTATGAAACTCTCCAACCTAACTGTTACCCCTCACCAACAAACCTCAAATCTCAAACCAAAGATAGCAACAAAAGCATCACTTCCTTTATTGTCTTACAAGTAATTGATGTATAATTTTATTTCTTTAACTTGTTTCAAATAAAACAATGGAGATTCCCATACGGCTTCTGCCATTTCAACAAAACTCAATTTCCTTCACCCAGAATTTATAGCAATCATATAACTCTTCTCATTCAATAACATGAGATATCACAAGCTAAATAGACCAAAAAGTGATTAATGTCCATCAAATATATAATTATTCTCATAACGGCAATTGGAAATATTTGAATTAAAGATAACGAATACATAAGTAGAATTGAATTTGGCAACTAAATTTCAGTTTACGACTAAAGTTCTCATATTATATTCTATGCCCAATACTCATCAATTCTAATTAATTATTTCTATCTAAATGTAAAAATTCTAACGTATATTCTAGCATACACATCTTAAATTAAACCAGTTCATATCCTAACTAATAAGCACTACTAGCCAAGATTTACAGATTTTTACTCACTTCGGCTTAAAAGCTAAATATAGATATCATGGCTTAGTTAATTTTGCTATTGGATCTTTATCTAATAGTAATCCAACTGATAGTCAGCAATTGGTATGTAGCTAGCCGAAATTATCCAGTCATGAGTTCACATCAACTCGAATATCATAAAGACCTTGAAGTGGTAGCTGCCATTATAAGAAAATTCCAATTTCTTTGCCAAAATCTACAATGTGTGCATTTATCTATTAATCTAGCAAGAAATAGGTTTGCAGCATCCATTCTACCTAACTTTAGCACAATCCCCCTTTACAACATATGAACAGTAGCTAAAAATTCTTAAACTTCCACCACTTAACAAATCAAGCATGTCAAAATCAATTGAGGGAACTTGTAATAAAGGAAGGGTAAAGCCGATCCTAATTCACCTAAGCCTGAAACATTCTTGTTTCCAAAGGATTGATGGTGATTCTTCATAAAATTTGCAATAGAAGCAATAATCTACCTATTTCTATACATGAATCAATTATATTTGCAATGCGAATTCAATTCATATATCAACTACAAGGTAAAGATAAAAATTTCTATCAAGAGTTAACATATATATGGAAGACTTTCTTGTTTCCAAGGAATTGATGTGATTCTTCATCAAAAATTAGCAATGAACATAATCTACCTATTTTCTATTTACATGGAAATCATTATTATATTCACATGCGAATTCCAATTTCATATATCAACTACAAGAAAAGATAAAAATTTTCTATTCCAAGATTACAACATTAAATATATATATCAAATAATATATAATATATATAATTATATATGTATACTGCTTAGCTTACCCAAAATTCAGATTATAGCTTCCAACAACAATTTTTAGCAAAACTTTCTAAGCTAATCTTCAGAAATAGAAGCTAGGGGTTCAAATTCTATACTAACTCAATTTATACCTCAAATCCTTCAGCTAAGACATAGAACTCATGAAATAAATCTAATAGGGTCGAAATATGGCTTACCCAACGGTAGAATACGCCGGAAATCAAAATTTTCCAGTTAGAGCGATCGTAAAAACACTGCTCACGCTCAACTCACTCTTTCTCGCTACTGCGCCGCACTCAGGCCGGTAAATGGGAAGGTGAGTCGCCGGAGGAAGACCGGAGCTTCGTCGTCCACCCGAGAGAGGCTGGAGTTGACCACTTGCACTGGAGTCGCCGGAAATCGAAGAGAGAGCTGTAATGCGATTTCCTGATCGAACGAAATCGCAGGTTTCCTGCGACAGCTGCGCTAGCTACGCTAGCCTGAGATAACAGAGGAGAGGGAGAGGGAGAGGGAAGCGGCAAGGGAGCTGGAGCGGCGGGGCGGTAGGAAGCGGTGGCGGAATGGGGCTGGTCTCCGGTGATCGGAAAACGAAAAAGGGATGGGGGAGTGGAGGTCGCGCTAACACGGAGTAAGGTTTTAGAAATTTTTTGTTATAGGTATTTTTTGGGGGAGGATTTGGTTGGAATCGGATTTGGTTAGGTCCAAATCCTGATTTTTTTTATTTTAATTGATTTTCCAATAGTTTAATTGACTCTTTAAGTTTGGTTTAACAAATAAGGTATTTATTATTACATTTTTGTTTAAATATTTCACATAGTATAATTTTATTAATTTTTAAATCTAATAATATCCTAACACGTGATCGGTTAAAATTAATATTTAGGCTTTTAAACGAAGAACTTCTACAAAAAAAAATTTTCCGGTCATTTCAACCTAAAACATTCTTGGAAAATATTTTTCAACATTTGATATAACATTAACAAATTTAATTTTCCATGATATGAATAATGCATTTACACCTATTATATTATTCATAAATAATTTATATTAAAGATAAATTTAATAATTGGATTTTCTATTTAAAATGTATTCTTATATTATAACTACTATAATGATGATTAATTTAGTTTAATAATGCGATAAATTTTTTAATTAAATTATTTAACAATATAGTGTATATCATATTAAAATAATTTAACAATATATAAATATTATAATTACTTTAAAATATATTGCTATTTAAAAATATTTCGGCTAAAATATATAGTTTAAATGACATGAGCTTTACACATATTTTAAAAACTATATTATTAAAAAAATTTAATGGTATTCTAAAAATAATCATGGGTTATAATTACTTTAAAATATATTGCTAAAATATATATTTTAAATGACATGAGCTTTAACATATTTTAAAAAATATATTATTAAAAAAATTTAATGAGTATTTTAAAATAATCATGTTGCAAAAAATATCATGCAAAATATATTTTAAATGGTATTGACCTATGAATAAATTATTTAAACATTTTTTCCCTAAAAAAAAAAGAAAAAAAGTCTCTTGACACATTTTTAACCCTTTCAAATACAATGTAGGCTGATAATTGTACCTCTTCAACAAGTTGATTGTTCCTTAGTGGACCAAAAAAACTAGTTTTGGATTATAAAATAAGTTAGAAAATTTTTTTCTCACTAAACAAGGGTAAGTCATTTTCCTTAATTATTAACTTATTTTCCATTGATCAACAACTTATTTTCCTTGGCTTATTTTTTTTAATATTCCAACTAATAGAAAATTATAGAAAATATTTTTCTGCAAGTTATTTTACAAAAACAAATAGATATATATAAATTTTGAATTTAAAATGGATTTTACCCTATTTTTAGTAAAAAAGTAACAAAATTTTAAATATTTTAAAATAATAAATAAAAATTTAAAAATAAAAAATAGAAGAAAAACTGAACTATTTTTGAAGAAGATGGAATAAAAAAGAAACATCTTAAAAAATTTTAATTTTTGTTTAATTTATAATTGATAATTTTTTTTTTTAATTTACTTAAGGCTGTATAATAGAGAGTATCGCTCCTCTCAGTACACAAAATTGATAAAAATAAATGTGCTAAAAAAAACTCGAACTCAAGACCCCACATTTCTCATATAAATGAGAAAATCAATCAGACCACCGTCTGATTAACTATAATTTATAAATTTTTATTATTGTAAAAAATAAAACAATTTATATTATATTATTTTTTCAAAATAGAATAAGTTAATTTTAAACTTAATATTCATAGCATAAATTTATGAATTTAATTTATATCTTCATATTTTTCAAATTAAATTTTGAAAATAAAAATTTAATTTGACAGTTAAATAACTTATACAAACTCAAACATCAGATAAAGAAAATATTCAAAAGCCAAAAATAAATAAATAATAAGGGGAGAATAATCCCATAGGTTTGATTATTGTTATTTTTTACAATTTAAAGTGGCAGCAATATAATTAATCAATAATAAAAGGGCTAAATGATAAATATCGTGTTTTGGCAACACTATACCCACACGGCTTATATATATATATTATATACGATAATATATTTTTTCATTAAAACTTAAAAAAAAAAACCTAGCTGAACAATTACTTTTCCCCAAATCCATTTATTACCATCTAAACAATTACTTTTCCCCAAATCCAAAAGGCAAAGATGAACCTCCACCGGTGGCTCTCACCGCCATCGCCGCCACAGCTACAGCCATAGGCAACACCGCCATTGCAAAAATATTAAAGAGAAAACCATGAAGATATTTCTGGGAGTTTTGAAGAATAATGACCTTCAGAGGTTCAAATGGATGCTGTCTCTGAACAGCCTCAAGTTCATTCTTGCAATGCTCATTCAAATAGTCAAAAATCGTGATAAATAACCGATCAACAACATCCATTACCTGCATAAAGAAAATCATTTCACAGAAAAGCATTGAACATCAATAAATTCAAGGGCTCTTGACAATTGAAAAGAACAGCCAACTCCTACCTCAGAATAGTGTTTTTTAATCTCCATTTCAACATCATGACCCACAAACTCGCAGAGATGCCTAGGTGTGTAAGATTCCTCTGCTTTGAAAACAGAACCGACCTCAAAGACACGTTCTTTATCACCACAGATTGCCATTTGCTTGTGAAGTTGATGTGACTGAGCCAAGCATGCAGGTTGCCCCTTGTAGTCCAGCTTAAATGCAGAAGCACCACCTTCACTAGCGCCTGCTAACAAATTTGAGGCGTGGATTTCATCAAAATCTTCTCAATTTAATAACTGCGTGCATATCTGCAAAATAAAGGCAATATATTTGAGAAGAAGGCTTAGCAAGTATAAATACCAACATCTGAGAAAAAAGAGCAATTTAAAGCGTGTGTGAATAAGAGAGGGACGGTTTGTGTATTTGCAAATAAGTACAACGAAAAAGAAGATAACAGGAAATTACTATGAAAACAATGTTTATGAATAGAAACTCACCACTCACCAGCTTTTGTTATTAATACAAGCCAGCAATGGTTCAATTTTTCTTATTTCTTGAATTCAAGTGCAAAAGCAACAGTAAACAAGCCTAAGTATGCAAGTCCAATGTGATTTTAATCCCTATCTGTTCTAGGATAGCCAACTACTATAAACCAGTAATTCACAAGCATGATTATTCATTCCAGACGAAAAGTACAGCAATAAAAAAAAATCATCAAATTCAAAACCAGTTTGCATCAAACTTAAAATCAATATGCCATGGTTTATGTGAGTAAACTTAGCTCAAACGAGAAATTAACCGCCAAAAAAGAGTGAAAGCACAAGGATCTCACATAGACAACTTCACTCTGAATCTGGAAATCCCCTGGTTAGCTGCGGTCCGCGAGTCCAGAACTCTATTATTCAAACATGTATCCTGATTAACAACAGGAAAAAGCTGTTCATCAGCCTGTAACATGCAACAAATAGTCCTTCAAAACATCAAATAAAGGTACAAAATTTAGTATCTAAACTCCGCAATTGTTTCTTTAATAACTAAAATGATAAGCATTTATTTCATTTCAAATATGCATGAAAAAAAAAAAAATCGCAATCCATACCTGCAAAGCTTCCTTCCCACCGCTGCTAGCAACACCAACATTAATAGGCAGGATCGAGCTTGCCCTACTAATACAATGCAATTTACTCACTTGAACCTCAACCTATTATAATAACCAACTATCAAATTCCGTTCCAAACAATAATAAAAAAAACAACACAAAAGAAAGAAAATAAATAACCTTCTGAGTAGTTCCGCATATAGGAACAGACGACGGAACCGAAACAAAGCCTCGAACATCAATAATCGATTCCAGGCTAATGCCAGCCACAAAAACAAACATCTGGCGGCTAACCAACCCAGGTTTAATAGTAACCACACACTGGACAGTGAACCCCTTCTGTCTAACGACAACACAGGCAGTATCATTTTTGACATTTATTGTGTGAACCCGGCCTCTGATCTAACACTTCCTTGTCTTTCAAAACTTCAGTTAGGTCTTGCACTTGGATCCACTCACTCGGATCACGCTCCTCCATGGATTGGAGCTTGTACAGCGGCATGTCTCCATAATTGGCCGATAGCGTATCTTCTTCGCCTGATGGTTTCACTGGAAAACGAGAGATTGTGACTTCTTCCTTTTTTTTGGTGCGAAAATGATGATTTAAATATATATTTTGGTCGAAAAATGATTATTTTAATATCATATTTATTATAATATAATAATTATATATTATATAAAGCTATTTCTGTTCAGAAAGATAAATAACAAAAGGCCCTCTCCCACTTGAGGCCCAACACAGATATTCAAAGCCCAACTTTATAAATTTCATTTTTTAGGAAAAACACTATTTTCTGTTCAGAAAGAATAAAAACAAAAGCCCTCTCCCACTTTGAGGCCCAAACAATATCAGCCCACTTAAATTCATTTTTTTAGGAAAACCTTGATTAATGCTGAATTAAATATACCATTTAATACCAAATCTTTATTTATATATTAATGACGTCATTTGTTTAGTATATTTAACATTAAATATTTTTTAATTTTTACATTTAGTGATAAATACTAAACTCTTAATGTTAAATATTTATTTTTTCTACTCCCTCCATTGCCAAATACTTATAAATACAAATAAAATATCATCAACCTATCTATAATATATAATTTATCTAATTTATAATATATAAAAATAGAAATTGGGAGAAAAATATTACACTTAGGAAAATATTCCTATTAATTAAAATTTTAATTAATCTTTTTTTGAACAACTGTCTGTAAATTAATTAATTTGGTGCTTGTAACCCGAATGGGAGCTAGCCTTTGCTTTCAAAAGCATTAATCAAGTTCGTGGACAGTAACGTGGTTCAAGTTTTGCGGATGGGCATTGCATGAGAACAGAATAATCAGATCAGAGTTCCTTTAATCGCTTATATCAGTTCATGGCGACTGAGTGAAATTAAACCATCAAAAAGAGCTCCTTCATGTCCAAGATAATCTAATTACCAGAGTTCATAAGAACAGAATAATTAAGGTCACACATTCCAAGCCATTAATCTTCAATGCAAGTAACTGTGTGACTACTTCCTGGCAAAACCCCAAGCCTCAAACTAATTATTACTGCATTGAACTTCTATGACTTTATTTCAAGCTCCACCGCGGTGCTCTATGCTGTTTGAGATCGAGACGGTTGATCTGAACATTGAAATGAACCAAAGGAGATATTTCAGCACAACAGTAAGCTGTAGCAATTTAAAGCAAATGCCTCAAATAGAAAATGTAGAAGACAACTGAGATTTTTCAGTTAACATTGGAAAAACATAAATCAATTCTAAAATGCCAAATTGGACTTATGAAATGCATTATGCTATCATCAATCTTGATAATCGTTCTTAGAGCAGCCAAAAGAAGGAAATTTTACTTATGAAATGCATTATGCTATCATCAATCTTGATAATCGTTTTTAGAGCAGCCAAAAGAAGGAAATTTTAGCACATGAATACACAAATATAACCAAAATCTTCCAGTGCCTCACACCTGACTAATATATATCTACTGCAAGCACTTTAATCACAATGAAAAAAAAAAATGGAAAAGAGAAAAACTATAAACTTTCAGATATATGTTGATTATTCCACCGTAAGTTTTAATACCTTTAATTTCAAAATCTACTATTGATTTAGCTGGTGATAGATGGAGGAGCATCTGGTTGTTTTTGTGGCATAGCTTTCTGGAATGCTGGTAGCTCATTGTATGCCTCATACAACCTCAATAGAAGAGGGAACTGAGTCTGCAGAAATATTGAGGAAGAAGGAAGTTTTAACTGATTGGAAAATTACATTCCGCATAGGGAAATGTAACAAAGACTAAAGTATAAAATTAACAGAATATCTAGGTAACAGTCTCAATAGGTTACTGTGTGTTCTACAGTTTACAGACAAACAACATATCCAGAAAAAAAAATAATGTACAGTAAAGGTACGAGTGCAATGCAACTCAGGAAATAAATACTACCATGTCAACTTTGAACCTTTCTGCTGCATGAATCTGTGGTGCTAGAAACAAATCTGCCTGCAAGGCAACATAAAACTCGAAGTGACTAACATATCACCAAATATTTTGACATAAATGTTTATTGTACTGTGGAAGTGAAGTTTCAGCATTATTGGGTGACATGCAATTCAAAGAAGTTCATCACATTTCCCAAACTGTAGCTTTTAAAGCTCCAACAGCCACCAGGAACTCACTCCACCATTTGGAAGCAGAGATCACACAGGACTTCCATAGAACAAGGTGTCGGTTCAAATTCTTTAAATTGCATTTGGTGCAAGAAGGTTGATTGTTCCACTTCTAACTTGCACTGACATTACAAGTTACAAAACAACAATAATTTATTTTATTTTCTTTCTTTTTAGACGACTATATCCTCTAGCAGATCAGTATTTTTTATTGGTTTAAAGAAACTCCAGGAGAACTCATACAGCTGACTCGCGAAAGAAATTAAGTATCCACGTGGTTATTAAGATCACCCTTTTTGTTTTACAATAAGCTGCTGCCTTGAAAAGTAGCAGTTTATACTTGTAAAGAGTGACAGATTTCCTATTAGACAGACTCTGTGACAATTTTAAGAAGTCCACATTTATTTATTTGTTTACTTTTTGGTGAAAAACAAGTCCCCATTTCTTTTTTCTCATAGAAAAATATGGGTGTGACTTGTTAAAAGAAAAAAATCCATAAATTACATGCTTTGGCAGAAGCTTTTTGAATCTCACCTCCATATGTGACTGTGGATTGAATTCTGTGCATTGTATGAAAAGGTAGAAAGGAAGTAAAACAAACCAGGAAAACTTCGTCTCCAGTCGCATATTTTCCAGCATGATCTTTCAACAGTTTCTCAAGTGCTGAGACAGATGCCAGTAGCCATCAAGCCAAAATTCAAATAAACAGAACCACTCACAACTTAAGACCAGAATTCTTGCAATGGTGAATTTGGTGCAAAATAAAATTTCATTGGACCTTCTTATTAACTCATCTTATATCACTACAATTTTGGTTTTGTTGTCACCAAACATTAGAAGCAATCAGACAGGGATAGCCACGAAGTATGAACTTTTCCAAAGCTTCTCATGATTGATGGAAGTTAAAAGTTATCTAAAAATACACTCAACATCTTAATTACTCAAACAATTAGGAAATACACAGCGAATATGTTCAAGTTCAATCATGGTCAAATCAGATTAGTTTTGATCATTCAACCTTATAGTATGGTATTCTAAACGTATCCATCAATTATAAATATGCAACTGATGGCACCAGGCATAACTTATGTAAGATTAGAGATAATTGTACCTTGCAAAGAACCATTTTGAGAATTTTCACGTGTGTAGTTGAAATACCATATGAATGTTATACCAGTGCCATCATTAATTATAAGTTTATGTTAAAAGTTTGACATAATTAGAAGATCCCATTTGATCTTCGCAAGAAGTAGCCTAATTAAAACTTTGATATAGTTAGAAGTTAGCAAGTTTATGTTTGTAGGTTCACAGTTTGTCATTCCTATGCCAGCTCTTAGATTCCAGGTGGTCAAGGTCATAACTTAGCTAGTTCACATTAGGCCTTTGCTGATAATTAGAAGACATAGAAAAAAATAAAAAAATTCACATGGCAAAAATTTGTAAGAGCAACAACCTTAACAATCTGTGCCAAAAAGTTTAACTTAGAAAGCAAGTTATCTCTTCTTCTTCTTCTACTACTATGGGAGATTTCATTATCAAGAACATAACAGCTTTCAAGTTTTTACAGCAATCTTTGTTCTAAATTTAATGCTTTAATAGATGGAAGTATTCCATTGTGGCAGGGTAGATCTTACCTGCAAATCCTTTTTGAACATGATACTGAACCCAAGGAATTTTCTCATCTGGACTGATCTTTTCCCCTATAAATTTCTGTGAGAGGAAACACACCAGAAAGAGATAGATAAGATACCTTGAACGCAATACATCCTCCATAATTCATAACTTAAAAGGGGTTACTTTGATACAATAATGCCACTCATACACTCACCAGCACATCTAGATTCTGAAGGGGCTGTATGCTTGAGGAAACAATATTTGCAGCCTGCGTAGCAGGTGATTAAAGAAAATCATTAGTGTCTGAATTTCATATGTTTGTGCATATAGGCTATAACAGTGAAAGGCAATGAGGTATTTTGCTGCTTAAAAAGCACCTTTGACAAAATTTTAATTTTTCTAGAAAGCAAATACAAATATGAAAGTATTGTAATAAACACACTAAAAGATTTATTTTAAATAAAAAGGAAGGCAAAAAACCATAAGCAATTAATGTTTACTGTCTACAAGATGTAAGTGCGTATTCTGCCGTTTGTTACCTAACCAGACATTACTTTCTACTTTAAATGCAATATGATAACCTGGTAATTGATGGCTCTTCTCTGAACATCACGAGGCAACAGTGGATGCTGAGGATACTTCTCATCCAAATACTGTATATACATACATCACAAAATTGAACCCAACAAAAAATAATAAAAATTAAAAACATAACAACTCATTCTTAGAAAAAAAATAAAAATAAAAATAAAAAATCAACTAACCAGCAAGATAGCAAAAGAGTCTGAAATAACAATGTCACCGTCCACCAGCACAGGCACATAGCCAATAGGATTCAGCTTCAAAAATTCTACCCAAACAAAACAAACAAAAGAAGGAAAGAAATTTCTTTTTCTGTCAACAAAAAGAGAAGAACTTGAAATTTGAAATTTGGTTAAAAACATCAGAAGAATAAAAGCTTCTCACCAGGACTGTGTTGTTGTCCTTTGAGAAGGTTAACGGGTATATACTCATAATTTACGCCTGCAAAATGAAATTGAAAATTAAAATGCTTCACATATAGAAATAATGAATAACAATCAGTAAAAGAAAGAACCTTTCAAGTTGAGGGCAATTCTGACACGGTAAGAGCAAGAGCTTCTCCAGTAGGAGTAGAGCTTAAGCTTGATGGGTTGTTCTTCAACACTTGCCTTCGACCAAATCCAAACATTAATTTTCCACAAAATCTTAGATTTTCTTTCCAATTCTAAACAAGAACTGAAAGAAAAATCAAAAAGAATATCAAAACCGAGGGAGAAAGAATTGAAAATACCATATGAAATGAAAAGAAATATAGAGAGAATTGACTTCGTCCGCTCTTCGCTGGCGCTGCTGCTAGTACTAGTCCTTATTTCTCAAGTAGTACCTACAACTTTATAATATGTTTGTTTGTATATATAATATAGGGTTCGAAAACCCAATACGTAATTAACAGTGTCTGATAGCGACATTCAATCGGATAATACTATGGCCTGTTTCACATTATAATTTGGTGCCTTTGGGTTTTTCAACTAAAATAAAAGTCAAAAATGCAATATCTTTTTATTTACCTGAAAAGACCCATTAAAAATACAGTCAAGAACATGGATCAATGAATCGGGAATTCAGTACCTGCTTACTGTGCAGCTTAAGATTATAATATTTTTTTATTATAAATTGTATACGAGTCAATCTGTAAGTTGGAATATATCTTTATCAACCTAAATTCTAAACTCCGGTGACTTTTCAGGCCTTATGAAAAACTATCTTTCCTTCGTTCCAAAATATAAATATAAATATTTTATTTTAAAATATAAATAATATTTTAAAAAATCATAAATAATATTAATTTTTAATTTTATCTTTATTTATATGAAATATAATAATTATCTTCAATTCAATCGCCTTTTTGTTTTTAGAAGAAAGAAAAACTTTACATGTAACAATGAACATAAATTACGAAGTTACAATTGAAAGACTGAAAATTAAAATTACTTTTCTTTTTCAAATTTCAACAAAAACCAGGGAAGAAACGCTATGAAATATAATATATTAACTGCTGGATAAATCTGGGCAGTGCAGCTATAGATAAATCTGCCTGCCAGGAGAGGAGAAGACAGGAGATATAACTTCCAAGTAAATACGAATATCACCAAATAAGGAACTGCAGGTTCCCATATTTATTACATTCCACATATGGATTTCGGATTTTACATCACTATCACTATATATAAATATGGCTCCTTTGGAGCAGAACCAGCCACCGGCCAATTCCAATTCTCACAACAGGTGAAACAGACCCTTACCCGATTAGATTCGGACCAGTTTTATGGCAAGACATAAGTAACAGTCAAATCTAAAATCTCAATAAGGAAGCAGAAACAATCACATTTAATTTCAAAGCTAAGTTAGATGCAAAAGAAACTAAATTTTAATGGCAGACATAAGTAACAGTCAAATCTAAAATCTCAATAAGGAAGCAGAAACAATCACATTTAATTTCAAAGCTAAGTTAGATGCAAAAGAAACTAAATTTTAATGGCAGACATAAGTAACAGTCAAATCTAAAATCTCAATAAGGAAGCAGAAACAATCACATTTAATTTCAAAGCTAAGTTAGATGCAAAAGAAACTAAATTTTAATGGCAGACATAAGTAACAGTCAAATCTAAAATCTCAATAAGGAAGCAGAAACAATCACATTTAATTTCAAAGCTAAGTTAGATGCAAAAGAAACTAAATTTTAATGGCAGACATAAGTAACAGTCAAATCTAAAATCTCAATAAGGAAGCAGAAACAATCACATTTAATTTCAAAGCTAAGTTAGATGCAAAAGAAACTAAATTTTAATGGCAGACATAAGTAACAGTCAAATCTAAAATCTCAATAAGGAAGCAGAAACAATCACATTTAATTTCAAAGCTAAGTTAGATGCAAAAGAAACTAAATTTTAATGGCCGTATATATCATATCTAACTCTTATTTTGTTTTATACTATACTGTTGTCAAGTGTCGAAAAAGACCACATAAGGATTAAACTTCAAATTTTGTTTCTAGAAAATAACTTCTGCAAAAGGAAATTTTCCATGGACAAGATTTTCCAAATAACACATTTGGTGCTGTTTGGTTGTAATATTGAGAATTCATTAAAAATACTAAATTCCTAACTCATAAGGCTACAAAAATGTTCGGAATTATATAAACTTTCTTTAAAATTTAAATGAGAAAAATGACAAAAATACATAAAAATGATTGTGGTAGTCACCAGAAATCAGCTGTCGTAGTCGGCTGTAGCGACCACCAATGATCATTGGAAAGTATTCTCTCTCTTAAAAAAGAGAAGTCATTTCCCTTCAACTGACTTTGTTTTTTCCTTAAATAGGAAAATATTTTTTGTTAACTAATTTTCCTGAGCATTTCAAACATCAGAAAATCAGTAATATTTCCAGCAAAATATTTTCTGATAACAAATGAAACCCAACGAGTACAAGAAGTGTATGACTAACTTCATCAGCAGGTGCCAACCTCAGAATTAGAAAGCAATTTTTCTTCCTCTTCTTCTATGAATGAGATCTCATGTATCAGTTGTTTAAATTTTTATAAAGATCTTTCTTTCTCCTTCCATTTAGATTTATAATATTTGGATCCTTGGGAATGAATACTAGTAGCTCTTACCTGAAAAGCCTTTTCTAATATGATACTGAGCCCAAAGAAGTTGCTAATCTGGACTGACTTTTCCCTCCATTAATTTCTGCAAGAAGAAAGACAACCAGAAAAACAAATATAATCCACCCTTGTAAAAGTGCACGAAACAAATAATCACAAACAAAGCTAGATTCTAAAGGGGCTATGTACCTAAGAAAATAATATTTGAAGCCTATAAAAAGGTGATTTAAGAAAGATAATTAAATCTTTCAAAAGAAAGATGATTTCGAATATATCTTCAGGGGCATAACACTGAGAAGAGGCAAATACAAAAATGCAAAGACAAATGTAGCAAAGCGAGGCCATATTTGGCTCCCTCCAGAATGCAGTTCTTGGAATACGATTCCATTTTTCCCGTTTGGTTCACAATGAATTCAATTTTTTTTTTCGTTTTTGAAATTTTTATATATGAATAAGTTGAACTTATACTGAAATGATATCTATTTTTTAAGTGCAATTCCTAATATAATCAACAAATTCTATTTCCAAAAGCGAACCAAAAGGTAAATCAGGAAATTAAAAGAGAGTAAAGACAGGGTTATACACAAATTTGTAAATTTCATTGCTAAGGGAAATATGATAATAACCTGGTAAGATGGATGGCTTTTTCTGAATATCATCACGAGGCAACAATAGATGCTGAGGATACTTGTTCTCCAAATAATATACATGCATAGCTAATCTGAACGCAGCAAAACATAAAAGTCAAAAACTCAACACAGTTGCGAGCAACATAATATAAAATTTTCAAGTAGAAAAAGAATTGAAAACGACAATGTCACCATCTACCAAAACTGGCACATAGCCAGTAGGATTTCGCTTCAAACATTCTACAGAGGTTTAACATTTTTTCTTTCTCTACAACAAAAAAGGAAACTAAGTCTTTGAAAATGGGTTCATAACAGCGGAAGTTCATAAGAAAAAATATCTCTCACAGGACTGATATAATAGCAAACTAGTATGTTTAAAAATTAATTCTGCAAAATCAAATGAAACTGAAATTGAAATGCTTCATACAAACAATCAATAGATAAAGGAAGAAACTAAAAGTTTTAAAAAAAATTATGCCTTTTTGGTTCTTAAAACTTGCCTTTCAACAAACATGATCCAAGAATTGCAATAGCAAGAAATTCCAGCAAACTTCTCACTGGCACTATTGATCTCTCTGCACGCCACTTTCAAATCAGATATAAATCTTAATACAAGCACACTGAAAAACTCTGTGAAAGAGGCTTTCACTAGTTATCCTACATAGCAGTCCAATGCATGATGACCATTTATCTTAACAAATAAGATACATGATATAGAAAGCATGCCCAACACAAAGCAAAGAACGCATGGAAAATAGTCTAGATTGAAGATAATCATGATATGCTTCAATATCATGTTAAAAAATTATACAAGCAAAAAATAATAATTAGCAAATACATTTTCAAAATCAGCTCCATATCCTTGACATCAGTCACCAATGCAATGAAAAAAAAAAGAAAACAAGGAAAATGAGACTAGGTGAAACAACAAAATACATTTAGCAAATAACATCATCTGTAAATCCAAATATATTTGGGCCCATTAGTATCCTTGTTGTTTTGGGTTTTTGCTTTCCAATTTTCAAAGAAAATTACATTTTTAAAATTAAAACATGTTTCTTTTTGTTATTTTATATCTTAAAAGAGAAGAACAGGTTACCATAACAAGAGAAAACAAACGAAGTGGTTTTCAATTATTTCATCAATCTTTTTTTCACAATTCAACTTTTCAGTGTTGGAAAATGACAACCAAAAACAGAGTTAATACCAAGAATTTCCCAAAGAATCCAGTATTATACCAATATACAAACACAAGCAAGTCCCACCGAATAACTAAATAAATAGGAATTTACTACTTGCCAATCACTTACACCATTTCTAACATCAAGAACATGCTGCCACATCTGACACTTGATGATGCACATGGAGCCATCACAATTGCAAGTCAACCTCTATGCAAAGCACTTAGTTACTGCACCATTAATCATTGGATTTCTAAATCAAGTCGATATAGATTTACGGCAAAAACTAATTTGCATCAGCTTTCTGCTTTTCTTGAACCCACTGGATATCCTGTTCCAAATTAAGAAATTATATATTATATAAGCTACTTAACATCACATTGTATATGCTTTTTTCAAAAGCCAACGATGAATAAATAAAGCAAAAACTACATCACTAGTTAAGAAAATGTTCTCAAATGTTTGAGAAGTCAAGTATCCAGAAAAATGCAACTAAGACAAAAAAATGAAGATGTTTGACATAGTTATCGGTACTCATTCAACTACAATCTTGAAAATATAAGAAAAGCACACGTCCTAGAAATTCCATCAACTATATCTTTTCCCAAGGTTTCCATAATACCCATAATTTCCTAACTTCACTAATCCTCAAGGATATAAAAAACCTACAAAGAGCCTTTTTGCATTTAACTTACGCAACTCAAAAGGATCACTTGCATTCATCTTACTCAACTACAAAGGAGCAATGGCTTTCTTCTTACTCTTCTTTTGATTAGATCCCTAATTAAGAAGTAGTGCATTTCATCAGCAGTTACTAGAAATTATTTGCACACTCAACTGATGTGGGAATTTCTCATATCACCAAGGAAAAGAAGGTGGGTGGCGTGTGCAGTTTCTAACAAAGCCTGAACAAGGCATATTTGACCATGTAACACAATTAAATCAAGAATATATTAACAAAATGAAACTTGATGATACAAACTGTTGACCTTCTTAAATAATAAAACCTCTTAGTAGATGATATTTCTGGTTTTCCAAAGGTATGGGTAGTGAATTGATTGAAAGCTTAAGCAATTTCATGTCAACTGGTCAAAATGACAAATTTAAAATCAAATTAGCAGCTCTTTTTTTTAAAATAATTTAAGAGCTTGTTTGGTATGAGTAAATTCCATTAAATTTTTGGATTTCATTTACAACTGCACATTTTCATATTTGGTATAAATAAAAATTCATTGGAAGTCTACATTCAATTCTATGGAATTGCTTATGCTTGAACCGAATTCTATCCAAATTGATAGAATTTGCAAATGAACTCTAAACTTAAGAATGATACAAGTTTCTAAACGGCTAATGAGTTTTAGATATAAGTTAGTAAAGCTATGGATTTAATATGAATTTTATAGTTAATTTTCAAAAATGAAAATTCATTTAGTTGACACTTTTTAATGAAACTCGTTTGCAAACGAGATCAATTCCATAAGGATCTATTCCAAATGCAATATAACCACTAAATTCAAACCACTATTCTTTTGGTGTTTTCCCATAATATCCAGTTGCATAGTATACTCCTTTGAGATGTAAACTTGAAAGAGCTCAAGGAGTAAAAACAGCCCATTTCTGGAGTTCCTTTGTGTAAAGAATCGCCAAAGACAATTATTAAAACAGAGTCATTTATATGCTTATCAACAAATTATTTGGATTATGCAATGTGTTATGAACAAGATAGAAAACATGCTCATGCAGACCATGCATCTCTGTATGTTATCTCAGTGCGTGTGTGTATAGATAGTCAAACAGATTGGTAGACAGAAGCTATCTGATTCAAATGTTCATGTTCCTTTTGACAAAAGAAACAGAAAATAAAGTTGGCAGGTCCTTTATGAAAGAAAGAAGAGCTACAGAAACAAACCATCCGACATATGCTATCTGACAGTTGCATAGCTTCTTCCCACTTGTTAACTCTTAGAAGCCCCTTGATAAGGTAAACTAATATGCTTAGCTCTGGAGCACAGCCCCTACTAATCATGTCTGCATACAACTTAAAAGCTTTGTCAACTTTGCATGCAAGTGAACAGCTCTCAATCAGAGAAATACATGTACTCTGGTAGGCAGCTGAAGATGACGAAAATGATGACATCTCCTCAAGCAGCTCTAGAGCCATCTCCAACCTTCCAGCCTTGATAAAATTATCAATCAAAAGTTTATAAACCGGGATTATTGGTACTGAATTATCTTCACTCAGTTCAACTAAAAGACCAAGAGATGCAATGAATTCATGGCTGAAACCTTCAATGACCTTGCGATATATTGATATGTGTTTTGGCCAGTAAGTCTGCTTCATCTCTTCTAAAAGTTTGTGAGCCTCATCTAAGAGGCCAGAAGCACAACAGTGATTTATCAAAACCCTATAGGTGACAAAATTTGGAGCACAGCCCTTGGAACCCATTTGCTGCAACAAGTCAAGGCATTTTTCAACTTTACCTGCTTTCCCAAAGCCATCAATCATTGCAGTATAAGTCACAACATTTGGATGACACCCCTTTTCTTCCATCATAAGCATAAGCTTGTAGGCTTCATCTGTCTTGCCAACTTTACATAAACCATCTATCATCTCAGTGTAAACAACAACATTGGGAGCACATGAATTTTCTAGCATTTTGGACAAGACTTTTAATGCGAGATCCAGCCTTTTATCCTTAAACAACCTGTCAATCAAAGAGCCATAAGTATACACATTTGGGGCATATCCACAATCCAACATCTTGGTAAACACTTCTTGTGCTTCGTCTAGTTTACCAACCTTGCAAAATCCATCTATTAGAGCATCATATATTATCTGATTTGGTTCACATCCTTCAACTGACATAGCTTCTAGTAAATCCCGTGCTTCTTTGACTTTGTGGGCTTTGCACAAACCATCTATCAGAGCTCCATATGTAAAAACATTTGGTTCTTTGGAGTCATTGTCAACTACCCTGAAATACATATCTACATCAGGGATATCTGCACTATCGTTCTTCATTCTCGCATAAATCTGGCAGGCTTTTTCAATCTTTCCAGCTTTACAATGACCATCAATTAGAGCTGTATATGTGACAATATTAGGAACACAACCTTTGGACAACATCATCTCAAAAATTTCATTTGCACATGACACCTTCCTCGCTTTAAGATAACCGTGTATAAGGGCAGTATAAGTAACCACATTTGGGGTACAACCATCTCTTTGCATTTCATCAAACCACTTGCGAGCCTGTTCTATTAGACCAGATTTACAAAAACTATCCAGTAATATCGTATGTGTATAAACATCAGGAGTAATACTATTTCTTTTCATTTCTTGAAACAATAGAAAAGCCTTCTCTATTTTGGATGCATTGCACAGATAACCAATGACTTTGGAATATGTGCCAATATCAGGTATAAAGCCTTTACTCATCATTTCACGAATAACATTAAATGCCTTCTCAAATTTTCCAACACCACAAAGACATCTTGCAAAATTGCTGACATTGACCTTATTCAATACAACCCCCACCTCAAGCATTTCACTATAGGCTGTCTCAGCCAGCTCTAAAACATCCATACTAGGCAAGTCTTCATTGCCACAAATACCACCAATCAATATATTGTAAACCACATAACCTGGCTGGCACCCACATTTCACCATTTTCTTGAGCAACTTATATGCATAAGAGTAGTCTCTTGATCTGCAGTAAGCATGAACAAGAGAATTAAAAATTCCAGGACTTGGAAAACAACCTTCCATAATCATCAAACTTAATATTCTTTTACACCTACCAAGCTGTTTTTTTCTCAAACATCCACAAAGCAAAATCCTATATGTCACAACGTTAGGAATACAAGAATTCGCCCGCATCCTATTCAAAAAATCCATAGCTTCTTCAAAAAGAGAAGCTTCACATAACCCAGATATCATCTTGGTATAAAGAATTGTATCAGGCACAAATTCTTCTTTCTCAATTAATGTCAAAGCATCCCTCCACTTCCCTGCTTTACAAAGAGAATGAGCAAAACAACCCAAAGTAAAGCTATCCATGCTATACCCCAAGTTTGACATCTCCCTATGAACCAAATAAGCTGTGTCTAATTTTTCAGCTCTTAAAAACACAATAACTAAAGCATTATAAGTTAATCTTGAAGCCTTGTACCCAAAATCCTTAAGTCTGCCTAATTCTTCCAATGCTGCATTCCACAAACCATTTTGACAATACTTACGAATCAAAACATTAAGCAACTTCCCAAGAACTTCCTTGTCCTCATCCTTAATTTCGCGCAAAAATTGTTCTGGTATTCTATCATTACTATTGTTGTTAGTACTCTCAATCATTTCTAACAGCGCATTATACACAGCCTGAGTGTGACTGTACCCAATTTGCCTGCCAGCCCATATAAAGAACTTAATACCCAATTCAGGGTTTTTTACTAAATTCAAAACCTCAGCTACCAAAGATTCGCTCAATTTTTCCCTAAATTGTCTAAGAAATTTCTGGGTTTTGCTCCCAAACCCATCATCATTATTCAAAATCGCATTTGAAATCAAAACGGCGTCATTTGAGCGTTTACCTGTATCAAACTTCGACTCCAGTAAAGAATCGCGTAAAAAGGAGAATTCTTTACTGGAAATGGACTCCATCCGGGAATTATCAAGAGACATAGGATCCTCAGGATCAAACAATCCTTCAAGATCGTCGGAGGAAGAAGACATGAATCTGGAGATGACACAGAGTAGATTATGAGATTGAAAATTGGAAGGGAAAATGGGATTGAACGGAAGGGAGGATAAAGAGCGCATAGAGCGAGAGAGAAGGGCCGTTAAGAGTATTTTGGTCATTCGGGTAAGGCGATAGGGCTGAAAAAAGAATGCCGGTTCTCAGGGTTTAGGCGGGAGGGTTTAGCAAGTGCAGAAACAGAGAGGAATTGACCAACCCAATTTGCATAAAATGCATGCGGCCGGACTTTATGAAGATTTTAAAATATAAAATATACGAATTAAAATGATATATTATTTAAAATTTAATATAAATAAACAAATCTTATCTAAATCAAAATCAAAATCCATAAACTAAACATATGAAATAGATGAATTGGAGCATAATTAATATGGAGATAGGCAGAGAATTTGATGCTCCAAAAGTCCAAATTCATAATAGAAAGGGGAGAGATATTATAAATTCATCGATTCATCATTCATCAACGAAAGGGAGAGGTTTGCCAAATCTCTTCGTTTCAAAATTACAATTATGCGCCTTTTTCTTTGCTTCTTTGAAAAGAATAGTCTGAGTTTCGGCACAACGAATCTCTAGTTAGATTAAGATATGCTGTTCCCCTCCCTTCCTTAGTTCCTTTCCTTTCCCTGATGCCAGTTTTTTCAGACTTTTCTGATACTATCGTTGTATTTTCATTTGGGTACCTGAGTTCTAGGGAAATTAATACGTGGGGATTTCAATTTTCAAAAATTAATTATGAAGTCCTTCACTTATAGTGGTTGTTCCGTAAAAAGAAAAAGAGTTAGCAGTGTTGTAACCTTCTGCAACAGGTTGCCATTGACGTGTGTCAATTAGAGCCCATTCTGTATGAATACACAATTGTTGCATGTTCGCCGATTACAAGCGTCAACAGAAAGCAACCCATTCGAGAGTAAGAAAATCAAACGAAAGTCCAATCAGGAGATGGAGAGTTGTAAAGGAAGTGAGTCCTGATTCTTCTTGTCTTATTTAGTTACTTCTAGGCCAATTTGGAACCCAACAAATGAGTACCCATCATAACACTTTGTACAGATGCCACTGAAGAAGAAGAAGAAGACGATGGATATTATTATTTGTCGTTATCAACTGGATGACGAAGAGTGCTTGAGGTACACACAAATTTGTGTGGTCTTTCTCTTAAGTTTTGCTTTTATACGCTCACAAATGCTAACATTTTCTTCACTTGTAAATTCTCTTTTCACCCATTTACTCTATGGATTTTCTGTTCTTGTATATCTACCTTGATTAAACTGGAGCGGCACATATTGCATTTCCTATCAATTCAGTCTCATTATCGTATTCGTACTGCCAATATGAGGCTCATAATAATTCAAATACTTGTTCCTCTGTATACCTCGTATTTGGCAGAATTTCATTTGTTCCCTTTTGTTTTGTATTTCTGGACTGAAATTCATTAAGCCCAGATAATTATTCTTAAGTGTGGTTCAGATTTTCTGAGGGTTTATTTCCTTCTTATATCGTTTTCTTGTTTATACAATGACGTGGTGATGGGTTCCACAAGTTTCGTTTATATTGCTGAAGTTTCTTTATATTCAGGTAGTTGTAAGTAATTGAGCTCCTTGATAAAGGTACTAAAACAATTTCACCTTTCCATGGACGAATACTCAGCTCAGGAACCTCTTCTTTCAAGTCAAGGTGTCAAGAAGACACCTTTTTTTATATCATCAGTGAAATGGATTCTCAAGACTCTAATGTGGGTGATTTTTATGGCATGGGTTGCTATTATCTTTTTCTACCCATCAAAATTTGGCAATGAATTGTTTGAGAAGTGGATCCGAGCCACTGATGGAACTCTTTTCGGTCTTTCAGGTTAAATTTCCTTTCTGATTTTATCTTCTGTTACCTTCCTCTGATGGTTATTTCTCGCTTCATGCTCTCAAGCTTGACATTGCAAACTTCCAATTGCAGGAAGCTTATTCCTGTTAATGAGCGGACCAATTCTTCTTATTGCATTTCTTGCTATTACACATCTTATCATCTCTGGGGAAGAGGAGTTCCAGCAGTATGTGATATCTTAACTGGAAAGTTCTTAAGTTGTTTTTGTTTGAGTCTTTTCTACTGAATTTAATATGTACATATTTTGTGTCCCTTGTATCACACTTTTTATCCACAAGATAGTTTGTTTTAAGGTATGAAATCTTGGCTATAGGAAGAAGCGTTCAAAGTATCCAAGAGTTCGCTTGTGGACATTTCCTGTTATTGTAGATGGACCATTTGGGGTTGTTACTGCTGCTGAGTTCATTGGGATTCTTCTCTTCATTGTGTACGTTGTTTGGGCTATTTATTCTTATACACTGCAGAATATCAGCATTATCTCCGCATGGCAATTGACTTTCAGAGAGAAAAGGTACATATATTCAAATTTTTGAGTCAATATGTTTTTTGTTGTTTATTATCATGAGAGAATCATGATTTTTGGCAGTTTTACATTGTACTTTTCATAAGGGTTTCCTTGTATCAGTTCTCCACTCTTTCTCCACTTAAATTGAGGATCATTCTTTATTTTCTTTTTTTTTTTTTTTTGTCTATTCTTAGGAAGGGATGCAATGCAACCTCGTTTTCATTTTCCATATGCCCTGCAATTTGTATATCTGAAAGGGCTTGACCGTAAAATTTGTTGATGTGTTTTTCTTTGTCAGTTATGTGGTGGAGGTTGAATGTTACATTCTTTCTTCTGTAAGCATGCATAATATTCTTCAATTTAATCCAGAAATTCAATGGTTGTTACATTGATTTTTACTTTTATATGTAGTTTATTTCTTCGCTTGATTCCATGACTTCCTTTATAAAAGATAAATTTTGTTAATTTTTCAGTTTGTCTGGTATAAATTTGATCAATACATCAATCATCAACCAATCAGTTTCTATCTAATAGTATTTAATCTAATCTAAAATGGATTGAATTGGGAGTTTGGAGGAAAAGGTATAAGACAATTTTGAACAGAGGGATTTTTTTTTTTCTTTTTTCTATACTCAAAGATAGAGGTCTCTTGTTATTGCAACTCTAGTCTGCTGTCAATTTGACTCGGGTCCATAGGCTACAATATATTTCAATTTCTCTTCTATATTGAGATAACTTTTGCTCTTTAAAATCCTTTTGTACAGGGGCAGGCACTCGCTTAGTATCCTTAGTATCCATTAGTATCCGTTATTATTATTATTATTATTATTATTATTATTATTATTATTATTATTACACATGGAACAATTCCCCAAAAACATTTTTTGAAATGGTCTTTCAAGTCAAACTGCAAACTAGAAGTAGAAAGCAAGATAAGGCTGCAAGGAAGTAGCATGATAATATCAATTAATGGCAAAATATAGTATATAAATTCTTAATGGCAGTAAAGTTTCCGTGGTTGATTATTACTTTGGATAAGTCATGATGCATCTGTAGTTATTGAACCTTCTTTCTTTCTTTCTGTCCTCCTTTTCCCCCATTGTGGGGACTGCTATGATCGGCTGAATATCTCTTCTAACGCAACCATTTCAGCATTTGGCTGTTAGAATTGACGGGACTTCGACTTGGGGTGATTGGATTATTTTGCTTGGCATTTTTGTTTCTTCCAATTGCAAGAGGATCAGTTCTTCTCCGCCTTGTTGATATCCCTTTTGAGCATGCTACAAAATACCATGTGTGGTTGGGACACTTAACAATGCTGCTGTTTACCCTGCACGGCCTATTTTATGTTATTGGATGGGGAATGCGTGGCAACCTCTATCACGAAGTGAGTCTCCATGCTCAAGTTTTTGTCCATGGCATTTTATGTATGCTTTCTTAAATATGCATATAGCAGTTTGCATATGTGCATTTCTTGTTTGCAGATTTACTTGTTTGCAGTAAACTTTGGAAGGATTTTAGTATATGGGACAACTCTAATGTTTCCAAGGCCTTTCTAGAGCATTTCTCCCCTTTTTAAAGCCAATAATGGTCTGTACTCGGAATTTTGCTACTTTAGATAGGCCCTAGTTAAATTATAATTAGCTTGTAACCTATTCTATGATACTTTGATAATGGAATATTATGTGTTTGGTTGTGTTTTGGAGATGGGTGTTCTGACTGTACTAAGGTACTGTTCACACAGTCAGAACAGCCCACAATATCACCTTCTCTACATGTTTTGATCCTCACTATATTGCTATATCGTTGGAAGCTCTAACTATTTCTTTTCTAGTCTTTATTATAGAGTAAGCTCTTTGAAAATGCCTTGGCACCTTAATTTTCTGCTGCTTTCGGACACCAAATTCTTGAAGTGGCTATACCTTTTTACTTAAATATTTCACAATTCAAATGCTCTGTCTTACAAACCTTGTAACCTTATTGGGGTAAAGGCTTATTCATCTACATTTTATTATTTATGCCATGAACTGAGGGTGCATTTAAATAATATGAATGTAGTCAAACGAAAAACAAGTTTGAAGTTATTTTTATTCTATTCTTCACGATGGTTTTTTAAGTTTTTCTTCTCATTTTCCATTTAGAATTTGTATAATTTGGTAGAGTGTTTTTATCATATAGGAAATATTGAGTTATATCAACATTGAGAGTTTTCAGTGTTACAACAACAACTAAGCACTTAATCAAATTAGTTAGTGTGAGCTATATAAATGATTTGTTTCCATTCTACTCTACTCATAACTAGGCTGGCACTAATGTGAAGAAGTAGTAGATCTTTTGAGACAATTTTCCTTCTTGTGATTCTAGGTCTACCTCTTCCCTTCTAGCACCCTCCACCATCAATGTGTTGCACTTACAAACTGGAGCACATGAATGTTTATGAAAGACATGACCAAAATCATCTCAGACGTCCTTCTCTTATTTTATCCCTAACTTGTGCTGCTTGTAACTTTTGTCAAATGTAGTCATTTCTAATATTGTCCAAGCTATGTGATCATGCATCCATTTTAATATGTCTATTTCTGCAACATTCATCTTATGAATATTTGGGCATTTGAGGCACAACATTCACTTTCTGTTTATTCTTTCTCAAAAATTTTCATGGCTACAAGTTGTTATTGAGTGAATAAACACTTGTGTGTATTTCTTGGACTCTAACAATGAAATTAAGATTTTTTTTTTTTTTTTTTTTTTTGTTTTATTGAGTGAATAAACACTTTTGTGTGTATTTCTTGGACTCTAACAATGAAAAATTAAGATTTTTTTTTTTTTTTTTTTTTTTTTTTAAAATGACTACATGAGTTCCCCTAAAAAGTGACTTTTCTTCTTCTCTATCGTTTTTGATAAAAATTCTTTTTCCACCATTTCTTCTTTTACTTCTCTTATTTCCAGCTGCTTGCAGCATTTCATGTGTTGCTGCGCAGTTTTTTTTTTTTTTTTTTTTTAATGACTACATGAGTCCCTAAAAGTGACTTTTCTTCTCTATCTTTTGATAAAAATTCTTTTTCCACATCTTCTTCTTTACCTTCTCTTATTTCCACTGCATGCAGCATTTCATGTGTTGTGCGCAGCAGGGTAGGCAACCACCATCAAGCTATTATCTTTCTCTTAAAGTCCATTTATTGTTTAGATTAAAACTATAAATTTCATCAATAGTTAGATCGTGTTTATAAAAGAAGTGCTATTAGGTGGATTTTCAACTTGTCTGTTTTCAAATTTGATCTTCACAAAGAACAACCCAATATAGATTCATCTGGATACATTCCTCACTTTCAATAATATTCTGTTAACCAATATTAGGACTTGGGCATGCTTGCGCGGTGCTTGACAGTTTAAGATTTTTAACATTGTGAACATTGCAACTGGAATAGGCCTATGACGTGTCACAATCTTTTTAGAACATATTAAGGTGAAGCACCTAGAACTTAAAAGTCGTTGTACCAATGCACCTTGAGTCAAAAAGCATGATAATTGATGAATCTACATTAGGTCCTGCCTTAGTGGAATACTTATTCCCATACCTGTGTATAGTTGCTTGATATGTAATGCAACCAGAGATATACTTTATGTTTCCTGAACTACTGGTAGGGCTCCTAGTTTACAATCAGCATTTGTGGAGCTTGTATATGATTGAGACCAATGCATTTTTTTTTTTTTTTGGTTGAATGATTGTGAAATTTTCATTTCGTATAGTTTGCTATCTAATGTATCATCATTGTCATAAAATTATTGAAAGTATTAGTAGATTGATTATTTGTGTGGTATGACAGAGAGGACTATGGCCATATGGTGAAATTTGTGTGCTGCAAATGCCATTTTCCTTGTTCTTTTATGCCTCTTAAGGATTATACTGTCTCACGCAGATATTGGAATGGAAAGATGTTGGCATTGCCAATCTTGCAGGAGTTATCAGCCTTTTAGCAGGACTCCTGATGTGGGTGACATCACTCCCTGGTGTGAGAAAGTGGAGCTTTGAATTGTTCTTTTACACCCACCAACTGTATGTGGTGTTTGTCCTATTCTTGGCATTCCATGTTGGTGATTTTATTTTCAGCATGGCTGCTGGGGGAATATTTCTCTTCATGCTTGATCGATTTTTGAGATTTTGCCAATCACGAAGGACTGTAGAAGTTGTCTCAGCAAAGTGCCTTCCATGTGGAACAGTGGAATTGGTCCTTTCAAAACCAGGAAGTAATAATAGTTCTTCACCTTTCTTTTGATTTGTTGCTTAACTTCTGTCACAACACCCATTACATTTTCCTCTTTCAAATTGCAGATTTGCGATACAATGCCCTTAGTTTTGTTTTTCTCCAAATTCGGGAATTATCATGGCTGCAATGGCATCCTTTCAGTGTTTCATCAAGTCCTTTGGATGGTAAATATCATCTATCCATTCTCATAAAGGTCCTTGGGAAATGGACAGCCAAGCTTAGAGAAAACATAAAAAATATATCCGCGGCAGAAGCAGCAGATCTGCAGGAGCAACCTACCCAACCAAATGCCAAAATAACAGCTTGTGTTGAGGGGCCATATGGGCATGAAGTGCCATATCACTTGATGTATGCATCCTGAACTTTATATCACATGCATCTTCATTAAGTAACATTGACATTAGATGACAATGGAGAATGAAGTGAACAGAAGTTAATACTCAATATTTTTGAAATCATGGTGATTCTTTAACTAAATCTTTCATCTTCCTTCAGAAAACGAAAAACTAAATATTGCATCTAACTGAAGAGAAATTATTGCCTTTGTTACTTTCTTTTGATGGGTTTGGCAAACTTAATTAGATCAGTTTTTATATTGTCTTACTAAATAATCCACTCCCTATCATCTGATTTTGGATATCTTGTTCTCTTAGGTATGAGAACCTCATTCTAGTAGCAGGTGGCATAGGAATTTCACCTTTCCTGGCAATCCTGAGTGATGTTCTCCATCGTATTAATGAAGGGAGATCCTGTTTACCGAAAAATATTTTGGTTGTTTGGGCTGTTAAAAAATCAAATGAGCTCCCTCTCCTATCAACCATCAACATGGAGTCAATTTGTCCATATTTCTCCAACACACTTAATCTGGAGTTTCAAATTTATGTTACTCGGGAAACAGATCCCCAATTGGTAGGTTTAATAATATATTTCAGTACTTTGTTGTAATTGCTGTCCTTTAACCATTTTCCTGTCTTTCATGTAAAAATAATATTCTTTTCCACCTTTTTTTATTATCTACAGGAAGAGGGAGTAGCTCACAAGGCTAAAAGTTCTTCTCTGTGCACAGCATCCAAGGAATGTGGCATGTCAGTGTTGGTCGGTACAGGTGATAATATATGGTCTGGACTTTATGTCATTGCATCCACAGTGGGCTTTGTTATTTTACTGGGTTTTTTAGATTTGTTCTATATAAACCCATATGGCATTCAATTATGGTGGTACAAAGGACTTCTTTTTATGGCATGTATGGCTGCAAGTATTTTAATCTTTGGAGGCTGTATAGTTGTTTTGTGGCATCTATGGGAAAGGAAAACTTCAGCCAGGGACAAATCCGAAGAAAATGGGATAAAGGCCGACAAGATGCCACGCAACGGAGATGCGGAAGACAAAAATTTGTACGAGGAAAACCTTGCACGTTCTACCATGGTTCACTATGGTTCGAGGCCAGATTTCAAAGGTAAGACTACCAGATGCTTATTTTCTTTTGATAGCCATGCAACAATATGGAGACATTGTTGAAAAAGAAGAACATGATAAAAGTAGAACAAAGCCTGAAGAGGAGTTGTAAGTTGGAGTTTTATCTACAGTAGATTCCTGAAATAACTTGTTTATCATTTGTGGCTAATGTCATTATCCATCATAAGCCAATCCATTTTAGTTCTCTTCTTGGGATTAAACAAGAAAATAACATTTTTTTGTATAATGCTAGTTTCTGTTTTGGCATACACGTTATAGGAATGAAATCTGTCACAATATGTACGACCCTTTAATTCTTAACTACAATTTACAGCTACTTGAACACGAGCTCGACTTCTTAGTAATGTAAAAGTCTGAATATTCTTCATCACATTTTATTTTCCTAAATGCAGATATTTTTGGATATGTATCAAAGCGATGGGGCCTTGTTGATGTGGGTGTCCTTGTATGTGGTCCTCCAACACTTCAGTCCAGTGTGGCTAGAGAAATCAGGTCTCAGAACCTAAGGAGAGAATCTCATAGTCCGGTATTTCATTTCCACAGCCATAGCTTCGATCTGTAGTGTCATCCTGCGATCCTTCTGTTCCCATTTACAGTATTAGCTAAGAATCCTAATGCAAAATGCATGTATAGTGTGTATATCTGTAATCTCTAAGTGAAGAACGAAGCATGCTTTCTGTAGTTTCATTCTGATGTATGTAATCCATATGTATGTATATACGCTGCCTGTCACTGTACCTAATATTTATCTGTAAATATAGCATAAGGTTAACTATTTGTGGGACTTCGTATCTGTTTATGTCCAAAATTCTTTTACTAGATCATGTTGAAATTGGATCATTTGGTATAAGTTAAGGTGAACGCTGAGATTTATTCTAAAAGTAATTTACATTAATTAAGGGAATCAAGAAAAATTAGGAACATATTAATCATAAATGTTTTTTATTAATTAAGAAAAGTATAATATAGTATAGCTGAAACTAGAAAATACATTTAATTATGACGGTATAAATAATTTAAATTATTAAGAAAAATTTTATTAATAATGTTTAAAATATACTTTGTATTATTTTTATATCGGTGACCGAGGCCTGTTTGTTTGTCGGTGGACATAAACAATAAAATTCTTCACATGCTGTATAGTTATACTACGTTCTACAGCTACCTTCCACTCCTTTATTCTTTGTTTTATTGTCTTTTCTTGTTAAATCATTAATGTATTTTTATTATTATTATATAAAACACTGTGTTTAAAAATTAGAGAAAATTGTTTTTTTTTTATTTCTTTTTAGTAACGAAAACGAGAAATCTGAATCAATTGTCAAGTTACATATTAAAAAAATCCATATACGTAGACAATGGAAGGTTATTTGACAAATCCATGTAAGTCTAATTTATTTTTTTTACAAACAAAATATTTTTTTATTATCAAATTAATGGTTGTAGTAATCCTCCTTTTTTAATAATATTTAAAAAATTAAAAAACAATTAAAATCATTTTTGTTATTATTATTTATTTTAAAAATAAGAGACTTATTACTGAATTTTTTGTGGCTATGAAGACGCGTCAATAAATTAGGTAAAAATATCCAAAAAAGGAAAGTAAGAGACATTTAAAAAATAATAATAAATAAATAAATAAAGGAGGAGGGATATCTTGGAGTGTCGGCAAAGTGCAAAATGTTTGTTTAGTTTGGTCGAAACGGCGAGTGAGTAAACTCTCTACGCTCTTACAGCTCAGCTTTCGCTAAGCGCCGCCGTCGCTGTCTTGGCTACAGCTACTGCCTACTGCCCATTTCTATTCAATCAAATTTTCATTAATTTGATAAGTACATCAACCTTTCTCCAAAAATTGAAATCATGAATTAGCCTCTCCCTCCCTTTAAAATTGAAATCATGAATTAACAATCTCAATTTTATAAACAACTATTTTTTTTTAATGTCTGTTGCATATGTTTGTACTCGTTAATCCTATTTGTTATTTATTTTTTATTAATTTTTTATTTATAATATACTTAAAATTTAATAATATTTTAAATTGATGAGATAATTTAAATTAGGTTTAAAATTGAGATTTAAATTAAAAAATCTTACTATCATTTACTCTTTTATTTTATGCTTATAATTAATTTTTAATTACATTTACAATTTTTAATTTTATTTTATTTTTTATGTAATTGGACAATTTTCTATTTAGAATTAGATTAAACTTTCTAATTGAATTTAAATTAAATAGAAAATTAACATAATTAATCAAAATTAAACTACACATATTTTTCAGCCAATAAAATTAAAGTCCTCAATGATATTTTTTTTAATTCATAAACTTAATAAGGGCATTTTAGGAACGTAATGTTCCCTAATTAGGATGTAACTAAATTATCATTAATGATATTGTTGATCAACCAATAAAATACAAATAAAATTTGAACTTCTTGTACAAGCAAAAAAATTATGATTTATGCATGCCAAGGTACAGTCTAGTGATAAGTGTCTATATGACATCACAATAAATTTAAGTCTGAATCCTTTTTTCCTATACTAAAAAAAATTATGATTTATTATATTATAATTTGAATATTGAAATTTCCATGATTCTATTGAAATACTTGAAAATAAAAAATAAAATATATTACAATGGCAAATATTAACCTTACAAGCTAAATAAAATTTAAATTTTTATTAATAAAACTATACTAAAAAAAATTATAGTTTATTATATTAAAATTTGAATATTGGAAATTTTCCATGATTTCTATTGAAATACTTGAAAATAGAAAATACTTGAAAATAAAAAATAAAATATATTACAATGGCAAATATTAACCTTACAAGCTAAATAAAATTTAAATTTTTATTAATAAAATATAAAATAAAAAGGAGGAAGAAAAGAGAAAAGGAGGAGCAGATATACCAAAAGATGGAGTGAATTTTAGGTGTTGTTATAAATTTAGCAACGGAAAGAAATTCCGTTTCTACCCATTTGTAAATCCTTTTGTCAACCGTTAGCAACGGAAGAATAATGAAACAGAGTTTGTTAATTAATAAATTTTAGAACGGAAAATAATCCGTTGCTAATCTGTAAGCAGAACCCTTTGTGAAGTTTATGACGAATCTATAAATCTATAAATTTATTTTTTATAAATAAATTTATAACTCTAAACACAAACAAGAACGATGAAAGGATTATTAAATTATAAGAAATATAAATAAAAATTATTCTATTAATTTTTAAACAGAGATAGTTAATACTCACCACAAAAGGAAACTTAATAATTTCAAATTAGCAAAAGCTTAAAGTAATAATTTTTTATAGTCAAAAGCAATTAAAACTAAATATATATATAGTGGTATGATAGAATAAATTTCTAATTAATATTAATATCATAAAAATAATAAATTGATATCATAATTAAAATAGGATTAGATTAAACTTTCCAATAAAATTTAGATTCCAATAAGAATAAAAATACCAATAAAATTAAAAGTTTTCTAATAAACATATGACTAAAATTATTCTTATTGTTAGCAATTAAATTGAAAGTTCGTTGGGAGCAACGTTTTAGGGACCTGATATCCCCCATTCGTACTTTTATATATATTATAGATATTTGTAATTTAACTAAATTACTCTATCATCAATTTTATTAGTAATTAACAAATTAAGTTAGCTGCACAAAGTTGGTTGGGATGGAGTGATTGAGACTAATATTGTCAAAATGAATTTAAGCCTGCGGAATGATTGCCCGTAATTTGTTTGAATATGAACAAAAAGATTGAGGCCCGTTTTTAAGATGGACTCTTTTTGCCTGGCCCGATTTTTTTCAAAGCTCGTGCGGGCCGAGCTAGATAGGTCCGCGGGGCCACATTAGAACAATATACATATATGTCATTAAACATTAAAATAAAAGAGGGGAGTGAGCTTAAAAGAAACCACGTCGGATAAACTTTTGGTAGTTGTTCTAGGTTTCAATCTTAGAAATGTTTTCCTCTTTTTTCCATGTCAAGGCTCTTTGAATGGACATACAAATCCATAACAATTCAAAAAAAAGTAGTAAAATCAAGAAAAAAAAAGATCGACTTTCAAAACGGACATGTTTGGACCTGTCTCGCGCTTGATATTGGAGGTCCATTTTTTAACGAACTTTTTTTATCGGCTCGTTTTGGGATCGGGCCTGTGCTGGCAGGGTCGAGTAGCTCATTTTAACAGCACTAATTGAGATTTCTTCTCCCTTAATTAAATGTCTCGAATTCAAGCTTTAGGTATGAAAATTGCCACATTGGAAGAGTCGCCTCCTACATGAGGTCTTCAGTATTTGAACCGGACATAGTTGAAGCCTAATGGGCTTTCAAATACCAGCGGTATAAATCAAAAAAAAAAAAAAAAAAAAAAAAAAAAAAAAAAAAAAAAAAAATACTACGACAGTAAAAAAAAAAAAAAAAAAAAAAAAATACTACCGACACATTTTGACTAGCTTGAGGAATCTACATGTTAAAACAAGTATCCATGCAAACAAGCTCGATAAGATTAATAAAACTTAATTTTCAAAATTAGTTGGTAATGATTTCAATATATCTATAATTTATAATAATTCTACATTATTATGAAAGTTTTGTTTTATATAAATTATAAACTATAATTAATAATTCTATTGCATTAGTACTACAAACCACATATTTTTTTTATATAATTAATAGCAAGTTCCTAATAAATGGTGAGTTGTAGAATTCTAGCACAAAAATAATATTTGTTTTTTTATTTAACAAATCAATTCTATTTAGTAAAATTAATATTATACTACAATAATTTAATCTATAATTATTATAAAACCTATCTAAGTTAATAATTAAAATTACATGTTAATTAGAATTATCAATATATATAATAATTTTATGTTAAATATTAAATATTTTATTTTAATAACTTAGTATGCTGATAATTATCTTTTAAAAATAAACACAAAAAGTCATATAAAAAATAGAAAAATAAAATAAAATAACAAGTAAATACAAAATGCTTTTTTAACTTGTAAAACACGAGAGAGAGAGAGAGAGACGTTGGTGGCGAAAAGGCAGCAATAGTTTCAGTTGAGTGGGATCTTTCAACTCCACCGACTCTTTAGTTTAATAATAATTTGTAATTTGTAAAGCAAGCAAAGCAACGCATTTGATAAGTAAACCAAAACCAAAATATTCTAAATTTTTATTTTTATTATTTTTTTTGATAATTTTGGCATATTTGTACTAATTATGGTTTTATTTTTTAAAATGTATCCACTGATTTAAAATTTTAAATTAAAATAATCCATTAAGCTATGACTAAAATCCTATTTTGCAACATCTCTCCCACTTATTAAAATATTATTTTTATTATTTACAGTGTTTGGTAGCGTAAGAATGTTCGGTAACGTTATTTAGAGTTTAATTAGAGCCGATTACGAAATGTTATTTCCTTTTTTAACGTTTGATATAACTATATACTATTAAAACGGCTGACAGCTATTAAAACAATTAATATTTACTAAAATAATTAATTTTATAATCTCGCTTTTAGCATGAATTTACTCTATTTATAAATATAAACTCTCGATGTCATACAAAGGAGAAGAGTGTTAAAACTATCATACCAGCATCCATTAGTAAATATAATAAATAATATTGATATGTTACAATAATTACTAAGAAAAATAATTACTAATTTAAGAATACATTTCTCTAAATATTAATATTATTCCTTAATAACCCTAAGCACTCTAAAATGCATTTTTTCCCATAATTATAATATTATTTAGATAATTAGAAGGATTGTTTTTTATTTATTTGTTTTTGACGAGAAAATAGAGAAGACTATTGATGTCATAAGTCAGATACGTTCAACAATACACTATAATTAAAAAAAAAAAAAGATTTACGTAAGTGGTATTATTGGAATAAAATAAAATAAAATAAAATAAAACAAAACAGCAATCGCGTTAGACTTGAAGTGTAGTGTACCATACGAGTTAAATTAGACAGAGTGTCCTTCTCAATTAGCGGACAGGTCACTCATCACTGTCCTAACCATAACAATTGATTCGCTGATTAGGATTACGAAAGTAATAATAATAGTAGTAATTAGTATTAGTATTAACTGATAAAATAAAAGAAAAATTACATTACGGTCCTTATATTTTATTTATATAATTAATCCGTCTTTATATTTTTAAAATATACTAATTCATTCCTATAATTAACTTCTGTTACATTTTTATGTTTTTAGTTCAATTTTTATATCTAGGTTAAATGAGAATTTTTTAAAATATTCCAAAAGTGAAAAGAGATATGATAAAATACTTAAAAGCAAAAATGTAAAAATTAAATGGAAAAACGTTGTAATTTGACAGAATTGAAGTAAAAGAAGATTTTAGTATATTTCCGAAATGTAAGTACTGATTAATAATATTTCATAAGATATAGGGACCTTATTGTAATTTTGTCTAAAATAAATAAAAATATTATCGTTAAAAAGAAGAATCCTGCAACTACAGCCAGTATCAAGGCACATGTTTTGATCTTAATAATAATTGACTTACGACCCTTTCATCACTCTCCACTGTCCACCACCACAACCCATATTCTCCTTCTTTCTTCTTTCGTTCCTTCCTTCTTTTGCTTTTTAACAATTAATCACCACCATTTCCTCAGACTTGGTCTCGGTGTCGGTGGTGCCCAATCTTTTCTCTCTTTCTTGCGTTAAAAATGAGTATGTACGGTAGAGATCCGTGGGGTGGCCCGCTCGAGATAAACACGGCGGATTCTGCCACCGACGATGATCGGAGTAGGAATTTGCAGGACCTCGATAGAGCTGCACTATCCAGGCCTTTGGATGAAACACAACAGAGTTGGCTTCTTGGTCCCGCTGAGCAAAAGAAGAAGAAGAAATATGTGGATCTTGGATGTATCATTGTTAGCCGCAAGATCTTTGTATGGACAGTTGGTGCACTGCTTGTCTCTGCATTTTTAGCTGGCTTCATTACTCTCATAGTCAAGACTGTTCCTCGCCACCGCCATTCTAAGCCTCCACCGGACAATTATACTCTCGCCCTTCATAAGGCTCTTATGTTCTTCAATGCCCAAAAATGTAATTTTTTTTCCTTTATTTCTTTGATTCATTTCATCACTTACTTCCTAATATATGTTTATAGATCTGAAATCTGATCTGTTGTGTTCGATGCAATTGGTTTCAGCTGGAAAGCTTCCAAAGCATAATAATGTATCTTGGAGAGGTAATTCTTGTACCCACGATGGGAAATCTGCGACGGATGCCCTGTTTAAAGATCTGTCTGGTGGGTATTATGACGCTGGAGATGCTATTAAGTTCAACTTTCCTCAATCTTTTGCTTTGACTATGTTGAGCTGGAGCGTCATCGAGTACAGTGCTAAATATGAAGCTGCTGGTGAGCTTAACCATGTCAAGGATATTATTAAGTGGGGCACTGATTATCTTCTCAAGACTTTCAACCACACTGCTGATACCATCAACACAATTGCTATGCAGGTAATTCTAAGCTGCATAGACTGTCTAACTCGTATTCGAAATTCTCAAATGACTTCTTGACTTCCCTTTTGATCTTGGTTTCACTATCTTTTAAACTTGCTATCAAAGCATTGATCTTTAAAGGTCATAGGTCATTGAGTAGTCTCCAGTGATGTGAGGTTGTGAATTTAAACCTACTCGAGACTTATTTATCCCTAAAAAAATCAAATTGTACTGATCTTTCATTAACAGAATAAAACATGTACTGATCTTTGATCAGTAGATTTTCAATGGGATTTAGGGTCTCATGTGTATATTTTACCCTTTTGACAGGTTGGTTCCGGTGATACTTCTGGAGGAAGTACGACTCCTAATGATCATTATTGCTGGATGCGCCCTGAGGACATTGATTACCCACGGCCTGTACTTGAATGTCATGGTTGTTCGGATCTAGCTGGGGAAATGGCTGCTGCTTTGGCTTCTGCATCCATTGTTTTCAAGGACAATAAAGCCTACTCTCAGAAACTTGTTCATGGTGCTAGAACCGTCTTTGCATACGCCAGGGAACAGCGAGGTAGATACAGTGCTGGTAACGAGGCTGCCACCTTCTATAATTCAACTGGCTATTGGGATGAGTTTGTTTGGGGTGCATCTTGGCTCTACTATGCTACTGGGAATAATTCTTATCTTCAGCTTGCTACTAATCCTACTATGGCCAAGCATGCTGGCGCTTTCTGGGGAGGGCCATTCTATGGTGTACTTAGTTGGGATAACAAGCTTACTGGTGCTCAGGTATGCTATTGAAGTTCCTATTGACCTATTTTTATTTATATCATTGAATTCTTTTTCAGCAGTTTACTGTTTCTTTCCCATTTACATGTCTTCCGTTGAATTGGTATTTGTATTGATATTTGAGCGTTGTGAAAGTGAAAGAATCAATATGCACTTATTAAATTCTTAATTTTAACAAAATTTTGAAAATTCTATGAATTCAAGGTTCCCCTTGTGTAATAAACTTATACAATCATTCCTCTCTCTCTCTCTCTCTCTTTTTTCTTTTCTTTCTCATATGTACCTTTACTGTTTATTATCATGATACCATGGCTCCTATTTACTAACAAAATCAAGTGCCATATAATATGTTAAATATTATGTAGTGGTAAATGGTAATGATCGTTTTTCATTCTGATGCATCTTACCTCTCTTTTTTTATTTATTTTTTTTCTTGTGCACTCCTAGGCATATTTCCAAGTACTTTAATTAGGACGCATTGTCTGGGATGATGATCGTTGTAATTATGTAAACAGGTGCTTTTGAGTCGTTTGAGATTGTTCCTGAGTCCTGGATATCCATATGAAGAAATATTGAGGACATTTCATAATCAGACTAGTATAATCATGTGTTCTTTCCTTCCAGTTTTCACAAGCTTTAACAGAACCAGAGGTATTCTATTTCTTATTTGTCTGGCTGCATTTGTTCATATTGTTAAATAATGTATGTTTGGGAAGTGAAATCTCACTGTGGTTCTTTCATAATGTCCTACAGGAGGATTGATCCAGTTAAACCATGGAGCACCCCAGCCACTTCAGTATGTTGTCAATGCAGCCTTCCTTGCTGCGCTGTATAGTGATTATCTTGACGCTGCAGATACACCTGGATGGTATTGTGGACCAAATTTCTTTTCAACTAACGTCTTGCGTGATTTTGCCAAGACACAGGTAGGCCATCTTTGGTTTTCTTTGATATGATCTGATACAAACTTGTATCAAGAGATGATGTTTTATAGCTTCATTTTATGTTTGTGAACTTTGGCAGATTGATTACATCCTGGGGAAAAACCCTCGGAAAATGAGCTATATTGTGGGTTTTGGTAATCATTACCCAAAACATGTCCACCACAGAGGTGCATCCATCCCTAAGAACAAGATCAAGTACAACTGCAAAGGAGGATGGAAGTGGAGGGACTCCAAAAAGCCAAACCCAAATACGCTTGTTGGAGCGATGGTTGCTGGCCCTGACAAGCATGATGGTTTCCGTGATGTTCGTACCAACTACAATTACACAGAACCAACTCTTGCTGGAAATGCAGGATTAGTTGCTGCACTTGTGGCTTTGTCGGGTGATAAGACTACTAGGATTGACAAGAACACCATTTTCTCTGCTGTTCCTCCAATGTTTCCCACTCCACCACCACCTCCAGCACCCTGGAAACCATAAGCTGTCCCCGTTTTTGAGTTAAAGTACATCTTGTGTGACTTTACAGTTAGATAATTTTGCTGCAGATGCAGATCTTGGAACATAGATCCCCTTGGAAGTTAAAAGATAGTGCATATTTGAGGAAGGGGATGGGGCATAGGAAACAATGCGGTGGATAATATTTGTGAAGACAGTTGGGAGAGACCTAATGGACTCAGACAAGCATTAAAAAACTGATATTTTGTATCCCCTGATGTATCTTTGTTTGGATTTTTTGTGATATAGTATAATGTGTATGATATCAATCTTGTATTCTTTGAAATATGTGAATCTGAAACAGTTCAAAATTGGTTTAACAATAAACTTCCACTTAATGTCCAACAAGTGCATTGTTTCTTCCTTGTTTGCTTGTTTTTCCATTTGAATGTCTTTGATACCTAAGACAGGGAAATATGTTGCCCAATTCTCTTTTATTTTTAACTTGTCCTCGTGAGAAATCACAGGATGGGCATTACACTTCACTAAATCTCCTTTATAATATGTCATATATCTCCTTCCGCATAGCAGTTTTGATCACAATAAAAATGTCATTGCAGTTTTGTTGTCTACAAAAAATGAAATAGAATTGAATGAACAGAAGTGGCGGAACTAGTTTGATCTGAAGAAATATAATATGTCATCTTCAAGTTATCCTTTTTAATATTCCTGTGTCTCAGTTGAGCCTTGAGTGCCTTTCCTGTCACACTGGGAACATTCTTTGCTTTACTTAAAATGGTGACCTTTGATTTTCACTTTTATCTGCTGTATATTATATTCTTTTCTTCGCCTTTTGCATATGATTATTCTTTTCCATTCCCATAGTTCCTTATATATTTCTTCACTTTTGGAAGGCAAACTTGAAATGCTTTGCTGTGCATTACCAGATGGCAGAAGAGTCTAACTCTTTGGAGTATACGCCAACATGGGTAGTTGCTGTCGTTTGTTTTGTAATTGTTTTAGCATCCCTTTTTGCTGAACGAGGTCTTCATAAACTGGGAAAGGTACGGAACCTATTCTTTTTCCGTATTGTGATCTTGAGCTAGAAAACATCGCCTCCCGCCTCCCCCCTTTTTTAAGACTGGACACTTCAGCCAGATTGTAGAGTGGTCATGGTGGGAGTATTTCTCAAGGAACGTTGATTGCCATTAATTTAGAAACAAGAGAGTTAAGTCTTTGATTGTGCAGTGATGTTGAATAACAGCTACGGGCTTAAAGTTACAGTCACCTGGCTTGACATGTTTATGCACATAACTTTAGTTTTCCTCCGTCTTTATAATGTGAGTGGGTGCATAAGTGAAGTGTCTAACTATTGACTGTTTTGTTGATTTGGCAATTCAGTGGTTGAAGGGTAAACATCATGAGGCATTGTTTGAAGCCCTGCAAAAACTAAAAGAAGGTTTGATTCTACTGTCACTATTCTTTCCTCCCGTGTCAATCTGCAGAAGATGTACCTGCTGTTTAATCATAGCCTTCTTTATTTAATAAACATTCTTTCGTGCACTTTCAACTTTCAACTCAAAGATAGACTTAACCTGGATAAATGTTTCTTAACTTATTTGCCTAATGAAAGTTTTTCTAATGCTTGTCAACAGAATTGATGCTTTTAGGTTTCATCTCTCTTCTACTAACAGTTACTCAAGGTTCAATAAGCCGTATATGCGTTCCACCTGACCTTGCAACTCACATGCTCCCATGCAAGAGAAAAACTGATAGCAGCCATCATGAAAAATATTTTCATCAGGTTTTAAATGGTCAACGGCGGTTGTTGTCTGCAAGCAATGCAGCTCATTGTACTAATAAGGTATCAGCTTATCCTTTATTCTATCTAGAAGTCCATGTGTGCATGATGAGTATGCAATCAAATGAAATTAACTTGTTAAGTCTTTATCTCCATTGAAGGTGTCATATTGAAAGCCATTACGTTTATAGTATTTTATTTAGTATTCTATCTATTTATGCTTGCACTAAAACTTATATATGCTGTTCTTTCTCCATACACAGGGAAAGGTTCAACTGTTTCCACTGGAAGCATTGCACCAGCTGCATATTTTCATCTTTGTTTTGGCAGTTGTGCATGTGATATTCTGTGTTACTACAATGGTTCTTGGTGGGTTAAGGGTAATGTACTTCCCAACTTAATGACTTTCCTGCGCAAGAATTAAATTAATCATTCATATCTTTTGTGAACAGGCAAAATAAAAGCATCAGAAATTTATATGCATCATTTGTTATAGGCTTCTAATCACAAAATTTTCTATTAACTTTTAAATTTCTTATGTTTGATCAAACATTTTTGTTTTCCTCAATTTTAATGTATCTCTGTATGCCTTTTCACTTTTGGGGGATAGTTGAACAATTTCTTTAAATTTCATATAATGATGCGCAATTTACTCGTAGATACGGCAATGGAAGGCTTGGGAAGATTCAATTAGGAATGCATCACAATCAGAAGGTTACATGGCTCTAAATTTTGTAGAATTATCTCTCTATCTTGAGAGAATCAATTCTAGATGCTTAATTTAGTCGTATTTGATCACTTAGCAGGTCAAAATAAGCGTCCTCACGAACACCACCATCACCATCACTTTCATTTATTCATTAAAAAACACACTGAAGGGCACTGGAGAAAGTCAGCAGTCGGTGGTTGGCTGGTAAGTATCAAAAATTCTATTTAGCCTCATGCTTCGGCATTTCAAAAGCTTATCAGCGGATACGTAAAATGAGGGTTCGTGTGTTCATGTTCAGATTTCATTCTACAAACATTTTTCTGGCTCTATTACCAAGTCAGATTATGTTGCTCTTCGGCAAGGATTTATCACGGTCAGGTTTCCATTCCCTAATCAACTAGTATATATATGTTACTTTGTGTTTCCCATGCTATTGCAGCAAGTTGCAAGATGTGTGACCCTTTGACATTTCCAATCCAGACATTTTTTGGTCATGTGCCTGATTTTGATTTTCACCAATACATCTTGCGGAATCTTGAAGTCGATTTCCGACGAATTGTCGGCATAAGGTACGTGTTAACCGGCATTGTTTTTCTCAACAATCGAATTCCACCTGAATGCCAACTGATAATTAATATTCCATAATAGCTGGTACCTGTGGCTCTTCGTGGTTATCTTTTTGCTGCTAAATGTGGAAGGTAATTCTTGTTTGTTCAAAATAGACTGATGTACCATATGGGTTGGATTCGATTACCTGACATGAAAGTAATGCCTGCAGGGTGGCATACATATTTTTGGTTGGCCTTTTTGCCTTTAATTGTAAGTGCTTTATACTTCTGCAACTAATTTTTTCAATGAATATGCATTTTCGGAGAACGACATACATAGGATATAGGATAATAATGAACTAAGATGGATGGAATTGCAGCTTCTACTGCTGGTGGGTGCTAAGCTGGAATTCATTATCTCTCGTATGGCTCATGAGGCTAAAGAAAAGATGCAAGTGGAGCCTTCTGATAAACATTTTTGGTTCCACAACCCTGTCATTATTCTTCACTTGATTCACTTCATCCTGTTTCAGAATTCATTTGAGATAGCTTTCTTCTTCTGGATTTGGGTATACGCCAAATTCTCCTTAACACACACAACTCACACATAGTTCAACTTTCCTATTATAAATTTCAATCTGCAATTTACAAGAGAAAATTGGTATCTGACAGAGCACATACGGATTTCGATCATGCATCATGGAAAAAGTGGGCTATATCATTCCAAGACTTATTATGGGGTAATCCAATTGATGTTTGTTTATCATTAGTTGGGGTAATTTGCACTAACGGTCACTGCACTGGGCAACAGCTAAACTAGCTTTTAACATTTTGACCAAGTCAAAACTCTATCTCTATTAGTAGTATTATCCGGTAATATAGTTTTTATAACAACTTTTAGAGGTCGAGAAAGTTTTATATAGAAAGTTAAACACTGTAACATTAAACTTTTAGTGTTTAGCATTTAGCTTTTAATTAAATTTTTTTGACAATCATACCCATTATTTTTTTCCTCCAAATTTAGCTAATTAAATAATTAATTTTGTCATTTTAAATTAAACAGTTATTTTTACTCAAAACTCCTAATTTAAACCATTATATAAATAGCTACCAGTTAAAAATCAATAGTTAACTGCTAACAGCTAACAACTTCTGCAACTGCTGATATTGCCGGACAAAACCTATAGTTGTTTTCTATTAGAAAATGATAAGTTTAGTGACCAATTGCTTGTAATTGCATGCATAACGTCATTGCTTTGCTTTGCTTTGCAGTGTGCTTGTTCAAGTGCTATGCAGTTACAGCACCTTGCCTTTGTATGCTCTAGTCTCCCAGGTTGGTGAACCAAGTTTTCTTTGATTCTACGTAATGTTCTATTTAGAAAAAGCTAAAAAAATGGTTATCAGTTAGTTATACTAACTTGTTTGGATTTGGTGGTTGGCATGAGCAAAGATGCGTAGCAATTACACTGGAAATGTATTTGGTGATGTGCAACCACTGATAGGTCGATGGGCAAACAGGCACACCGAAACAAATGAGGCTCATGATGATAAGCTAACCACAGAATCTTCTCAAAGTTTCCCACACGAAATGGTTCTTAGAAAAGCAAACGAAGCATCAATCATTGAGCTTTCAACTTCTACTTCTCAAGATGTTTAATATCTGAACTCCTCAGCCTCCGTTAGTTGATATTTGAATGGATTTAGGGGAGGTAAAATTTTTTGTCAGCTCTTCTGCTGATTAATTGCCCTCCATTTAGAATCATACTCTTTTATTTCTAATACCTGAATCTTCTGTATCATTATCAGAACGAAAAGAAATTCCTTGGCAACAAGTAATAAGAATAAAAACAATGTAGTGGCTTTGTTGATATGGAATTAGAGTATGGATCAAAAGCCATAGGCATGCAAGTCTTAACATTCTATTTTCTATATATATTTTCATTTTCTGTAATTACAAACCTAAAAGAAAATGTGGTAAAAAAAATAGTCACAAATGATCAGAGCATGTAAGACTTGCCTGCTATATCAAATCTTTTTATAGGTACAAGCATTTCCCTCTAATTGTCCAGATACTATGACCGAAAAGATGACAAACTTACATGATTAGGCCTTTCAGGGGGAAGCTTTCCCATCTCATAACTGGCTTGGTCAGAGGCAGCAACTTCTCCAATAGTCTCTGACTTTTCAATCTCCTCCAGAGCTCTTTTTGCATAAACAGTGAAAGCAACTGTTGTTATGATAGCAATAATGAACGAGATGACATTGTATACGATTTCCACAGTAGTCAAGTGATGCTTTCCATACTTCACATCAGCAAATGTTCTTATTAATTTACCGCTGCACAAAATAATAACAGAAGTTAACAAATACGGCACCTGGCATTTCCTATTTGTAAGAGTTGAAAGCCATTAGCTGAAAAAGAACTTCCTTACTTGTGACTGGAAAACGAAAAATGACTAGAAAAATTTTTAGACAAATTCCAAACTTTAAAGCAGATTTAAAAAAAAAAATTGCCATATATTTTGGTGTGGAATTCAATTATTCAGAATATAAATGACTGGAAAAGCTAAATTACAAGAAGTGAGATATTCATTCTTTGTGGTTAAGACTGATATATTGGCTTTTTCTCTCAACAGATATATTAACAGTAAAAAGAAATCAAGAGAAGGTACCTATAGATGTAGATAAAAGCTTCTGGCACCATTCCAGCTATTGATCCCCATAGATAGGGCCAAAATCTCATACTTGTTACCACTATAGCATAGTTGAAAATTGTATATGGAAATGGTGAAACCCTAAATAAAGCAACCACTCGAAATTGATGGAACCAACTCCCTTCCCCAGCGAGTTTGAGCATAGCAGCTTTCTGGGGCCATCTCTTTAACCATTGCTGAAAATTGAACAGTAGATAATCCTCATAAGTTAAAGAAGGAAAACAAGATCAAGTAGTCTATTTCATCAGAGTTATCTAAAATAATACTAATAACAGTAACAAGAACAATGATAAGAGATTATTAATTAGAAATCATTGGTGTTACATGGATGCGATCTCGGAACAGAAGCCCTATCAAATAGGGAAGGACCATTCCAATTGTTGTTCCAACCATGATTATGATGAATCCAATGCCATATCCAAAAATCATCCCAGCCAACCACATGGAAGGTCCTGAAGGAATTAAGAACACAGGGAACAAGGCCAGAGAAGCAACAAGCACAATGGCGAGGACTGGACGGCCAAAAGCGGTTGCTTCCCATTCCAAGATTGGGTAAAGTACCTACAATGAAATTAAGTAAGCTTCGGCACCAAAGCTACACTAAGTATACAAGATAAGGCAGTCTCATTTAAAACGTGCATGCATGCAAATGCTGTGTTTGTATGAGTAAGCTTAGACAATTTGAGTTCAAATAACCGAGAAATTGCAGGCTTCATATATAGTGGTGTAACAACTAATGCCACTAAAAATTTCCCATGAAAATTGACAAATATATATTGTTACCAAATCACTCAAATATAAACTATCTATTATTAGTGAAAAATGTATAAATTAATGTACAGAAAGCAGAAATGAAATGATGGCTATAGATTAATAAATGTAGGTATTAAGTAAGGAGCGAAATTAGATACCTTCTCAAAAAGAAACGGAGCTCCCCATTTCAAGAAAATGAGAAGAAGTACAATAAGTAGAATACATAATGCAAGTGTTTTACTCCACCAAAAGAAAGTATTAAGTCTTGCATTTGCTTCAGTTTGTAAGATGTGGGTACCCTCTTCAGCTTCAAGTACTCTTGGTTCATTGGAAATAACAAGCCTAACATATTCGCTGTCTTCCCTTACATTTACACCATCATTATGCTCACAGTTTGCAGCTTCTTTGCTCGACTCCTCAGATGTCTCCGGCATCTTTATAATTAACAACAAGATAATCCCCAAAAAGGCTATTACTATTAATAGCAAACCCAAATTTAGAATATATATGTAACGCGTAAAAACATGTAAAGGCCATGGATCCATCCATGAACCGCAGCATATTAGATCAGTTAAAAATACTGATGGCTATAGACTAATAAGAAAAATATATGGCAAGAATTAATTGTATCCCAATTTGAAACTAAGGTTGCCAAAATTTCTCATGTATCATTCTAAGAACTTGGACTTTATTAAGTAGCTCAAAACCCCCCCACCCCCCCCAAAAAAAAGTAACCCAATTATCCTTAATCAATTTCTCTTTTATATCAAATTACAGAACTGCAATCGAATGAAAGTACAGAACTGCAATTGAAGACACCGAGTTGAAGCAGATAAGTCAACAAATAAAAGAAAGCTAGGGTTCTTGATTGAAATAGACAGAACTGGAAGCTAGTTTACCTGAAATCTGTATTCAGAGGAGGAAATCAAGCTGCACGCCTGAGATTTCGCCGTTCGTCTGCGCGTAAAACTTACCAAACTGGCAACAAGCAGAGAAAGGAAAGGAAAGGAAAGCAAAGGATTTCAAATGAGGAAAATATTTTAAAATCTTGTAAGTTCAAAAACGTATAACAGTCAAATCCGTCTTGCTATGGGTGACGTCTAAATAAGTAAAAACCAAAAAGCAATATGAATATGATTTTTTAATCAAACCTTAAGTTAACGTTTGTTTGGGAGTCGAAGTTTCCGTCACTGACTTTTCCTTTCTTCCGTGTTTACTGTTTATTCGTTATTAGTCGTTATTAGCGGTTAGTCAAATTTTAATTGTAATTTATATTTTACTACTTACAATTTAATTAATCCAATGTTTCTTATTGTCTAATCTTGTAATTTAATGACTCGTCGGCTCTTATCTTATCTTTTCCTTTTTTTTTTCTTTTCTTTTTAAATTTTTAATCTGTTCAACGTTCTAGAATTAAGGAGGGACTGTAGGTTCTAGATTCTGAGGGACCAATATTGAAAAACCCATTTCCTTTATTCAATCGTTCTCAGCTCAAAAAAAATTATTAGTGTATCATTTTTAATTTCTTAATATACGTTGAGAAATATCCTTATCTAATTTAAAATTTTATTTTTAGCAGTTAATAAATAACTAAAAAGTACTTTTGTCTAGTATGACAAGCTCCTAAGCTCTCTTGTTTCTCTGTAACAAGTTTTTTCCAACGTTTGTCAACTAGTTTTCTCTTTTTCGTTTACAAGTGTTGTTTTGCTCCTTCTCGTCACAATGGAGCCTACCCACCATCACTGGAGGAATATTATGCTAATCTACTGTTAGAGGAGGGACAAGGGCGACTGATATGTCAAGAACCGGAAAAGGATGGTGCTGGGGCTAAGGAGACGGTAGTGGAGAACTGGAAGTGGTGCATTGTGGGTCATTTGCTAACAAAAAACCTGTTAATTTTCCCGCTTTTAAGAAAACAATGGCGGCTGTCTAGAGACCTGTCAAAGGTATTGCTTTTACAGAGCTGGGAAATAATGCTTTCATAATACAATTTTTTTCCACCAGATTGATTTTGATCGGATGTTACGAGGAGGGCCGTGGAGTTTTGCTCCAAATCTGATCTTACTAAGGCCACTGAAGGAGGGGGAGAATCCTCGAAGGGTAGAATTAACAACTGTGGACTTTTGGATTCAGGTACATGAGTTGCCTATAGGTTTCATGTCGGAGAGAGTTGCCAAAGACATTGGAAACTATATAGGAACTTTGCTAGAGGCTGACCCAAAAAACTTTAGAGGTCTGTGGAAGGATTCCATGAGAATCAGAGTTCGGTTAGATATCTGGAGGCCTTTGAAGCGTCGAATGCAAGTAAAAAAGCATCATGGAGAGTGGGAATGGATTTCCTTCGAGCATGAGAAGTTAGATATCTGTTCCATACAATTAGCTGTTAACTATTTTAATATTAGATATTAATTTGTTAATTAGCTTTTTTATTATTAATAATAGATATTAATTTATTAATTAGCAATTTCTCAATCACGGGTTGCATCAAAAGTAATTTCTTTCTTTCTTATTAATAGAACAAACAAAGCCATTTCTGAATACGGCCAAAAGGTTTGTCAAAGTTTCAGTCTCAAGCCTCGTATATATTCTTTTAAAAGATAACCAGACATTCCACAGCTAAGCTGGATCAAATTCTCTTACAAAATGGTAGCACTTGCACTTCCCACTCACTCTGTCACTGTAAATCGACGAGCTCATCAAGAATTCCCTCTGGCATGTAATTCTGCGCTAGAAATTAAACAAATTCATGCCCTTATCGTCAAAAATGCTAAGACCAGTCCTCTTCTAATGCAGCAGCTCCTTTGTGCTAAAATCACGTCCCTCTCTCAAAATGGAAACCTCTCTTACGCCTGCTCCCTTGTCAAGCCATTTGACCAAGACAAACAAGTCTACATATTTAATTCCATTATCCAATTGCTTGCAACTGCCAAGAACAGCCTGAGGGAAATCATGGGTTTATATAGGGAAATGCTTTTACAAGGTCTCCTTCCTGACACTTACACTATTCCTCATATTCTCAAGGCTTGCTCAGAATCTCAGGCTTTGAGAGAAGGACAGCAGATTCATGCTCATTCTATCAAATTGGGTCTTTCTTCAAATGTTTTTATCAAGAACACTCTTATGAGACTCTATGTTGTATCTGGAATTATCAGAGCTGTTGAGAATGTGTTTAATGAATCTCCAAACAGGGATTTGGTATCTTGGACCACATTTATTCAAGGATATGCTAAGATGGGCTATCCTTCTGAAGCCATCTCTGCATTTTTTAAAATGAATCTGAGAGCCGACGAGATGACTTTGGTTGTGGTGCTTTCTGCTTGCTCTAAATTGGGAGATTTGAGTTTGGGTAAGAAGATTCGTGCATATATGGATCGTCATCAAATTAACGTACATTCAGACGTCTTTCTTGGAAATGCATTGCTAGATATGTACTTCAAATGCGGCCAACCTGACTTGGCTCGTCAGGTGTTCGACGATATGCCTGTCAAGAATGTATCTTCTTGGAATTCTATGATATCGGCTCTCGCTCAGCAAGGCCAATACAAAGAAGCCCTGAACATGTTTCGCATGATGCAAAATATGGGTCTAAAGCCTGATTCTATTACTTTAGTGGGCGTCTTGAATTCATGTGCTAATCTTGGAGCGCTTGAGCTGGGGAGGTGGGTACATTCTTATATTGACAAAAATAAAATGAAGGCAAATGTACATGTTGGGAATGCGCTAGTTGATATGTATGCCAAGTGTGGAAGTATAGACCAAGCATTCAGTGTGTTTCAAGCTATGAAATCCCGTGATGTCTTTTCATATACTGCTATAATCTTTAGCTTAGCCATGCATGGCAAAGCAAAGATGGCTTTGGATATCTTCTCTGAGATGCCTAAAATGGGTATACAGCCCAATAAAGTAACGTTTGTTGGAGTACTTTCTGCGTGTAGTCATGCTGGACTGGTAGAGGAAGGGCAAAGACATTTTGAGGACATGTCAGGGTTATACAACTTGGAACCTGAGAGAGAGCATTATGGTTGTATGGTTGATCTATTGGGTCGTGCTGGACTAATTAGTCAGGCAATAGAGTTTATAAATAAGATGCCAATTTTACCTGATTCTTTTATTTGGGGGTCACTACTCAGAGCCTGTAAGATTCATGCAAAGGTTGAACTTGGAGAAATTGTGATGGGTAAACTAGTCGACATGGGAACTAATGACGACGGCGCATATATACTCATGTCAAACATTTATGCTTCTGCAAATAGATGGAGGGATACATTGAAGTGGAAAAAGGCAATGAAGGAAAACAAAATTAAGAAGAACCCAGGATGTAGTTCAATCGAACTTGAAGGTATGGTTCATGAATTTCGCAAGGGTGAAAAATCACACCCTAGAAGTAAAGAGTTACACAATTTACTGCAAGAGATGACGAATCACTTGAGAAGCTATGGACTGGACCAGAACCTTGCATTGTCTTGACACACGCACATAATTAGGCCACATAAATTTCATTTGTTGGTTGGGTTGAGATATGGCCAAGAAGGAGAGAGGCTGGTTGTATAAAACAAGGGGTTATTTCCATCTTGCTGAATTCTCTCTCTGATATTGGGTTATTTGTTAACTTAGCATGTTGTATAGTGTAACTGGGCAGCAGTTTTATTATATTGCCTGCAAGTACTTGGTTTACTTAAGAGTCTTTAAGTTCTTCTGCTGATAATGATTCAATGACAGAGGTAGTTGCAGTTTTGCATAAAATTTTGGAAAATCATAAATAAGTTGATCTGGGAAGGCATTCGTATTATGCCTGGACAAATTGTTCGTTTTGCGATGGAGACTTTGTGTAATTTTGAAAACAGAGGTCCTTACTAGTGTATTTGACAAAAACACAGAGACTATATAATGATTACCCCTTGTTCGTTTTGCTATGGAGAATTTGTCTGCTTGGCAAGTTGCTTCGCTTAAGCCAACAAATATTGCCTGCAAGTCCACTCCAGTTTCTAAATGGTGCAAGCCTTTCGAAGTATCCTCAAACTAAACATTGATGGGGCTATTTTTGCAGCTAAAAACAACTATGGTGGTGGTAAGAATTAAACATGCTGGTGATTTGGTTGTGGCAAAGCAGAAGTGATAATGGTTGAAGCTATGGCTCTTCTTGTAACTCCCTCTTGGCGTTGTTCTTCTAAATTGTCCGGAGTTTTATTAATGAGTGTCAAATCTCCATTGATTTTGTAAAGCTTGGAGCAAACTGAGTAAACCATGTGTTGGCTCATGCCTCATTATACTTTTGCTGTTGCCATAACCTGGATTGATATGTATTTCCAAGTTTTTTTATCAAAAGATAAGCGTCAATGAAATTTTAACCAATTTTATAAAAAAAAAAAAAAAAATCTAATATACACTTGGAGCAAACTGAGTAAACATGTGTTTGCTCATGCTCATTATAGCTTTTGCTGTTGCCATAACCTGGATTGATTATGTATTTCCAAGTTTTTTTATAAAAGATACAGCGTCAATTGAAATTTTAAAAAAAAAAAAAAAAAAATCTAATATACATATATATATATAAACATAATTAATTATTTAACACAAAAAAAAAAAAATATTCTTCAATTTAGTTAGTTAAATTTATTAATTATTTTCTCTCCAGAGTCAAGTTGCTTCTATCCATATGGTAAAGTGTATTTTTACCACTATCTTCTCAAGTTGTTTCAATTTTATCCTAAATTATTTTAACTCGTTGATTCTTACTCGTAAGTGTAAATTTAATTTTTATATATAATTTTATATTAATTTACTATTAATTTTGGTTATAAATTATAATATTATAAATAGTTTATATTGCTAAAAATTTAAGAGCATTCATGAAATAATAAAAGAATAAAATTTAATAATCAATAACTTGTTAGGGAAAGAACACATTTATAAACATTATTGGAATTTATTTGACAATCAAATTTTCATGAAAACAAAATTACTTATCAAGCAATTTAAATTGTCTTATAATAATTTAAATTGAATAAATTTATTTATTGTATAATATAATATCATAAACTATATATATATATTACTAAAATATGAGAAATCGATATTATTTTTCATATTTTGTCAATCAAAATAATAAATTTTTATTGTTGCATTAGTTTAAAAAACACTAAAAAAATATATAATTTTATAACAGTGAATTTTCCATTACGAGAAATAAGCCTATTACTATTGCAGTATGCATTTTCTTGTTATTTTTCATTGAGGTGTAGACAAATTAAGAAAATAACAACATAAATGAACCAAAAAAAAAAAAATTTCAAAATAAGTTATTTAAAAGTGTAAAACAATAAACTAAATAAATATTGACAATAAAAATACATTAAATAAATAAAAAAAATAAAGTGCTATTATGTTTTGAATTTATATTATAGCATAATATATATTACAGATCGATAGTTATTATCGTTTATATATTTTTTTTCTTTTTAGGATTACAGTTAAAAAAAAAAATGCAATTAGGGAGGATAAAAAACAAAGGTGGTATTTGGGTGAAATTGAAACAATTCAAAAAGGTTATGGTAAAAATATATTTTAGCGTGATTATTTTGTGGCCTTACGTTCATTTCTAAATTATAACAGTATGAATAGACTATTATGCCCTCAGTTAGCAATTGCCCTAATCTCTTGGCGGTGAGTGGCCCTTTATAAGTTCATCCTAATCAGCCGCTTTATTTCTCTTGCGGTCTCGAGCAGTGGTAGCAGGCTTCCAGGGTTTCTAGGGTTTACGTTTATCTGATTCACAGAATAAAAATGGTTGGCGATCTGAAAATGATTATGATTTTCATTTTGATTTCGTTTTGTTTTTATCTTTCCTTCCTTTCTTCCTACTGATTCTTTTTTGCGATTGCGTCGTTGAAGGTTCTCCAAAACGATATCGATTTGCTCAACCCTCCTGCCGAGCTTGAGAAAAGGAAGCACAAGCTCAAGCGTCTCGTGCAGTCCCCTAACTCATTTTTCATGGTAGAAATCTTTACTTCGCTTTTTTAAATTTTGTTTTAAGGACTCTGGAGATTTGATTTGGTTTGCAATTGGCGCAGGACGTGAAATGTCAGGGCTGCTTCAACATGTAAGTTCTTTCTGCAACATTTACTTTTTTTTTTTAATATTTTTATTTGAATTTAGTTGTTTAATAAATGAAAAAAAAAAATTAAACCTTTCAAAAAAAAAATGAAAAAATTGCAGAACTACCGTATTCAGTCACTCCCAAACAGTGGTGGTGTGTGGAAATTGCCAGACAGTGTTGTGCCAGCCAACCGGTGGGCGTGCGAGGCTTACAGAGGGTTGCTCTTTCAGGAGGAAGGGTGATTGAAGACAATTTCTCTTGATTGTTTGTTGGCAAGTAGATGGGTTTCTTTCTTTCTCAAGGATCATGTTCAGTCTCTTTCGGCCTTTAGATTTTTTTTAAAAAAAATTTCACTTAGCAAATTATATCTACTAATATAGGGTTTCAATCTATGATTTCGTCTTTCTGCCCTTGCATTTGAATCTTGTATTGTGTGACAATCTCATAATGTTATGTTACCTCTTGACTTTGGTTAATGTTACCTAATTATTGTCTTCTCCTGTTTTATGGAATCATGGAAATTTGGAAATTATTTCAATGTTCTGAAATAGAAATTAAAAAAAAAATTAGCCGAGGAGCAAAGGTTTGACGAAGGCTTGTGTCTGATTAGCTAATTTGCAAATTAGTTATGTCTAAATCAATAATGTGTAGATTCGTTTTTATATGTTTTCAAATCAAAAGTTCACTTTCTTGGAAGCTTTTAGTCAGAACATATCTGCAGTAAAAGAAGTGCAAGTAATCCCAATCAGGATTAATATTGTATTGGATAAAATTACTTTCCTTATGATAGTTGAAGTTGGAGTTGCAAATTGTACTCTTTTTTATATATATGCACTTGCCATATATAAGTATTTGTAATTATGTGGGTGATGTCAAGTACTTCAGTTTTAAGCTTGTTGTATATACATGTTTCATGTGTCTTTGTTATAACTTCATCCATTTAGAATTGTAGTTCTGTTGAGTGGGGGGTTTGGTGTTGTTGCAATTATAACTCCAGCTTGAAATGCTATTAGGCATCATTGGTTGGTTGGAAACAAAAATAAGTTAAGATATTCAAAAAATGTGTATAAATCTGTCTCTTGGTTTAAGAGAGGTTACAAACATTGTCTTATTATGTTAAAAGAGAGTTTGCAATGTTATTATATAGGTATTGGATAACTAATGGTATTGGTATTTTGAGCTGATTGCTATTGAAGTTGCTTTTGGCTTTGAAAGATTAGATACGGGCATTGTACTTGTTATACCTATTTTTGAGTTTGGTAGTTTTGTTTTTGATTTTATGTTTATTTCTGAAATTTGGTAGAAATGTCATTTGATAAACTAGTTTGGGTATTATACTTCTACGAGTGATTTTCATATAAAATGACTGAAATGCCCTATAAAATTGGTAAATGAAATCCCACTGATCTAAAGGTTGTAGTCCTATACCATCAAAAAAGAAAAAAAAAAAGGTTGTAGTCTTGAAAATGCAACTACACAGCCATACAAATTCCATCCCCAGTGTTAGCTGCAATTAGAATGGCCATCCAAATCGCACTAACCACAACTACTATAATCGATCATGTGAGAATTTGTTTTTCACCTGGATTTTAGGATTGCAATGTTCAAACTCGGTGAAGATTACTTTGGACTTCCAAATATTGATACACATCACACTCGTATAACTTGAAATTTCTAAGATACATTTGAAATAATTGATTTTTGAAATTTAATTCCACATTTTTTTTTCTTTTTATAATTTTGCACTTGAAAAAATTTAAATTTAATTTCATATTCATTTCAAATGATGTATCCAAAATGGATTCTAAGGTAATTTTGAAGCATCTTAAGCACCACAAAATGAAAGTTATAATTTTTCACCAACGGTTGTGTAAAATATAATTTTGATATGGGTGTTTATTAAATGTCCACTGTTTATTATAGTAATTTCTCTTTCTTTCTCATTTAACTGTTACAGTAATTTTAATTTACCTTTCATTATAAAAAAATAGAAAGAAAAACGGATTGTTAGCAGTCGAATGAAAAGGAGGACGTTGCGATCCATTAAAGCAACTGTAACAAACACCAATGAACCAGAACCTCCATCACCGCCAAGGTTGAAGAAAAGCGCAACCGTAAACAATCAATTATAAGCTTCTCCAAGCCTATGGACAACAAAAACGTAGTCGTCTGCGACAATGGCACTGGAGTACCCATCATCTCTCGTTCTTTATTTACTACTCCATTTCTTTCCATCTTTATTCATTGGTAGTTGCAAATCAATACGAATTTGTTTTTTCTTAGACTTGATCCAACACATTAACATTCTTTAATTAAACCAATCATTCTTGCTGTTTTGATCAAATAATTTCTTCGCTGTTTCTTGTAGCTTTAGCTTTAGCTTAGGATGGCATTTGGCTGTTTCATTTGCTTCTGTGCCTGTCATAATTAGTTTGGTTTTTTCTTTTTTGAGTGTCTTGCAGTGCAAATTATGTGTTCTTTAAGTAGTAGGGCTTTTTATAGTTCTTTTGATGGCTTCTTGTCCTGTTTATTGTATAAAGATTTGTTATTGGTTCTCAAGTTTTGGAATGAATGAAATTGAAATCATTTACCTCTTCAAATTAAAAAAGAAACATGTACATCAAAGTTTGATGTGAAGTTTGAGCATCTTTTTATCTCTGCATCCTGAAATTTTAGTGCATGCAAATGCTCATGGATTGCAAGATCCTGCCAATTTTGGGATTGTAATTTGGGAGATGAAAGAGGCAGAAATCGTTATGCTTCACTATCAACTCTTACATTTATTTTTTCTCCAATTTGTTTGTTTAAGGGTGTGATGATAATGTTTTTTAAGTGGCTTTATGCTCAATTGTGGATGTGGGCAAAAGGGCAGGTGTAAATCGGATGGGAATATTTCTTAACTCTTGATGAAATGGAACATCACATATCAACTCTCAAACTCTTTGTTGACTCGGTAGTGATATTCTTTGTTTCTCTCTTAGAAATTGAAGAATCGGATTATGAAATTACGAAACTTCGAAAGAAAAAAAGGAAGTCAAATTCGGCTAGTTTTTCTCTTTCTGTATGTACTGATTTTTTCACTTTTTATAACTTGATTTATTCAATGTAGTATGTCAAATGTGGATTTTCTGGAGAGAATTTTCCCACCTCTGTATTCCCTTGTGTGGTTGGAAGGCCCATGTTACGGTATGAAGAATCTCTCATGGAAGAACAGTTGAAGGTAAAATGCATAGTTGGACTCTCACCTTGTCCTGTATTAGCATCCTTTTTTTTTTTTTCTCTCTCTCTTTTTTTTTTTTTTTGGGGGGGGAAGGGGGGGGGGGGGGCTGGGGGGGGAAAATGCACTAGTTGGACTCTCACCTTGTCCTGTATTAGCATTTCCTTTTTTTTTCTCTCTCTCTTTTTTTTTTTTTTTTTTGGGCGTTCCGCATCCTCAAATCTCAACAGCATAAAATTAACATTTTGTCCCTTAACCAAGCTCTAATCACCAATTCTTTTTTGTTCATTTCAATTAGGATATCTGTGGTTGGAAGAAGCTTGCGGCTGACTTGAGGCATTCAACTTAGATTCATCAGTATCCTGTTTTGGAAATAGTTCAAAACTGGGATGACATGGGTCATGTGTTGGGGATCATGCATTTTAATGAACTTAAAGTTAAAATTCTGTTGCCTTGTATTTTTTCTACTGGGGGCCTATAATAGTTAAAGGGTTCCCCAATTTCTCATTGTATTTGATCAGATTCATTAAACTACTTTCTCCCCTCATTTTGCTCTTTTAAACAGATAAAACCCTCAGCAGCTGATGTGTAAGATTCTACTCACAGATCCACCTTCTTAATCCCTCATATTTTAAATCGCGAAAAAAAAAGAAAAATGGGGGGGGGTTTTTTGGTTGGGATTGCTTTTAATAATATGCTTTCTTTTTAAGATTAGTATTACTCTCTTTTATGGTCATAAAATCTCATTTGTGCTGGACTTTGCTTGATGATTATAGGCGAGACTATGTTGAAGATTACAACTTTGCTGCTGTCTCCTTTATTCAAATTCCAGGCTGTTTTTTAACATGTATTGCCCAGGTGCTTGTGGAAGATTGATTTTGAAGATTTAACTTTTATTGATTGGCATATATATAATTTCATTAGTATGTTTGGATTTTTGGGTGAAACTGCCTTTTTGAATTTCAAAAAAATTACTGATACTAATATCTCTGATTTTTTTTGACTTTTGCCCAATCTTCTCAACTAACCTTCTCTTTTGCTTCTTTACTTTGTCCTTCTCTCACGTAGCTTGCTTCAGCGTCCACTCATTTGATATACATATGCAGGTCTGCTGACTAGGTATTATCATCGACTCCGGTGATGGTGTTTTTTACCCATGTTGTAAATACTACTGAAGAAACCATATTTACACTATGTTTTTCAGCAGTAGTGGCTATCCATTTTCAACAATCCCCTGACTCTGCGACATTTTGTGTTTTGTTTCTTTGGCTAATTTTAATTCTTTTAATGATATGGAAACTGAAAACTTCATCCTTTATTTATTATAGCTTGTGGAGAAAGGTCATTTATCTTTATAAAATGCTTTTTATTATTTTGAAATTAAAGGGGCCAAGCTTTCTTTAGTAACTTTGTGGGTTTTGGTATCGATTGTTAAAATGATAATATTTATGCATTTTTTGTTCCCTCATAACATTTCAAAGGTTGTTTCAGTTATTTAACTATTTTAGGATGCCTGAATTGCTTGGTGGTTCAACTGATGTTATGTACTGTGGAATCTTGTTTATTAAAACTTGTTGCATATTGTTATCCATCTTATTTTTGTTTGTTAACATAAGATAATTACTGAAGGAATAAAGTAAACTTTCCCCCCTAGGTTCCTTGTTGTTGACGGCTATTTCATTCCCTCATTCTAACTAATGCGAAATGAATTGTAGCTGGTCGGCACATTAACCTTCCTATCTTGTTTGATTTCTTTCACGGAGAGGGTGAGTGTCCCACTTGGGACATGATTAATTATGCTAACTTATCTTGTTTTTGTTTGATAATACACTTCTTTTAAATTGGAATTAATGTTGTTTATGTAGTTATGCAATAATATTGACAACTGTACTTTGAGACTGTTAGGAAAATGAAAGAGAAGCTTTCTAGCCTATAAGCGCGAAGCAAACTATTCTTGATATTATAATTCTGAAATGAGTTGATGTGTTTATTGGGGACTAAATCCTTTTTATTTCAGTTTATGATTACAAAAGGGAGGTTATTCAATTAGGACTTGAGACGGCACTAATCCTTGTTAACGCATTACACTTGTAAGTTGATCCTTGGTGGTCAGTTATGATTACAAAAGGGAGTATCAATTAGGACTTGAGACGACAATCCTTGTTAAGCATTACACTGTAAGTTGATCCTTGTGGTATTTTGTAACCTTCTTTTCGTTTCTGTTCAAGTGGTGGAGTAAATATTTATAGACATGGGGTTTGCTGAATATGGAAGAATGACAAGCAGGGTTTAAACTTTGAAGAGGCATTATTCATTATTCTTTTTCCGTGTTGTACCTAATTGAATAATCAGAGTCATATCTTGTTTTGGCCTTCATTTTTGGTATTTAATTGAATTTGTCAGTAATTTACATTACATACATTTATTGCTTGGGTAAGTTGAAACTGGTACCGGATATCACTCTGTATCTCCAATCAACTGCTTCCCCAAGTTTTGGCTCATGTTCATTATTATGTTGAATGTGGCACAAGCTTGCTGTTTTTATGGCGCTTAACATCTAGCTTCCTTATTTTTTAAACAGCTAACACAACTGATTGAATAATAATCTATTTAAGAAAAATGTTATGTTTATCAGCTGCCAGATGGAAGGGTAATAAATGTAGGCACTGAGCGGTTCCAGGCACCAGAGGCTCTTTTTACACCAGTAAGCCAATAGCTTTGATTTGTTATCATTTTTTAGTCTCTGTGTAAACTTTCATATGCAAATGGTGCAATGTGGATATTTACAATATTGGTTGTCTTGTCTATTTGTTTCTATCTGTACATTTATTGGCTGTGGCTGTTTATTTTCGATAGCTTTTTGTAACTCAGGAAGCTCAGCAAGGTCATGATAGACCCTATGGATAGTGTGAGGAAAGCAATTATTGGATCTAGTTTTACATTTTAAAAGGGGCAATCATTTTGGGCTTGGACTGACATTTGATTTTCAGTTCAATCACTTTAACTCATTCAATGGCTTCAGTTTTGATGTATTTGGCTATTTATGTCTTCAAAATGCAGCGAATCATCTTGCCAGAATAAAATACCACTTGATTTTTTTTTTTTTAGACTGTCATGCAGCACACAGTCCAAACTTTTTCCTTGAATTTTATATATTGTTACAAAGTTCATGAAAACAATTCCATGCAATTAACTATGTACACAATAAATATTATGACAATTTATTAGAGTCTAGTTGCCAACGTAGATGCCCTTTAGTGCCAAGTTAAACTTGACAACTAGTTCATGGAAAAATGCATTTGCATAACTTGGGCTTCCCTATTTAGTTACTCCAAAAAAAAAAGGAACCTACCTGGGTGCACTAAAATTACAAACTAATAGTCTGAAGACATGCGGGATATAAACACAGCTCTATAGCAAGTCTATAGCTCATTAGCACTCTGGCTCCAGAGATTTGAAGACATAAGCTGTAGTAATTTTTATTGTTTGACTACTAGATACCATGAGATTATTATATTACATTATAAATGTGTATAAATTCAATTAAACAATTTGGACAGATATTCTGAGTCTATGCAATTAGAAACAGTGTTATTTGTAGGTCAGAGACTCAGAAGATAATGAGGTTCTTCCTTTCCTGCAGGATCTTATAGATGTGGAAGGTGATGGAATGGCTGATATGGTTTTTCGTTGCATCCAGGAAATGGATATTGACAACCGGATGATGGTACTAGAATTTTTTGTATTATATTGTACTAAAAATATGCACCCACACATCTAAAGTTCTGCTCCTTTTTTTTTTTTTTTTTTAAAATATTGCACCCACACATCTAAAGTTCTGCTTCCTTTTTTTTTTTTTTTTTTTTTTGGGTATGAAGTACTATTCTTGGAAAAAATGTTTAGTTATTGGTTTGTTTTTGATATAGTTTTTCAGTAGGCATTCAATTTCATTGTTTAGGACCATTGCCTTCCGCTTCTATTTTATTTCAATTTCTTCTTAAAATTTTGTTCAAGCTTCTTCTCGTATTGATGTCAAATTTGTGCAATGGTGCAAGTGTAACCAAAATTTGTTTTGTGCTTTTCCTTTAAAGATTAGGGTATTCTTGCTCACAATACTTTCTCACTTGAAAGATAAGGTTAACAGCTGTAAATTTTGTCTCTTTTTTTTTTTTTTTTTTGGTATGAAGTATCTATTCTTGAAAATGTTAGTTATTGGTTTGGTTTTGATATAGTTTCAGTAGGCCATCAATTTTCATGTTAGGACATGCCTTCCGTCTTATTTTATTTCAATTTCTTCTAAAATTTTGTTCACTTCTTCTCGTATGATGTCAAATTGTGAATGGTGCAAGTGTAACCAAAATTTGTTTTGTGCTTTTCCTTAAAGATTAGGGTATTCTTGCTCACAATACTTTCTCACTTGAGATAAGTAACAGCTGTAATTTTGTCTCTAAGTTTTTATAAACACGCACACCCATTCCCATTTAACATGCCATCTCTTATTACGCTTCATTATTTGGAAAATGTCTTTTATATGCTGTTTGGTTTAATTTAATAAATCCACAAGTGAAGTTGTTAGGACTGTGATCTACGTCTTTTTTAGTGGACCTTATGAAGACATTAGTGTTAGAATTCAGATTGACATAGGATAGGTTGTAGTATTGAGGGAGTCATGGATAAATGTCAGCTCATGCTCATGCCATCTTTTCTAACTTATATGCACTATGCAATGCAAATTTTTAGTGCCAATATGTATACACTTTGCAGTTGTACCAACACATAGTATTAAGTGGAGGGAGCACAATGTACCCTGGATTACCCAGTCGGTAATATTTCTAACTCTTTTTGGTCTTATGTTTTCTAATTTATTGACAATCATAGTGTATTATGTTTTCCATGCACTATTTAGTTTTACATTGAATGTGGTGTAATAGAAAGTATTCATTTTTCCAATCATATTTTATTGGATTATTCATTTTTGCCTCCATCGTTATTAGCAAACCCATAGATGACCTAATGGAGAATGCAGGAAAAAAAAAAGTTGATTAAATAAATGTTATTAAACCCGGCCGAACATTAACCTGGCTTGATGGGTCATTGGCTATACTTTAAAATAATTATAATATAATAAAAAATAATTAAAATATCAAAAAACTAGTCCAGGTCAATCGGATCTGCACGGGTCGACGAGTTCAACTATAGGTTTGCCGGTTTAATCCAGTTTTCTTTTTCAAATGGTTCAAGAGCAAAACCGGCTTAGTTTTGAGGCTGGTTCACTGATTCTCCGGGTTGAAGTATAAATTAAGTGCCTTCTATCATTTGTTTCTAGGGTGTTGTATTGCTGTGCATTATGCAATTTGTTGACCACTGAACAATTTGTGTGTTGATTCAGCTTGGAGAAAGAAATACTGGATCGCTATCTTGATGTTGTTCTGAAAGGAAACAAAGATGGGTTAAAGGTAAGATTCAAGTTTCTCATATTTCAGCTTAGAAAGACAAAAAATTATCAGATACCTACATTCTAGTCAATTATTCATGAAACAGGTCAGTTTCCTAAATCCGTTTACTAATAGTTCGATGTCGGAGGAACCTGATAAAAATTTTCTGCAATAAAATCATTCTGCATCTGTCAGGTTGAGATCTGCAACTACAGTTCTGAAAGCATATAAAAGCTAGGTCACCGCATATACATCAAATTTTTAATGAATTAGCAATTGTATGCACTAGGTGCACGTAGGTTATGATTTTATCAAGTAACTAAAGCTGTTAAAAATTTTAAGGGTTAAATTCCTAATTTGCAATTATAGACAATTCTTTTCATTCTAGCATTTATACAGAACCTTTCATATTAGGTTCAATCAGTGTCAAACATAGAAGGGAATATGCTAAAACCTTCAACATGCTGACACGGCCTGTGTTTTATTCCGAAAACAAAAATCATATTAAAAAGGTTGCAATTTTAGGTAACTGTGCTATAATTGTGAAATTTGAATTTTGAACAATGTTTTTGTTGTTTTCTTATGATCTATCTCTGGAAAAAAAACAGAAACTACGGTTGCGGATTGAGGATCCACCACGAAGAAAGCATATGGTCTACCTTGGAGGTGCAGTTCTTGCTGGAATTATGAAGGTAAATACCTGCTTATCCTTTCTTTTTATCTTAAAATTTTAAAATAAAGAAAGACATCAGGAGTGAGGACCATTTTGGTTATGATTGATGACCGTTTAAGCTTCTAGCACTTCTATTGCAAACCATAATTACTGGAATGGAATATTAATAGCACCTCGTATAATGAAAACCATGCAGGATTCGCCAGAGTTCTGGGTTAGCAGAGAAGATTATTTAGAAGAAGGAATTGCTTGTCTGAGCAAGTATGGGTAGGCATTAAAAGTGAAGGCTTTGCAACCGCTTTACATTTCTGTAAATACGAGATATTCTTCGAAAAGAAACGTATACGCTTGCAGAAGGTTTCTGAACTTATGAAAATGAATGTTCATCTTGGATAAAGAATTTGATATTCCAGGAAGTGATTCATTGATAACTACCAGCAAGCAATAGATTCAATTTGTACTGTCCTTCTGACAGAAGGGGAGAAACAGATATTGCATCCTATTTCATGAAGATAGATAACATTGTCTGATTATGTCAACATAAGTTATGAGGCTTTCTGACTGATCACAACTATCCGGATGCTTGAATTGATATTTGACTTCTGAATGGTTGAATTTTGAGAAAGGAGCAAACATCTTAAAATTTTTATTTTTCCTGAACATTTTTCAATTGTTTTTCAATTATCTTATATTGAACCTAATTTCTGGTGTCTTTGTTTTTCTATAAAGAGCCAAGTGGGTCTGTCCATTGCTTTGCAGGTTATACGAGGGAGCGTTGGGCACCGCTAATCTCCTAATAATGAAATATTCAAATTTGTCACCAGCAATAAATTGCTTAACTGTCCGCCTCATATTTCCCAGTCTAGAAAGAAAACTAATAGTTTTTTAATTCTTTTCTAATGGAGTAAGTCAAATTTATCAGTAGCAATAAGTGCTTAACGGTCTCTTTCTCTGAGATTTCCCAATCTAGAAAGAAAATGGATATTAGCAAATAATTTGATAATTTCATTAAGAAGAAAAAAAGAAAAAAAGACCAACTGGGTTGATTGATTTCAACATCACAACAGATTTGGCAAATCCCATTGAATAAAAAAAATTTAAAAAAAATATATATGATTGAACTAAGCTGCTTGTATTGTATTTATATGCAATCTATATATAGAAATAATCTTCAGTTTTCAAGAATAATGAGATTTACCTATTTAAACTGGATCTATGGTCTACGGTCCACTCATGAACCAGACCAATAAAAATAAATATTTTTATTGAAATGAATGTATTTCCGACCATAAATTAAAAAAAATATTAAATAGGAATAATTTTTTAAAAATCATATTTTCATTGAAACAGGCTATAGATTCAATCTAGAAAAATATAATCCAAGAATAATATTATCTTTCCATCTTTTTGCTCAAAGAAAAGAATTTCAGTTTGAGGTTAACCTTGTTAAAAAGTGAGACAATGTCCTATCCTCATTCATTGATACACTTTCTTTTTTTGCTACATCATAATTCATAAATTGTTTAGGATTTGAAACCCCAACTTTCTTTGTTAAAAAATTAGAGAAATATAAAAATATAATTTATGGATCGAACCAATAAAAATATAATTTTTGTTCAGAAACACTTTTCTTTCAATAAAAGTTTTTCAGAAAAATACATTTGCATATTTAAAAAAAACAATTTGAAACGTTATTAATTGCAGATTTCATAACTATGTCATTTGTGTTTTTTCATGTCATAAATGGATTATATCAATGCGCATGTGTAGCACACAAAATGCTGAACTATGCTGCTGCAACTTGCAAGAATCAGTTACTAACTTTCAACCATATGAAATTACTCAAAAGAAGAAACCAACAGAAGGAAAAAACAAATAATAAAGAAACAGTTTTCAACTATATATATATGTATAATGGAGATCAGATACAAAAAAGAAAGAAATATAATATGAACTCTGAAGAAAATCCAACAAGCAAATTTGAGATGCCTACCCCAACAAACAAATCCACAAACATAGACCAATCTAACAATGGCTATTCTTGGTCCCCATAATCAGTGGCCTACTCTCAACCACGCTAAAAAGAAATAAGGCAACATCACTCCAATCAATCATTGACACCTGCCCTTTTCTTATGTTCTCACTTACTTGGACAAGTGAATAAACTACTTCAGGACCCATCCTTTTTCCATATATAAATCCATTATTGGATGCCATTGCCATTGCCATTGCCATTGCGAATTCAAAGCCTGCGAGGTTTCAAATACAAACATTATTTTTTCTTTTCAGTTATTGGAATTCTGTCGGTGCATTATTTTATTTAGTTTCTTCCTTTAGAAATTCCATAGAGCTTGTTCACATGGTTTGTGGTCCTCTTCTTTGAATAAATCTTGCATTTACGAAAATATTATATTTTGTCATAAATTTGATTTGACATTCCAACTCCGGTCCCGAGCTCATAATTCTGGAAAAATTTTCAGGATGATAACATACTGCAATTTTGCAATCATAATATGATAAAATGCATGTGAAGTGCTTCTAATTATGTTGGTTTTCTTCTTCTTCTTCTTCTTCTTCTTATTATTATTATTATTTTAGTTTCAGGTTGTGGAGGCTCAAAAGGTAGCTGCAATGGAGAACTCTAATGGAAAGAACACGTTTAAACTAATTGTGAAACAAGGGGATCCTATTTTGGTAACCCCAGAGGAGGAGACAGAGAAAGGTCTCTACTTCCTCTCAAATCTTGATCAAAACATTGCAGCCATTGTCCGTACAGTGTATTGCTTCAAGTCAAACGAGGAGGGTAATGCAAATTCTGCAGAAGTGATAAGAAATGCATTGGAAAAGGTTCTTGTTCACTACTACCCTCTTGCTGGCCGGCTCACAATAAGCTCAGAAGGAAAGCTTATTGTAAATTGCAATGGAGAGGGTGCTGTTTTTGTTGAGGCTGAAGCAAATTGTGAAATGGAAAAAATTGGAGGCATTACAAAGCCTGATCCTCATACTCTTGGAAAGCTTGTTTATGACATTCCTGGTGCAAAGAACTTCCTTCAAATGCCTCCTCTTGTTGCTCAGGTTTTACAACTTCTCTGAACCAAAAGTGCTTTATGAAGTTGTTGTAAAATTTTTTATTGACTTGATGTTATTTTGTCTACTCTTTCTTTATTTACGAGAATCACTTTTTTTTTATATATATAATTTTGGGTTTGTTCGGCAAAATTACTTGTTTTATTAGCTGTTAACTGTTTTATTAATGTTTAGCTATTAGTAGCTGTTATGTGTTTTATTAATTTAACTGTTATCTATTTTAATACTTTTTCATAAAACGCTAAAAAGCTAAACGTTACATAAATTAATTTAAACTAGTTCAAGCGATTAGCGTTTTGACTAAAAGCTAATTAAAAAGATGCTGCTGATCACAGTGTTTGACTTGTCAGTCTGATACAATTGGAACTAATTTCCCTGATTTCAATAGTTTTTTAGAGTTTAGATAGAATTGAAATTTGATTTCTGTTTTGCTATTATAGGATAATCAAAGTGGCAACTCCTTGTTCTTGTTCTTGTTCTTGTTCTAGGTAACCAAATTCAAATGTGGAGGATTTGTGCTTGGATTGTGCATGAACCATTGCATGTTTGATGGAATTGGAGCAATGGAATTTGTAAACTCATGGGGAGAAATAGCAAGAGGCTTGCCACTTTCAATCCCACCTTTTATGGACAGAAGCATTCTTAAAGCAAGAAACCCACCAAAAGTAGAATACCTTCACCAAGAATTTGCAGAGATAGAAGACAAGTCGAAGACAAATAACCTTTACAAAGAAGAAGAAACTCTCTACAATTCATTCTGTTTCAACCCTGAAATGATCAACAAAATCAAAACAAAAGCCATGGAAGATGGGACTGTTGAAAAATGCACAACTTTTGAAACCCTTACAGCTTTTGTATGGAGAGCTAGAACAAAAGCACTTAATTTGGTACCTGATCAAGAAACCAAGCTACTGTTTGCTGTTGATGGGAGGCCTAAATTTAACCCTAAGCTGCCAAAAGGATATTTTGGGAATGGAATTGTTTTAACAAACTCTATATGCAAAGCAGGTGAACTATTAGAGAATCCATTGTCATATGCAGTAAGGTTAGTTCAAAATTCAGTTAAAGCAGTAACAGATTCTTACATGAGGTCTGCCATTGATTATTTTGAAGTGACAAGAGCAAGGCCTTCTTTGGCTTCTACTCTTCTGCTATCTACTTGGTCAAGATTGTCTTTTCACACTACAGATTTTGGTTGGGGAGAGCCAATTTTATCAGGACCAGTTGCTTTGCCTGAAAAAGAAGTGAGTTTATTCTTATCACATGGTAATGAGAGAAAAAGCATACATGTGCTTTTGGGTTTGCCTGCTTCTGCCATGAAAGTCTTCCAAGAACTTATGCAGATATGACAAGAAAAAGGAAAGAACAGAATATATAATACATGTATTATCTGTTCTTCATGTTGTTGATTTTAGTTATGCATGGTGGCTTGAATCAATCTCTTCCACTTTGAATCTATATATCTATGCAAAAGGAGAGATTTTACATCCTGTGAACTTCTACTAGACAAATAATTAATTGTATACCAAAGTAGTCAAAATTGCAATAATCTATAATTTATTACCTAAGGAGATGTGATCTTGTATTTTTCTATATTTTCAATTTATGCAATGAAAGAAATTTACACTTTCTTTGTCTCTATTGAAAGTTTGTCATTGTATTTATTGAGTGATATAAAAATATTTTTTATGGCACTGAATCGTTGACCAAACCGCAAATAATTTTTTCATTTAATCGATCGTGTCAAATATCAGGTGATTTATCAAAAAAAAAAAAAAATGGTTTAACTCTCTTCTTCGACCCACAACACAAATATAACTCTCATTTAACTCACGAAAAAAATTAATCTTTCGTTCTCCGGCGCATAAACCGTACAAATCAAGAGAAAAATCTTTAAACGTTATTATCAAGCATTCAAAGAACAAAATTTCTTCATTACCAAAATCGAACAAAAAACAACCGGAGAATCTAGGTTTTTTTATTAAACGGTACAACCTCCACAAAATCAGAAAAATAAGAAAAAAAAAAAACAAATAGAAAAACTAGGTATAAATACGAAATAAATTTGTGGTTTCATTTCCATAATCAAAGAAACAAATAACCAAAAGACTAGGTTTTCCTATTCAACAGTAAATACGGTATAAATACATATACAGATTTTTTGATTCAACGGTATACATAGGTCATTTAATTAGAATACAGATTGATATATTGAGGTATCATTTAATTAGAATTCTGTATTTATACAAAATTTTTTAACCTCGGTACACTAGTAAAAGCCATTATAATTACATAGGTCAAAGTGACTTTTTTTTTTAATTAAAGTTTTAAAATCTTACATCTTCTCTGATCTCAAATATAATATATTTTGAGAAACAGGCATAAGCCCCCTTCCAAGCAAGCCCGGTCCTGGGCCTGAACAATGCATTAGCTGGGCTAAAACGAGTTCAAAGAAACAGGCACAACCTCCCATCCAAGCAAGCCTCAATCCTAAATTCCTAATTCATAATCCAGAACCACCGTTGAGTAAAGATGATTTGAAAAAAAAAAAAATAAACACTGGTACGACGCCACGCTTAGCCGTACACTCCCACTCTCCAATCCGCCCGAAACTCAGCCTCTGCAGGAACTTTTCTGCCATCCATCTACCACCTCCACCACCATCGCCACCATCAATCACCGTAAATTGAATTGACAGTGAAATGTAAATCCTCTAGCCCGTAATTGTTTTATTAAGTACGTTATTCTCATTCCTTGTTTTCTGCAGTTATGAATGGGATTTTTTGGGCTTGGGACTAATGCATCTAACTTGATGGATTTTGTGGTTTTCATTAGTTCTCTTCTTATTTCTCATTGATTAGTTGGAGTTAGGAAATCAAAACTTCAGGAATTATTTTCTCCTGTTTGATTTTTGGTTGAAATTTATTTAACTTTTTCTTTGTTTGGTTTCTGATTGATACAAAAGAAAATAGAAAACCATTATAATGTGATATTTTTTATTTGATACAAAATTTTGAATTTCTTTATAGATGTGAAGCACATATTTTAATTGATGCCTGCTTCACCTTGTTGTTGCAGCAGCAGCTTCGCTATACTAAAATCTGATTAAGCATCTATCTGAGTCTTTGAGTCCCACCTACTCAACTTGATTGGCTGGCTATGGCTGGAGCTGCTTCAGTGTTCACTGTTAATTACTCTTGCAACTAGCAATTGCTGGTAGCTTTAATGTATTTACTAATATGCAAAGCATTACATCATTCTATGCTAGGGTAATTTACGTATTACTTGTTTATTGGATAATCTATCTCACCTTTTGTGTGTGAAGTGTGTTGTTTTTTTAATAATGTGATATTTTTATTTGAATTACAAATTTTGAATTTCCTTTATAGATGTGACACATAATTTTAATTGAATGAACCTGCTTCACCTTGTTGTTGCAGGCAGCAGCTTCGCGATATACTAAAATCTGTATTAAGCATCTATCTGAGTCTTTGCAGTCCCACCTACTTCAACTTGAATGGCTGGCTATGGCTGCGAGCTGCTTCAGTGTTCACTGGTTTAATTACTCTTGCAACTTAGGACAATTGCTGGTAGCTTTAATGTTATTTACTAATATGCAAAGCATTACATTCATTCTATGCTAGGGTAATTTAACGTGATTACTTGTTTATTGGATAAATTCTATCTTCACCTTTTGGTGTGGAAGTGTGTTGTTTTTTTTTTTTTTTTGGGGGGGGGGGGAGGGGGGGGGATGAGAGCAAACCTTAACCTTTGTTCATACGGGGAGGGGGGGGGGATTGAGAGCAACCTTAACCTTTGTTCATACTTTTGGTTTTCAGGAGGATCAATTAAAGTTCCACATCAGTACTGATGTTTAGAAGCAGCAATGTTGTTTCCAGGATTTTTGAGCGCCAAGTTCGCACGCCTGCTCCTGGAACCAGTGTACTCTATTCTGTTCTTGCAATCTTTCTACATTTATATTTGCAATCATTTTGTTTCATTTTAGTTGGAACTTGAATTAATGTTTAAACCTTCTACACTGTAGAGACTCTACTATGCAGATGTTTAACCATCTGCAATTATTAGTTTCCCATTAGGCTAATGTTTAATCTATAATACTATATTTAGTTTGAGTTTACCTTTTTGGCCTCTACTGATAGGCAGTAAAGAAGAAAAATATTATTAAGCCTGTGGAATGTGTTAACTGGAATGAGGATGGTAAAAATGGCTGTATCAAAACATATAAGGATCAAATGAAAGATAAATGCGATAGCATCAAAGTTCTTTTAGTGCCCATTTAAGGAAAGTTGACGAAATATTGCCAAAAAATGGAGTGAGTCGCTTATAATATAAACCTGTTGATGCCTTAAGTTAGGGAAGAATTAATATAGGAAATGATGTGGCTGAAATGTTCAGGAATGATTCATTTGTTATTATGTGGCTTTGTGCTGGTGTGTTAAAATAGTTGTTCCATAGGAGGAACACAACCTTTTGTTGTTTTCCTATTTGATTTTAAAGTAGAAAAAAAGTTTCACAATTTAATCAACATGCATTATAAATTGTATCGTCCTTTTGCCTTCTAATTCCTAATAATTTGTTTTGGTTTGGCCCTCTTTTAATCTGAAAGTTTTGCCAAGAATATTGTGTCCAGCTTGATTCTTAAACTTGTTTTTTTGATAGTTGTTATAGTATTACTTGAATCTGGTAATAACGACTAAATTCCAGACCTGAAACATGAGGTGGTGTGATTACAGGTTCATTGTGCTAGGCAATTTTATGAGAACTTAGTCCCAAGTTATACAATACATGATGTTGAGTGCCCAGATCATTCATTCCGCAAATTCACTGATGATGGTCAATACCTCATTAGTTTTAGCAGAAACCACCAGGATCTGATTGTTTATAGACCTAAATGGTTGTCATATTCGTGCAAAGAAGAAGATTGTGATCTACCCTCAAAAGCAAAGAAATTTGATAGCTTCTTCACGCAACTGTACTGTGTTTCACTTGCTTCCAGCAATGAGTTTATATGCAAAGATTTCTTTCTTTATGTGGAGAGTAGCCAATTCGGTTTGTTTGCTACTTCTACTGCACAATTTCATGATATGCCTGCTACAGGAGGAGCTATTCAGGGAGTCCCTTCCATAGAAAAGATTACTTTTCACCTTTTGAGGTGTGTAACTAGTATGTTTCCATCAGTAGTTGCCTGGCTTATTGAAAAATTCTGTACAGTATGTTTGCTGCCCTATTTTATATTCTCTTATTTATTTAATTAGATTGGAAGATGGTGTGATTCTGGATGAGAAGGTCTTTCGGAATGATTTTGTTAATCTGGCCCACAACATGGGTGTCTTCTTATATGATGATTTACTGGCAATCGTGTCACTTCGTTATCAAACAATACACATTCTCCAAATTAGAGAATCGGGTCACCTTGTAGATGTGCGTGCCATAGGTGCATTTTGCCGTGAAGATGATGAACTTTTCCTCAACTCAAGTGCTCAGGTTAGTGACATTTATATTAAAGCTTTTTGATTAGACTTCTAGATGCTCTAGGACATTTATGGACCTTTTAGCACTTAAAAGTGTTCTATTAGCTAAGCTAACATTGATCTCAACCTATCCCCCGTTATCTTGGAGATGTAATTAAACAAAAGGAGAAGTCCTAATGAATGCACTGCATAAGGAAGGAAAAGAAAAGTTTAGTAAATTCATTAAAAGGAAGACAGGCTAAGACTTTGTCGGCCCACGTTTCTCACCAAATAAAGAAGGGTTAGGTTTGATTCTTATATAAAGGAGAAATTGAGAAGCTACAGGGTCTTGCCATTTTTTGGCATTTAATGTAGCCAAAATTGACACCTACACTTTGTTTGGATGGGGTGAAAGAAGGCTTAATATAGTAAGGTAGGATACAATAAGGTAAGAGATGGTACGATAATGATTATTTTTACGTTAGGGAAGAAGGTAAGGTAAAGGAAGGTTAAAAAATCTTGTTTTGCTTGGTTTGATGGTATTGGATGGCAAGGTGAAATGTAAAATTACAAAAAATATTTTTTCATGAAAATAGTTATTTAAATATTTAAATTGAATAAAATTGTTTTTTTAACAAGATACTAATTTATGAATATTCAAAGATATTTTTTAAGAAGTTTGTGAGTGAAAAAGTGAAGAAGAAAGGCCTAATAAATTGTTGCACCGTAAACTTTGCGTTCTGTTGCAATTTCACCCCAATTTGACCTTTATGCCCATCTCACCCGGAACTTTGACCTTCTATTGCAATAGCAACCTAAATTATTATTAAGGCTTAAATTGCAAATAAAAAATACATTATTATGGGAGTTCACCTTAACTTTGGGTTTGGGTTAACTCAATACATTTGTGTGAGTGAGTGAACTTAAATTAAGGAAAATCTCTATTATTATTTTTTAATATTTTTAAATTATTCCTTTAATTGATGATAATTAATAAATAAAAATACATTATCTCATACATGGATTCCTTTGTTTTTTTTTTTATTTTTTATTTTTTATTTTTTTTTTATTTATAAAACTAGAGGAAGTTTTAAACAATAAACTAATTATTATTGTTTTTTGATTCTTCATGTAAATTTTGATATAATTATAAAATCTAAAAAAAAAAGGTATTATGAAATTATTTCATTCAAATTATTAGAAATTGTTAATATTTTTTTTATCAAAATAGATTTTTTTTTTTTTTTTTGAAATATGTCTATAAAATATAAGATATAATTATAATCAATTATAATTTATAATTGTAGAATGAAAAAAAAATATTTATTTGTTCAAGACAACAATTTAACTTAACAAATTTGTGTGAGTTAGGAAGCTTAGATTAAGTTAACCTAAGGTCAAGAGTGGATTCCACATTAATGATTTAGTTATTTGCAATTTAAGTTCTAATTGCAATTTAGGGTGCTATTACAATAGAAGATCAAAGTTTAAGGTAAAATTAACATAAAGGTCAAAATAAAGTGATATTGTAACACAATATAAAATTTAGGGTGAAGCAATGCATTAACCTTCCGATCAACTCAAAAACTCAACTTTACATTCCCTTACCTTACCTTACTCTTAAAACTCTCTGTCCAACAATGGGTTAAACTCAAGATACCCTTTGAAAGATTTGTTCTGTATCCCATCCACTTGATCAGAGTTGCTTCCAAATTCTTTCTACTTCTTAACTTGAGCATTAAATATTATTTTCTTTTTCTAGCAATACTTTGTATTTAAGGCTTTATGTGATGGATCTTACATTTACATATGTCCATTAAAGACTTGATGTGTGCTGGTCATTGGACTTACAACTGACACCTAAGTTATCAATTGCAGTCCATGGCAATCCCTGACAAAAGTAAAATGCATCAATCATCTAGGAATCATGTTGAAAGCAGTTTGCACAATTCCCAACCAAGTTCAGAAAACTCTTTTCTGAGTGGCATCAAACAACGCTTGCTTTCTTTTATTTTCCGAGGAATATGGAATGAAGAAAGACATGAATCCATGGTTGGTTATTTGGCTTTTTATTCTTACTTTACTTTTATGTCTTGAGAATGATATTATATTTGTTTTGAATGGGGAATTTGAAATTGGGAGATTTCAGTTTGATAATCTCACAAACCTTGTGTGATTAATTAGATTCTTGGATCATGGGTTTACTTGTTGCAATGGATGAAGATCTTACTTGTTACTGTAGATAAAGACCTTAATTTTAGTATGCATTTAGCATATATATATATCATTGTTAGGATCCTAGTTACTAGACAAGGTATGAGACTTGTCTTGGATCCCACATTGGAGGTATGGAATTTCAGTGTGGGGTTTTTTATGAATTTGGGCTCTCCAACCTCAACAGCTAGCTTCTGAGGTATGGTTCTCCTAAGGTCATAACAATTGGCATCATAGCCAACCACTGCTTCTTCCAGTTGCAATCGAGCGGCATGGGTGGTGATGCCGGAATTGCAGTGTTCGCTCGGGGCTAGGTGGCAACGCTGGTATTGCATGTTCGCCTAGGGCTAGGAAAAAACCTAGCGCACGTCCACCCTATCACAAAGCCAACCTGATGTGGGCACCAAGACTTCGGAGCATGGTGGGATGTTAGGATCCTAGTTGCAAGACAAGGTGTGGAACTTTTCTTGGATCCCATATTAAAGTATGGGATTCAATATAGGGTTTATATGAACTTGGGCTCTCCAACCTCAACGGCTAGCTTTTGAGGTATGGTTCTCCCATGGTCGTAACACTAATTAATTAGAAAATGGGCTAACTTTGATTCAAACAATTTAAACTAAAACCATGTTATTGGAATTCTTCCATCCAACATTACATTTGAGATTAATCCTATACAGTATTGCAAGTTTCAAACAATTCATACATAGATGAATGAAAAGGCTGCTTCTCAGAAAGTCTCTACTTTTGTTTCTTTCCTTATGTTTATGCAAATATAAAGTATGGTCATCTTATTAATTTTACCGTCATGTCTTGCTTGGGTAATTTGCCAAGTTCTATATGAAACTTAATAATAGATTGCTTTTGTTGTGGGTCGCTGTTACATTTTGACTTCTAGTGGCTGTGCATGTGTTAAAAGTCAGGCTCTATTTCATTCATATATCTGCAACAGTATGCATATTTTTTTAATACTTTAATACTATAATGCTAATAAATACATAAAAACAACATGCCTTTTAGGATGGATGAGTAAAGCAAGCTAAGATTGAATGTTTGGAAATACAAGAGTTCTTCCATGACAGGGTAGAATTGGCTTCTCATGAATCCAAGTGAAGAGAGGGCCAATAGATGGTTTGACATATCTTCACTACATGTGACTAAATGGTTGGGGGATGTGAGGGGAAGAGAAAATCTTTACCTTATTGTGTTTAAGGAAATAAAGAATTAGATAAGTAGGGGAAGGGTGGATAAATATTTTATTTTGTTTGGATGGATGTGTGGGGATTTAAATATTGGAGGATACATCAAGTATTGGGTCTTTACCTAGTGAACAATATTTCCATTATGACTTGGGGGATTGGAAATCACACTGTTTCAGAGCTAAATCAGTGGTATTAGGTGTCACATCCATAGTGTCATAAGAGTAGAAAAAGGGGAGGGAAAGATAGAGAGGCTTTCCTGAATTTAAAAGTATAAACACATGGTGTTCTGGCTTTGTGCTTATCCTTTTCTCCCTAATGTCTATATAGGATTCTGTATCTTTTCGGGATCCTAAACACGCTATGATTTAAGTTCCTTTTTTTTAACCTTTTATAAATAAAAGTTCATTTTTTATAAGAATTTTCATTTAAACCATCATTCAACTTTTTGTAATAATTTAGTACAAACATATTTTTTAACTTTTTCTATCAACTATTTAATTTGACTGTATCTTTTTATTATAAATTATTAGACATACAAGATTATAATATTTTCAGTTAATTCCTCATTTGATGTCCACTTGTTCAGTCCCTATAGAGTGGACATAATTTAATACTAAAAAGACAAATAAAGGTACAAGAAAAAATAGATTTGCCCCCTCAGAAATTGAAATTTATATACTGTAAATTAAGGTGTAATGAATTTCACCTTATGGAATGCAGGAAGGGGAATAAGCACCCTCATCCTCCTTTCTCCTCCAAAAAAAAAAAAAGAAAAAAAAAAAAAAAATTGGAAGGGAAACATGTAATAAGGCTGTAATGAATTTCACTTAATGGAATGCAGGACAGGGGAATAAGCACCTCATCCCCTTTCTCCTCCAAAAAAAAAAAAAGACAAAAAAAAAAAAAAAAAAAAAAAAAAAAAAAAATTGGAAGGGAAACAAAATGAGAATGGAGACTTCCTTTCAAACTCTTCCCTTCTTCTCCGTTGAACTCTTAGCCATGAACATTTTATTGTCCAAAAAATGTTTTGATCTAGAGGGCACTAGGTGTTAGTTTAGAGATTAAGGCAAATATATTGATATTGGTGCATTGATCGTAGAAATTTTACAATGTTATCACTTCTACATGGGCTTACCTATGAAAACATAATGTAAAAATGCCAACTGTCCATTACTATCACTTGTGGTCACATGTCTAGCTAGGGACTGAATTGATTAAAAATAAGAGTTTAAGTGTCTAATTGACCAAATTTGAAACAAGAGTGAAGAAGTATTTGGCAATATTGGACCTTTCTTTCCGTGAGTAGTGTGGAATCGAGGAAAATTATCCATATTTGAGATTAAGGTGTTGATTAGTGTAGTTGAACATACCATTATCAGTTTAAATTTTGGAGTGCAAGTTGATCAACATAGTGTCCATTCTGAGAGTATATAGCAGTCGGTTGATTAATGTGATATTTATGCCAAACAGTTTTATTTTAGTAGTTATAATTCCCAAGTGCACAAAATAACATGGATGGACTTGCAAATTAGTAGTTGCCTCTGCACCACATATTCTATAAACATGAGGGATGATTTGTTTGTTGCATGCAGGCGCACGCACATAAATGCACCCCTTTTTGTTTAGTAAGCTTTTACTTTTGATGCTTCTCTAGTGAAGAAAGATAATTCCTGGTACCATTATGTATCTTGTAGTGATGTGCTTTATTGCCTGCAATGTGTTCAAGTATGACATGTTACATATGCACCATGCTCAATTACATAACTGACAGCATGCAAGCATATGTTAACTTTTAGTGAGGTCTTAGTTCCCTATAAGGAAAGTAGGGAACAAAATAAAAACTTATGCAGTAGTGTTGAATCACCAAAACTTTGAATTCTCATTAAATCCAAAAAGTGACAAGATTTAATTGTTGATTGGAGGATTGTTTAGTCTTTATTTGAAATAATATCTGACCTTAAAAATGATGTTTTATATGTTGACTAAAGCACTCCTTCGCCTTTATTTGTGTGGAAACTCTGATAACTTAATTGAAAGTAATATGTGAGCTTGAAAAGATTTATGCAAAAATATCTCAAAGGTATGAAAGCCATTGCACAAAACATTGTTAAAACAAAACAATTTCTTATACGAGTCTTTATTACAATCTTCTGTTACGGTTCTTAGATGCATTAATACAGATCCTCAAACACTGATAAATCGTAAAATGGCTTCTATGGTTGCTGAATTTGTAATTGTTTGTTTTGCATTACATTCATTTATCTGATTTTTTGTTTTTAATTTGTTCTTTTCTTCAAATATTTGTTTTTAGTTTCTTCTTTTCCTTCAAAGAACTGCATGGTGATGTATATTCGTTTTTAATCTTACAGAGGCTTCTGATAATTGGACGATTTTTTAAAAGTTTCACAAATTTTTTTATTTATAGGAACTTATTGCTTTTATTATACTGCTTTGCTCCAGCAGAGGGTCCAATGCTTGAAGAAAAAGTTCTATTTCCATTTTCAAGATTATGTTGACTTGATCATCTTGAAGGTGTGCCTCAAGATTGTTATTTGTGTTTAACTATGCATGTCAAGATGAAGTTTGACTACTTATTCTTTACATAATTTTTGAACAGGTACAATTCTTGGATCGACATCACCTGCTAATCAAATTTGGTAGCCTAGATGGAGGAGTGAGTTTCTTTTCTTTTTTGCCAATTTATGACGAAAAATAATAGGTTTAAAAATTATTCAATTACGTGGACTCATGTGAACTTGCACCACCATAAACAGAGACAGTAAAGTCCAGTTGTCCTTTCCTGATGAGCAAATGAGTGAAATTCAACCAAAGTGCACCTGCCTCAGTAAACTTAACCATAACCTGTGCATTTGTTATGTATTGTCTAATAGATTGAAGAGGCAAAAGTAAAGGCCATCTATATCTAAGATTTAGCAAAGAAACTCCCTCTCCATTAAAAGCTCTTGAATTTCATAATCTTTGAAGAATCCTAAGAATTGCTTAGGGGGTCAAAGAAAGAATCTTTCCTTTTGTATGATAAAATACATCCCCCCAGTCCAGAACACCTCCTCCATTGGTTCAGCAACAATCAAGAAGCCTAATTATTATATTTTTTGAGTATGTAACCATCTGTTGTGCAAGTGGAAGAATCTAGATGGTGTTCCAATACTTTTAGTTTCAGGTACCAAGAACCGCTGAGCACCTTCCGTCATTCTTTGCTGTATATAACATGGATACAACAGAAATTGTTGCTTTTTATCAGGTATCAGATGTGAGTGTATCCTTTGCTTTATATTATCTTTTAACTTTTTTTTGTTGTTTTCTGATATCCTCATCATCTTCTATTTCATATAGAATTCAGCAGATGAGCTTTATCTCTTGTTTGAGCAGTTCGGTGACCACTTCTACGCAACATCTAGAAATTCTCTGTATATGAATTTCATATCTTCTCATTCGAACAACATTCATGCCCTTGAGCAACTCCAGTCCATTAAAAATAAAGCTAGCACACAGGTTAGATCTCATCATATGAACTTTCATGTTGGAATTATTTGATAACAACATAATTCTTCTCTAATTGCATGCTACGTTACCTATCCTTCCATGGTTAACCTAATTTGATAATGGATTATGCAGTTTGTGAAGAAGATGCTGGCTTCTTTGCCTTTCACTTGCCAATCATTGAGTCCTTCTCCCTATTTTGACCAATCTCTCTTTCGATTTGATGAGAAGGTTTGATTCTAAAACTATTTGTTTCTATTTTTGTGGTGTTGTACCTGTGACACATGGGTAGCAATTCTCTTTTGTTTGGCACGTTGTGTCAGCAAGTGTGTATTCTAGGTTTAGATAAACTCAAAGATGACTTGATTAATTAAATTGTGAAAAATCCAAATATGAACCTGTCCTGCTTATTACCAGTAACATGATACCACAAAAGAAACTGGATTCTGAAACTCGTCACTGAATGTGTAACATTACCCTCCAAACTTGATATGGTCCACTTAAAGTGACTTGGCTGTAAGTTCTTTATGTTGACACATTTATCCCTACAATTTAAAATGTGCAACACTACCTCCTAACTTGAATTATTTTTGTAAAACTGGTGAGAGGAATTAAGCATTTAGTTAGTTTTATCTAAATTTAAATGAAATCTTTCTCTAAGCCATATTTACTCTTATGATGTTCTGTATTCTTGATTATGTGAGGCTCTAAGTAAAAGCTAGCTTATGCTTTCTTCATTTATCCATATTTTGAGCAAATTATGTAGCAGCTTTATGCTTGTATGCGTGCACTGTTGGTTCCCATGTCTAAGCTAATGTTTTGTGTAAATGTTTACTTGTTTGTTACCTTTCATTGTTCTGCTGTTGCAGCTCATTTCTGCAACTGATCGGCTTAGGCCTTCAACAGACCATCCCATCAAGTTTATCTCTAGAAGGCCACCATGTACTCTCAAATTTAAGATTAAGCCAGGTGTGTATTTCAAGCTACAGTACTTAGACCAAAGTAATCGTATGCGAGTTATGCTTCACGAACCATCCGTCTTTTTGCTGTAATCCTCAGTTGGATTATTATTTTTCTATCACCGAATGAGTTATGTTTCAATAGTTTCACTAATTCATTTTTTGTTTTAGCAATCTTGAGTTTTAATTCATTTATGGATGGAATAGAAATTTTGCGTAGACTAATGTAATTATGTTTTTGCTTCTCAATTAGGTCCCGAAGCTGGAAGTGTAGATGGTCGAACAAAAAAGGTCTCGCTGTTTCTCTTCCATCCATTTTTGCCTCTAGCTCTCTCTATTCAACAGCCATCGTTGCAGCCATCAATCAATATTCACTTCCGGGTATGAAGGTGGCAGTTCTCTTGCTTGTCAGTCTCCCATTGGTAATCCAGTCTCTTCTGAGATGCGCGATGAAATTGTGACAACACAGAGTTGGTGTATTTTCGTTAACATGATCATATACCGCTGTGTCATCTCAGCTTCTTCATACGAATATCTTTCAGAGAAGAAAATTACAGTAGTCTTTGTAGCTTGCGAAAACACAACCGTAATCCATCCAAAAAACGCCCCTTCCCATCAACACAAATTCAATACGCAAACAGCAAGCTACCAACCCTGAAAATGTTAAGGATGAGAAGCTTGAGAGAAGTGGAAGACGACTCTACAAACACTCATAGACTTTTATTGATTTCAAACCAACACGCAGAAGCTAAATCAAAATCAGTAATTACTTTGAGAGAGTGACTGCTGTGGTAGACTGTATTGTATTCTGAAGTTTAATGAAGTTTACCCCCCTAAATTCAATGGTTAAAAGATTAACTAACCTTCGGCCGGAACAAAAACGATCCAGTCCCTTCTATGGTTCAATAACAAACCCAAGTGAACCGATTCAACCCTGCCAATTTGAAATATAATGGGTTAGATTGGACATTCATGGTTTGAGTTGGGCTACAGGTTAACCAGGTAAGCCTTTAAATTTGATCTAACCCGCAAATAAGTTAAAGTTAATTTGGTTTGTAATTTTGATTATAAATGCTAACAATTTACATATTTTTGCGTTTTAAATTGCTTTTTTTTTTTTTTTATTTGAGTATTTTCAGCTATTAGTAGAAACTTATTTTGAATGTTGCTATTGAAACATTTTGTAGTTCAAAACTTATCTTATAACTATTACTATGTATTTTTAAATTTTTTTTTAGTCCTATTTCTGATTAGGAAATCTAATTTTTCATTGTTTAGGAATTTGTTATTAAAATAAATACTTTGTGAATTATGCATGATTATGTTTTTAATAGCAGCAGTACTATCTTCATATTCAGTCGATGCATCATCCTCTCCAACCATTAAATTTCTTTCTTTCCTTGAAGCGTTAGGATTAATGGAAGCGTTGAGCTTTTGAAAATGGTCATTTTAATGGAGAGATTTCATTTCCTCCAAATTCCAAACTGGAAATGGTGAGATAGAAAATGCCAAGTTGGAGGAAAGAATGCTTTTATTTTTTAATTGTGTAAAATTGCTAAAGTGGACAAAGGTACGTCACTGTTCTTCATCAATCAAACAACACAAATGTACCATCCAAAGACACTAAAACCATTCCTTCAGATGTGTCAATTACAATTTTGCTAAGGTGACAAAAAAAAGTTCACAGCCAACCATCATCCCATCAACTTGAACAAATTACAAATTACATTTTTCTTTTTACAATTTACTGACCTAAGTTTTAACAAATTTCATTGTGGTATATATCTTCATTTGGCATACCTAATTAAGGCAAATATGCATGAATGAGATTAATTTATCTAAATCCGATCTATGAATTCATTCATAAATTATAGTAATGAAAGATATTTTTTTATTGAAACGAGGTTATTTTTTACAAGGAAAAAAAAAATATAAATACACATTGGTTTGGGCTATGAGCAAAGCCATATATCTCATCTAAGCAAGTCTAATCTTTTTTTGTTTACACTAGTTAATCAAATTTGAAATTCTTAATTAACTTCCAAGAACGAAACAGTCACGTTAATAAATTGTCAATTGAACATTTATTAGTGATAAACAAGAAGCTGATAAATCTTGATCCAATTGATTAAGCTTTCTTTAATCAATAGTTTATGAGATGATCTTCATCTTCAAACATCACCCACACCTTACTTACTTTGGTCTCCAGTTGCGACGGAGATGAGGTGATGGTGGCCTCCTTTTCATCACCCTCCTTTCCTGTGAACTTGGTGATTGGTAATTGGTAATTTGAGTAGTTCTCCAATGCCCTAACATGATCCATGGTGAGGATCTCCACCGTTGGATACTCCAAATTCTTGCTGTCTAAAACTCTTCTGCAATTCTCGTAAACCTGATGAAGCTGTTGGGTTTGCTGAGCAGCGGTCTTGAGAATCCGGCAAGCCAAGGCTCTGGCCGGCATCGACAAATCAAAGAACATATTAACAAGAGCAGCTACCCCTTCACAGTACGTCATGTAAACTTGAAAACTCTCCTTCAAGGTGTTGCTCATAGTCATGGCTGCTACTTGAGATGGAGACGACCAAACGTTAGTATTATCATCTGCATAAATGGCCCAACAATCTAACACCTTATCTATAAAGACTTGACACTTGGGTAGTTTACGAAATACCATATCAATACAGTACTTATTATTAGCATAATAATTGGCAGGTTCAAGCTTTCCAGCTTGGTTAATGGCCCAACCAATTCTTTCTTCAAGATAAGCAGCATACTTGTGAAGGAAGGAACAAGGTAAGTGATGAGAAAAGGAGATTTGCAATTGCAGGTGGCCGGATATTCTTGCGCGACGAAGCTGCTGCTCGAAGCAACGATTCCCTCCGCGTAAGAGTCTGTGAATAAGAAAGAGAGTCTTGAGTGCTACGAGAGGATCTCTGGTCTTGGAAAGACGGCGGGAAATATGCTCGGCAAGAAAAGCGATGGAAGCGGCGGTGGACGGAGCATTTGAGACCAAGAAAAGGATTTGATGCATGTGTTTGTCATCAAAAGGGCCATTATCATGACCTGTGGCTCGCAAAACTGCAATTTCTATGTCAGAAAAGGTTTTACCTAATTCTTGATGAAGGTTATTGTATATTATGGCTTTGCCAATGGATACATGATCCTTTACTGTGCCAAGAGCTACCCTCAGCTTGCCATGAATGTCCACCACCCCCATATTATTATGTATTTGAATGTGTATAATGCAAATATATATATAGGATGTACTATTTATGCTTGATTGACCATGGGATGTAAGATTATGAGGAATAGCACAGAAAGAGAATCATATCTAGATTTTAAAATTTTAGTCAACTTGCCCTGCCCTTAAAACTCTTTCAAGAAAAAAATTTATCATTATTTTCTCTTAAAAAAATTGATTAATATTTAATTAAAATTTTGTATTTTGGATTTATCTATAAAATTTTGTATTTTGTATTAGAATTTAATTAAGATATATATATTTATTTTAATTAAAATATAAAACAATTGAAAATTTGTCATCACACTAATATTTGATAATTGCTACTAATTAATATTTAAAATTATGAATTTAAAATAATTTGAAAATGAATCTTGGAAATAAGGGGAAAAAACAAACAAATCATATATATATAATGCAAGTAAGATAACCCTAATCTTTTAATTAATGGTGACCAATTGAAGGTTGTGAATTTGAGAAATGAAGCTTTAACTTTTGAGTGTGGATATGAATGAATATTTGATTTATTGATTCTCTTTTCAATTAATTGGACCGTAGGGAGGAGAGTCAACGAGGCAGGCAAAAGCTGTGTGTTTCTTAATTAAAGAACCTCATTCTTTAGGAATAGGATTCTCTCCCTCTTGGCGCACCATCTAAATATAATATAATACCTTTCTCTTCTTTTTCTGCACGTTCTTCCTTATAATTAAATGGAGCCAAGCCATTGGTAGGTCTAAGGATGCATAAGATAGGCCACGAGATGTGCAAGTTAGTGTTGCTGAGTTGTGGAATGATGGAAATACCATGGTGGGACTAGGAGAGATTCAGCCTAATTTTGTCTGCCATATCCTTCAACTCAGTATTCAAAACTGAACTTAAGTGTGGACTAGGATGCAGCATCATATTCCAAAAAGATGAGGTTATTGTTTCCACATAAGAGGAGCTCTACGAACAATATAGAACTCCAGAGCCCATAGTCAACCCCTTTGATATGTTTATAAGCCTTCGGTATTTTCAAAAGCCTTAAGTTCATATGGGAATTCCCTTATTTATATTGATCTCTATTGCTTATTGCTTAACGGTCTAATATATAATTTTACCTCTGAAGTTAACGTTTTTAACATTATGATATCTTTAAATTTGCAGAAGACCTACCATACCCCTGAAATTGTACTTCACAATATTAACTATGCATCTTGCCACGTTGATGAAGTATGCATGATGTCACGGACAAATTCCGTGACCGTGTTAGGCCCTCATCAAAGAGCGTACCAAGCTGCGTTTCAACCTGCAAGGGTTGGGGCGGCTTAGCGATTAAAGCGTTGTTCCACCCTAGTGGCCCTTACCCCATGCAAAGTCTGCATGCAGGCAGGATATTGTGCCGCGGGGCACAACTGGTCGGGAGCTGGGCCACTCCCCTGATGAGCCCATGGCAGGGCTAAACTAGTGTGGTACGGTATGGCAAGGCTTGCCTCGGAGCCAAAGTATCGCCAAGTGAGCAGGCTCCCGGGCGCCGCACAGGCGCAGTGCTGCGTGAGACTCCAGGCCCGTGACAATGAGCCTCAAATGCTCAAGGAAGAGTGGTAGTCTTGAAATGACACCAGCTTATCTTCTTCTTCGTCTATCAAATAAGACAAAATAAAGTCTCTAGCAAACTTAAAGATGCCACTAAATTAAGCGTCTAAATTTAGCGTAGTCTAGATGTAGATGTTACACAGGCACTAATGATTTGTTGACCAGTATTAAAGTTTTTTTTAAGGTAACATTTACATATACTACTAATAAAAACTAGAAAACAGATGAATAGCATTCAAGAATTTTCCCCCCTCAACAGCTTGGAAAAGAGAGTTCTTTCCAAAAGGTAATTTCAAGCGCAATGCTAATCAAAGAATCTTATGCACTGTGAAGGCAACAAAGGATGGAAATTGGTATCTCGCACTTGTCTTTGGTTCCCAGATTTAGTTGGAGAGAGAGCCGTTAATAAAGGGTATTAAACAAACCCTGAATGTAATTAAAAAGAAAATAATATTTCGAAGATTGACAAAATAAAACTACGAGGGCTTAGAACTGATGGGTAGAGTTCAAGAGCTCCCGAATGTGTTTTTCCTTAATTTTCCAGCGAGCTCTGTGCCATAGCATACACCAATGAAAATAATGTGCAAAAAGATCTCTATGTGAACAGCCAGTTGAACCTCCAGCAACTGAATTAAGTGAAGAAAACTTAAAACAAAACTAAACTAAACTAATTCCAGGAGCTACTGTGAGACAATAAATATCCTGTTTGGTCAACCTCGTATTTCAATCAACGACAAGCAATTCCATCACAATCAGGGCAATGAAACCACTCTAATTAAAGTTTATACTATATGCATATTTAAGTGCTGGCACTCCCCCTCCTCTGAACAGGTTTGTATAGCACAATAGTGACATATTTTGAACGGAAGCGATGAGTAAAACCAAGTGCCACCACAGATCGTGGGGACTCTCGGTTCTCAATGTAAAGATGATTCAGGATTACATTCTGTGGTTCTGGAATAGTTTCAGATGTGTCTGCACTTGCTGGATAGCTGAGCAACGTGTGTTGCAGATGTGGAGGGACTACAGGAGGATCTCGTGCCTCATCTTCATTCCCAGGGTAGACATTATTGTAACTTGAATCAGGAGATTTTGGAACTTCAAATCCCATGACAGTTGTATCTTCCTGCATAATAATTAAATTGTCAATCCACAAATTGATTTCAATAAACAAAAATGCAATGGTCCGACCTACATGATCATCACCAAATTGGTTGCTCATGTTGAAAGGGGAAGGCAACTGGCTACCAGCACAAAATCATCAAGTTTGCAACCCTAGTACACCTGGGGGAAAAAAAAAAGAAAATTCTTGTCAATGAGATTTTATTAGTTTTATTTAATTCTTAGTTCAAGCTATAAAATATTGATTTTCCTCCTTCCTTTCTCCTTTCCTTTTAAGAACAATGTATCATTAACCTTAAGGAGGGTCTCCATACTTATATACAAACTATTCATATTGCTTCTTCATAAATCCAATCTATGCAGAACCTAAAGATAGCAAACTGATACTAAGCTCATTAGCTTTTAGCATTTCTCAGATCCATTCTTAAATTAGGTCCATCTAGTTTGTGGTTACTTCAAAAAGGCATGGCAATTCAACGAATTTATAAAAAGATCAGCAAAGCAAACCTTATAGAAAATGTATGCCCCATTTGGTTCAAAATAAAATATGAGAGTCAAGGGGTTGTCCTTTAATGAACACCTAATTCTCAAACCACAAGTCATCTAAGCAATTATCTCTGTAACATATCCAACAGAAAAGTTTAGAATTTGTAAGGCATTACAAGTTAGGGGCACTTATGTAATTTCAAGATGTTCTGGAAATAGTTAATTAAGGGGCTGTTCGGTAATGTTGAGGCTTTCACTTTCTGTTCATTTCCCAAAAAAAGAACTAAAAATCCCAGCTAAGTGCTGTTTTTTTTTTTTTTTTTTTTTTTTTTTTTTTTTTTTTTTTTTTTTTTTTCAGAACAGTAATAAACACTTAAACAACAGACAACCAGAAGTGGTTTCACATCTTTCATTTTTGTTTTCTTTTCTCATTTGTCAAACACTCTTTCCATATAATGCCATCCTCACTTATAATCTCTACAACCAAATTTCTTTTGATTTGCTCATCCCAAATTTACTAGATCTGAAACTTTTTGATACAGTGTCCCTAATTTTGCAAAGAAACACCACAATTTTTCCAACTAGATCTGAGTTTTGGGTAGTAAATTTGTTAATTCGATTTTGAAAATGGGTAAGCAGTTGTTGCCTTCACATTCTATATTTAATTTTCTAGACTTGATTTTGATGGGAAAGAGAGCATCAGTTTATTATATTTTGCACTCAAGGTGTTTTGAAAAATGATTATAATGATGAAATGAAAAAGATTCCAAATTTTTTTTTCCTGCCTGTTAACATTGAATATCATTTTATACAAAACATTAGAAAACAATAAACTGATTTTGGGTGACAAAAAAAAGCATGTACCTGCGCTGGACAGGCTCTGACGTTTCCGATTTCTCATTTTAATATAAAGTGTTTAGTTTTTCTTCGACATGAAATTTTATTTAGAATTTTACTAGCTCAGTTAGCAGATTTTTTATGATTGTAATGTTTTAGATTCTAGAGAATAGAATAAGTTACTCTGAATCTGATGAATGTTATAGTTCTAGGAAGTCTGAGGCTTGTTGATAAGAATGTGTCTAACATCTAATAGTGCAAGATGAGTTATCCTTAATTTGCTGTGAGGGCTTCGGAAATGACTAGGGAAAATAACAGCATGAATTGCTAAATTTGGAAAGAGGATTTTCTAAAATCCATGGAATTTTCCAAATTAACTAATTAGAAACAGAGATTTGTAATTCAATGGATTTGGACAATCTCCATCACTTGGTAAACAATCTCAATTCTATTGATTCTGCGATAACAAAAAAGAAAATACTAAAATGAGCATTATCAACCTCTTGGTGGAATTTCAAAATCCCTCATCTTCTAATGTGTCCTGGAATGAGTAAGATATTTATCAAAATTCATGAATTTTCTTATCTACTAGGTTTTTCTCGGATCTTTTTGGTTTTCTGACACAAAATTTCTTAAACCAAATACTGCAACAATCTCATCCTATGAATTCTTCATATCCATAGCAAGCACATCCAACTAAACTAAACTAAACAAAAATTAAAAAAGAAATATTAGGGGCACGCTACGATATTCACCGTGTCAGTGCCCAAAATCTCAATTTACAATAGGACATGCAGGGAAAGCAGGAGAAATATGCGAGAAAAAGACGGAAAAAATAAAGATAGATTCAGAATTCTTTCAAATCTGACAGTGAAGAAATCAAAGATGGATTGAGAAACCAACGAACCTGTTACGAATTCAGAAATCTTCAAAATTAAAGAAACTTTCTACTTTCCTTCTAAACCTTCAAAATATCAAACTTTGTCGACAAGTATGGAGAAGAAGATGAAGGATTGACTTGGATCGTCGCTGTCGCTCCCTCGCTGTTTTGTGCAGTGAGGACTGAAGGTGGGATTACAGCGCGTGGCTTCTTTTTCAGTTATTTGTTTCCTCGTGTTCTAAAGAGTAAAGGCTATCGTTTTTGATTATACAAGGGCAGTGTCATTTTCATTTTTGTGAAGAGTTGCATAAGAATTACCAAAATTAGCGTGATTGCTCTCCTAATTTTATACTTAATTTGGTCAAGGGCAACTTACTTTTTTATTTATCCATTTTTAGTCCTTTATTTAAAATAATTTGAAACAATAATATGTAGGGACCACAAAACGAACTGTATCTATTTCCATTTATCATTTTTACTCCTCTTAAATGGTAAATTTTAAATTAGTCAAAGTCAAATTTATTTTAAATATATTTAAAATCTATGGGAACACAGATAGTTAGAAGGTAACAAAACAGTAACCCTCTTGAAATCGAAGTACTGGAAAACATTGAGAATGATTTGAAAACAGTGTCTGAAATCCTAAGAACTTGGACGTGTGATTTATTTTGGGTTTAGTAGGTGCAGGAGTATTATTCATCGTTGTAGTTGTAGGTTATTAAGCAATTCATGTTACTTTCTCCATTAACATTTACTTGAGTTCTATTCTTGTAAGACAATGGCATTCTAAATGTTTATATGCTCAGTTGTGCAGTATATGACAGATGGCGTGCTTTTGCGTGCACTCTAAAAGACTCTGATCTTGAAAGGTACAGGTAAGGTAAGAAGTTATTGTTTATCTCAATTTTATGAGCAACTCATTTTTGCTGGATCAGAAGTCCTTAGTTTGATGGTTTTGTTGCAGGGTCATAGTCATGGACGACGCACATGAAATATCTTTAAGCACCGATGTGCTGTTTGGGATATTGAAGAAGGTGGTTGCACAGCGTCGTGACTTCAAGCTTATAGTAACATCTGCAACTCTAAATGCTGAGAAATTTTCCAATTTCTTTGGGAGGTAACCTATTTGCCTTTTGCTATTAAAATAAGGCAGCGTTCTTGAGTCCATTTGGCTTACATAGATTTTAAATACAAATTTAATTTTCTAAATTTGCTGCAATGTACCGATTTTCCACATTCCAGGGAGAACATTCCCCGTGAATACTTTACACACAATAAAAGTCCCTGTGAAGATTATGTTGAAGCTGCAGTGAAGCAAGCCATGACCATTCACATTACCAGTGCACCAGGCGATATTCTGATATTTATGACTGGCCAAGACGAAATTGAAGCGGCCTGTTATGCCCTAGCTGAGCGCATGAACAACTTATCTCTTCCTCAAAGAAAGCAGTACCTAAGCTCATGATACTACCTATATACTCCCAAGTGCCAGCTGATTTGCAACCAAAAATATTCCAAAAAGCGGAAGATGGGGCCGGTAAATGCATTGTTGCCACCAACATTGCTGAAACGTTGTTGACAGCTGATGGAATTTTTTATGTCATTGACACAGGGTATGGTAAAATGAAAGTTTACAATCCTAGGATGGGTATGGATGCTCTCCAGGTTTTTCCGGTTAGCCGTGCTGCTGCTGATCAGCGTGCTGGACGTGCTGGTAGAACTGGCCCTGGTACATGTTATAGGCTTTATACAGAAAGTGCTTACCTAAATGAAATGCTGCCAAGTGCATTGCCAGAGATCCAGAGGACTAACCTTGGTAATGTGGTTTTATTGCTGAAGTCTCTCAAAATTGACAACTTGCTAGATTTTGATTTCATGGACCCACCTCCACAGGATAACATCCTCAATTCAATGTATCAGTTGTGGGTCCTGGGTGCGCTTAACAATGTAGGAGGCCTAACTGATCTTGGCTGGAAAATGGTGGAGTTCCATCAGACCCTCCACTTGCTAAGATGCTGTTGATGGGAGAGCAACTGGGATGCATAAATGAGGTTTTGACGATTGTGTCAATGCTTTCAGTGCCATCAGTGTTTTTTTGCCCCAAAGATAGAGCAGAGGAAAGTGATGCTGCGAGGGAGAAATTTTTTGTTCCTGAATCTGACCACTTTACTTAATGTTTACTTGCAATGGAAAGAGCACCAGTATCGTGGAGATTGGTGTAATGATCATTTTCTGCATATCAAAGGATTACGGAGGCTAGAGAAGTCAGATCCCAGCTGCTGGATATTCTCAAAACTTTGAAAATCCCATTAACTTCTTGTGGGCATGATTGGGATGTCATAAGGAAAGCAATTTGTTCTGCATATTTCCACAATGCAGCAAGGTTAAAGGGTGTTGGGGAATATGTCAATTGCAGGAAAGGAAAGCAATTTGTTCTGCATAAATTTCCACATGCAGCAAGGTTAAAGGGTGTTTGGGGAATATGTCAATTGCAGAACGGAATGCCATGCATCTTCACCGAGTAGTTGCGCTGTATGGCTTAGGTTAAACTCCGAAAAAGGGTCTATCATTAACTTCTTGTGGGCATGATTGGGATGTCATAAGGAAAGCAATTTGTTCTGCATATTTCCACAATGCAGCAAGGTTAAAGGGTGTTGGGGAATATGTCAATTGCAGGAACGGAATGCCATGCCATCTTCACCCGAGTAGTGCGCTGTATGGCTTAGGTTAAACTCCCGAGAATGTGGTCTATCAATTTAGAGATTCAATGAATTTTTGGATAGAAAAGTTAAAAAGTTGCAAATGGGTCCAAAACAACCCAATTCAACTGCCCTAACCATATTTACTATAACAGATGCTGTACATGGGGGAACACGTTCTCTAAATCCTTGGCAGTGGAGAAGAAAATCATTAGTTGATATATTTTTTTATGTAAATATGTAGATTTTTTTTGTGAGCATACTGGTCAAACGAGTCATTGCCTTGTGTAGCGGCTTATTTCATTCGTCGGGTCTCATTTTTACACCCTATTACATTACAAAATACAAAACCTCAGCCCTTAAAACTTAAAAAACGTTTGAGAACTTCAAAGTTAAAAAATAAGGATGCGTATGAGCTGAGGAGGCAGGCGGTGCGGGTGTTTGTTGGAGGACTTTAGAGCTGCACTGGGTTTTAAGTTGTCCATTCTTAGAAATACATACACAAAGCAAGATTAAACTCACATGCATTAGTTAATAATTGTTCTACCTTAGTAATTTAAAATTATTGTATCCCATAAATGATAAGACAAATATAAATTTACAATACATTTTTTATTCTACATTATGATGCAAGCATTTGGATTTTCATCACTAAATAGCTGAGGCGCATAGACGTAGTGAACGAAATAAGGCGCATTGCCTTCTTTTGTGATCGCCTCCACCTTTTTCTCTGCCTTGAATTCTATAATTTCAGTCGACTCCTTGGATTTAACTTCAACTTTTGTCTTTTCTTTTATTTCTTCCTTTTCTTTTATTTCTTCCTTTTTCTCAGGTTTTGGGACTATGATCTCTGCATTTCTGTGCACCTTCTTTCGTATGTAAGCCAGAAGTTTATCGGACTCTATCGTTCCCTCAACTGTTAGATTTTGTGTTTTGATGTCCGTTTTGACGTTAAAAATACCTGCATATGTTATTTAAAAATTAGACAACTAGATGACTAGATCTCACCTAAAAATTACTTCTTGTACTGTTACCTTTGTGTTTCAGCAACCACTCATGGAGGTCACTCTCGCATTTGGCGCAATGCATGTTAACCTTTAATGATGTCGTGCGTAAAATTGCCTTCAAATGACAAGATAAAATCAGTCTAATCAGTGTAAAATATGTATTTGTTTTAATGTTAACTATTAATCATCTTCCATTTGTTTTTATCCAAGTAAAATATTGATGAGTTTGAGTGAAGAAGACTCACTTGTTTGGCTTCCTGGACTTCTTTTGTTTCATCCTTGATCTTAACTTGTGTGACCAGCTCAACCTTTCTTTGGCTAAATTTCTCTATTTGTTTATGAACTTTTATTACATCAATCACGCCTTCAACCTTGATTTCAGACTTGTCAATATCAAAGTCGACGTTGTGTACACCTGACCAGGAAGAAAAAGCAGCAGGGATAGTGCCAGATGAAGGTAAAAAATAAAAATCTGAAGTTGAGTTTGAAAACGAAGGGAGAGGACGGACCCCGGGTCCTCATAAGAGGATTCTTGATATCCCGTGCACATTGCTCGCAATGCAGGTTAACTCTGTAGACGGCAGTTATTATCTCGTCAGCTTCCTTCTCTTCTTTTGATACCATATCAATTAGCAGCCACTCTTGAAACATCCGAAGCTTGAAATGGCAAGTTCTACTCTTAAGCTTGTGGGATGGTTGGCGTGGTTTGCTGAAAGTAGCTCACCAGCAACTTTTGACCCTCAAATGTACAAATCGATACAGGCCTTCCAAAGTCTCAACCACTAAATATTTTACTTTCATCATCACCATATTTCTTTCTTGAAGAGAGATATAAAGTATCTAATTGGTGACAGACCCAAGACGTTCACGTAACTAATTGGTGTGCTCGAGTAAAGAAGAAGTAATATTCCATTTCCAGGTCAATGATGGAAAGTATTAACAGTAGATCATCAATCTTTTACCGTTGTTTCGAAAATTAAATATGAAATATGGATATAACTTTTAAATAGTAAATAAGTTTTAAATATGAATTCATGGGCTTTAAATTTAACATGTTTCTTATATTTGATAGGTGAAAAATAGAGATACCATCCCTTTTCTATTCCATTTTATTCCAAACCAATCACAAACTACTCTATCAAATATTTGCACCCGCTTGACTAAAACCTTGTTTAAGCATCAACTATTACTGCTACACTCCAGAACAATTTTACTATTAAACAATCAGCATTCAGTGCAACATTGTCAATTTCTCATTCATAATGGAAAAATTACAGTTAGCTGCCCCGGTAAGTAGTGAACGAGAATGGTGAAAATAGCAGAGGAACATGAAAATGTTCCCTGTTCTGTGCCTCTCTGATTTCAAACACAATAGAAACATAAGGAAAGAACCCAGATGGACAATACTTGCCTGTATTGAAACTTATTCTGTATATTCCTGGGTTCACAACATCAACCATGCTCATCAGTTGACCACATCGCCCGTCAGCATCTGTAGTTGAAGCCCCCTGAACTACCCAACTGTCTACACCTATCTCACCGAAAAGGGGACGGGGTTGAGTGCCATTCCACATCTCCAAACACACCTCAACACCGCCAGCTGGACAACCCCGAGAAACATCCAATACATGAGTGGTAATGGGTGGACGGGTTCGAGTTGGAGTTTGAGATGCCTTTCCAGATGAAAAGTTGAGAGCAGCAGTCAAATGTCCTCCAATAATGCCCACACGATCTTCTAAAGCAAAGAAAAGAAGAATCAGGTAGTTGAAACATGGATAGCAAGTGACAGGGCACCAGGAGTACAAAGTAACTCATACCATGGAGAAAGACCTTCATGTATGGATAACAATCAAACACCAAAGTGATTTGGAATTTGCAGAGATAAACTGCAACATGTTACAAGCACTTATTTATTCTCTCATTTATTTTTAGACCACTTCATTTTCCTTGAGATATTTTTCTCATTACCACATCACAACTTAGTATGTTTCCCGCCAGGCCTGCTGGAATATCAACAGACTATCCAATAGTATTTGCAGCCATGAACCTTAATTTTATTTAGTGCAGGCAATGGCAGATCTAGAAATTCTTTTTCTAGGGTCAACATATATAGTTTTAGTATCTTACAACTGACATCGATGATGGCTAATACCTTAAATGTTGTCAAGAATCAGATCATGTATGATACCAAATACATCTCTATCTATAAAAGCAACTAAACAAATACATCATGTATGCTACCAAATGCATCTTTCTATAGAAGTAACTCAACAATCATTCAACATGTGATTCCACAATTTTATCTTGATACAGTAGCACAGATAATGGGTAGTAGAATAAGTGCAAGTTTTCAAAGTAAGAAGTAAGGATTAAAATGATTAAAAATTAAAAAAAAAATGAAATGAATAAGAAATAAGAATTAAAACAAAATAATCAGAATGGGCAACTCCTTAATGAAAAAACTAATTAAGAACATAGTGAAATATTGAATACGTTGAGTTTGAGTTTGCTCATATTTTAAATTTGCTGAATATTAATCACATGATAGTTTGTTTAGTGAAGCATAATTTTGCAAAAAGAACTAAAAATGCAATGTATGTATTATGCAATATATAATTTGAAATTAGAAAGAGGGTGTGAAAGAGAGAAAGAGACGAGAGATTTAAAAAAAAAAAAAATGAGACAGATAAGAAACTAAAGTCGATCGCTATAAATTTGATTGTGACTTTTCAGTGTTTTACTATACTTCAAAATTCTTTTTAATTTTTTTTTTTTTTCTTAATTTTTCCAAGTGATTGTATTTTATTAGAATATCTAGACTTTGGAAAGAAAAAAAAAAAAGAGGGATCAATTGACCCCGCATTTGAACACAGATCCACCCCTAAGTGCAGAGGGTACGTTGGTTAACACATTGCAAAGCTACCAACAAACTTAAGGTAAAGAGCAAAACTCTCCAAGAGCATTGCAATGAAATATCCATATAAAGGATAGCTGAGGTGAAATATTTAAAGGATGCAAAAAAAGGGTCAACCAAGACTTTCTAAACTGGAATTGAAAGGGCAAGAGCAGGAACAAAAAGGCAACAATAAGAGGTCATTCTGACCCTTGTCCCCTAAGATAATGCCTTTATAGTGGTGGCAAAATTGCTTGGGAAAAAACGTACAGCTTATATGCCCTGGAAAAGATACAATTTACACTTGAAGCTGTTCTCAGTGAACATGATTGCATAATATGGAAAGCAACATCCCATCCCCACTTAAGAAGATTTAAAAAAAAAAAGAAACACACAGAAATGAAGAGAAAAAAACACCTTCTGCTTTTGCTCCAAAACTTGTGGAATGCTGGTTACCAGTTGAAGCAGCATTTATTTTAGTTGAGAAGAGCTTTCCAAGACGTAGTTCTGTTATTTTCATTTGCTCTTGAGCTGCAATCTCAAATTCAACTATGGGTCTGTTTTGGTACCGTTTCTGTATGGAGCAAAATAAAAATCACAGACATTAACTTAGATTCATGATTTAACACTACACGATGAAGTTTACAATTTATTTAAAGATTATGGAACTTGGAGAACACTCAAATCCAAAATTCACCTTTAATTCAGCAAGTATTTCAGTAGTACTCCTTCCTGATGCACATATAAGAAATATAAATCCAAACTTTTCCTTATATTGGGCATTCCAGTGAGAGAGTTCCTGCAAAGGGCATGTGGACCAGAAGGAAAAGCGCTGGATAGCTTTTTCAAGACTATAAACTAAAAAAAAAAACATTTTCTTTCATAAAGGAAATGGTTCAAGGAGGGCACAGGGTAACAGCAACAAAAACAGCATATATTTGGATACAGAAACATCTCCAGGCAAGAAAAACATAGGAAAGTGGCGAATCAGTATGAAAGCAGGAACTGAAAGTCAAACTGTAGCAGGAACTGAACCTGTAAACTGGAATCAGTAGCAGTTGCTAAAGCAGTTGATTGCTCTCCCTTGCTCCACCTACACAAGAGCAGGTGCAAAATCACCGAGTAAAAAATAACTTAAAAAGGCGAAGTCAGGAATGAGCAAATAAATTAAAACAAAGAATAGCACTATAGAACCTATAGAATGAATTGAAATTTGCCAGAACTTAGTAAAGCTACAAGGGTCTAAATATAGAAATGGAAAGTCAATGAAGCGTACAGTCTAATAGTTACATAGATTATCTAATATAAGCAGGAGAAGGAAAGAGGGTACGAGTCGGGAACTGAACTGAGCAGCAGTGTGAGAAGCGGCGGGGGAAGAAGGCGATTGTCCGATCTGAGGATGAGACGAGAACGCTTCCAGCCAACCATTCACATCAACCTGTACGAAATCATACGATTAGCACATATAGAAAAAGGCACGCAAAAGAAAGGAGATCCACCTTGTTGAACCAGATCTTTCTGGCTGCAGCGACAGCTTCATCGAGGGAGGTAAAAGGGGAGGCCAACGCCATTTCTTTAGCGAATTTAGTGCAACCACAGCATGCCAGAAAATCTTTCTCCTCAAACATCACTGGTTCCATTTTCCTTTCCTCTTCTTCTACAAGTGACAACTGATCGGTGCTGAAATTGACGCCAAATGAATCAAATTGATCAAGGATTTGAAACTTTCCAAAAAAACCGATTGGAGTCGTTATCGGATTCGGGGTGTATTTTATAATATCCGAATTCGATCCGGCTCACTCCATAACTGATCAAACCGGATTAGATTCAACTCAGGTTCAAGGTCGGATTAAAATCAATATAGCAATATCAATATCAAAATAAATAAATATAGACTTAAAATCAAATATAGCAATATCAATATCAAGAAAATAAATAATAAGTATAGTATATAGTAGTATAGCGAGAGGATGATGTACTATAATAAGCAAAGCAATTTTCCTAGAAAGTTGACATGTGTCCATATCAATTTCGGTGGGAGGTGTCTTGAGATTATAGGCTCATTATGACTGCGAAGTGAGTTTGACTATTTAATGTATTAATATATCGTCTTGTGTTCAGATTCGCTGGGGAGAGGAGTCAGTGTGAGATTTATAACGTTGAGAAATTAAGTATTGATCTTGGTTTGAGTGATCGAGAGACATTGTTGGAGAATTATTCTAATGTATTGTTTTTGGTGTTGGATTTTATTTAGATATTTAGGGTGTTTTTATTTGCGTTCTTTATAATGAGTTGGGTATAGTAAATTTTTGAGTTAGTGTTTTTGATTTGGTTTGATTTGATTATTTAATGTATTGTTTTGGTTTGGATTTATTTTGAATTAGTGTTTTTAGTTTGATTTAATTTGGTTATTTAATAGATTAATGGCTTTAAGTAATTATTATTAATTATTAGTTTTTAAAATGATAAAGTTTAATAACAAACCTTTCGTGTATTAATCGCTTCAAATTTGTGTGAAGTTACAAAAAAATTTCAACGCTTTATTAGTGTATTAATGTTTGATTTGGTTATTTGTGTAGTTTTATTAGTGTAGTCTTTTTTTAAAAAAAAAATTGGTGTAGTAATGATTTTTTTTTTTAATTTTAAATTGCTTACTCTCAAAAAATACTTTAACTTTCTTAAAAATATATATATATAAAATGTATCACTATATTTTTATGTATTTTTATAAAAGTGTATTGGTCTCTCCTTTTAAATATATTACTCGTTTTTTCTTAAAAGTTTAGAATTTTATGCATTTCAACTATTTCCACTCTTACTTAAACTTTTTCTTTTGTCTCATTTTTTAAAAATTATTTAACATATTTTTGCAGTCATAAACTATCAAATACAAGTGAAAAGTATTATAGAATTGAAAATTTGAATACAAATAGTGATAATTGAAAAATAAAAATAAGGGTATCATGATTGCAGGATGTGTCTTTCAACAATAATAGAGATTTGACTGAGTATAGAGATAGTATTGCTGGATGAAAAGGTTTAGTATAATATTTTACATTTTTATTATTTGCATAACCAATTAAAAATAATGCTATCATTTTAAATATTCATATGTAATCATTTTTTAATATTTGTTATTATAGGAAAATTGTATGCTATCACTTTAGAACTTAGTTCCTTTTGTCTAATGATGTAAAAATATTTTACATAAACCGTCGGTTTTAATTCAGCTGCGTATTAATCTCTTTTTCAAATTTTGTACTAATAGTTCAGTTCTTTTTTATTTTAAAAAGAAAGCCTGAAACTAAAGTTTATACAACGGAAAAAATAAATATTGTAACTTTAAACTTTTTAGAAAAAATTAAAGATAAAATAGACGGTTAGATTTGCAAAAACTTTATATTTTTTACTTTTAACATGTAAAATTTTTAAATTTTAAACTTGCATAGCGAGGGATAAATATAATAATTAATCTTGAATTTAATATTAAAAGCTTTCATTATATAACTTATTTTTTAAAAAACTAATTGGAATTGAAATTTAATTTCGATAAAATTTATAAAAAAAAATAAAAAAAATAAAAAAAATAAAAAAAAACCTTTTCAAAACCCGTGCTTTGCTAGTAAATATGATAGCTAAATTGAAAAGCTACTTTTAATTACATTCAATTTACTAATTTTGGTTTTCGATTTGAATTGGTTCAATTTGAACCTTTAACTGCTTTCAATCCCTCAGAGAATTGTACATAACCTTAATGGCGGAGGATTTTTTTTTATTGCAGTGATGAAGGAGGTGAAAAGGGATTTGGCAATTAAGTAGAGAGAAAAATTTACCATTAAAGAGAGATAGAGAATGTCAAGATTGAGTGTGAGTTTAAGGTTTACATATTTTCGTTCGTTTTATTTACGAGACTATCAAACAAACTAACTCATAAGCTTTAAAAACAAACCCACTAAACAAGCTTATTCGCCAAACTGACCGGTGTTCAAATTTGATTCATCCATGTTCAAACTAAGTTCGTTTATTAAAAGAGACGAACTCTATTGAATTCGAATTGGACAAAGCTTGATTCATCCATGTTCAAACTTAATTCGTTTATTAAAAGAGACAAACCCTATTGAACTCGAATTGAACAAAGCTTTTACGGAACCAAACTTCAAAAAGAATTCACAAATAGCTTTATCCATTTATATCTTACCATTATCTTTTGAATTATCACACTGTCTAATTAATTAATTATTATGCTTCTTACAATAAATTCAATCCAATAATAAATATAGACCTAATATATAAATTTACCCTTAAACTTTGGCAAATTTACTTTGTGGCTCCTTAAACTTTGTAAATTTCATACATAATATTATATTTTCACATTTTCATATTTCAGTAATAAATGTCTCTCAAAATAAAATAACTTTGCGAGGATTCAATCATAACTCTACACCTTCACATTTCATTTCGGCGATATAGTTATTAATGAAATATGAAATATCATGATCATTATTGAACCTCGAGCCACAAAGAAAATCAACCAAAGTTTGTGATCAAATTTATATATTGTCCCAATAAATATAGGCTTCTAGAAAATATAAGCATGGTGTCAACAGTACCACTAAATAAAGGTCTAGAAATATGATTTACAAGATTGTATTTCATCCCTCAACCCACGCAATTAACTGGGCTAACTATTTAAGCTTTGGGCAGGAAATGATGTTTAAAGCTTTGCAGTGGCATATCCAGGCAGGTGACGCCGAGCAGGCAGCTTCAAATCTTCCCACTCTTCGTCATCTATTTTGGAAAAGTACTGCTCAACATTACTGTTACTCACGAGCTCCAATTTAGGAGGTTCCCACTGCACAGGAAATGCGCAAGGAATAAAAAAAAAAAAAAAAAAAATCCAAATTTAGGGGAGGGTTCCCACTGCACAGGAAATGCGCAAGGAATAAAAAAAAAAAAAAAAAAAACGTTGAGAAGAATCATTATTCTTGTTTGATCTGAATTTCATGGAGGGTAAAATTATTTTCAAAAAAAAAAAAAAAAAAAACGTGAGAAGAATCATATTCTTGTGATCTGAATTCATGGAGGGTAAATTATCCAAGATGCAGGGATATAAAAATAGAAAGTCCATACCTTTGGGTTCCTATCCTTGTCCAACAGTATAGCTCTGCAACCCTGAATTAGAAAGGTGGGTGTAAGGGAATCTGAGAATAAAAATAGACAATTATAGATGATGTTTAACAAAGCTGAAAACCTCAAAGAAATCCTTGCTAACTTTTCCCTGCATGACATGACAAACCATTCTGTACTCACGCACAAGGCATTGCCCAACGCCTTCGAGCCTTCCCTTTCTAATCTGGAACCAAAGAAGCAAATTTTAAATTTTGGTTTGAAACAACCCAGAAGCTCCAATAGAGCCACTCAATGATACAATTTTCATTTGTTCTATTTTATCTAAGAAATGGCAAACAAATTTATGGACTTTTCATCTTCACATCAATTTTCTTTTGGAACAATTTCCACCTTGTATTTTATTCATCTAGAATTTTCAACCTCATATCCACACTGTTCAGATTCATGGGTGGGAAAAATGACATCTCTACAAATTAGGAAATAATATTACGGTCCTACATTGAACATAAGCAAGCTCATGCCAAATTGAGAAGAAAAAAAAAAAAACATAACAAGAAATCCACACCATGAAAGCTGAAGAGACATCAAATGAGAGAATTTCATAATTTTCAGCATTATATGGATGTTTGAGGTTATCTTTTAGTAATGGTGAATTTCAGGTGTATCGTTATTAGATTAGAAATTTACTGCTGAGACTTGCTATTTTAGCTCAGATCTATTTGCATGTTATCTACTGAGCAGATTCAAACTTTACGAGAGATAATCCTCCAATTTCCCTGGAGAGGTAATTTTACAAGTAGTTCATGGTGCAATAATTATAGTGAATGAAAAGTTTTGGATGTTTACTGGTACTCATCTAGGTAAGGAAGCCAAGGGTTTCAGACACAGAGTCTAGAGGTAGATTATGGTGTCAAAACCAAATAATGGAGATGTGAGTAAGCAGTATTGCATGATGCAATTCAGATGAGAATATATTGGATGCGCGATCCTGAACATCATGAGCCTGTTGCATCAATGAGTTCATATGAAACTCACCAAAAAGGTCAACATTACTGTAACTAAAGATGATGAACTAAAATTTTGAAATAGATTATGTTCAAAAGAGCTATATCTTTCTCAGCATAAGTTTTGGCTGACCTCTAAGTATACAAAATACAGTTAAAAAGTGCATCATAGTTCTCGTATTAAACCTTTTTGGATTGAATTTGATCTTAGTGATAACATAGTAATTAAAATCAACATTTAGCGATTCAAATTGAAATTTAATAACTCCAATAAGATTAGTCACTGTAGGAGAAATGAGGACCACACTCCATCTTCCAGGTACATCGCTTCGAAGGGAAAAGCTGATTTTTAAACAATAGTTTGAAAATGATAATAAAGTGGGATAACTATCGGTGTAAAAATAACTAAGGGAGGTGCTGAAGTTGCACAACATATCTTATTAAAACAGTTATTAAGAGCAATTCAATTGTTAGCAGTCAAATACTTGATCTACATATTTATTTTGAGTATAATGGGGAAAAAGGGCTTTCAAAGGCATGTCAGAGCACCCTTACCGATCTAAGAGAAATCTTAAGACTTGTTGGAGAAGCCTTCTTCAATGACTGAATTGTGGTTAATATCCAAGCATCTGCATTATTCATGGTCTCCCTCTCCTGCATAACATCATATCCGATGTAATTTTGCAGGAGTATCCTATGATTCCACATAACTCACCAAAAGTGGGAAAAGAAAAAGACTAAGAAATATGAAAGAATTATAAATCATTTTTCTCCAAATAGAATCAATCAACGACTTACGAGAGTAGACAAAATATCTTCAACTGTTCTCTGAGAGAAACATCTGTCAATAACTTCCAGCCTGAAACCAGGTGATAAACTGAAAATAAAGATCTAGGAAACACACTATGCCAGACTGGAAAATCTGCATCACAAAGAATAATATTTCATTCTTGCAAAATAAAGTGTTCTTTTATTCTTGTAATTGTAACTAAGGAGTCTTTTAGTTGGAATTTGTGCACACAGATCAAGAGTGTCAAAATAGATCATGATACGGGAACACGATTCGCCTATCACGGAAATTAAATGGGTTAGGTTTGAGTTTAAATGGATTCGTGTTATAAACAGGTGACTCTTATATGACACCGGTTTAAATGGATTGTGTCATGGGTTGACTCATCTAACCCGTTTAACCCATTTATTTATGGATAAAAATGTAATTTCACATATAATATATAAATGGATTTCGATATTATAACAGGTGACTCTTATATTGGACACCGGTTTAAATGGGATTGTGTCATGGGTTGAACTCATCAACCCGTTGTAACCCATTATTTTATGGATAAAATGTAATTTCACATATATAATATTATATAATATTATATATATATATATATATAACAGGTTATGCGGGGTTATTACGTATTATACTTCGTGTATATATAACAGGTTATGCGGGTTATACGTATTATACATGTCGTGTTCTGACGTGTGTACGAACCATTTAATTAAATTTGGTTGAATTTTTTTACCCATATATGACCTATTTAATTAAAAGCATTATTGTTTTAATAGGATGGAATTAATAGAACTGTGACTTGACCTTAAAAGACCATGCATAATTAATTAAAAACAAAAAGAAAAAGAAAATGAGAGAAATTGGACTTTGAGAAAGAAAGAGAAATTGAAGTATGAGTAGCAAAAGGACACAGTATTTGAACAAGCACCTTTAGATTTAACATTCCAAGAGTATAGTTCCGAAAGGATCAGAAGAAACAGTAGAAATTAAAGGATTTAAAAATCCAAGGAATATAAAGTCAAATAAAAAACATCAAGTACAGAATAGAGAACACCAAAAGAATCAAAATTTACTTTGACAGAATTAAAATGGTCTCTCTTGATCATGCTTCTAAGCATCAAAAACAATGAGAGAGCGAGTATACCAGCAACTCGCATCAAATCAACCCCTATTTGCAGAGAGAGGTCTTTATCTCTAAAAATGAAAATGAGCAAATCTTGTTTGAATAATGAAGAGAAAAATAGGATTTTGAAGCAAGAAATTAAATCTCAGTGTCTGTTAAAGATTTTAGAGCAAAAGATTGGGATTTGGCAGTGGAACGGCTGGGAGAAGAACAGAAATACAAGAGACGCTCAAGGTCGAAGAACTGCAGGGAATTATGGATTTTGACATTTTGGTAGTTTTATTAGGACTAAAACGCTGCTTTTAAGGGAAGGCCATAACACTGCATTTTTCATTTCGATTGTTCCCTTGTATTGACAGAAAACCAAACCGGAAACCTAACAACTGAATTTCTGGATTCCTTACTAAACCGAATCAATTTAACCAAAAAACTCAACCAAATAGATCGAACAGCCTTGGTTCAGTTCTTTGGTTTAAACCAAAATCTACTCTCACCTACCTAGATGCCTTTTACATGACTTCTTCATCTACATTTTTTTTTTCCCCAAAAGTAAATGAAATAAACAATATTAACATAAAATTAATAAAAAATTTTAAGTTTATAGAATTTTGTAGCATAATTTTTCAAGTGCTTGGAATGGTTAAGTACAAGGCCTATAGATATTGTTTTTAAAGAAGCTCAAATGTAGAAAGGAAGCTATGATAAGAACTGGTTGTAAAATAAAAACTAGGGTTTTATAAATTACACCAAGCAAAAGGTAATGTTTTGATGGGGGTGAAGGAAGGTCTAGTAAAGTAAGGCGGAATAAGGTAATAATCTTTTTTAAGTTTGGGAGAAAGGTAAAGTAAAAGAAGATTAAATAAGTTTGTGTTGTTTGATTTGAAAGTATCGGAAGATAAGGCTAAATAGAAAGTTACAAAAATATCCTTCTAATGAAAGTAGTTATTTTAAATATTTAAATTGATTAGAATCATTTTTTAATAGATATTAAAGATGGTTAAAGATATTTTTTAAGAAGCCTGTGAGTGAAAAATGAGAAGAAAGAACAAAAATAGAAAAGATACGAATGGGGGAAGTTTCAAGTTTTAAAAAAATTAATGGCGACAACAAAGGAAATTAAATATTAAAACCCACTCCAACCCCCGAAATCAGTAGGTTGGAAATGGGAAGGTTTCATGGGGTTTTCAATCCCCCGAACAACCTTCAAAAAACCTTTCTTTTAAAACAACCATCGTTCCAAACCACTAAAAATTTCAACTTTATGTTCTCTTGCGTTATCTTAACCCAAAAAGTCCTCCATCCTAACAATCTCTTAGAGGAATACATAATGACAAAAGTGAAAAAAAACTTGCGTTTATCTTTAACCCAAAATAAAGTTCCTCACATTCCTAACCAATCTCTTAGCAGGGAATACATAGTGGACCGAAAGTGAAAAAAAATAAAAGAAAATATTATATAATATATATATATATGGTTGATGGGGAATTATCTTCTCTCTTTATATATGGTGATGGGAATTATCTCTCTCTTTTCCTCCATCTTCTTCTTCTTTTCTTTACATCTTTGTTCTTATTATCGTTATGAGGAATTCTAGTTTTGGACATCCAGTTTGCACACCACAATGATCCAAATTGTGAGAGTACCTGGATCTGGAATGCAGAACCTAGATTGTGGTACTTTTTTTTTTCTTATTGGGTGGTGGATATAGGTAACTATTACATACATTATGTATGCTATGCAAGTGAAGGCTAATTGCCGGACTACAGAGTCGGAGCACTGAATCAGTAACTTAACTCCCTAGAAAATGCTCATCCAACACAAGTAATAGATTATTGACTCCTTATAGAGTAGACAAAATAAGAATTTTTATATGTCAACTTAAAAACTAACCGGTGATAGGTACTTTGCTCTTTTAAATATGGTTGTTGAGAGTATTCATCAATGATAAGTGAAATGATGGCAGGATCGCTTGTATCTGCTTTGTACAATGCTTCTTCTAACAAAGACAAGTTCTGCCAATCAAGTACAGCATATTGTCAGAAAAGAAAAACCAATAAACAGCATGAGTGCTCATAAATTGGTGAAAGAGATGTTCTGAGCATCAGAGGCACACAGCATCAGAGTAGTGGAAGGACACACTATATGCATTCAGACCCCAATTTTGGGATTCAGATTGGTAGATCTTTAGAACTATCACTCATGGTGAGCTAGGGTAGCATACTCTCCATAATGGATAAAGAAACAATGTAATTTCATCATACTAAAATGGGAATTAGCATGGTTCTCATAAGCAATCTTGAGCTCATAAGAATAAAAAAGTCAGAACATCAGATAAACTTAATTTAGTTAGCATAATATGTAATCATAATATTGATATTACTGTGAAGTCCTAACATGCAAACAAATCATCCTGAGTTAATGACACATTCTTAAAAAATATAATATAAGAACTTTTCCCAGTGAACATATGCGCCTCAGTGGAAATAAAGTCAATGACATGCAAACAAATCATAATATTGATATTACTGTGAAGTCCTGACATGGAAACAAATCATACTGAGTTACTGACACATTCTTAAAAAATATAATATAAGAACAACAATTACATACTTGAGGTCTGACACATTCTTTAAGAAATATAATATTAAGAATTGTTTCCCTGTGAAAGATAATAGAGCTTTCAGTTGGAAAATAAAGTCTAAATGATCTTATTCTTGAAACATATAACCGTTCAGATGGGCGGACAAAGTGGCAGGTTGCAGGCCACAGACACATTCTTAAAAAATATAATATAAGAACTTTTCCCAGTGAACATATGCGCCTCAGTGGAAATAAAGTCAATGACATGCAAACAAATCATAATATTGATATTACTGTGAAGTCCTGACATGGAAACAAATCATACTGAGTTACTGACACATTCTTAAAAAATATAATATAAGAATTTTTCCCTGTGAAGATATGAGCTTCAGTGGAAATAAAGTCAATGATCTTATTCTGAAACATATACCTCAGATGGGACAAAGTGGGTTGCAAGGCCACATGCAAGCATTTCAGCACCATCCAACCTTGCACCGGTAAGTCCAACATATTCCCCTGCCGAAAGAAATATAGAACCAAGAGTTTAATGTGCAAATCTGCAATTTTTCATCGAGAAAGAGAAAATTGACGGGGTTTGTGGTGCAGATAATTTTTCATTGCATAAAAAATAAGCAAGTAAACCAAAATTGTTCACATTCAATTGAAAAATCAATTTGATAGTAATTGGCAATAACAAAGACATGACACATGAACGAGCTCAAAATTTAAAATAAAAAATGATAGCTCGAATAATGAGATAAAAACGGCACCACTAAAAATATAGCTTGAATGTTGCCATGAAAGCACAAAAAGGACTGAACCCAAGACAAGCAAGCTAAATGAAGAAGCCGGAATTCATCTCAATTTTCAAGAAATTCAAGTTTATTTTAAATATCAGGTAAGGCATGTATAAGCAGAAACGAGGATAAAAATGGCATTACCAAAGAATCCAGGAAGCCTTGACAAGAAATAAGTGGCACCAACATCAGGAAAGAGTCCAAGAGCGGTTTCAGGCATCGCAAAGATCTACAAAAAGTCTCAAAAAGAAATGTCTTCAACAGTCAACTTCTGAGACTATGGAAAACGTGCAACACATAAATTCAGCTTTGTCCAGGCTTTTGCGTGTTCATATTGTTGACTTACTGAACAGGGAGGGTCTTCATTGTATTTTCATGATTAATAAATGAATGCAAATAAATAGATTGCAGATTCATTAACAAAGAAAACCTTGACATCATTAAGAGATCAGTTACAAAAACATTCTCTTCTAAGAAGGGTGAGAGAAATTCCCCATTGGTTCAAAACTGAACTGAACTAAAAAGAGAAAGGTACCGAATTCTCAGTTGCAACACGGAATCTACCATGCATTGAAGCACCAGCACCACCTCCCATGACAATTCCATTAAGAATTGAAACCTTCGAGACAGTTAGGGAACAAATTAGAAAGTTATTGGTAGTGCAAGCCTAAAGCACATGTTGCATACCTGAGGTTTAGTGTATGTTGCCATAACATAGTTTAACATGTATTCTTTCTCAAAGAAGTTGGCACCTAATCTCCAATTGCCTGATATATGCAATGCAAACGAAGTTATCAAATTTAATATCAACAATGTTTCTCAACAAGATTCTCCATATTCAGTTAAGCAAGCTGAGAGGTGTCTATTGATTTTGATAGAAAGGGAAAAAAAAGTAAATTACTGAAATCACCATGAGATTTGGGTCACTTGGCATAACATGCACTTCCATAAATATTTCAAAATGAGTTATGTTGTTCCATGAAGTTTGTAAGTGACTCTACAATTTACTCATTGATTATAAAACTACAAAATTTTCATTATACTTTAGTCCCAAGCATTTTAAATTAGTCCACAATTTAGTCCTTGAAAATATGACTAGTTCCTTTATTGCTAATGTTATACAATACTTCAGTCTGTCTTAATACTTTTTAAGAAGGCAGTTTCAGGACTAAAATTGCTTCTTCGAGGGCTTCTAATAATTCACCTATAGAAAACGAAAATGAAGAATGTACAATACAAGGAAAAAAATAAGATGAATAAATAAAAACAAGAATAGCAGACGAAGGATTTATATCTAAAGCAAGGGTTTGGATGATTTCTGAATTTGAAGGATAATGTTTATACTAATGTTTAGAGTTTGAGGGACTAACAATTATTAGAATAGCTAACAGATACTAACAACAACTAAAACAGTTAATGTTGCGATTGGGGCCAACGACAGTTGATAAAAGAAACCAAAAAAAGTATCAATACCTTCACGGATATCACGAACCACAGCAGAAACATCACCGCCTGCACAAAATGCTCTTCCATTCCCCTACATGGAAATAGCCAGGAATGATTAATATATCTATGAAACAGCTGCTATAAGCAAATGTAACTTAGCTCTCCAGAAAGTTGGAGGATCTTGCATATTCCAAGGAAGATGAAACTGAAGCTAATTAAAATATATAAGAAACCAAAATGGGCGATAAAGTCAGTAATCAAGACCTTGAGAACAATGAATTTGACATTAGGATCCTCCTCATAAGCAAGGAAATGCTCTAGTAGAAAAGTAACCTGGAATACACTAACATAAATGGAGTTAATACACTCTCCTCAAGCATAATATGAAAGGAAAATCAAATGAAAAATAAGATTCAGAAAGAGCTGGAATCAAATACCATTTGATAGGAAAGGGCATTCAGTTGTTTAGGTCTATTTAAAATCAAGGTTCTTGCAGACAAGTTCTCCTCTAATAGAACCTGTCATCAAAAAATAAATGGAACCTCCAATATCCAAAGAATAGAAGTTAAAACAAAAAGGTGAGGAGGTTCAGACCTGCTCTTGCTGGCCTCTAGCGGAGGTGAGAGCAGCCATCGATTTTGAATTCAATTTTCGGGGAGTAGAAAATAATCCTTCTCGGAGCACAGAAGATAACAATATTTGTTAGGGGTGGCGTTATGGACAGATCCTCATATTTTACTTATATTAAAATTGATGAAATTACCCCCATTTCCATTTGAAACCGATATAATTTCCTATTATTCATATATTTTCATTTATATTTTGTTGTCTTTTTAAATCTATATATACATCTATAGAATCCTGAACTAAAAAAAATCTTTAAAACACTCCATGCTTTCAGCATTCCTTTTTTTCTTTTTTTACAAATTTTCTAATCTTTGAATTAATTTTTAAACATTTATTTTCCTATATCAAATATCTAATTTAACATATATCTAAAATTTTAAATAATGAATAATTTAAAACTTTTGAATTTTGAAATTAAAACTTTTAAAATTTTGAATTTATTTTGAATTTTGAAATTAAAAATTTTAATTTTGTATCTATTATATTTATATACCTCCATATTAGTCATTTCCAATAAATTTTTTTCACAATTGTTTTTTTCCTTATATTTTGTTGCTTTTCAATTCTCTAAATTTCGATTGTTTTCTTTATTTTTTTCTTTATTTATATATATACGTGTGGCTTTTTGTTTTGCAACTTCAATTTGTTAATTCGATTTAGAAAATGGGTAAGCGGTTGTTGCCTTCAGATTCTATATTTAATTTTCTAGACTTGATTTTGATGGGAAAGAAATTTTTTTTTTGTTTTGTTTTTTGTTATTCTGAGTTCATTGAATATTTTCAGGGAAGAGGAAGAGAAAGTTGCAGAAGACGTCAAAATAAAAGATAAAGGAGAGTGGGGTGACATGGCATAGCTTGTGTGACTGTTTTTGCTGATTGTACAATTCATTTAAGCAATCCGAAAAAGTGACAAGTAACATAAGTAAATGCTCTTAAGGTACGTTTTGAAAATTAGAAACAATCAAGGGAAATGGGAGAATGCAAGCCCTTCTTTCCCAATTAAACAATTGTCATATTCTAATGGGAGGCGAAGGTGTAGAGAAATTGAAATGTAGCCAAGAGAATTTTAACGAAAGTAAGGTTTTAGTCTAGACTATATTAGATGGATTCAGTCTACTATGGAAGACATCAGACTGATCATTCTCATTTTCCAAGATTACACACACATATATATACATGTATCAGACTGATCATTCTCATTTTCCAAGATTACACACACATATATATACATGTATCAGACTGATCATTCTCATTTTCCAAGATTACACACACATATATATACATGTATCAGACTGATCATTCTCATTTTCCAAGATTACACACACATATATATACATGTATCAGACTGATCATTCTCATTTTCCAAGATTCCAGATGATCATTTTCTCATTTTCAAGATTTACGACACGACAGTGATAGTAGTTACATGTATATATATACAAATTAAACAATGGGTAAAAGTTACGGTCGTTATTTATAACTGTTTTACAATATACACAGTTTATGCAGAATTCCAGGACAAGCACAAACCACTTATCAGACTGATCATTCTCATTTTCCAAGATTACACACACATATATATACATGTATCAGACTGATCATTCTCATTTTCCAAGATTACACACACATATATATACATGTATATATATACAATAACAATGGGAAAAGTTACGTTATTTATAATGTTTCAATATACAAGTTTATGAGAATCAGACAAGCACAAAAACTGTGCCTACATGCCAGAAAGAACCCTAGTAAGGTTGCTTTGTATTGATGCAACTGAATCTATAGCAGACTTTGTCAGCCAGCTGATTCCCACTTTAAGCCGGTGTTCATCTGTAGGTAATCTAATCAAGTATGCCATTTTCCTTGCTGCAACAATGGAAAACCACTGGAACATGAACTTAAGACCAAAAAGGCACAAACAAACAAAGAGATAATAAGAAATTTCGGTACATTCAGTTACCAGCATGACCAATGGGACCCTCTAATGTTAGCCCTTCAATAAAGCTCGGCGAAAGAGCAGCATCATTTCTTCCAAGAGTCATCATTTCACCTAGATTCTGGAACCTGCAATTAACATGAAGATTTAAGTAATCCATGTAAAAGGATAATCCAATGCCTATATATATGGTTTTCTTTCTCTCGAATGATTATAATTATATGGTTCAAATGCATGTGAAACTGTAGGTGGAAAAGGAGTGTAATGAAAAGGACAAGATTGGAAAGCCAATGTGTATACGCCTATATTCGCCTGCATGACACTAGTCATTCGGGAAGCAGCAAAACCTAAAAACCTTCAAATTCTATCTCAAATTGCAGTTTGAAATATCTCAATGAGTCCCTCTCTCTCTCTCTCTCTACACACAAACATTTCATCAACAAAGAAACCTCAGATTCAACAGCAAATTGCATTTCCATCTTCTATAAAACTCTAACATCTTTTGCCAGTCAATTCAACAGAACACTACCCCCAGCAATGTCTATGCAGACAACAATCTAATGGCACATAAATTCTAACATGGGAAAAGTGCATATTTCCAACCTGAATGGTAACAAGGGACGGTCATTGATTGCTGCCCAAAGATTCCAACCAGTAAAATCTGCTTGCTGAAAGGCAACCTGAGGAAAATACGGAAGCCAGCCAACATGAAAGGGAAAGAACGTTTCAATAAATGGATCAAAAGGATCTCTCCCTGGATTAACAGAAATAAAGCAGTATCATATTAAAGAAATAGGATACCTGAGCAGTTGCTGGCAAAAGTCTTCCACTCGAATCCCTAAGACCAGAAGAGTCACCAAGTGCAAATATCCGAGGATGACCCTTAACTCGCAACGTTTCATCAGTCTCCGCTTGTCCTTGGGCATTTAGGGGCAGCTCAAAGGGCTGACGACATGATTCTAGTTGAGAAACCAATGGTTTAGATCCAACTGTCCATAATACAAGATCAACTTCAATAATTTGATTTTGTAATCCCTTTTTAGCAGGTTGAAGTTCCAAATAATATTTCTCAGCACTATGTTGTGTTGCTATGTCCTTGACTGCACTATTATCTGTTGGTTTTGCTGAAGTTTCCAAGTTATCCGCTACCCTTATACAGCGAACAAAATAACCCAATAAAAGTTGAACTTTCCTGGATTGAAGAACCTAGTCCAATTACAAAAGAATGCAAAGTGACTTTAGAGTGCTACTGGCTAATACCAACATGATTTGTTCTAGGAAAAGAGAAGTCCACAGGAGAGGATGATAGGATATGCAGACATGTGTCAATATTGATATATAATGCACAGACAGTCCACTTTTTAGAATAAATGGTCAAATATATAGAGCACAACAAGGACATCTAGGCATGATCACTGTAACTCAACTGCCATCTTAGGGATATGATGGGGATACAGCATTCTAGGAAAATAAATTGCCAAGCATTGAGAAACACAATATATAACATGCTTCAAGGTGCATGTACCAATCATGCGACGGCAATTGGTAGAATTAAGGAAAAAAAAAATCATTAGTTATTGCAAATTCAATTTTCTCAGAGGAAGAATAATAAGTTTGAAGGTTGCGTTCAAGCACAGTTAGACTTTCAGAAACAGGATCTGATTCAAAACCAATATATCTAACCTTAAGTGCAGCTTCTCTATTGCCAGAAGGGGCAGTTGGGCAGATAGTGGTATCTACATTAATTGCTTGGACCACACCTCTATCTTTCAGTCTCTCTGACACTGTCGCAGCTAACTCAACTCCAGAGTAACCACAACCCACAACAGCCACGTTAATCAAAGAGTTCTTACCAAAATTCTTCCTCTCTAATGCCCTTAGTTTATTGTCAACCATCTGCATCAAAGAATATCTACATGAAAGGTGAAGTATTGTAACTTATAAAGATAGAGCATCTCATCATAGATAGCAGAGTCCATCAGCCAAACTCTTACATATGCATCCTCCAAGGTGGAGAATGGAAATGCAAACTCTGCTGCACCAGGAACAACATCAAGTTTAGCTTGAGCTCCCAAAGCAAGAACCAACCTAGCTTCCCATGACAAAATATCAGCCAAGCATTCTTCATTTACTCAGGAATAGAAAAACATTTCCAAATTTACTAGGATACTAATCAAGTGAACTGCATATATTGTGGCATCATGAACAAAGCTAAAAGTTAATGGACGTTTCATTCATCTTTCTTTCTAATTTTATAAAGGCACAAAGTACACCTAAGACGTCCCATAGCACCACTGTGGTGTTTTGCGTACTTAAATCTTAATGACCAAAATAAGTTTCAAAGCACAACAGGTTTAGAGCCCTCTATTCCAGATTTTCATAGAACAACATATGCTCATGAAGTGAATAAGGAGGTCAAGGTTGCTACCAGTCATATTCAATAAGGAGGCCACTTGCAAGAAGCACAGTTCCACCACAACTAGATCCTGGTGATCCATTCATGCTTAAATGATCAGAGGGATGTAATAATTTTACTTTGTCCTGCAGAAACACCACACCAGTGTTTGCAAGCAAATCTGAGAATCGAGGAGCAATTTCCCATGCATCCACTTCTGCAGCAGATAACTAGAATTAATTAATTGCTCCTTTCAATAACAGCATTAAAGTTGGATTACCATTAGCAAGAGGAACAGGAATGCCACTGCCCAAAGAACAACATACCTCCAGACAGAAGCTCATATAGCATCGGTTTGAAAACAAAGTGTTCAGACTGGTCAACAAGAAGCACCTGGTCCCAAAGCCAGATTATATGAATATTGAAGATGTTTAACAGAATGATAGCACAGTCGACAAAAAAGGTTTTAAGGAAAATGAAAATTGTAACAGAAACAGAAACAATGCTTCAAATAATGACATATAATAAAATAAAACTATTAGTCATTGTTACAAGATTAGTGCTTGGACATTTCTACCCAGAAATTAAACCATAAATGTGATGTGCTAGGAACCAACCAAGTACCTTTGGTCTTTCACTAATTGGACCCATAGTGGCATGCTGTCATGCACTTCAAATAAAATAAATTGTGTACTTTATGGAGATGAATCACAATAATACACTAGTAGAGTTGGAAGATCATTAAACAAAGGTTAAGAAAAATTAAATATATACTAAAAAAACAAGCTAAATTTATTTATTTAGATAAATTATAAATTAACTAAAGATGTTACAACTTATGCACATGGAAAAATATTTTTTTCATGATAAAACTCAAAAGAGGCCTAGATAACCTTAAATACCCCCGAATTTTACGTGTTTTTTCAATTTTACCCCAAATGATGGATATAAGCTAATTTACCCTAGTTGGGAAAACTTAGTTGCAATTCTACTACATGGTCAAACAACAACCACAACAAAGCCTCAATTGCAAATTGTTGGATCGGCTACATAAATATTTCTCTCCATTATGCTCTGTTTATTGCTATATCAACACTAATGTCAAGACACAAAAGATCTTTTGCAACAACTTCCTTCCATGTGATTCTAGGTCTACCTCTTTCCATTGAGAACCCTCCACCACTAATGTATCACATTTACGAACTAGACACTTGAGAGTCTATGCAAGATATGACCTAACCATCTCAAACGTCCTCTCATTTTATCTTCGACTTGTGCTAATTGCACCTTTTGTTTAATATGATTAGTTTTAATATTATCTAACCTAACCACACACCCATCTTAATACCTACATCTGCACAACATTCATCTTATAGACATGTTGAGCATTCGGTGCCTAACACTCAGGGGCGCAGCGAGACTTAAGAATTTAGGAGGGCCAAAAAAAATTTTCAAGAGTAAGAAGGGCCAAAGTGAAGAAAAAATTTTTTTTGCGCTATCTTGTAAAGCAAAATTAGAAAAGGTTTTGGTATTTGGGGGGGAGCCCGAGCTCCACCCAGTCTCCCCGCCCCTACATTCACTCTCATATAACATTGCATGTCTCACCGCAATGTTAATTTTTGAGCTTTTACTCTCCCTTTGATATAAATGAAGTCAAAATATGGAATTTACTTATAAATGAATTTTTCATGTTTGGAATAAATTCAAAAATTGAAAATTCATTTGCTTTTATTCCTAAAACACCCTTGGCATAATAATGTTAGAAAGCTAAGACAATGGAGAGTTTTGTCATTAAGAAAAACTTTAACATTCATGAACTTTTAATAAACATCTTATCCAAATGGCAAAAGGGTGGATTTCTAACTTATTTAGTTACACTATTTGTTACTTATTATGAATAAATAAATAGTAATAAGGACCAATATTTTGAATATATTCATTTTTATTTAATATAACTCTGAATTATGATTACTAACTGAAATCTAAGGTCTTCCATAGCGATGCATGGGTAGTACACTAGTGATATACAAAAGGGAAAAAGATCTTCTATAAAACACCCATTGAAGCAACAATAAAAAGATAAACCATTTAATAAATTAAGAAAACTACTACTTCAAATGCATAATTTATTCTTGTGGCTCAATTAAACCTTACCTGAGGTTTCTTGTCATCACTCCATACAAGTGATTCTAATCGTAAAGCAGTATATAAGCCTCCAAATCCACCACCTAGGATACACACTCGTGGCCGCTACGACAAAAGTAACACATGCATTTGTTAGCAGAAAACATGGTCTAAAATGGAAAAGATTTTTTAAGAGTGAAATGCATGTACATTCTTGTAAGAGGTAATTAGCATATCAATCGTATAAGATATGGTCTCTATAGCCTGCCTAACTGCTTGGGCAACTTTATAAGCTCATTGTTATGGTGTGATTTCTAAAACCATAGTTGTCAGATCAATGTTTTAATCATGAATAATGAAATCTAAATCGCATTTTATGAAACCAGAATTAAGGACTCGATGAAATTGAAGGATACAACAAAACATACAAAACATAAAATAAGAACAACAAAATTCAATCATTTGATAACTAGAGTCCTTCTTTGATAAATGATCACTATTCATCAGACTCAATAGAATTTGATCAATCCTTATTCTTAGTTATGAAAGTCTTTAACCAATACAATGGTCCTATGGCCAATTGAATAGCATTTTCTTTTAAGACAAATGATACAAGTCTTAATGCTCCATATGTTCTATTTTTCTTAAACATATATTACATATATAAATGGAAAACTATTGAAATACATTCACGTTATTTTGATAAGAAAACTTTTTGAAATTCATATCAATCAAGCTACTCTAAAAGAAATTAAATGTAATATTCTTTGTTCCAAGTATGAATTTTAACTTGGGTCTTTTAGAATTTTAACCAATCATATACAACTTTCCTTTTCCATAATTAGAGTTTCTTTGGAAGACCATATTGTTAGAGGATTAGTACTGGTTGAATAGTATGTGATCTTAAAAATTTAGGTTTAGTTTTTAAGTCTATACAAATACCTAGAACTGTAATGCATTTAATTGAGTTTTGTTATTTAATAGAACTCGTGCCTCCTTTCCATGAGTTCTGTGATGCCATTCAACTCCAGTTGTGGTGCTAATAAGACCTTAGGTATGAGGCCCAAGGAAGTTTAGGTGTAAAACCTAAATTCTTTATCTTTCATTTTTACTATTCATGCATTACAGTTCATCGTGCCAAATTTGCATAGCAGACAGCCCAAAATATTCTCTTTCTTGTTTAATTTTGCTTCTCAATCCCACACTTTTAACACCCTAATTACTGACCTAAATTTCTATTCTAGTTTTCAAATAACTCAAAATCCAGCCTCAATTTAATCCTGCAAAGTTGCTCTAATTTAGGCGATATCAGAACCTGATTCCAGAAAATAGCTTACTGGTTTGCAAACATGGTTAACTCATTTTTTATTTTAAGAATGGAAACATGGTCCCTAACACAAAACATCGACTTTTCTCTCTCCTATAATTTATAAAGAAAAATCAGTAATTCCCCCTAACCCTTAATCTTAGAAACTTATGCCTGATTAAATAGTCTCAACATTGAAGTTGTCAGTCGCTTGCACCATTTGCAGTTCCTGGCAACCAAAATCGGATGGCACCACTGCCAAATCAAATTCACATCTTGTTCCTTACAGTACAATATCCCATGAGAAGAAAGAAAGAAAGAAGAAGTTGGGTGTAGAACCTTGTTATGAGGCCATGTATAAATCCGAGGTGGTGTCTCCCCTTGAGATATCTCAGCAGCGCCTTCATTCCTCCGAAGTGCAGCCGAAGCTACAAATCGCAATCGTCTCCTTGGCGAGTTTAGGGTGCCCCACCTATGAGAGATGGGATAAAATTTAACCAGTCGCTTCGCCCCACTTGAAATGCCTGATAAACACGGAAAATATAAAAACACCATTAATAAAAGATAAGGAAACATATGTAGGATGAGAGATACATAAAGCATACGATTAAAAGGAAGAAATGTCGCTGAAGAAGACAAAGCCATTGCCGTCATTGAAGATGCAATGTAATGATACAGGAAGTAGGAAAATGTAGGTGAAGCGGAAGAGCGGGGCTCAATTTCCCTGATAAGTGTCCATTTTAAATGCGGGTGAATATTTTCGCCTTTCATCGATTTTAAATTTTTAATACTTCCAAACTTTGATTTTAATACTCCTTTTTCTTGGTAAGTGTCCATTTTGCCAAAAACACAAAAATTAAGTAAATGATTAGAAGTAATTAATATGACTAACACTTTATGAAAACATCCTTCTACTAATAATAGTTGCATCAAACATTTATAGTATGTTCGTCAATATTAATTGTTAGATATTAAAGTCTTGGTTATTAGAGTGTTTAATAGACCAAGCTAGCTCAAAAATAATCATCCTTCGTGTAATATAAAAATAAATAGATAGTTTTAAATAGAAGATATTAGATTTATGTTTTATTAATTTTGATATATTATCAACCAACACTTAAACAATTATTATAAGAGCATTTACCTTAAAGGTTACAAATAATCACTTACAACGTATATGTTTTACTTGATTAGTATGGTATGCACATTTCTATTTATTGTGTTTTGTAATAAACCAAATTCACCCACAGCCCGATTGAGCATGCATTCATTAAAACAAATGAAATCAAAAGATAGATTTCTTCTCCTTCCTTCATTTTACTGAGAAAAAGAGGCAATATTAATCTATTCATGGAACCTGCATTTGTTATACAAAAAACAAGAACAATCAACAGCAATGTAGACAGCAGGTGCCATATATTTAGCTACAAAGGTAAGAAAGTAAGTGTTCCCACAACTACTTGGGACTAGAAAACCGGCTTCAACATTACTACTGCGTTACAATTGAGAATCGAAAAAACCAGAAGCCAACAATCTAAATGGTTATCTTCACCCTATCTTAAAAAAAGCAAGGACCGAAAGAAAGGAAAAAGAAAACTAATACATACACGATAAAAGTTCATAATGCATCAATTTATATTTTCCGGGGCTTGTTCGTATCATCTTTACCATTTGTTGCTCAATTTAAGTCTGGATCAGTCCACTGTCATGGGTTGGATCATGCAACATCTGAAGCGTGCCTTGCGCACATTAGTCATGATCTCAGTTTCGGCATTCTCAAGCATTCTGATAATATCAGAGAAAGGAGGACGCACTTCCGGGTTGGTGTCCCAGCAGCGAGTCATGATCTCACTCAGAACAGGTAGACAGTCATTTGGGATAACTGGTCGTACACCTTTATTCACCACAGCAAATGCAGCTTGCACTGCTGTCATGTTCTGGAAGGGTAGCAAACCTGTTATCAGCTCCCAAAGCACAATTCCAAAGCTGTACACATCCACCTTTTGTGTATAGGGCCTATGCTGAATCATCTCCCTGCATGAAATGGCAAGGTGAACACAGAGAATGGTTACGATACAGTCTATCTGACTAAATGGACCAGCCGCTAATATCTAACCAGCATGCTGCCCATGCATAGAACAGAAGAGGGACTCCACCAAAAATCAGAGAGAACTATTAAATAGCAATAGCCAAGATGAAAAGAAAACAAGCAAGCGTAAAATTATTACACTTCACTAATAGACTGGTAATAGTCATCTCCAAATTTAGGTTACTTCTTTTGATTTCCACTGCAGATTCAATCCACACAAAAATCATATAGATATATTGAACTATTGATAATACAGAACACAAAAAGATGCAGATTTAAAGCTTTGGATTGATTCATGGAAGCAAATCAGCCAAACAATGTTATGCCCACACTAGAACATTTGCAAGGCTGAGGAAAACAACTGATTCACCATTTTAGCTAGTCTGCAGATTATTAATAAGTCTATCATTACATAACAGAATCATATTGTACTTTCAGCTTAGGCAAATCACTATAAAATAAACTGGAAATAACATTTGCAATCAAACTAGTCATCGCCAGTCCAACTCATGGAACAATAATTATTTTTTTGCATCATAAGAACCTATATATATCAACCATTGTTTCTGACTTCCAAAATACCAGTTTTATTTTATTCATTATTCTGGTTAGAAAACCGAGCCTAGGGGAATGTGTTTTTCTCCATCCTATGATCTATGCTCCATGCAGTAGATTTTATATCAGTCAAAAAATATGCCACAAAGAATGAGAGCAATTTGTAACCCCTATTTTATGAGACCCTGATGCTTCCAGGATTGCCATCTGGTATCAAAAACTCATCGTCAATTCTTCAAACCTGAGAAATTCTCAAGTAGCTAATTCACATTTAGCAGCATTTACAAAACGAAATTTTGTTAGCAGAATACATCTAGTTCAATTATTTGCCAAAAAACAATTACACACACCACTCCAACATGAAACATTCCTTCAGATTGAATAATTATTTAAAAGCCCAATCAATTAATTAGATCACAGCTTCTAGTTAAGGTATCAATTTTTTCCAAACTTACTTCAGAATTCCCAATGGATAGATCATAAATAGACTAGATGGACCTATTATAATCTGTAAGCTATAAAAGCAAGATGGAAAAGAACCCTTGTATGCAGAAAAGCACTTGCAGAAAAAGATGGCATTTTAAGATCCTATTTCTTCAAATGAAGCATATTAATATTACAATTTAAAAAATAATTAAAAGCACTAATATGCATAAGAAACATTCATGTGTCTTCTAGGAGTAACTGCAAGCAGGGTTTTCAAGCCCATCCTAGTTATCAAACCAGAAAAGGGAAAGAATGAAGGATTAGTGATTCAACAAGGGTCAATTGGAAACCTATTAAATACATAGAAAAATACCATATAAAGCTTATTGAAATATGTAACTTCATTATATTCAATAATAAACTATAAAAATACATGTCCAATTAAATTAACGTACTAAATTTTATGTGGCATTTAAATTTTTAAGATAATGATGCTTCGCGATAAAGAAATTTATCAAGATAGCTTTACACAAGGGAAAATATATATGATCAATTATGTAGATTATAATTTAGAGGACATAAGTATGTATGAATTTAGAGGAGAATTAAAAAAAGTTAAAAAGAAGATATGACTGAGATGAAGGATTTGAAATTGATGTTGAATACATGCAGAATTATATATAAAAGATTTGCAGTATCCTAAAAGGAAAGATGCTCCGTGACATAGAGTGCACGTTTTCAGTTTTAGAATAAATAATAACGTTGCATTAACTAATGGCAAATTGACAATATACTCCCCTGACTATACAGATACAAACATGATGCTGACATTTTCTCAGAATGTGAGGAAAAATTAAGCAGGTCAAGGGAGTAATCACCACTTTCCTTTCTCCTTTCCTAGAATGTTAAAAGACTCTTCAAAGTTCTACCTCTCGAGGATCCCCGCATACCCACTCCTTCCAAACAAAGTATACAAACCAAAGTAAAGGGAAAAGCTCCCCAGGCAAGCAATTTATGCATATACAGCTCAGCGTGAGAATGAAACTTTGTATTTCAAAGAAAAGAAACAAAAAGAAAAAGAAAAAAGAAGGTAAGAAGCTGAACTTTCAAAGAATCTCTCATGAAATTTCCATATATCAAATCCAAAAATGATGTGGAAAACAGAAAGACAAATTTTCTTGAGAATCTATAACTATTAATAAACAGTAAAAAAGGAAAAATAGAATATGGAAATGTGCATACATCAAAATAAGGAATAAGGGCAAAACAAATTAAAAATTGCAACGAGAAGTATGAGTACCAGCCAAAGATTAAAACAAAAGAAAGAAGCCAAAATTTTAGAAAAAGCATCCAGGGACTTACGGAGCCATCCAACGGTATGTTCCTGTTTCCGGCGTCATGCCCTCTGTCTGCACCTCAATCCGTGCCACACCAAAATCTGCAATTTTTATTGACTTATCAGCAGAAATCAGAAGGTTGTCTGACTTCAAATCCCGGTGTATAAACCCAAGCCCATGGACATATGCCATTCCCCTTGCAACATCTAATGCCTGCTTAACTGCCAATTTCAGTGGTACCGCCCGATTATGCCTCTTATTCAGAAACTGCCGAACTGACCCACCCTTTGCATATTCTGTCACAATAGACCAAACCATGGGCTTACGGCATGCACCAACAAATCGCACAATGTTAGGGTGTTTTAGTGTTGCAAGCATCATGACTTCCTGCTGAAACTGCTGCTCCATCACGTGGGCCTTCTCCAGGCTATTCTCTGGTCTCTCCAGTATTTTTATTGCAACATCCTCTCCATTATATGTTCCTCTATATAACTTTCCAAAAGCACCTTGAGCGAAAGCTGTTCCCATATTCAGTTTCCTCAAATCAATAGTCCATTCATCATAGTTCGCCAATCCCTCAGTTGGGTATCTACTATCCATTAATGCTTGAAGTAGTGCGTCATCATTTAGCGCATGGGTAACCTTCCCTGGATGAAACACACTCTGGCCAACTGACACACTGTAGTTGTGACGGACAGGTTTTAAACCCGGGTGGCTTAAAATGTGGGTAAGAGAATCGTTGGACCCAACGCTACTGTTGTCCACAGACATTGAGACAGACCCACCAACATTGCTCGTCTGTAAACTGTCAATGGACATGTTTGTACCCTCACCAAGTTTTTGGTAAAAGCCCTGGGTGAAATCATAATAGTTGTTGTCGTTGTCATTATTTCCTCCTATAAGTCCAGTAAATTTTTGCCTTTCCACCATTTTCCCAACCATGAAAGGAACTCCTCAAATAAATGACAGATGCACAATTAGTCTTATCTAAAACTGGTCAAGCACATTTGATGTTGCCAAGTTTATAGTGAGTTTGCCCTACACCAACATGTATGGCTACATTGTAAGTCATAATTAAAATGAAATTACCATGAAATAATGATTAGGGATCCCTTAAACTGCTTGTAAATGACTTATTTCATTGGCATGGGACCCCCTTAGACCCTCTATCTTGAATCTTCAAATGGGAACCTCATAGAATGAAGCAACAATATGCATAATGAACTATTTACAGCAATTAAGACTATGATGAGTATTAAAAACTATCCAACTTCAGAACACATAATAACACAAAAACACACCAATTATTAAAATGAAGAGAATATGAACATGAAATTTAATACTCTCTGCTGAACTTGAAATCGAAGAAAATCTATTGAATGCATTGTCGGAATAGTTCATATCAAGTTAAAAAATTTCTATCTAAGCAGCGAAGGGAATAGTTCATGTAAGGCACTCATTAAACCAGGAGTCAAACAAAAAAACAGCATAAATATGAATTGGCGAGGAAGCAACACAGGGTCAAAACATAGAAGTGAACTAACAAAAATCTACTAGCAACTTTACAGATAAATAAAACCAATTCATAGACATCGATTAGAATAACAAAAAAAACGGAATTAATTAAAATCACAAAAAATACTAAAACAGTTCATCCATACTGCTAAATGAATCAAATGGAAACGAACAGAAACAAAGAAATCAGGACAACGAAAATGGAATTAGATGGAAAGGATACCTGATTACGATTTCAAAATTGTTACGAGTTGAAGCCGAAAAGGAAAAAAAAATCCAGTGAAGACGAGGATGAGATTGACCAGTCTTCGTTTCTTTTCTTAAATTATTATGGACTGTAATATTGGCGTGTACAGCGAAACTTTCGTTTGATATATCTCAAACCAAGAGGGCATGATATGATATTTTATGTTATCATTAAAATATCGTTTGATATGCGAAATGTTTTTTTAATTTATCGCGATAAAAGACGGTAAGGATAAAATTATAATTTGTTAATTATTTTTCACTTTTGGATTTAGAGGTGTGATGACAAATGTTGGTTTCTTTTCATTGTCGCGTCTCAAATTATAAGTAGTGTCATTTGGCTTACGATTATCCTCAATACATGACACTTAAATTGCCAAATACTTCCTTTACCCAAACTATAGCCTACTTACTATTTTAATAATTTTGTTGATACGTTAAAACCGTTATACCTATATTTAATATTACTGATCTTTGTTATGACGTGTTTTGCATATTGACTATGTTCGTTATATACTTATACTTTTTAAATTTTTTTATCTATAATATTAAAACATAAATTTTAGTTTAGATTAAAATGAATACAATTGTTTAATTTGTATTCGACTTTTTTTCGTACAAACTATTTATAATGCTACTTTTTTTTTATGTACTTAATTCTATCTTTTTATAATAAAATGGTCTCAAAATAAAGATTCTTAAAACCTAATGCTCAAAAAGAAAATCAAGTCATCACTCAATCTCCTAATCCCTGCCTTCAACCCCAAATCAACATCTAAATATAATTATAATGAAAAATAAATTATTTTTTAGTGCTAAGTAAAGAAAAGAAATGAAAAAATGATCTGAATCGATAATGGTAATTACTTTAACTATATTGATAGTATTACTTACCCACTGCATTAGATAAATGAATATATGCACATATATACAAATACTTGAAATCCCAGAAAGTGATCCAAAAATAGAGTGCTTATCTCTTTTACCTATAGATATTTGTAAGGATACAGAGTACTTAATGAATGGGTTCTTTTAAAACAACAATGGTTCTACTTTTGCTAGAATTCGGTGGATGTGATGGAGTAAGCTTGCAGTGCCAAAATGTAAAGGTGGGTTACGATATCGTGATTTACGACATTTTAACTTGGTGTTACTGACAAAGCAAGGATGGCATTTGCTGAAGAATCCTAATTCCATGGCTGCTAAAGTTTTGAATGCATGTTATTATCCAAATACAGATTTTTTTTGGCTTAAGTAGGGACTAATCCAAGTCAGTTATGGCAAAGCATTTGTGCCTCAAGACAAATACTAATTCATGGTTGTAGAAGGAGGATTAGGGACAGGAAAGAAGTCTCAATTTGGAGAGACCCGTGGCTTTTAGATGAAACTAACCCTAGATTGCAGACAATCTCGGTAGTGGCGGATTTAATCATTGGCTCTCATTGGAATATACCTCTTATCACGTCTCTTTTTAATAAATAAGATGTGGGTTTAATTCTAAAAATTTCATTACCTTTTTTATAACGAAAAGATGTCTGGCTTTGGTCTCTTAATAAAAATTTAACTATATGGTTAAAGAAGGCTATCGAGTTAGCTTAGAAATGGGGTCTATGGCTTTTGGTGTTGATGATATCTAGTGGGAGAAGTTATGGAAAGTTCAGGTGCCTAGGAAAGTGAAATTGCTAGTATGGAGGCTTTTGCAAGGGATTTTACCTGTTAATGTCAATTTAATTCAAAAGGCATATTGAGGTGGATGACCTATGTCCTATTTGTGGTGTAGAGGTTGAAACATCATTCCATATTTTATATAATTGCTCTTTTGCTCGGTCATGTTGATGTTGGTTTCTGTCTTCATTAGGATGGAATCCAACGATATCTTTTTAGGTTTGGTGGCATAATTTATTGTAGTCGGGCTCATCTGAAACTATTGAAGAAGTTTTAATGCTTACATGGAGTATATGGAAGCACAAAAATAATGTTGTATGGCATCAAAAATTTCAACAGCCGTAAGCTATTCTGAGTTGTGCTCGGTCGGTACATAGAGAATGGAGAGCAGCTCGAGAAAATATGTAGCATGAGACTCGTCAAGCTGTTGACTTGGTTTTACATATGTATTGGGTGCCACCAATGCAAGGGTCCTTTAAGTGTAATATTGATGTAGCTGTTTTACAAAATGGTGTTTACGGAATGGGTATGATTGTTCGGGATCAAGTTGGTTTTTGTTGTGTAGGAAGGATGGTTGTTACACTAGGTCAGAATGAACTCTTCTTGGTGAGGCGTTTTGCTTTAGAGAGGCCCTGAGTTGGTTGAAGTCTTTAACTTTTCAACCGGTTTGTGTGGAGACAAATAGTCAAACTGTGCTGGAAGCATTAAGTTCTCCTTTTGATTTTTCATCTTATTTTGTTGATTTTTGTGTATATGTGTGTGTGTGTAATCAGCTAATAAATCTTTTTTCATTATCAAGGAGGATAGTTACTTAATATTACACACCACTAGGCAATTATTATTTTATTATTATTATTTTTATTATTATTAGGCAACTTTACCTTTAAAAAAGAAATACTATGCAATTGTTATTAGCTAAGTTAAAAAAAAAAAAAATCTATCAATAGAATATATGTACATAAAATAATTGATATTTTTTAAATTGTATTGCTAAATTAAATTTAAAATTATTTACATTAATTTGTAACTTTTCCACAAAGGATCTATAATTCATTATTAATCTCAAAAGAATATATAATATATAATCCAGTAATAAAGCAATTCGCGCATTGCGCGGGCTTACTCCTAGTTTATATATAATATAGATAGACTTGTTAAAAGTAACTTTATTATTTTTATCAATTACCCCTTATTTTCATATGTCATTATTTATTGACAATCAATTTGAAAATTGAAAATGTGATTTATCCATTTTTAACACACATTAATCAACCGTAGATAACTACTTAATATTGGTTGATACAAAAAAGTCAATAATAATAAATTAACAAATATCTCATATTAAAATAAGAATATAATAGGAAAAATATATGTAAATTAACATTCTAATAAAAAAAAAACTAATTTTTTTTTAATTGTGAAATAGAAGTGTATCTATCAATTGCGGATGGGTGGAGTATAACATTAAGTGTTTTGGAGGGATAAATGGGAGGGAAACAGACTTAGTTTTAGAAGGAATTTAACTCATTAAATAATCTTCTTAAAAAAAAAAAAACTCATTAAACATTTTTCACCACAGTCAATAATTGGCAATTGAGTTATCTCATAATGCAATTGATGTCATGAATTGTATGCATATATAAAATAATTAATTTTTCTTAATTCGTGTAAAATAGAAAATTGGAGACAAAGAGAGTATAACATTTTACTTAATTGATGTCAAGTGTCAGGCTAGAAATAAATAAACAAATAAATAAAATAAATTACCAGTAAGCATACATCATCCAGGAAATCCATTTAGCTGACAAGTAAATATTCAAGTTTTGACTTAGACCTTATTTGATTCATAATAGCCTATTTTAGGGAAAGTATAAGGAAAATTATTGTTCATGAAGTATTATTTGAAAGTATTTGATATTTAAATCAACTTCTTAGAAATTAAATTACTCGCAAATTATTAAATTACAATAATATCCATAGTATGAATCTAGAGTATTTAGATAATATGATAATTGGTAAATTTAGTGTACTTAATTAAGGAAGTGCAACTTTTTTAGTCATCTCTAAAGAGTTTACTTTCTTTCTACGAGGAAAATTGGATGATCTACTTCCCATGAAGTAGAATTGATAATGAAAATGAAAAACAAGGACTTTATGCACCTTTTAGGAAGTTGCACTTCTCTAGTCTACTTATCTCCAACCAAACATCATCTCAATCCCTTTCGCTGGAAACCAAACATCACTCTCTCTTATTTGGGTCAAATCCTGCACCTTAGAGGATTAACAAATCAACTTACTCCCAATCTTACTTGAGGAAGAATCTAATTCCTCTGGTGTTTCTTCACTACCTATTTTATGTCTATAGAATTTCCAAAAGTGGAATTATTTAACTTTTTAAAGGATATCTCCAACCATGATTCACTCGTTTGGACATTTTTGGAATGGTATTACCCTCTAAAATAATGAAAAAATGAGCTGCGAATAGCGATAGAAAGATAATGTCTAATGGCAAATCCCAAGTATAGTCAAAATGCAACCTCCGTATATATCATCTGAAGACCTTATTTTCAACACTCATAGACTCAAATGTGGTCTGCAAGAAGAATTGTGGAATAGAAAGTAAGACTAAAATATTATCCTCAAATAGAAGGAAACTATCATTAAGGGATAAATTATATGAACCTAATGAAATTAAATTTTAAATAGCATGTAAATATCGTCTCTTTAAATTAAATTTTCAATGTCAAATGAAATTAAATTTTAAATAGCATGTAAATATGGTCTCTTTAAATTAAATTGTTTTAACCGGATCGATTTGTTCAAACTAAATAAAAACCCAATTGACCCAAATCCAAACCTCTTTGAACCTAAATCAACAAAGAAGTTGTTGAGGAAAATAACAATAACAATAATAATAATAATAATAATAATAATGATGATGACGACGATGATGATGATAATGATAATAAAAATAAACTTACCCAGTAGCCAACGTTAGCCCCCCTCTCTTTCTTTCCTTTCTTTCTTTTCCGTTTCGCTCTTGTCATCTACTATTACTCTCTTTCTCTCTCTCTCCGGCAGCTTATATTGGCCGGAAAAGAAGCTACGCCGACGACAGTAAAGAAACCAGCTACTCACTCTCTCTCTTCTCGCTAACATTTGGTCTATCATTTAGCTCGGCCAAGATTGCAACAACTAAACATTTTAAGTGTCGATTTTCCGGCGAGTTTTACAATTTCCGGCGAATTTATTCAGCAAGGTACGCCTCAAACGTCATCTTAACATTCCTAGGTTGATTAGCTTTGATCAATTTACAAGAATATGTATAGATTTTGAAGTATTAAGCTTAGGCTAAAATTAAGACCAAATTGGGAATAAGATTGAAACTTCATGATTATTGGAAATTCGTTTTAGATTAGAAATCTAAATCGAATTTAGAGCACCTTGACAGAAATTTTGCAAATTTTGGCAATGGTCATTTTCCGGCTACCATGACTGGCGCCGCCGCCTGCCGGTGGGGGTTCCGGTGACCGGTAAGTATTCCTAGAGACGGAATATACTACTCTTCGCTTAGATTATGATTATGCATTTAGTTTTGCGGTGTGACACGAAATGATACCGGAACGGCTAATCAATGCAAACTGAAATTAGGTTTTGAGGCCGAAAAATTGCAGAAAGACAATTAAATGAGAGCTATATGACCTTAGAAGGATTTAACTAGTTAGTTAACAAAGCAATAATCCGTTGAAGGTGACAACATTGTTTATGTGCATGAATTTGACATTTATACGACATTTGAACCTTTTGGATAATTTAGCTAATTTATACTTGAATAAGATTTAAGGAATTAATATTAAGTGGTTGGTTAGTGGTTAAAACAATAAAGATTGATTAGTATAAGCAGCCTAAGGGAGCCTTAACAATTATTTCAATAGTAATATTGTTTTAATTATAGCTTACAAAATTACAATGTGGTCATATGCGTTGGTGTAGGCAAATTCACTATAAGCTCGATACCATCAAATGTGCTTGTGCAATTTGAAATAAGAGTAATTGTGCATCTGTCATTTTATTTGAGGAGCTTCTTTGATGATTGGAAAAATGGTGGAAGGGCCAAAATGTACTGGTCTTATAGGAGGAAATAACGACAATGGCAACAACTATTATGATTTCACCCAAGGCTTCTACCAAAAACTTGGCGAGGGTACAAACATGTCCATTGACAGTTTACAAACAAGCAACTCAATGTCTGTGGATAATAGTAGCGTTGGGTCCAATGATTCTCTTACCCACATTTTAAGCCACCCGGGTTTAAAACCTGTCCGTCACAACTATAGTGTCTCAGTGGGCCAGAGTGTGTTTCGTCCTGGGAAGGTCACCCACGCGCTAAATGATGATACATTACTTCAAGCATTGATGGATAGTAGATACCCAACTGAGGGACTGACAAATTATGATGAATGGACTATTGATTTGAGGAAACTGAATATGGGGACAGCCTTTGCCCAAGGTGCTTTTGGAAAGTTATATAGAGGAACATATAATGGAGAGGATGTCGCAATAAAGATACTGGAGAGGCCAGAGAATAGCCCGGAGAAGGCCCAACTGATGGAGCAGCAATTTCAGCAGGAAGTCATGATGCTTGCAACACTAAAGCACCCTAACATTGTGCGCTTTATTGGCGCATGTCGTAAGCCCATGGTTTGGTGTATTGTGACAGAATATGCAAAGGGAGGGTCAGTTCGGCAATTTCTGAATAAGAGGCATAGTCGAGCGGTACCACTGAAATTGGCAGTTAAGCAGGCATTAGATGTCGCAAGGGGAATGGCATACGTACATGGGCTTGGGTTTATACACCGGGATTTGAAGTCAGACAACCTTCTGATTTCTTCTGATAAATCAATAAAAATCGCAGATTTTGGTGTGGCAAGGATTGAGGTGCAGACAGAGGGCATGACACCAGAGACAGGAACATACCGTTGGATGGCTCCGTAAGTCTCTAGATGCTTTTTTAAAATTTTGTTTTATTTTTTTCTTGTGTTAATCTTTGGCTGTTATACTTCTATTGCAGTGTTTTAATTTGTTTTGCCCTTAATTCCTTATTTTTGATGTATGCATTGCCATATTCTATTGTTCCTTTACTGTCTATTAATAGTCAAAGATCCTCAAAGAAATTTGTCTTTCCACTTTTCACATATTTTTTGGGTTTGATGCAAATCTTGGAAAATTATGGAGAGATTCTTCGAAAGTTCTGCTTCTTGCCTTTTATTTTTTATTTTTTTATTTTCTTGCGCTGTATATGTTCAGATTTGCCTGTCTGGGGAGCTTTTCTATTGTATACTCTGTTTGAAGAGTGGGGGTGAGGGAATCCGCAACAGATAGAACTTTGAAGAGTCTTTTAATATTTTTTGGAAAGGAGAAAGAAAAGTGGTGATTACTCCCTTGGCCTGCTAAATTTTTCCTGATAATTTTGGATAAATCTCAACATAGGAAAACATACCCATTTTCCAGACATGCATGTTTGCATCTGAATAGAGGGGACTATCTTGTCACTTTGCTATTTGTTAATATATCGTTATTATTATCATTATTATTATTATATATAGATATATATATACATGCGCGCATGCACACTAAAACGCTTGCCGAAATTACTCACCAGGAAACAATGACTTTGGTAAGTAAATTGTCTTTTCTATTTTCCTTTTTGTCCTTGGCCAGTCCAATAGCTTATATACTAAGTTGGTTCAATTGTTTCTGTTCATGGAAAAGCATTGGGCTTTGTCGTACTAAATGATTATTCTTACTTTAGATATTTCAGGTGATCTACAAATGGTTTTTCTTCATTGAAACCAAAGAGCCCCTAAATGACTTTGCTTAACTAAAACGACAATAGCCATATTTTAATTGTTGTTATTATCTATCGCATATTTCTTAACTTCTTTTATAATTTAACTTTTCTTGCATATTATACATATAGAGTATAAACTATCAATTAGATATAGTTACAATTTTATTCATAGTTAATTATGGTAAATTAAAAGCTAATTTCATTTAATTATATAAATGAATAAGTTAAAAATCTCCCCTAATCTTAATCTTAAATTGAAGAACTAAACTCTGGATAAACTATATTCTAACACAAAAATGGATTCACTTCATTTTTGTGGTACGTATACTATTATAAAAATTAATTAACTAGATGAATTTTCATTAATTTAAATTTTTTTAACTATGAACAAATGTGAAAAATTAGACAACATGAGAATTATTTTAAACACACATATTCAATTATTATTAAACATATTTAAAATTATTAAAACTACAAATTCTTTAAAACATGTTAACAATGTATTTTTCTAATGCTCTAAGAAGTATTACACCTAACATTCTAAATCTTGGGGCTTATTAGAAATCAGTTTCATGTTTTAACCTGTTACAGTGCCAACCATGAACTTTATAATCATTACTAAAGCCAGTATAACCTTTTCCCGCAAATTCTCATTTTTGAATAAGATCATAAAAAACAATGACTCTAAAGACCAGTTTTAACGTAATAATTGCCATGTCAAGGGATTTAATCTCATATATAAAATATCTGTTAAAGTTTTTCACATTAATTTAACTATTTTTAATGAAAACCAGTTATTTATTTTATTGATAATTAGAACATTGAGTAATTTTGTGGACTAATAAATTGTTTAAGTAGAGCAATTTCAAATAGCAAATTGGTGAGTGTAAAATTCAAACTTTTTTGTAAGCATAAAATTTATATTAATATATTATCATCACAGCAATATGTGAAAATACAGCTTGTTTATTCTATAACTAAAACGTGTGGCACTGTATCACTTCATTTTTCTTTAGGGACTTCATTGGGTGAAAATTCCAGAACCAAAGAGCCAACTTAGAGAAGCCTATCCCAGCAATTTCGTTATTTATTTATTTAAATTTGTAAGCTTGAAATATAGACCAACATATGAATTCACCGTGCCAATACTGCTATTCATTTCTTTCTTTCTTCTTCTTCTTTTTTTTTTTTTTTTTTTTTTTTTTTTTTTTTCTTCTTCTTCCTTTTTTTTTTTTTTTTTTTTTTTTTTTTTTTTTTTTTTTTTTTTTTTTTTTTTTTTTTTTAAATTTCAATTTTGCACTTCTTTTCATTTTCAGAATTGGGCTGTTGGACTATCCCATTAATGAAATTATTCAATTATTGCATATATATATAATTTAGATAATTATAGGGTTCAAATTACATCTAAATAAATCTTCGCTTTTGATGTAAAGCTCAAATTTATCATTTTTACTAAATAAGTGTTGAAGTAACAAGAAAACAAAAAATTACAAATTCTTACCTTTTTTTCGGATGAGGAAAAATAAGGAAGGAAAAAAAAAAAAGGAATTACAATTTTCCTGTTTGGGAAGAGAGAGGAAAGTAAAGACATTTTCATAATTTTCTCCAAATTGGAAAGAAAATGAGAACTGTTGTAACAGTGTGGAGGAAAAATGATTTATTTCCTCCCATATCCAGACACAAGGAAAAAGAAATTATTAGCTTCTTCCCTCCTTTATTATTTCAAACCTAGTGTTAAAGTAAAATAAAGATAAATCTACAATGCTTTAATTGAAAAACTCCGACCCAAACCACGTAATATCTTTGCAATTATACAAGTAACCTCATCATATCAATGGAAAATTAACACGTGTAAATGACTCACAAATCTTTATGCATAACTTCCACCAACTATCTTACATATGAGTAATAACGGAAAATGAAAACAAGGAAACTCCTGCAGTTTTGCCAGACAACCTTTGCTTCTTTCTTTTTTCGATTCTCAGTCCCTATGTTGCACAGAAACTTTGTTTGACTGCCGTTTCCACGTTTCAGAAACGTTTCCTGCACGGAAATGCTTGGAAACTTCTTGGAAACATTTCGGGGCTGTTTCCGTAATTGAGTAATGCAGGAACATGTTTCCCTTCCTGTAGATACGTTTCCGTAAATTGGAAACTCTCAAAAACCCATTTCTCTAATTAAATTAAATACATAAATAAATAGAAATTCATGAAACATGTATTTTTTATGAGTATGGAACTTGTAATTCTTTTGGATATGATTAAATGTTGATTGGACTTAACTGATTGAATATATTTAATGGTTTATACTAATAATTTATTTTTGTATATTTATAAATATTACCCTCCATTTTTTATGTGTAAGTGTTTCCTACATGTTTCTTTTTACTATATTTTTAAGAATACCGCTTCCCCGTGTCCGTTTCTGCGTTTTCACATTTCCGTTTCCGTGCAAGATAGCTCAGTCCTTGCATTTTTCCTGTTCCTTTGTAACTCATAGATCGCCATCACTTGAACAGATTTATCTGCAGGGATTTTGTTTTGTACTGAGATCTATTTGTTGGAGAACTTTCATCATTGATGGTGAGTTTTGTTCCGTCGCCTTCGCTTTTTTCTCCTTGCTCTTCGGTCAATGAGTTATTGCCAAACTTAGAATTATGGGCTTCTCCCAAACAATCTAGCAGAAATTAGATGACGTATTAGTGTTACAATATTTCCAAATCATCACAATCAAATTTGTTTTGCTGACAATAATTGTTTCTCCAAGAAACCATTTGTCTGTCTATTGTTAAATAAAATTAAAACAATCATCACGATAATAATATATACTTCGGTATGTACCAATGCCAATATTATATTTTGATACATTTTTCTGGCTGGAAATTTTAACAATATCCAAGTGAAATCTGGTGAATTTTTTGAGAAAACAAGGACAGCAGTTACAAAAAGTACAGACATTCTCAATGCCTGTGAAATAAATAATTTAGCCTTTCACTCCATGGACAGTCTCTCATAATTTGCTTGAACCAGTAGCATTATTGGTCAACAAATTCAGGGTGGGTGGATTAATCCAGGGAATTTAAATAAAAAAAAAATTGATGGTATCTGGCAACGTCCGAGGATCTATTAGAGTAATATATATACTCTAGTAGGATCTAATCTAAGTGCTAAGCCCTCCCTACGACTGAAATGCATATCCACTAGGGCAACATTCTATTCACGATACTCCAAATCTAGTATTCATATTATAACGTCTGTTTTTTTCGACATCAATTTTGAATACTCCACCTTAATCATATCTTCTGTTCTTTTTTATTTTCTTAATGTTAAAATTTATGTCCTCTAAATTCATTATATACATATATATAGTCTATATAATTAATCGTATATATTTTCCATTATGTTTAATCTGCTTGTCAAATTTCTATATCACGAAACATAATTTGTCTTAAAATTTTAAATTACGCTTGCATAAAATTCAATATGTTTAATTCAAATTGACACGTGTTATATAATGGTTTATGTTACGTAAAGGTTATAGAGCCAATATGCTTTGCATGGTAAGTTTCTATGGATTTAATTCACTTCCTTTCGCTCTTGTTGAACGACTAATACTTGATTCTTTCCTTTTTTGGGTTTGGTAACTAGGATTCGCTTGAAAATCCTGATTGCAGTTATTTCTAGCGGACTTTATAATGTTTCTTATGCATATTAGTTTGGTAATTGAAATATCAATTTTTAAGTACTACGAGTTTTAAACCTTTAGGTTAGATGTTGAACAAAGAATGAAAAAAATGGGTGCTGTCTTTCCTTAGAAAAGAAACGAGAACTTATATTCACAGTGTCGATGGATGCTCGGTAGTTTTTTGAGTTGCTACTATGAATTCTTTTGAATTTCTATGTTACAACTTAGTAGGATCTAGTTTAAGAAGAGATAGGGAGGAGAAGGAAGAAAAAGCGGAGGGGGAGGGGAGGTAGGTTTCCTTTAGAGCGCACCTTAAACAAGGGTCAACGGCAATGCATCAAAATATGTCTCTAGGAAAATGGTTCTTTCATCTCTTAACTTCAGAGCTGAGTTTCATGCATTGATTGAGTGGACAAGTTCGAAATGCATAAATATATTTGCAAATCTTGAAAAGAACATAATAAGAAAAATTATAATAATAATAATACAAAACTGAAATTGTATGACATTCAGTGCCTAATGTGCATGTGCTATCCTGTTGAGTCCATTCTGATCTCTTGACTAATAGTCAAGAAAATATCTGTAGAACGCATCATGGAAACTTCTCCCTTCCCTTTGGTTCTTTACAGTTTCAACCTTCTTGTAATGGTTCCAGTTGCTTGCTGTTTGTTTGATGTTTCAATTTGATATTTGCTCTTTCATGTTAACTTATCAGAAAAACATATGTGGTGTGATTATTTTGTTTGGTTAAGAACTAAGGCTTTATGGTGGAAAAATGTGCCTCATTTGAAGAAATTGAACATTAGCCATGCCTTCTTTTTATGTCATTGCTTTTCTGCACACAAGGGTTCTTTTCCTTTTTGATTATTATTTATAGATTGTAGTAGGTAAAGAATTCTTGTCTATTTATCTATTAAGAATTCTATACATAAATGTTCAGAAAAATAGTACCTTCACTAAAAGCAGTGATTTGAATAATTAATTCGTCTTTCAAAATAATTATTCAATATTAAGGAGTATATCATACAGGAGAGATTTGTGTAATTTTGTTGGAAAATCGTTTGAACTAGATATTGGCGATTATAGGAGCTTCGGATATAAGATGGGCAGAATCTTTGAAGCTTCAGGATGTCATAAAATAGGGTTTACAAGTTGCTCTAATTCTTTATGGCTTATTTTTTGAGATTGTAATAGAATCTACTGTGTGGAGCATAGAACATAGGAAGAAGAAAAACGTCAAAGGCTAATGATAAGCATGCTGTTGTAGGTTTTGTACATTTGTTCCCCTGTCACAATCAAACTAAATGGTTGTTCAGAATTCAGAGGGAACGGTTGATTTAGGATTTTATGATGCCAAAAAATGATTATTGCTTTCATAATTTGATGGATTGGCAAGGACTAATTTGCCTGTGAGGGTTGTTTCCAGTTTCATGTCAAGTAATTAAGAACTTATTAGCATTTGCAGAATAACTAAAATGGAGATCATGGTTTCTCTGAATGAGGTGTTTTCCATTTGTGATCCTCAGCCTTGCAAAAGTTTTATTTAATATGGGTGACACATTGCTGGGCTGATTTGCGTCCATCAACCAATCTAAAGCTTTAGCTCTGCATCTTTCTGCATTCTTAAAGTTGCTAGTTCTTCATAATATCTGTATGATTTTTTGTGTGCTTTGAATCTGCTTTGATGGAATTGGGAATCAAAAGAAGTAATTATTAGTAATCATTCCTTGTTTTGTTTCTCCTTGCGATTTCATGCAGAGAGATGATTCAGCATAGGCCCTATACACAAAAGGTGGATGTGTATAGCTTTGGAATTGTGCTTTGGGAGCTTATCACAGGTTTGCTTCCCTTCCAAAACATGACAGCAGTGCAGGCTGCATTTGCTGTGGTGAACAAGGGTGTAAGACCAGTTATACCGAATGATTGTCTACCCATACTGAGTGATATCATGACTCGCTGCTGGGACAGCAATCCTGAAGTGCGTCCTCCTTTCTCCGAGATTGTCAGGATGCTTGAGAATGCTGAAACCGAGATCATGACTACTGTGCGCAAGGCACGCTTCAGATGCTGCTTGGCCCAACCCATGACAGTGGACTGATCCTTCCTGAATACAAGAATGAAAAAAAATAGATGGTAAAGATGATAAAACAAGACCTGAAAAATATAAAATGAAGCAGTATGAACTTATATGTTTGTGTATGTATTAGTTCCAATTTCCCTTTTTAACTGTTTTTTGGGTCCTTGCGTTTTAAGATAGGGTGGATTAACCATTTAGACTGCTGGCTTTTGGTTTTTGGGCTCTCAATTGTAATGGAGCAACGATGTTGAAGGCCATTTTATAGTTCCAAGCAGTTGTTGGAGCTTTTATCTTTCTTACCCCTGGCTAAATATATTTGACTTGCTGTCGCCGTTGTCGATTTTTCTTGTTTTCTTATAACAAATGCAGCTTCCCCCATCCATCTGTAGATTATTTTTCTTAGAAAAATGGGAGCATTAAATCAAATTATTTATGGAAGTTATATTGCCTATTGTTTGCATTATTAGTTTTATGAGCTAGAGTTTAGTGCTATTTCATGTCGAAAAATGAGAGAATGTAATAAAAATTACGACGATAACAAAAAGAAAAAAAAAAAATCCTTTACTTCCGGGAGTTAATCTCACTCTCCCCCTGTTTAATTTGTAACTTCGTTGGAGAACACCAAATTTCTCACAGAAGGAATTAAAAAATGTTGCAACCAAATATAGAAAATCAATTTGTATTTGCCAACTCTGAAGAAAAAATTAGCTATATCAATTAATTATCGACATATTTACCATAAGCAAGATGTTGTATCTTTATGCAGTAAACTATTAATCAAATAATGATATTCTTCCTTTTGCAAAGTGTAAAGTAATAGTAAATCTAAAACTCGTTATTTCGTGAAGAATAATTACTTTTTTAATTTGATTGGTTGAAAAAATAAAGGTCATTTAATTTTGATTGGTATATTAATTTTTTATTTAAATTTAAAATCTACCGGATGCAATAAGAAATTATATTATAATTATACAAGATATATGTTAAATATGGTTAAATATGGTAAGAATATAAATATTTTTAAGGATTTTAATTTTATTGATTAAAAAAATAAAGGTCATTTAATTTTAATTAGTATATTAATTTTCTATTTAAATTCTGTTGGATAAAATAAGAAATTATGTTACATAATAAATAAGGTATTAAATATGACAACAATGTAATATCTTTAAGGATTTCAATTTTATTGATTAAAAAAATAAAGATAATTTAATTTTGATTGGTTATATTACACTATATTAGATATATATTAAATATGCTAAAAATCATTGTTCTGAAAACTGGACCAGACTGGCCGGTTTGATCGAAAACCGGACAGTGGTCCAGTTCGAGTCGCACTAGAAAATTGGGTGTTTTGAAAAATCAGTATGAACCGGCTAAAAATTGATGAACCGGACCAATTAAAAACTAGTTTGATTCGATTTCTGAGCTTTCCATAAAATATGGGCTTTTTTTTAAATTTGGGCCTCTTGAAAATTAAGCAACTGATTTTTTTATTTTTGGGCCTCTTTATTTCTAAACGCAAAGTACTATTATTCTTCATTAAAATAATTAAATTGTTTAACTTTAACCACATATGAAAAATAATAATATATTTTATGGTAATTAATTAATTTTTTTAGTTTTAAATTTATTCGTATATTATTATTGTTTATTTATTTATTTAATTTTTTATTCTTTTTGTAAATGTCAAATTTGAAACTATTTTTTTTATTGAGATCACATTTTTTTAAACTTATATTTTCAATTTTATTTGATAAATATATTTAAAAATATTATATATAAAAATCCGGTTGAACCGTATTGAACTGGTTGAACCTTTCGATTCAGCGAACCCTACCGTCACCGGTTTATTGACTAGTCCGATTCTCAAAACAGTGGTAAAAATATAACATGTCTAATTATTATTTTTAATAAATCTTTAATTTAATTGGTTATAATTATTTCTTTCAAATAACTTATTCTACAAAAAAAATTATTATTATTTATTAATAAATATATTCTAAGATTTATTGTTTGATATAAAATAGAAAATAAAATTTACTAAAAATATAAAATTATGATATAACACGTTGTATTAACAAACCATATAATGCATTAAAATGATATTTTTCTCAAAAAATCAATTATAGAATTAATTATATGTTCATAGACTTTAACAAAAAGTAAAAAAACAAATCAAGATTATAAATGATGCACTAAAATAATGACTAATATATTAATTATTATAATAGCTAATGCTGATTTCCCATATTTTTATTAATATAAATATTTTGTGGAATTATATTATGTATGAAAAATTAAGTTAATTAAATTTAAATTTTTATTAGAAAATTCAAATTAGTTGATAAGTAATTTCTTTTTGATGAGAATTTTTTTATTATTGTGGTTTGATTATGGATCCAAATAAAAATTTTGATTGTGCAAGAGCCATAAAAAACAGCATTCGACCCATAAAAAAGTTTAAATTAATAATTTTAAAATTAATTATAAATATTTATTTCAAAATCCAATAACATATTTTATTTACAATATTTTGTTTTCCAAAGCTACTACAATGCAATGTCTATAGGATAACCCATTGAATTGGATAGAATATTATAAGAAATTAGGAGTGAGGATTTCAGGTTTTCAACCTTACAACAAACTAAGAAATAGGGACGAAATTAGATAATCGAATTCGGATTCAATGACACAGTATGTGCTGCTCGTTACCATTTAATTAATAATTTAAATCTATTATTTTTCTCAAAAAAATTATATATATACATAATAATGTTATAATTATATTTAATATTGATATTAAGTCAAATATAATTTTATAATTTTTATTTTTAAAAATAAAAAGTTAAAAAATATTTAAATAGATTCGGGGTATTGAATTCAGATAATAAAAATAAATTTCTAAATGAATTTAGGCTTTCAATAGTAAATTTTAAATGGTTAGACCAACCCTCAACATCCCAGTAAATTTTCAACGGTTTGACGAATCTCAGACATCCTAGTAAGAGCAACATTAAACAAAGTTGTAGATATCTCAAAAAATTGCAGAATGGCAGTGACGAATCAACTCATGCTGAACTTGAGGAGAATAAAACAATAGAAAGGCCCTCCCTTCCCTCCCCTCCCCTCCCCTCCCATCCCAGTCTGGTACTTGTAGTTGTACTATGGCTGCTGCGTCGTCAAGTGAGCACATAGACGTGTTCTGGCACGACGGAATGCTGGAACACGATCCCGGCCAGGGCGTGTTTGATACAGGAATGGACCCGGGATTCCTGGATGTGCTAGAAAATCACCCAGAAAACGCAGACAGAATCAAAAACATAGTCTCCATTCTTAAGAGAGGCCCTATTTCTCCCTACATCGCTTGGCATTCTGGCAGATCTGCTCAAGTCGCTGAGTTGCTATCTTTCCACACCTCAGGTACGGCACCTTTCTAAACTTTACTTGATTATCAATCTCAATTTCAAAAAGTTAACAACTTCACCACTACTAGCGTCTCTGATGGGGTTTCAACAGCATATTATCATCCTGGTTTGAACTTTGTATAATAATTGCAGCTTGCTGCTAGTGTAACTGTCGTCAATTCCTAAAAGAAAAGGTTGAAAATTTGATATATATTCTTTGGTAAGTGTTGAAATATCTCCTTCCGGAGAGAGGAGAAATACATTTCTATAATAATTTGGATCACTGTTAGTTGATAAGATTGTAGGGATTGATATAACATTCTTATTCTTTTCTGGGATGCTGTATAATTTACAGAATACATTGATGAACTGGTCCAAGCAGACAGAGAAGGGGGAAAGATGATTTGTTGTGGAACTTTCTTAAATCCTGGCTCATGGGATGCTTCTTTGCTCTCTGCGGGTACTACATTATCAGCAATGAACCATATTCTTGCTGGACATGGAAAACTTGCTTATGCATTAGTGAGGCCTCCAGGTCATCACGCTCAGCCTACACGAGCAGATGGATATTGTTTCCTTAACAATGCAGGTCTTGCTGTGCAATTGGCCTTGGATTCAGGGTGCAGAAAGGTTGCAGTTATTGATATTGATGTGCATTATGGCAATGGAACTGCCGAGGGGTTCTATCAGTCTAATGGAGTACTTACAATTTCTCTTCATATGAATCATGGTTCATGGGGTCCATCTCATCCACAAAATGGATCTATTGATGAGCTTGGTGAAGGAGAGGGTTTTGGCTATAATTTAAATATACCTCTACCCAATGGGACAGGTGACAAGGGATATGAGTGTGCCATGACTGAATTGGTTATCCCAGCCATTAACAATTTTGAACCTGATATGCTAGTTATGGTTGTTGGCCAAGATTCAAGTGCTGTAAGCTGTTTCTGTCTTAATTTCGGTTTTTTTATCAAATGATGAATTAATGAAGGTTAGGTGTTATGATATATACATGCTACTGATTGAATACTGGGTGTTTCTCACTGATTATGTGTATAAATGTGCAGATATGAGTACATCTTTTCTCTGAGATTGACTAAAGGGAGGATAGATTATTGAAAGGAAGATTGAAAGAAATATGACATTTTAACAACTGTCTTAGAAATAGGAAAGATGCTACAGCTTGTATATGGTAGATATTCTCTTAGATTGGTAACTAGGGCTTCCTCTGTTTTCTTCTTTTTTTCTGCCTTTCCTCCCTGTTTTTTGGTGGATGCAGCATTGGGATGACTGACTGGATATGGATATTTGGGCAAAGCCTGCCAGATTCTAAGACCAGTTGGTTGTGTCTTCTTGATACTTCAATGTATCATCATCGACATATATTTTGTTAGGTTTAATGATATCCAATGCATTTCTGTTTTCAAGTAACATTTGAAATTTTTGTATCTTGATGAAATGTGTTCCATAAAACTAAGCTATTAGTTTTAAGGATATATGTTCCAGTGTAATGCATTCATTATTTTCCCATTCTATTTTTAGATTTTAACATGCTCCTACTCATTGATGTTGTGATGTCCTTTGAGGGCCATCATTTATGGATAAATTGTAGTTTGATTATGAACCACTTAAATCTGATGTTTTCTTCTGCTGTTTTTCCTTGTACCTTCTATTGATTGCAATCTCTTACTTCAGTTTTATGAAAGTTGTCAGTTTCTGAAATGAAATATGATTATGTGACTCCCTGTCCTCATGTGCTGTGAATGATGAGACCTACCTCTGTGCAATATACCACTTGTTCTTGTATAATTGCTTAATGTATTAACATTTCTGGTGCTCTAGTTTGATCCAAATGGAAGGCAGTGCTTGACATTGGATGGCTATCGAAGGATTGGTCAAATGGTTCATAATCTTGCACATCGACACAGTGGTGGACGTCTTCTTATTGTTCAAGAAGGCGGATATCATATTACTTACTCAGCTTATTGTCTTCATGCAACCCTTGAAGGTGTGCTAAACCTTCCAGTGCCTCTATTATCTGATCCGATTGCTTATTACCCTGAGGATGAGGCTCTTGTTGTCAAAGTTGTTGGATCCATAAAAAAATACCATAATGACGCTGTTCCATTTTTTAAGGGAGCTTGATTTGGAGGTACTTCCTTCGAACCTCATTTTGACTCTTGATTCTTTTCTACATGTATTTCTATATTTTATGATAAATATTTATAATGTATTTAGTGAGTTTTTTACTTGCACCTCTTTGTGAAAATTGTTGAGGTTATTAGATTTGAATTTTGATAAATATAAAGCTAAATTTGACTTGCAAGTTTAAACTCATATCGTCTTATCTATAAAAGTAAGATTAATCCAAAAAGAGATTTTTTTATGCTGATAGTTAACTTGGAGTTGTAGGACAAAATTATTGTAGGAACAAATTTCTAACTTCAACGTTTAAAATGTGAGGTTATTGCGTCTGATTGGATATCTTTCTTTTGATTCTAGATTGATGCTGATACTCCACAGTAGGCGAATGAATTTCAAAGAGAAATGCCCAAATTGCCTCAGCATCTGAAGTAGCAGGAGGCTGTAAGTTATCTTGCTAAAGTCAAAAAACCCTTGCAAGCAACGTCAACATCTTCCGGTGCCGAGGATTTTCTGCAAGTGGGAAACGCGCCAAAAAAGTTTTTTCTGTAGTTACTCTTTCATTTGTGCTGATGTTAACCACTCGAGTAATATGCACCACTTTTCTCATTCTGTTATAGATGTTCACCGGATAGTGCGGCTGTGAAATCAGGTCATTGTTGTTCTAGGAAAAACTGGTTCAGGAAAGACAACTCAAATTAAAGACAACTCAATTGACACAGGTTTTCCCCATGCCTTACATTTTCTCTTTGTTGTTGAACCTGCAGATAATGTTTAACTAGTTATATTGTAGGCACTTCATGACATGGAGCCTAACATTTAGATTTAGACAGTATCTCCATGAAGATGGGTTACATGGGTATACGAGAAATGAAATAGATACTATGATGCGAGTTTAATCTTGCTGCAGTAGAATAAGACAGTTAAAAACAACAAATATTAGAGATTTTGGTTTGCTAGTATACACAAGCTTTAAGAAACGTAAAAGAAAAAGACGAGATGATCATGGGACAAGTTCGGTCTGATGTTGCAATATTTGTACATGATCCACCAATAAAAATTGAGATCCATCATATTGTTAGTTATATGCCCTATAGCCAATTTATTGGTTATATTTTGAATATAATATTTCATGTAATAAATATCTAATTATTAATATCAGACAATAATTTATCTTTTATATTCTATTAAATGAATCTCAATAAAAGATGAAGTCTATGAGATAATACTACTTTGCAAAATAAATTATAATGTGGTTATTTATAATTATGAGTTTTAGTTTCCATTAAAGAGATGTCTCTAAATATTCCTGGTCAATGTTCTCCTTGTTATTGGATGATGATTAGAATTGTTAACACCGATACATATAATGTTCTTTTCCTTGTGAAGGGAAGTAGTTGTTCTCATAAACTTAGATACGTGTGACATCTAGAACTAATATATTGGTGTTTGTTATTTAAATGAATCCATTGAATTCACCTCAAATTTCTCTAGGACACTTCCTGGATTAGATGCTCTAACTCCTTGAGTTGCCAGCAATGATCTTTGTCATGTCCGATATCTCTGTGGAATTCACTGTATTTGCTTTTGTTTCGGAGTGTTACCGATTTCTCTCTCAGCTTCCTCGGGTACTTAGAGTGGATTGCCTCTTTATTTTCTTTCAACCAACTTAGGATGTTCATTCTACTCTTAGCTAATGGAGTGAAATGTTCTCTCTTTATCGAGCTATTGCCTCTAGAATAGGGAGTCCTTATAGAATAGCTCGGTCTAGTTAGACTCGGCCTATTTACTCCAATGGGAGATCTTCTCCCACACTTGTCATCTCGCCTCCTAGTTTCCGAGTCTTTAGATTGTGCTAGCTAAGTCTTCCAGGCTTCATCCAGCCTTGCTAGTTATTGGCTTGAGCCATCAACTTTGCAAAAGAATATGGTCGATCGATATTCAGTGAACCAGAGAGTTTGTTATATCTATAGCTTTTTGTCATGGCACTTATGGTCACTTTTGTGTTAAGATCTTCACTTGCATAACGAGCTTTTGGAATTTTGTTATATAGTCTCGGAGAGACTAGTCATTCGTCCTTTTTAGGTTTATCAAATCAGAGATATTTTCTTGTTCGGTATGTTTGTAACGAACCGAGCCTTGAAAGATGCTGCTAGCTGAGCAAAACAATTGATAGATCCAGTTTTTAGCATCTGAAACCATTCATGCGCTGGTCCCTTCATGGTAATGGGAAAAGCTCAGCACAACAGTGCGTCCACCGTAGTCTAAATATGCATGACTGTTCGGAAGTTGGCAGGATGACTGTGGAATTGTTCCATGAACAAAATGATTTTCGAGTATAGAGAGGAATCTTTTTTCAATTTGAAGTTTGTATATCTCCCGCTTCCTGAACTTATTTTAGTACTTGAAGGGTCTTTACTTGAAAATCCTACTCGGTATTGTTGCAGACATTTCCCAATAGAGGAGTGGAATGTACATGAATATTTGTTCAGTCATTTGTTTGGACATAAATATACTATTTTACGAGCCACAGGCTTGTGCTATGCACAAGTATTGATTTTTAATATTTAATTTTGACATTCCACTTTTAATTAAAATTATTTCCTAATATCTATATAATTTATTGTAAATAAATAATTTTACATATTGTAATATTTAACTTTAATTTAACAAATATAATTAAAATATGTTGTGACGCTTTTATACGGGGAAATAATGGTAATACCCCACTCAAAATATATATGTGACATATATGCCTATACCTGAAAATCAGTCGGCGATGACCTTAATTGTCTTATTTGGATGTAGTTCTCTACGGCATTACATCAAAGAGGACACTTAGAGATAAGAACGACAGCAAAGTCGCGCGAGAGGTCATCTGTCTATTTTGTAAGTGTGTGAGATGAGACCAGAAACTGTAATGTAACCTTTTGGATTCTAAAAGGTACAGGATCCCCATTAAATGGTTTGTTTGTTACATCCATGATTGATCCTAATATGCCATATTCTAATTTGTTCTGTATCCTTTTATATATATATATATAAGCAGCGGTGACAAATTGTCAAAATTATGAAAAGAAGTAATCGAGGTGTTAATGAAAGTTAGACGTTTACTATACATACAAAGACAGTAAGGTTACATGGCAGAGAAAAAACAAAGTCTAACCAAATATTGTACAAAGTTAGACGGATTTCGTATAAAGGCAAACAATTTAAATTAGCATTTATACTTGCAAATGATAATATTTTATACATATTTACACAAATATGGTCTACATTACAACAATTTTGTTATATTATACCCAACATGGTGACATGTGCAACCTTACCCCGCTACTCAACTACCAGTTACATGAACAAAATAGTTAAAAAAGAAAAAAGAGTTGTACTTTAAGGGGGAAGAAATAAAAAATCTAGCAAAAGAATTCCCGGATCGGCCCAAGCATCGGCCTAGCTAGGACATGAACTTTTAACAAATGCATCTGCCTTTCCTAAGCAAGGGGTCAGAATTCTGATTTCATTAGCTTCGCACGTGGCTTTATATCGATGTTATCAAAAGGTTTCGCCTGTTCAACGTGGACATAATCCCTTGTTTTAAGGACCTGCAAATCAACGGAATTTATCATCATCAGAAACCCTGAAAGGAAGACTGCATAATCAAGATACGCAAAATGAAACACAAGTTGACCAAGCTATAGATTTAAAATTAAAATGGAAGCTGAGTCGGTTAGTATTTTGATCGTTTCCCCCTGTTCCATTATTTCCAGTCTCCTCTAAAAACTTCTTCCACAGCAAACCTGTCCCACCATCTAAACTGAACAACAACACACCTCCAATGATTCTTGTTTCCCTACATTTTGGAGCAGGCATTCTAGGGCCACATGCATAGACTATAAAAATGAGACGGGTAACTCCGGCTCGAGTTTTGAGCATACCAACGTTTCAAAGAACATCCTTGATGCTTCCTTGCGAGTTTTACCGGCTAGTAGGTTGTCCATTGACAGGACCTTTCTTCCTTGTCCTGCTTCCTTATCAAATAGAATCTGAAGATACTTGGCAACAGCCCTGAAAGAAATCGTACAATTATATATTCAGTTCAGCCTAATAGAAAAAAAAAAAAAAAAAATCATAGAAAACCAATCACATGATAACTACAAAAATTTCTTTTTTTCAAAAAAAAAAAAAAAACAAAAATTTCTTTTTTTTCAAAAAAAAAAAAAAAGTGCATGTCGTGAAATTAACAACGATATTGCAGGAGAGCATTGGTAAGTTCGGCTCAGATCAGAAATAGCCAAAACCGAGTTTTTCAAAATTTTTGATGAAAAAACTGAGCTGACCAAATTTGTTTCAGGAACTGAACCGCATGGTTTTTTCTAGTTTTGTGATTCAGCTCAAAAATTGACCTGAATAGAACTGAAGCAACCAAAACAATCAAATATTTTGACCCACAGGAAATCCTGCCGTGCCCTCATAAATTAGCAAGCCAACAATCAAATATTGAAACAGAACTTGTGAAAAACCAGACCACTAATCTCAAGGAACTTGATAAGTTTGGTTCTTAAGTGCCACAAAAAAAAAAAAAAAAAAAAAAAAAAAAAAACCAGACCACATAATCTCAAGGAAACTTGATAAGTTTGGTTCTTAAGTGCCTACAAAAAAAAAAAAAAAAAAAAAAAAAAAAAACGAAAACAGAGAGTCAGAGACGTGCCTACTTTTTGCCAGTAAAACTAGATTTTAATGTTCAAATGAGAGAAAAAAAAAAAAAAAAAAAAAAAAAAAAAACGAAAAACAAGAGAGTCAGAGACGTGCTACTTTTTGCCAGTAAAACTAGATTTATGTTCAATGAGAGTCCAAGCTGCCACACATTTGGAATCATGCCACTTGATCTATGTACATATGAACAAAACACCTTCCATTGATATATTTTTGCAATTTCCAATTCCACATGCTTGCTACACAGTAATTTGCTTGTTATGTTAGCCCAAACCACAAAAAGAATACTAACCTGGTGCGAGAAGACCACCCACTGTTCTCAAGAAGCCCAGTGTCTTCAGCATTAGGCATGCCTTCCTCATCATCTTCGCCTATTTCATCATCATCTACATTCAGAAACTCTGCAAAAGGGCCCAACAATCATATTAATTTGAAAAATCCACAAGAACACCTATACAAACAAGAAAAGAGGCTTTTGCATAGAAGCCTCTAAGAACTGGAATAATCAGTTTTAATGGGTTGCATAACAGACTATAGGTAGAAAAAGTAGCAATTTCTCATATTTGATGGAGAATTAAAGTCAAAGATCAAAAGTTCATGGCTTTTTTTTTTTAAAATTTACTATCATTATATTAGCGTGGTGGATGAATGATATATTGATATTGTGCTTTAATTTATCATTTTGAAAATGCTATTCATGCATTGTGGAATATTCACGCTACTTTTTGTACTTTGTCGTATAATCCACTTAACAAACATTTTTAAGTTAGGGATGAGCTCCTGATGAGACTTACTAAACTGGTTTTGGGTAAGCCAATTTTGCCCTGTACTTATATGAAGTCACAACAGACTTCTTTTTGTTGTCACACCTTACAAGTGAATTTCCATTTTTAATGATATTTGTTTCCCTCCAAGTGGAGCAACATATTTCATTTAGGCAATTCATTCTATTAGGTCACTAATTCTAAGGAAACAAGAAATGAAAAACTTGGAAACAGAGCAATAAGAAAGATGTGGACCTGTATCATTTGCAAATGCAACATCTGGAAAGTCCTGCACCACACAAACTTCACATTTAGAGAAAAACAAGTATTATTTTAAAGATTATACATCTCTATCTAATATAGGCATCACTGAAGCAATATCAATAACCACTAAATGGAGGGATAATGTAATGTGAAAACATCCTTTATTTTGCTGGAAAAACCGGATAGTCAGATAGCAACACAAGCACAAATGACAATGCAAAAATTTTCAGCAGGTCATAGTATTTTACATATTGCACAAGATGTGTCGAGTAGCATGATCTTTCTAACTAAAAGACTAAATTTCAACTTTAAGATAGTTATGCAGAACGAAGTAACTGAGCAGAAATAATATTTGTCATAAATGCCAAAAGTTCTCCATGTAATAAGGCAAATAAAAATGAGATCAAGAATAAGAGAAAAGCAATCCAAAGTTACTCTGATCTAAAATGATTTTTTATATGACTACAAGCACTTCAAAAAAAAAAAAAAAAAAAAAACTGAGTCTAAAAATGAATTTTTTTATATGAACTACAAGCACTTCAAAAAAAGAAAAAAAAAAAAAAAAAGTAAAGGGAAATAATAAAAACATTAGTGGGAAACAGCAAGAAATCACCCAACATGGATAAACCTACTCCCAAGTTGGATAAAATAGACATGTAAAGAGCAAAAGGAATATAATGATTTTGGATGATGCTGTGAACCATGCTTAGAAATAAGTACGCCTTGTTTTCACAAAGGCAAAAAACTAGAAATACAAAGAGCAAGGTTTCAAAAAAAAAAAAAAAAAAAAAAAAAGTAAAGGAAAAATAAAAACATTAGTGGAAACAGCAAGAAAAATCACCAATGGATAAACTAACTCCAAGTTGATAATAATAGACATGTAAAGAGCAAAAGGATATAATGATTTTGATATGCTGTGACCATGCTTAGAAATAAGTAACCTTGTTTCACAAAGCAAAACTAGAAATACAAAGAGCAAAGGTTTCAACTACATCCACAAACAGATGTCATATAGTTTGCAGTTAGAAAACAAAAGTTGAAAAGAATTAAAGGAATTGACATGTGGGCAAGAGAATGAAGATACTTCATGAGAAAGACAGAAGAAATCAGGAGTCTAACTTACACCATAATATCCAGCAGTAAGATGGTCACGAGGAGCATTTTCAACATCCTTGGCACCTTGAAGATCATCTTGCTGGCATACTGTATACTCTCCATTTAGGGAAGCATTTTTAAAATCCCCATCAAGTGCTACTAAATATGTAGAATCTGTTTTAGATTCTTCATTACACAAGTGATTAGAGGCTTGGTCCTTGTCATCAATGCATGCTAAGCTTGCAGCCAGGTCTCCATCCTCACGAAGAACCTCATGCTTATCATTTTCGATATCTTCCAAAGCTTTATCAACATTTACAGAACTGAGGTTAACGCATCCACCAGTTTCAGAAGACACATTAGCAAGAGAAGTGTCTGCAACATCAGCAGGTGCAGAACCATCTGCCTGAACATCTGCACTGATTTCAATTGATGCAGCAACTTTGCTTTCCTCCAATAACATTCCTTCCCCTGTCCCCAGTTCAGCCCCAACTGCCATGGCTTGCTCTACACAATTTTCTCCAACTTCAATACCATCAAGTTCTCTGTCATTGCTCATATCCCTTATGAAAGCATCCTCCTTAATCAGTTGAGTATCAATCTTATCATTCGACAAGTTCAAAGTATCTATCTGCATAAAATCATCCGCTCCAAATGTTTTCTCAGTGACAGCTGACTGATCAAGAGTAGCAGTGGGCATTTCAAGAATATCTCCAAACACTGGCTCACTTTGGAATGTCTCCAAACCCGAAACTGTCTGATTTGTTGTATGAGCAAGTTGAGAATTCAATTTATTAATTTCTATTTCACTTCTTTCTCCCAGATGTTCATGTTCTGAAGTTTTATAATCTGCTGTTTCAGTGCTACCATTTATATGTTCTTGATTATCAATATCATGAGAGCCTAAGTTACCTTCAGCCTGCTGATTGTCATTCTGAATGGGTAGCTCAGAGGGAAGTCCATCAGTGTCATTTCTGAAACCAACAGGTTCCAAGGCCCCTTCGATTTCACTATCTTGGTTGACAATCTGCTTGGCAGAATCTTCATCATTCACCAGTTCCAAAGGAGCATTGTTATTATCATCATTTTCAGAAACCATGATTCCACTCAAATCAAGTGCTTCATTGTGCAAATGAGCCAGTTCTGCCGACATACCTGAAAGAAATGAAACCTGGTCAATTACTTGCTTTCTAAGTAGAGGGATGTTTCATGTCAAAAACAAACAACAAAACCATCCCAAATGGGAAAGAGAAAGTTCAACTACTTTCATGTCCGAAAAATTTACACCTCAATTCTAATCTGAATTCACAAGCAGCTTAAAATGCAGATGGGATTGAGAGATAAAGCCATCACGTACTCGATGAAAAAGACGTGTACTTGTAGATACATATTGCCTATGCAATATCACTTTCTCAACAACAGAATTTATAGAGTACAAGAACATCATCCTCACTATACAAAGTTCATTTTCGTCAATGTGGATACACTAAATTGAGAAGTTTATTCTACATGTCTTACTCCTGAGGTTCAAAGTATAACAGAAGATATCCCCCTCACACCCAAAAGACCAATTCTTTTACCCTTCACAACCAAAGTAATAGCGGCGCATATCAACATTACTTTTAGGAATGTTGCATAAGAAAAATAAAAGTCCATGATAAAAATTAATATAAAATACAGGCAGGAAATCAAATTAAAATGTTTGCACAACAAACTGACCAGTCAATACTGGTTCACTAAAAATTTCCTCTTCCAAGAACTGCCTTTGAATCATCAAAATTTCAGTGCGTGTGCAAGGAGCTTTTTTTCGCAATCGACGTATGTCCTCTGTGCTTGTCAGCTGTTGACGTATAGTACTTCATAGGAAAAAAAGGGAAAATCGTCAGGACTTTACCACAAAAGATGATATCCAGGATAATAAATCCTAACTGAACAATACTAGCATATTTAAATTGATAAATCAGGGAAGAGTTAGAAAATATCTCCAATGCACAAACTATCTTATTAAAGCATTGTATTGATAATGGCCATAAGCAAGTTATAGCAAAATTAAAAGACTCCTAGCCAAAAACACAAAGCCAGAGGCAAGTATTGCTTTCTGATACATCTCAGTAACAACAGCATACTTCATAGAATTTTTCAGAAATTGATACCACTTCAGGAGGGATAATACAACACAAATCAACAGTCATACAAGTTCCAGAGTTTGTTATTGGAGAGAAGCATTATTCTCCAGCAGCCACTTAAGGGACTACACAATATGCTTTCTATGGACAATAGAAAGAGTTAATATTTTGACACAAGTAGATATGGAGTTCAAGAAGTAAAAGAATACATACTCGCCATGCAAAACCATTGAATCATCCATTAGCACCTTCCTCTTTAACGCACTAGGCCGAGATGCAAATCGGGTACGCTTAATAGGTGGTACTTCAGGTGCAGGTGGAGTGGGCTTCATTTTCAAAACTGAAGACCTCCTTCCAACTAGATCAGCAAACAATTATATCCAGTCAATAACATTTTTATGGGAACATACCTTATAAATCATATAGTCTTACAACTACTTAGAAATATAGGTAGTCTTATTTTTTCCTTACTTTTCTTCTTCTTTTTTTTTTTGTTCCCCTCCACTCAAATTAAAACCATATTGCCAAGCCCACTAGAATTAGTGTATTGACATTTTCAGGAGAAAAAAACAACTAAAAGACAATCAGTTGACCTAGGATTTAATGTTAGAGAATTTCAAAGAATCCAAGCAGGTTTACTTTTAAGAATGCATTCCTGGGTATTGAGGTTTAGTGAGAGTTTAGACAAGTGTTAAACCTATTTTTCATACAGCTTTATGTCACGCTAAAATTTGCAACCTCTAAATTCACTTATCACACACCATTGCATGTGAAAAGGAATAAACAGAGAATACTGTACCTAATATAGATGATAGCAAGTCATCATCATCAGGAATGGAATCTACAGCCGTTCTCTCCAATCTGCTTGCTCCAAATGATTCAATTGACTTTAAACTTTTTGCAGTAAGTGAACTTTCAGTGAAACTGCGCTTTTTCCCAGAAATTTCTGTCCCAGCACCACTTCGATCGTGTACTATTTGGACTTCTTTGTCAGGTGTCTCGACTACCAAGTCAAGTGGCTCATCAAGAAGCCTCCGGGGAAGAGAAAGCAACTTTTCAGGCGCAGGCAAGTCAGTCATGGAACTACTCAGATTTTCACACTGGTTCCCATTAGAGATTGAGTTGTCCAGTAGCTCTTCATGTTTTTCTCCATTGACCTGAATTTCTCCACCTAAAGTAGGTTCAGATACTTGATTTTCCTCTGATTGTACAACATCATTTGCATCGCATTCTTGACCTAACAAAGGTAAAATATTTAAGAAATGGAAAAGTGTTTGAGAACTAATAACATCTAACTGCATTTGTATAGCCAGCGGAACAAACCTTGCACCTTGGTGGAAGTCCTAGAAGCATGGAATCCTTCTTCCCTTTCAACTGTGTCTGATGGCAATGATACATCATCTGCTGATTGCAAGTCAGGAATAACCATGGGATTACTAACTTCACAAGATGGCATATCAGTCTGGCTCAGGTTGGAATTGCATGCACGAAGTAGAACTGTGCAAGCAGGTGCCATTTGTTGATTATTTAGATGTCCGTTCAATGTTTCAGGTTTTCCTTGTGCCTGAAAACTCTGACCTTCAACATTAATACACTCTGAACCAATGGGAGATTCCAATGAATTTACATTATTTGATGCTAAATTTTTGCCATTTAAGTTTGATTCTTCCATCTTATAAGCAGTTTCAACCTTTTCAGTTTCTTGTAATCTAACTCCTATGGATTCTTCATACTCTCCATTGATTTGATCTACAGGGGAACAAGTCTGTTCATTATTGCATGAAACAACTTTATCTGTATCTTCTACCTTGTCTAACCCATCCAGTGTGTCAACAGTCCCATTTGCCAGAATGTGTTCTGTAGCCACTGAATTAGAATGAAAATCTCCTCCTAGCCCAGATTGATTGATCTCCAAGTCACCAGAAAAGTGGCTGTTTTCCTCAGCAGGCGTGCACATAATATTATCATGATTTAATTGATCACCCAAAGACAAATGCATTGTGCCACCCCTGTGCGGAAGATCTGACTTAGTGGGGGCATCTTCTGAGCTATCTACCCCTACTAATCCTCTTAAACTGTGATCTTCTGATTCTAAATGATCATCGCAGGTTAGACCCTCCTTAAAACTGGACACATTAGGTTCTTCCACTAATCCAGGAGTAGATGGAGCCTGAGCGTAGTCAATGACTACCACATTTGCAGCAAAACCTTCAATCTGTTCAGAAAGGAAATACCTTTTTCATCAGATTGAGAAGCAAAATCTTCTCACAAATTAAACAAAAAACTCAACAGGAAGAAGAAAAGAACCAAAAACAAACATATTAAGTTACTTTTAGCAATAAGATATTTTGGATATCCATAGCAACCTTGTTTCTAGTACCATTCAATGGCATATCTTCAGAAGATCCAGTCATCCTTTCATGACTTGTATCTTCTGGATGTGGCATTTGTTCGGTATCTGTCAGAGCATCATTTCTGCAATCAGAGAATTTGAAGAAAGTACATTAGAAATTCCTGATCATGCAAAAAATTCTATGAATTGGGAACACAAGAAGAAATTTAAGAATCAACAGTCATAAATTTTTTATGTTGCACATTATTCAATAAATAAGCTATCAAAATAACTACACACAACAACATCCTCGTTACTGATTCAAACAATGTTGTGGCCAAAAATAAATACAGGCAACCCATCTTTTTTCACCTTTGAGACATATAAGTAAATGTTAAAAATAGGTAAGCAAGCCATGACCCAATGATTCTATTCTGGACCAGAAATACCAACTCTGAAACTACAGGAGGAATAGTGCTCTAGATTACAGACCCATGATGACATGAGAACAACCAAATAAGCCTGGAAAAGGATAAAAAATCCACTATGTCACAGATTAGAGGGGTTAATAAGTCAGTAGTTCATTGATCACAAAACGTCAGCAGTCATAACATTATTTATATATAATACAAAATTTTTCTTTTAGTTATGTAGTTGAAGATAGAAAAACATAAGATAACAGATGAATCTAAGAGAAATAACGCAAGAATTCAGGTCAAATAACTTCTTTATATCCAAAAATAAATAGAAAAAAATAAAGCTAATGCATATACTGAAAGCGGCCCACATAACACAACCTCAAAAGTAAATACGAAAAAAGGAATCAGATGTTATTGATAGTTATAAGAGACTTACTCAGAAACTTCATCATGCCTAACTGCTGTAACCTTCTCTAGTAACAGGTCCTGTGTATGACCAGCCAAAGAAAGAGAATTTTAATGAATGACAGGCATATGACAAAAAAAAAAAAAAAAAAAAACAAGAATAAAGGCGGAGCAGGCGATGCATATACTAAAGCGGTCCCCAAATAACACAGACCTCAAAAAGTAAATACGAACAAAAGGATCAAGAATGTTATTGATAGTTTATAAGAGATCTTAACTCAGAAACTTCATCATGCCTAACTGCTGTTTAACCTTTCAATAACAGGTCCTGTGTATGACCAGTCAAGAAAAGAGAATTTTAAATGAATGACAGGCATATGACAAAAAAAAAATAAAAAGAAAAAAAAAGTAATAGGTCTGCAGCTCTCGTAGCTCCAAAGTACAAGAATGGACAATCATGAATAATGAATGTTTATTGGATCTTGAAAGAAAGGCCAAAAGACGGATGAATAAACTGAAACTCGTTTTGCCTTGATGTCAAATAACATAATGTATTATAAAAAAAAAAAAAAAAAAAAAAAAGTATACTACTCTCATGCTCCAAAGTACACATCATGAATAATGAATGTTATTGGATCTTGAAGAAAGGCCAAAAGAGGATGAATACTGAAACTCGTTTGCTGATGTACAAAATAACAAATGTATTAACTCCAAATACTAAAGGAATCAGAAAATTGAGCTGTCTTTAATTTTCAAACCAACACAAATTGGCTCTCACCAGGATGAACAATTAGGTAAAAAACCCACCAGCCCACTTCCACTCATCTCACAGTTTACATGCAAGCACACTCATGCAGGTGGCATGAATGAGGATGTCAATTTAACAAGATATGAAGGCAACTATAAATACTAACACACTGACACCAAAGTCTATCTATGAAATAAGTTAGCTTCCAACTCAATTCCCAAGTAAAGCCACAAAAAGAATTACCTCTTCAAGGTCCAAACCAACTTGAGAAGTGTCACCATCACCAAATCGCTCTGAAACCAAATTAGAAATATACAAGAAATGGCATTCAATAAGTACATAATCATCATCACGAAATTAATTGTACCAACAAGCCACGACAAGCAAAGGCTTCTACTAACCGTCCAACCCAAACTGTGATGTGGAGAATACCACACCCTCCATGGTGTCTTGAAGTGTAATCTGCTCCCTTGTACTGACGTGATGGTCAACATAGTTTCTGCAGGGTAGGTACAAGTTAACATACAAAAGAACAAAGAATCTTCTACAACAATCTAAAGTTTGAAGCAAGGATTTGTCATTTTGTTGCAGGAAAACATAATCTATACCCTTAAGTAATGGAGTGAAGCAAGCTAAGTTGCCATTATCAGGAACCCAATAACATCAAAAATACATAACGGATGAACATTCACAGAAACACCCAATGATCTGAACTTGGAAATTAGAATGATGTCAAAGATTCAAATACCATTGGAATAAGTAGAGAGATTGTAGGCAAAAGAGAGCACTAACTCCTATCCTATAGTACAGTCAAGAACAAAAGAGGGAATAGTACATGAGACACTCACTATTGACCCCTAATGGTGATACCTTTTGAATAGAAGTAGTAAGTTGGCCCCCCCAGACATTTACATGGTCACACTTCAAAAAATGTTGTAATATAAAAAGAAACCATAAACTACAACAAGCTTATGGCTTTAACCATCAACAGTTTCCAATTCCAGAACTAACCCTTGAAAAATATCATTATCTGGCAGCTCAAAATCATCAAGATCAAAAGTCTCTGGCAATGTAATGGAATGATATGGAGCAGTTGATTCTTCCGGTGGTAAATCAACTGCAGTAGAGCGAAAAGCTTGCTTTATCTTCAACAAAGCCTCACTGCAATCATCAAAAAGGTAATTAACCTTTCTAGAGTATATCCTCACCACACCAAGCAGAAGATGACTGGACAGCCTAAGTGCAATGGGTACTTCAGGAAAAAGAATGGAATCTGCGGGAAATGGATAAAAAGCAGTTAGAAAGATCATCATAAAAAAACATAGCGGAAAAATATTCAACAAATGCTGCTATATCTTGGTCAGCTCGTTATCAAAAAAAATTTCCAATCCCACTTTCAACCACAAATTTAACCTTGTGGACTAACTGATTCAAGTTCCAAACCAATCAAAAATGTACATGACTAAAATGCATCGCATACATATAATTTGTCATGCTTAAGCACAGATAAAGCATCCAGAACATAAGTGCACAGGTTATCATGCTATCACTGATCAGTTATGATGTAATAAATCACTTATTAGCTGGAATATCGAAGGTAGCTTCAGAAAGAGGTGGTCTTATCATCACATCATGGGGGCAGGGAGCAACCCTGTGGTCCTTGCTCTATTTGACACCAAAAATTGTAAAATCAAGCGTATATAACTTAACAATAAACTCAAAGTAAATATCAAGAGACAAATCGGATACATCCATGAGGATAGTATTGGGCATGTAGGCATATGACAGTTAAGTATCCCGAGCCTTGATATAAACTATATCTTGCTTGATTTTCACTTCCTTTGATATCTATATGCTCTACTTGCTGAACGGAAATATAATATGAAAAAGAGAATTAATTTCAAAAGAAGTTCCACAGTGGAAGTTTTATGTTTCGCCATATCCCTTGAATGAACCTAATAATAACTTTCTCATTCTCAGAAATAGAAGAAAGAGGTAAAATAAACATACACAATAAGTTTAAAAAAAAAAAAACAAAAAACAAAAACACTTACCTACAGAGACCCCAATATCAGTGTCAGCGACCTGGTTCTTTCGAAGCTTTCTCTCCAAATGAGCAGCTATCCAAATCGTTCCCAAAGGCCCTTTCTTGGCTAATATAAATTGTGAATAAAACATTTTTACCTAGAAACTAAAACTCCCAGTTTTTTTTTTTCCGCACAATATAGAGTCTCCAGATTATCCTAAAACTTGCACTGAAAACTAAAATACACTGATAAATTAAAAGTATTAACAAAAATCCACAATTTCACAACAACAACTAACCCCAACTATAAGTTAGCTCTCAAAAAAGCTTATTTCACAACACTTGAAATTCAAATCCAAGAAAGCAGCGTAATTTACAACAGAAACCCTAATTTCTATACAGCAACTGCTTACTCCAAATTATCCCCAAAAAAAAAAAAAAATTCCCTCAATTCCAAATCATGCTCGAAAGCTAATTGAATTGGATAACAACAGTATCGACTAGAGAGGAAAAGTCTCAAAATTCAGCAACTTCACCGTGTTTAAGTAATTCAACGTACAAACCCTAATTTAATAGAACAGAAATTCTCCAAATTTTGAAGCCAAAAACAGAAAATTAGATTCGTATTCTGAAAACTAGACTCAGAGAACTGAAGAAAAAGCTAAAAAGCAAAGAAATGAACACCCCGACATCAAGTCAGCTACCACACCAGCTGAGAAACTTGGAAACAAAAGAAAGGTGCTCCATTTTCCACAGAATCGAAAGAACTGACCAATCAGAAACTCAAAAAGGAAGCGGAAAACATGAGTAATTGACCGGTGAAAAGATTAGAAACTGAAACCCTAGCTTCTGCGGAGGAACGACGAGGTAGGGAGGAGGAGGAGGCATAGAGCAAGTAGCAGAAGGGGAAGTTGGGGGAATTTCAATTTTCAAAGCGAAGAGTAGAATTTGATTTTGAGGCAGGGATCGGACAGAGAGGGAATCTAAAAACTAAAAATGAGAAAAGAGAGGCATACTCTCCAAAAAAAATAAAAATAAAAATAAATAAAAAGAGACGGAAGAGTTAGAGAGGGAGAGCGCTATTTGTTTCAGATTTTTTTGATTTTCTTTTTTTTTTTTTTTTTTTTATTCAAATTGCACTACTTTGGATTATGTTTTTGCACATAAAATAATTCTCTCACACAACTGTCAGTTGGCTTTAAAAAAAAAAAAAATATTTTGATTTTCCTGTATTTTTTTTTTTTTTTTTTTTGTATTAAAATTGCACTACAAGGCTGCTTTTCGAGGTAGTGCGAGCTAGGTGACCAGTATGGTTTTTTTTTTTTTTTTTGTATTCAAATTGCACTACTTTGGATTATGTTTTTGCACATAAAATAATTCTCTCACACAACTGTCAGTTGGCTTTAAAAAAAAAAAAAAAAGTTAATTTCAACATTTGACTTCCGAGTTAAAATTAGAAAGAAACTCTCCTCTTGTTTTCTGTTTCTTTCACCGAGTCACGAACGAGCTTAAGGGGAAAAAATGCATGTTTCTTAACCGAGTCACGAACGAGCTTAAGGAAAAAAAATATTTTTTTTCCTGAAAATATTTGCATTCGTGCAAAAAGTAAATATATAGTTACGCATACAAATATGATGAAAGAGAGCAAAGGTCAAATGAGCAATGAGGGTATCGAGAATGATTAATATTAACTTATTTGAAGTTCACTTTGTTACAATTATTCAGACAAAGTCACCCAATAATTCCTCAACTTATGTTCATATCTTCACGTGCATGAAGAAAGTTCCTTTCTTTTTCTTTTTTTTTTTTTTTTTTTTTTTTTTTTTTTTTTTTTTTTTTTTTTTTTTTTTGCAATTTTTTTTTTATCACATTTTGCGTTCTATCAATGACAGTTCCCTTTTTTTTTTTTTTTTTTTTTTTTTTTTTTTTGCAAATTTTTTTTTATCACATTTTGCGTTCTATCAATGACAGTTCCCTTAATATATTTTCGCGTATTCATATACTCATCCTTAAAACATCAGTTCACTAACTAGTGTCAATGAGTTGTGTACACATGTTTGATTTTGCTTTTGTAAATAATAATTTCAAAAGCATCAGTGAAGAAAAATCTTTTCTTCCTTCCCATATTCCTCCCACTCCGTTCTCGGGAGGCACCATCCAAACCGAAAGTGTTCACCCACAATGCTGGCCAACACCTTCATAGAAACAGCTACTCAAACGGCCAGGTGCTATCCTCTATGCTTTTCCTTCCTCAGCTGTATCATCATCTTCCATTTGACTGCCTAATTTCACAATATCTTCCACAAGGATTTTTCCTTCTGTTGAAAAGAAAAGAAAATAGAGCAAGCAACAGCAAATTGTACTCCGTGAATAAAATAAAAAGTACAATGAACAAAGCTAGGAATAACTTAGAAAAACAAGGCACGCAACTTACGCAGGCAGACATTTTTAAACCTATTGCAATGTTATCATTTCTCTATTTATTCTACATCACAACAAGAAACAGTTCTATAATGCTTTTCTAAAATTTTTCAAAATGATTGAAAATGGCTCCAACTACCATCTCTGGTCGTCTTACGAAAAGCACAACACCACAGGTTGCTTAGGGATCTGAATATGATGCAAATATCCTTTAACTTTCAAAAGTTACTATTAAAAGATTGTAGACACTGTCTTCATAGTCATCAAAAGGCATCCTCAATAATTAGTAATCAAGTGCAAAATTAAATTATATCACAAATAGAATGGTTAACTCTACGGTTCTGCCAAGCAGCAATAAATAACCTGCATTCTTTTAAGTCTAGATAATAGCAAGAAATATAGAGCAGGAGAAAAAAAAAAAGGGGAAAATAACTATTTTGTCTTTGTTTTTTTGCCAAATAAGCATGTCCCTGCATTTTTGAAAATACAAATCATCCCTAAATTTTGCATCCGATACACTATTTTGTCCTTCCATCAATTTTTTGCACTTTTTTTTGTTTAAAAGTACAAGAAATTGCAAAACATCAGGGAAAAAGTAGTTAATTTGGTAAAAAGGGATAAAATAATTAATTTTCCCAAATTAGTATTTCAAGTATTAACGGAAACAGTACAAAAATTGATGAAAGGACAAAATAGTGTAACTGATGCAAAACACAGGGAAAAATTAGTAAATCTCCAAAAATGCAGGGAAATGCTAGTTTATTTTGCCAAAATACAGGAATAAAATAGTAATTTTCCCAAGAAAAAAAGGTCACTGACCTCTATCTTTGGAGAGGTTGCTTATAAGTTCTTGGATACCCTCCTTGTCCAAGTGGTCCTTTAGGTACATAGCAGCGGACGCAACCTCCTCAGGAGTCACTTTCCCATCATAATCCCTGGCAACATAGCAAAACAGGTAAATCTACTTCAAGTAGCACAACTGGGTTCAATTCACAAAAGCCATTTCATGGAAAATAATAATGGCTTAGTGTAATGGTATTTTTTTTTTCCATGTATATAATGTTAAAACTAACAGATTGTATAAATGATCATGCAACTAGATGAAAGAAACAAAAAAATACAGATGAAAGAATTCTGACAAATTTGAGCAAAATCATGCAACCAGCAATCATATTGCAATTGAAATAGAATCAACAGTTCTTATGGGAAATTAAAAGATAAAAAAGCAGGAGAATTTCCAATGGATGTTAACCCTCGGAAGCAGAATTTATGATCCCAAAATAAGCACATAATTTCAGGTGCATAGAAAAGCAAAATGCACAGACAACAGAGAATATGGTGATCATTAATAATAAATTCTTTTTAGTTGTACAGCTGGTAGAAGATACAGATATACTCATGTTTGTCCATTAATTAAAACAAATGCAGCCAAAATTCTCTTCTTTTCGCCCTCTATTCAGCTTAAATATTTGCAGGTAATAAGAAGGCATTACAATCAATTTTGATGTACAATAAAATGTTGAATAGAATATGCCATGGGTAATCCTAGGCTTATAATTTTTCACAAAGTGCAATTTTCTCTAACTCAGGTTTCAAATAAATTGTTACTAAAGAATCTCTGTGAACTAGTCTAAAAACATTTCCAGCTGTATATACCACGAATATGAAATTTTGCAGTAAGACCATACTGTTGTACAGGTCTATCTGGAAATGAATATCATACAGCAGCAAACAGAGAATGAAGGAGGATATGTGATTCAAATTAAAATATTGAAGTAAGGCCAATAAATGCTCTGAGCAATAACATATGTTAAGAATTATAAATGAATACCATACTGTTGTACAGGTCTATCTGGAAATGAATATCATACAGCAGCAAACAGAGAATGAAGGAGGATATGTGATTCAAATTAAAATATTGAAGTAAGGCCAATAAATGCTCTGAGCAATAACATATGTTAAGAATTATAAATGAATACCATACTGTTGTACAGGTCTATCTGGAAATGAATATCATACAGCAGCAAACAGAGAATGAAGGAGGATATGTGATTCAAATTAAAATATTGAAGTAAGGCCAATAAATGCTCTGAGCAATAACATATGTTAAGAATTATAAATGAATACCATACTGTTGTACAGGTCTATCTGGAAATGAATATCATACAGCAGCAAACAGAGAATGAAGGAGGATATGTGATTCAAATTAAAATATTGAAGTAAGGCCAATAAATGCTCTGAGCAATAACATATGTTAAGAATTATAAATGAATACCATACTGTTGTACAGGTCTATCTGGAAATGAATATCATACAGCAGCAAACAGAGAATGAAGGAGGATATGTGATTCAAATTAAAATATTGAAGTAAGGCCAATAAATGCTCTGAGCAATAACATATGTTAAGAATTATAAATGAATACCATACTGTTGTACAGGTCTATCTGGAAATGAATATCATACAGCAGCAAACAGAGAATGAAGGAGGATATGTGATTCAAATTAAAATATTGAAGTAAGGCCAATAAATGCTCTGAGCAATAACATATGTTAAGAATTATAAATGATCCATAAAGTTCAGTCAGAAAGATGACTTGGAGTCAACAATATGCATAAACAAGTAGACTCTAAACGAACAACTCACACAAAGAACATCAGCAAATACATTAAGAAAATATATCTTCTTCACATGCTTCTTCAAAGTATTGCAGCATTAGATATTCTAGAAACCAGCATAATATATGAAAAACGGCCTAGATTTGAATAATTTCTGTGTGAAACATACAGATATAAAAATACAAGAAGCCAAATAGCAAAGGTATCCAACAACTCAGTAGTCAAGCTTTCTCATGAGACAAACATCTTGGACTGCTCATGATGCTGACAAAGTAATCCATGCAACTCATGCACGGATTACAATCAAAATCACAAAAAAACTGAGCAAAATCTAGAAACAAGAATTTTAGCAAGTTATATAAGCACTTCAAGCATCAAGGACTAAATCCATTAATGTACACCTCAGAAAACAAAGTAGTTATTTTACCTCCTTCTTAACAAGTTTCAGGAATTCTTCACGCTCCCTGCTGACAGACTGGAATAGGCAGCAGAAAAGGCAAGTAAATGTTCTGAATAGATCCATGAATTCTTCACACACACACACAAAAAAAAAAACATTTCTGGTCCTTACAGATGCAGAAGCCAGAACAGCTAATGCACGACTGAGCTCACAAAGCTGCTCATGTTTCTCCAGTGTTTTTGCTCTTGCTTGTTCTTGTGCTTCCCTAGCGGTGGGAAGAGTCATCTCTTCTAAAGCCACATCCTTTTGGCTACCAACAGATTCCTTCATCTTGGCCTGCTCCTCTTCTTCTTCCTCTTCCTCCTCCTACGTATTAATTTATTCAGCACCAGCAGCCAAAAAGCAAAGCACTTAAAGTTGCTCATTAAGAAAAGAAGCATCAAAATAGTGCATATATAGCAAATGAAATTATGTTTCCAGAGAGTACAATTCAGTTGCATTCCTTGTTTAATGGTAAAAGTCACAGCTTGCAACTTCAGTTGTAAGTTAGAGATCTTAAGGCAGCCATTCATGGAAAATTAGTTAAAGGATAAGACTGTTTGCAAAATTTCCTTCAACATCCTACTTCAATGGGACATTAGTAAATAATGGCCTTTTCCAATAGCCATAAAATGTGTAACAAGAATGCCCCTCAAAGACTAAACTCGTGATTCCAATGAACAAAGAAGGAATAAATATAGTGATAACTAGCAATGCTATTGGTGGGGAGAAGAAAAGAGAGGGAATCATTAAAAAAGTGTTCATGAACACTGTCATTATAAAGCCAAAAAGAAAATTGATCAGTATAAAGCATGTGCGTTATACATACATCTATGTATATTAAATTTCAAGAAGCCCCTCAAAGTGGAAAAAAACTACCAGTTTTATGGATGAGGGCTTATGGGGGAGGAAGGCTAGAAAAATGCTCAAGCAAGTAATACAACATAATCAACCTTGATCAGTTCTTCCTGCATTTCTAAGAACTCCAACTTTCTTCTCCTTTCTGAAACTGAATCTTCAGATGGCAATGCTGTAACTCCAACAGTATCCACGACTTCATCTGGAAGAGATGAAAGTGTGGCCTGAACAGCTTCCTCTGGCTTGACTTTTCCAGAAACAGAGAAGGCCCTGATAAATGATAAGCAAAAGGAGAGTGAAAAGAAAACGTATACGTAATCCCATGGCTTAAGTGGAAACGAACATGTGAAGATTAAGTCACCTAGAAAGAATCAATAGAGAAGATGGAACAGAATGATTCAGTGACAAATCCAGCCAATCACGCAACTGCACAGACAAATAACTTCAACAATTTTAGAAATTACTTTTCGAAGTATTTAGAAAGAACACTCATGTTGGCTATGACAAGCTAGGCATGATTAACATTTATGCTCCAGATTGAGGGAGAACAGGGATTAGGATAACTTGATTCCAGGTGCAGAATCTGTCTAGTTTCCTTATAGGTAGCCTAGACACAAGACAAACACACGCACACACAACACATATCAATTCTTCATGGAATATATAGAAAAAAAAAACCATTTAGCTCTTGTAAAACACTTAAACTTGCAATAGTAGCTTTGCTTAACAAACTAGAAATTATCTTATTAATTGCGTAATGCTGACATATATAAAATAAGAGTATGCTCATGGATAAATGCAATTGGCTTGAAAATGGACTAATTTAGACATTTTTTCTCATACAACTTTTGAATCATAACTTCACTTTTGTCCTTTTTCATGTGTAAAACAAGATCGTCCAAATTCTTTTGCAAAGTCAAAGATAGTAACAAAAATTTAGTACTCGTAAGCACTAACCTGTTGTCGCATTTCCTCGACTGAAAGCAATCCAAGTAAGCCCCGTTCGCGACAAGCTTGATGAAGCTCGGTTTCCGAAAGGGACTCCACACCCTCAGCTTGAATCATCTTATCATCATTCTTAATCCTACCAAATTCAAATGATTTCAAGTTCTAATGCAGAAGTTCAATCAATCATTTGGAATTTAATGGTATTATTTCTTCCCCAAAATAAACAAAATTCCTTCCAAGTTGTTAAATTTTATTATAAAAAGGAAATATTTTATATTTCATTGATTGTTCGGTGGTAAATGGTTTCTTTGCTTTCTAGCATTCCACTTGACTTCAGGACACAGATGTAGTTTCATATATCTGCTTGTAACTTAAGCATTTTTACCAAAATAACTAAATACTCAAAAACACAAATGAAAACAACACTTTCAACGAACTTTTTTTTTTCCATTATAAACGTTTTAAAAAATAAAGCAAACAAAGCCTATTAAAAAGGAAATAAAAGAAAAGGATGTAAATAGTCAAACTTACAAGAAAAGCAAATAAAGAAAAACATTGTGACGCAAAAGAATGACACAGAAGAGAGCCAAGCAAAAGATGATTTAATGAAATTCATCTTACTCTTGCAGTCTCCTTCGAAGCATATAGCGTAGATATGCATCTGTTCCATATGGACTGATACCCATATATTTGCACATGTTAACTAATCGAGGCCTGCGTTTGACAATGAAAGTGATAGATCAATTACTAGCATTTGACAAAGAAAGTGGTAGATCAATTGCTCAGGCATCAAGATACTCAAAGAAGTAAAAGAGTCCAAGTAAAAGCAAAGATAGTGACAACAGACAAACCTGCTTATGTTGTCCAAAGTAAGCTCATCATTAAATAACTTGGCAAAGCCTAAAATTTCTTCATTGGAAACACGTGCGCCTTTTCTAACCTGTTTAAATGGCAATATGAAATCTAACTTAAAGTTTGGTTATTGGGAGAACTTCCATTATTAGATACACTAGGACCAAAAAAAGTTTACTTTGCTCATAAATCCATCAAGATCTTCAGCTGTTTTCTTAGCTTCTCCACTTCGTGAGTTCTGAATTTCTTTTGCCATTTCTTTAACAGTGTCTTGAAGAAACTTGGCATATTCTATTCTAGCATTTAGCTTCCTTTTCAGTGCCTCCTACAAGTTAAGCATTTAAATGAGACCAATATTCTTCTTCATAAGGGAACTGTGCAACACCCACAGAAATATATAAATGCATTACACATATATCTGCAATATCAACTTAAACTGTAAAGCTATCACAAGTGCCTTGACAACTTATATTTGAAACAGTTAAGTGATATGCTTGCCAGAATATTGGACAACTAAAAATCAAGTAGCACAGATAGTGCTAGGTTAACCTAATTCGCATGTCAACAGAATTGAGCCCATTGCAGCTATAAGTTAGAGTTCAGTGCAAGGCAACTGTATAACAACGAGAGAAACACAAAGCAAAGTACATTGGTGTTTATTTTATGCCTTATCAGATGAGGAAATTCGAAATGCAAATTCGATATGTGTTGGAGATAAGGAACAAATAGCATATCAATAGATATTCTACAAAAGCAGAACTTGCTTAAGCTCCCCATGAAAAACCATATTCATTGACATTGTCATAGCACAATCTTATGGCTGATGGCATTAAGCAATAGAGGCTACATGCATACAGCATCAACCATACTAGAAACCACAATTTAAGATTAAATATAGAAATAAAATAAATTCAAAATATTGCTCGAGATAAATAAACTGTAGTGATGTAGGATCACTCACTCTCTTCCAGTTATTGATACAGTAAACAATAGGAAAGTATAGTTTGAAAAAGAAAATTGCAACCTGTTCTTTCATCTTGTCCTGGAAGGTAGACGGCAGCATGTTGGGAAACAATTTTAGGAATAATGGCAGCAAGAATTCCATGAATGGAACTATAATAAAAACTGCAAATGGAACTAGCCTAAATATATCAGCAGTCGTACGTGTGAGTTGTTGCCTTTCCCTTCTAGAAAGACCCTTCCCACTGGCAAGTTTCACCAGTAACCTTGAGCTTATCCTAACATCAGCCCACAGTAGCTTTGTTCCCAACCAATAATGTTGCATGGTAGACTTGAACTCATCCTTCCAATGGCGCAACTTCTTAGCCCAATCTTCCCTAAGGAAAGAATACATCGATAAATAAGTAATTGATGACTTGACTCAACTATAACTAAAGCAATGAGTAAAATTTTAACCTGCTCATTGAAGCGACAGCTCTCAAAGCAGGACCGATACCCAAAAGCATAGCCCATATTCTCTGCAGAATTGATTTAGAACTTTTTTGTAATTCTTGCACCTGCTTAGCTTTTGCTTTGGCTTTTACCTCAGTTAAATCTTCAACAGCTTCATCACATTCCTCTGGCGAAGCTTCTTTCACCTGTTTGGCAGCCTGTTGTTCATTTCTGTCCTTACCACTGCCAAATTCAGGTTGCCCAGCCGTGGCAGTAGAAGAAAAACGAACAGAATTTGAAAACCACCTAATTCCAGAAGAAGAATCAAAATCTCTCCTTCCAGTCCTATGACCTAGAGTTGAAAATCCAAGTGAACTATGCCCAAGAAAACTTGCTTCCAAAAGAGTTTCATCTCTGACAACCAAAGAGAAACCTCCTTCATATCTATGATCACAATTTGCAGATGGATGACTGACAACCCATCTTGATCCTTCTAAGCCACCTGATTGGGTAGGCTCCCCATGCTCAGAACTTGAAAAACTCCGAATCCAGCAAGTGGGTTGATTCAAGGAACTGAGGAGGAATCTCTTCCTCCGCAAGATTGCTCTTGAAGCCATTGTTACAAATTTCAATCTCTAGACAGAGATGTAAGGTGAGATATCTGTTGCATCCACAAATTTAGCCAACCTCTGCAAAATGGTGAAACAGCCAATCAAAATTTTTCCAAATGTGTAAAGACATGGACTTTTGTTACTATTATTTCTAGCCAAATTAGTTATTTAGCTAGTCCAGTAATCTTCAATAAAGAAATAATAGTTAACCAAAAGCTTATGCAATTTCTGGTGTTCTTCGGTAATAAATTATCATTGTTTTACTGAAAGACAAATTGAAAGAGTTGATACTTTTGTTTACTGCCAAGTGCTCGTCAGACAAACAAGGTTAACATCATAAACTGTATTTTCTTCATTCAAATATCCAAGCAGCATTTTTTTTTTTTTTCGTAATGTTAAATTGGATTTTTGGGCAGAATGACAAATCATTTCTTTCACTACATTTCCTCGCCAACAAAACATATACAAAATTATATGAACTCCTAATTGGCTTCATTAATCTAATAAATAAATAAATAGAGAAGAAAGTGCTAGTCAATAGAGCAGCTGAAAGAGAGACGCTGGTACCAGAAATAATTGCACAAAAAAGTGAAAGCTCAATGTTTCAAATCCATTGCCTAATCCCTGATTTTCTGAGGGACTGAACAGCTCTGGCGGAAAACCCCCATTTTGAAGTTAAAAGCGATTAAAATATGAGTGATTCAAAAAAAGATGCGCACATGCATAGACATGTAAAAGACGTACGCATTGAACCAAGGAGATCAAAGCAGGAGTTTATGGTTATCGAGAAAGCGGAAATTAGAACGGGCAACTTAAGCATACCCTTGACAGCTCAAATAAGTAAGTGAATCACCATCATCGTCGTCATCATCTACAATGTTCTATACATAGGATGTTACTGATGCCAAAAATGAATCAAGATAGAAATTTATTGAAACACACCTTTGAAAACTCCAATCTATCTATCAAGACGTAGAACAGAGAAAAAGAGAAGGTGTTATGGTCGTTTGGGCGAGCTTTTAGCGAGAGAAAGTGGCGACTGGTAACCGAGTCAATCAGAGAGAGAGAGACGGAGAAGAGCCTGGGGGTGTCCCTCCTCGACAAATGGAAAAATGTTCCCGTATGAATCGTGCATATTGTAGGCAAGTAGAAGACTGGGGCCCATTATCGTTGTTGATTTTACATCCGTTGGATAATATTTTGCTTCCTATGATGAGAATAAGGTGTTGGACGTGAACCGTTGGATTCAGATAATAACAGTTGAGTTCGAGCAAAATGATTTTGCAAAATAAAGTATTTAATAAATATAATTTTATTATAAATTAAAGTGCTTAATATGTAAAAATACATTATAAATGTTTTTACAAAAAATGTAATAATCACTTAATGTGTATGATTTTTTAGAAAAGAGAGGTGTATAATAAATATGTAATGAAATTTTAAGAATTTTAAAGTTTCTCAATCTAAATTTACTTAAAAACATGTATTATAATTTATATGGATTTCAACATTGCTAATTTTTTTAGAACATATATTTCTTCTATCTTATAATTCATGTCTCACTTACCTTTTTTTATCGGTAAATATAATAATCAAACTAATATATTATCATTAATTAAATCTTGATACAAACAAAATTAAAATATAAAATCTCTAATTTTCCAATAATATTATATTTAATCAAATGTTTAATTATTATACTCTAAAATAATCAAAGTATAAGCACCTATACGGTTTTGTTTTTAAAAATATGATTCATCGCCCTCAAAAGATTTTTTATAAGGCTAAGATAACATTTTTATATTCTTCTTTTTTTTTCTTGCATTTGTTTGAAGTTCGATTTGCCTAAACTTAAGCTAACATCTTAGAGTAGCATCTCATTATATATGAATGTTATAAATATAAATAGTTACAAACATAAAACTTTTATTTGTTTATTTTTTCTAAATAGAAAACTAAAAATAAAAATCATTTACTAAAAATTTTAAATGAGCATTAATTTTTCAGAATTGTGAAGTGATAAAATGATGTTTATAATTATTTATGTGACAATATTAATTATGACATTAAAGTAAATCTCTGCATGCAGATGTAAACTGATTTTCTCATCACCATACAATAGAAAATTACAACTTCTCTATCTTTGTTTTGCTCATTCTATGTGCTCCATAACTTCTTCCCTCTCAGCCTAATATCATAAACTAACAACAATTCCAAGGAGAAAAAATATATACAATTTTCACAAATGGAAGAAAAGTAGACGTAGCATTTTACACAGCGGTGAATCCTTGATATGGTACTTGTTAGTGGTCTGGTTTCTATTTTATGATAAAGTTGTCTCTTTTGGAGAATTTTTATGATAAAACTGGTATTTTCTAGGTAGTTGCGTGTGTTTATTTAGCTTAATAGTATAATAGAACAAACTCAAAAAAACTGTCCCGTGGAGACTGTGGTGGGTGGGAGTCTGGGAGATGTAATATCGACTAAACACCACGTTTTTTCAATTAACTGGACACTGGCCGTCTCCCTCTCTCTATGATAAATATCAGTTTCCTAAGCCTCCGTCGCTCTGCCTCGTCTCAATTATCTTTGCAAGAAAGGTAAGGAAGGAAGGAAGAAGAAGAAGAAAAAAAGAAAACGGTCATGGCAGCCGGTGTAACGCCGTGTGCAATTCGAGCATTAACTCAAGATCCATGTTTCAGAGTCCATTTGAGAAATGGTTTCCAGGGAGAAGCTTTGCCTCTCTACAATTTTTCCGGTCGCCTCGGACAAGCAATGTTGTTGTTAAGGTCTCTGGTGCTGCCATTAGCAAAGACAATGGAAATGCTGTCCCTGTTGCTGAAGCACCAGTGCCTTTCTTTGCTCTCTCCAAGTCAGTTTTAGCCGTACTTCAAGCTCTGTCTTTATTTTTCTTGTCACTGAATCTTCATATGCCCATTATTCTCTCTCCAAGTTCTGTTTGTACAAATGCCGTTAATATCAATGATTGCTATTTCGTTGATTTATTTTGTCTTCTATTATATGGATTTTAATCGGTAAATTTCAGTGTTATCACTATAATGTTGCCTTTTCGGTTGGTTATTGCGGTTGCATTAGATACTGGTTTTGAATTTAACTATTTTTTGATGCATATTAAATTACACAAGCCATTGGTCTGTGAGCTTCAGTCCTATCCCCATTTCTATTTCATAGTAAAAAATTTTGAGCTTCATGGCTTGGGGACCATCGCAGTATTTATTTTTCTAATTCAAGATGAAATCTTTAATAGGAAATTCACAAAGTTTTGTATGATCTCAATTTCAGGGGTCAATGGCACACAATTTCAGTTTTTATTGGTGATGAAAGTGGAATAATAAATCGGATTGCTGGTGTTTTTGCTAGAAGGGGTTACAACATTGAGTCCCTTGCAGTTGGTTTAAATAAGGACAAGGCTCTCTTTACCATAGTTGTCCGTGGAACTGACAAGGTTTTGCAACAAGTAATAGAGCAGCTTAACAAGCTTGTGAATGTCATAAAAGTTAAGACTCATCACATTAACTTCTAATTGTTTTGTTTTGCAATTCCAAGTTTTGATCACAATCAGATGTGATAGTTCGCTAGGTAATATAGATATTCTAAATTTGTGCAAGTGTTTGTGGGTTAGAGGGTTGGAAAGTAGGAATAATTATATGTGCAATTAAGTTATTGGATAATAAGGAAATAACAAAATATTTGTTCCATTAATACGTGTAAGATGGTACCTGATTGCGGCATTTTCAACACTTAAGCAAAAACAAACAAAAAATATGTAATTTTTTGTTTTTGAACATATCTCAATTTTTTGAATATAAGCATAGATCCTTTTGTTAGAATATTCCACATTGATTGGGAATTTAAAATACAAAAGGGATATAAGTGCCCAAGTAGCTAGTTCTAGTCATTTTTGAAATGGTTGAACCCCATCACAAGCTCAATCTTAATGTTCTAAACTCTAGCCTTAACTCAAATTAAAAATTTAACACAATATGTGCCCTTACTTTTGTTACTAATTGGTTGGATGCATCAGGTGGAAGATATCTCTCGAGAACCACAAGTAGAACGGGAATTGATGCTTTTAAAACTCAATGTGGATCCAAGTACCCATCCTGAGGTAATGGTGTAGTACTTAGTTATTAAATCTTTTGGGAAAAATGATGGCTTATTCTAATTTAGGAAAGATAACCCTACGAATTAAACGTTTGAAGACCTTATTTTTTCCAGCTGTAATATTCTATTGCTATACATATTTTATGCAAATATCACACCAAGGAAATGTGAATTTATATCTTAAGCTCCTGTAAAATTTAATGTGTAAAAAATTTTAGGCTTGATATAAAACTTCCAAGCTAATATGCATTATTATACTTGTTCTCTTTTTTTCTTGCAATTTAAGTACTTCATTTCTTTTTAGTTTCTTTCCCTTCTTAGAAGCTAATATTTGAATTCTCCTTGGAAAACTACATAAATGGAAGTTTATGTATACCATACCATCTAAGTCTACCTTTGCAATTGTCTGTTTATGATTGTTCTGTGTGAATCAATTGTTTGCCAATGTGGAGTGAATTGTGTCTTGATTGCCCAGGTGAAATTTCAGTCAGTCAACAAACTTTTGATTTAATAAATTTGGGAACCCATCTAAATGCGGATAATTAGTGTTTTTCTTATTTTTTTTTGCATTCAAGTGCTTGATCCTTTTGTAATTGGCTTTAAACTTCAGATCATGTGACTGGTGGACATCTTCAGAACAAAAGTTGTCGATATCTCAGAGCATACCCTGACTATTGAGGTGATCTTAGTCAGATCCTTGCTCAATTCTTCAGTTTCATATCCTGTAGCTGTAATTATAAACTACAAGCTTCACTAGATGTGTTATATCAAGTTGCTACCAGGAAATAGTAGGTTTGATATTGATGAACACATTGGATTGCCTCTAGTGATAATTGGGTTGGGTGGGGATATGGATAGGCCTTCGATTCAAGTGTTATCAAAAAAAATGGTTGAGCAAAACATTCCATGGTCTACAATTGAATTTCTCCACTTAAATTAGAGCACCACAATTTCATTGACTGAGAAGAAAATATTCGTAAAATATTGAACCTTGAATTGTGGATGCCTTTTATTTACAAGGATGACTGATATGCATGTGATTATCGCTTCCATATATGATAAACCTACTTTGGATTTTACAAATCCAGGCTGAGCAGCTTTTATGTATAGATCTGCCATTGCATGATATATGCTGCTATTTAAATATGGATTGTGATTGTTGTATACTGTTTAAGTTATCCCTGTGGATGTCTCAGGTCACTGGAGATCCTGGGAAGATGGCTGCTGTTCTAAGGAACTTAAGCAATTTCAGGATCGAAGAACTTACCAGAACTGGAAAGTTGCAAATGTTAAAAACACTATAAAGCTATGGAATTTCTAATGGTGCATGTCATGGAGTCTAGGTTGGTTAAATCTGATCTCCTCAAGAATCTGCTTCCTATGAGAATTCAGATCCCAAATCTTTCCACCCCCAGCCTTACAAATATGAGCAAGGATATTAAAGTTGCTACTTGCTATTAGGGAATATAAAAGTTCTGAATCCTAAAATATCAAGGTCCTGTAATGTCCGTGCATGAGGTTATTGTTGTAGTATTAAGTTAGCCCTTAAATTGCATATGCATATGTGTTTTTCCATTTTGTTTCCTATAATATAAGTTATAATATTGGCTGCAATATGAAGTTTTCATTGGCCCAAATTATAGATTGCTCTAAGAAGGGAAAGGATGCGTGAGACTGCACCATTTTGGAGATTTTCTGCAGCTTCTTATCCTGATCTTGAAAGGACACAGCCTGGTGATGCCTTTTCCAGTAATGCTGTGAATAGTTTTTCAGGGAATTCAAATGGATCACTTAATGGCAGTGGCATTTCATCATCTAAGGTACTAGTTCTGTTATGGGGATAAAATATTTTATGGTCATTTCACCTTCTAAATAAGTATTGTGTTATTTTTCTTTATATATTTGACTTCTCTATTATGTTATTTTTGCATTGTACCATTCGAACAATGCATTGAACCAGAGTTACATTTTTGTTTTATTTTCTTTTTCCTGAAATGAAGGGTGATGTATATCCCGTGGAGCCTTATGATGACTACTCAATGAATCAAGTTCTTGACGCTCATTGGGGTGTTCTTTATGATGAAGATGTAAGGCACTGATTCACTCCTGAATATCTATAAAAGTTTGTTCCCTCTTGTGCATACCATGTATTAGCAATTTGTATATATGAGCTGTTTAATGTATACAGATAAGTGATGATGATCATGTTCAAAATATTCCATTAACACTAGGTGTAAACTTTTGAAAGCTGCACTATTTTTTATCAAAATTTATCCATTGAATTTCTTTTTCCTTTTACATCATAATTGTTTTCATGTTCATTTTAGCCAGCAGTGGCTTCCTTGCTTGTTTGAGGGTAAAGCTGCATATAAATTTCAAATGATCTAGTTGAAATTTATAAAGTGCAGATGCCACAGCCACACTCAAAGTGATTCTTTTCTTTGCTTGTTCCACTTTTTTTATTTTTTCATGCCATTTCTGGGTCATAAGAATGGTGTGTGAACATTATCTAGATCTAATTTTTAAGATAAGAAATTTGTTTGTTTTACCGACCAGTGACTGGGTCTGGAGAGAAGTGATTTTTTATTTTCTTGATCTATGATAAATTGCGTAGAAGTTCAGTAGCTGTAGTGCAATAGTTGCTTAACCTTTCAATCTCATTAACACTTTCATTTTCTTTGTTGATTTACATTTCAGTCAAGTGGAAGTCAGTCACACACACTCTCTATGCTTGTGAATGACTCTCCTGGTGTCTTAACATGGTCACTGGTGTTATTTCCTGACGAGGTTATAACATTCAGGTCAGTTTAGTTTGTATTTCATTTTTCTTTTCCAATTAATCTTGATTTGTTAGTACTATTATTATTGTCACCTTATTTCTCATGCTTCAATTTCTAAGAGTCTTGCTGTGGGTCATGCTGAAAGAGAGGGATTTTCTTGCATTACAACCGTTATTCCTGGAACTGATGAATCAATTGGGAAGTTGGTATTGCATCTTCACAAGTTGATAGATCTGCATGAGGTAAGAGTGCAGTGAGTTTGATATGTTACGAAAATCCTCAAACTTTATAGCCTTAATTTCAAGTAAAAATGTGATCTACAAAAAAAAGTAAGGAAAAAGAAAAGAAAAAGAGAGCTCAAAAAAGTAAGACAAGAAATTGACTGGCCTATATTTTACACCAAAGCTGGAATTGCAGTTTGACAAGGATGATGGTTTATTCAGGTACGCGACATCACACACTTGCCATTTGCAGAACGAGAGTTGATGCTGATAAAGATAGCTGTAAACACTGCTGCAAGAAGGGTTGTTCTTGATATTGATAGCATATTTCGGGCCAAAGCTGCTGATGTGTCTGATCACACGATTACCCTTGAGGTAATTCCTCCCTTATCAAATAATCATTATCTTTCTAGTTTCTACTAAATTTGCTCTTCTGGAAATTCTGTTAGCAGTTTATATACTTTAACACAAAGTTGGCATGTTTTTATTTGCCAAGAAATGTTTTCGAATATATATGGTTATGATCAACAGCCAATATCTGGCTGGTTTTTGGATGGTCCTGCCTGTTTCCAAATAAAGAAGGAAAAAGGTGGTAATAGAAGTTGTAAGAGCTCCACATTTACTGTTATACCAGTAAATGCCTGTTCTATCTGTTGTCTTCATTAACTGCTATCCGTTGTTTCCAATTTGGTAGTGTCAGTAATCTTCTAGCTATTTGTTTCCATCCAGCTTACAGGTGATTTAAACAAGATGGCTGCCCTGCGGAGACTACTAGAGCCATTTGGGATTTGTGAGGTCTATCTACTAATTCTTGTTTGCCAAGTTTTACCCTATTGCACACCCTTGTTTCCCTGAGCCTAAGCTAGAATCAGTTTGGATTTAGAGAAGTTTGTCAATTATGCTTGGCTGATAGGTAAATGTTTTCCCTCGCACCACTTAAATTGATTTTTTTATCCTCTCTCCTTGAAGGTGGCACGGACTGGAAGGGTCGCATTGGTGCGGGAATTAGGCGTGGACTCCACATACCTCTGTGGTTTTCCGCTCCCATTGTGATTTTAAGATCTTTAATCGCTTCTTGTCTCGTCTCTTCTGAATGTTGTCTGTCTCAAATAGGGTTCCTTATCCATTCTCTCTTGTGCTTTCTTTTTCCTTTAGAGAAGGGGAAAGAGATGATATTGAAGTTTCCCACTTCTTTGTCATGCTGCAATGTTCACATGGTGATGGCTCTTCAGTTGAGTAAAAGAGGAAATTAGTGTCTTCCTTCTTTGCCTTGAGGGGAAAAAAAGGCCTACGAATCTTTGTATACGTGAATAGGAAGTATGTTCCTACTGTCAAGGACTCGAGGGTTGGTTTTAGAATAGAGATCACCTTCTTCCTCATCTTTTTTCAATGCATTAGTAAACCTACACAAGCAATACAGTGTCTATTATGCTGTGACTCGAAGTTTTTCATGGGAGGGAGAGGGCTGCAATCATAGGGCCCAAAAAAATTGCAAAAAAAAAAAAAAAAAAAAAAAAAAAAATAGGGCCCAAAAAAAATGCAAAAAAAAAAAAAAAAAAAAAAAAAAAAAAAGAAAAGCCACTGTGCACACATCTTATCTTAAAACCTATTGTAGATGCTCAAAAAAAAAAAAAAAAAAAAAAAAAAAAAAGAAAGCCAACTGTGCACACATCTTAATTCTTAAATAACCTATGTAGTGCTCATGTATTTGCTGATTATGCGGCTTCTATCTTCCTTCAACAACATTTTCAATTAAATTCTACAGACTTATGAGCCACGATCTTAATTGGCAGACGACAATTCCAACGTTTTCATATATTCTCATTTGTCAAACTAGTGACTACGATTTGCATGTCACTATCTACTGTCAAGGAGTTAAAATAAAGCTCCAAGACTAAGCTTATTACTAAGATTGTTTCATTTAGAGCTCGCTAAAGCTCTGCCAACTGAAGTGCTTCAAACTTTTCATCTAAGCAATCATTCATAAGCTACACGAATCACTTGCTTGCCCACATTTTTACCCGAAAATAGTCCAGCCAAAGCAGCTGGAGCACTTTCCAATCCCTCATTCATGTCTTCAATGTACACAATCTTGCCTTGCTTATAATTACCAAGAACATGTTCCAAGAACTGTGGATATAAATGCAAGTAATCACTTTGCAAGAATCCCTGCACCGTAATGCGTTTGCTTATAAGATTGAACAAGTTGTGAATCCCTTGGGGATCAGATAGGCTGTGCAAAGACACCATTCCACATACTGCAATCCGGCCATGAATCCTCATGTTGAGCAATGCAGCATCAAGCATGTCTCCTCCCACATTATCAAAGTAGATGTCTATGCCTTCTGGGAAATACCTATTTAATGTCAGATCAGATACAATTCAAACTTAGATTAGTGTCCACCATTTAGCCAATCAAGTTCTTGAAAATACTTTGAATTTCCAAAAGCTTATCACTAACCTTTTCAAAGCTGCATCCAGGTTGGTCTCTTCTTTGTAGTTGAAAGCTTCATCAAATCCAAGCTTATTCTTTAAAAGATCAACCTAATATTTCACCATTTAAGATTTTAATTTCATTATACCAAATTCTAATTGTCATACGGTCATCTGTCTAAAAGTAATTCCCTTCCTTTAAGCAGTACCATTTATGACGAATGAATGGATTCATGAAGTGGAACAGAAAGAAAGTTACCTTTTGGCTTGTGCCAGCACTTCCAACTACATAGCAGCCATGTAACTTGGCAAATTGACCAACAAGCTGACCGACGGCTCCTGACGCTGCAGACACAAAGACATAATCTCCTTTCTTAGGAGAAGAGACCTCATAAAATCCTGCATAGGCAGTAAAACCAGGCATACCTGCAAGAACATTTCCACTGAGTTTGGTCTCTGGAGAACTAAGACTTTCTTTGCAGTTACAAAGTCAATTTGGTTTCTAGATTATTTCATGGAATATAAATTAGGATAAAAATGTTATGTTTTGGAGAAGAAGAATGTCATACTTACCAAGAAGACCAAGGTGAAGTGAGAGAGGAAGGTCATTTTGCTGAATTTTTCTCAATTGCTGATGCTTGTGAATCAAGCTGTACTCTTCCCAACCAGTTAAACCAGAAACCAAATCACCAGGCTTGAAATCTGGATTATCAGAAGCTACAACCTTTGCAACACCAAATCCTTGTATGGGCTGCACCAGAGATTTAAAGTTACGATCGACAACAACAATTGACAAGAAACTAGGATAAATGAAAAGTGGACTAGTAAAAGAATGATGAGAGTACCTGGCCGGGAAGAAAGGGAGGAATATAAGAGCCATGGTAGTCACGCATGCGACCTCTCATGTAGGGGTCACAAGACAGGTACAGATTCCTCACCAAAAGACCTCCAGAACCTTTTGGTGCTTTGAGCTCAACTTTTCCAATCTTCACGTCCATGTCTGTCTCTCTTGGCGCCCTCTCTATATACCCCTTGAATATCACTTGCTTGTTCTCTACTACTGCTTCCATTTTGGATCAAAAATTCTCCAAATTGCACTAAACTCTTTCGTCTTTCTAGCTATTAAAAGCCAGCACTGCACAATCTACAGGCCGAAGACTACAGACAAGCACTGTGCTGTCTGTTTTAAAAGCCAAACTTTCCTGACCTTTTAATTATTGATCCACTGTCTGCTTTAAATGCCAACTACCTATCCCCCTATCACGTGCCTGGTCATTAGCCATACCTGTTCCCAATACTTAGTTTGAGAAACCTAACTGTCCAGGGACATAAAACTAATCCATCCGCCATCCCCAATACTCAGTACTGTCAGTTCGTAGGCCCTAAGCGGATCAATTGATTATAGTAAAACCGATTATAGGCATCTCCGCCAAATCACAAAGGCTATTAAGAGGTAGAATTTGTGGTTTGATTGTAAGTAGAGCGGGCAAAATAAAACGTCCCAAAGATTAAACGAGTTCAAATTACTTTACCGCAAACGCAAACATTGCAACAATTTTTTTGCTGACAGTGACAGTATTTATTCCTTTGCCAGAAAGTTTAAGCTTCATCTCAAAAAAATTAAAAGACCTGACCCTTTTTTTTTAACTTAAATTCATTAATAAGAAAAACATCCACAAAAGGAAACTAAGGCCTTAAAAAGGCACTCCCCAAAAATATTTTATATATAGATAAAAAGGCTGCTACTGCTTGATGCAATCCCTGTTTCTGTACACTTGCAAATCAGCCACAGAATTACACGCCGGACTCAAATTCGCTTCACAAACCGCTCGCATGCACAAATAATTGCTCTACATAAACAGAACAAGAAGTTGTAAATGAAGATTGAACGTGTAGAAGCAAAGAGCAAAGACGGCGCCTCTCTATTTACATTAAGATGCTTGTTGTTGGAATGAAGGATCCCCTAAGCTTGAGCAAAGATTTTGCGATTCAACCCCAGTAAGTCAATTTTCAATCAAGGACTATGCAACTTACGTAGGTGGTCAACCACATCATAAGAACTACTAAGCTGTTGATAATCGGACCGAGGGAGAAGACTTCCCTGGACTTGCCCAGACTGTTTTGGTGTAGGGTCAATTCTTGTCGTCTTCCTCGAACAGCAGTGCCGCACTCGGATACGATGATTTCTCAATGCAGTTGTATTGTTTGAACTGTGCACTTTGACCGCCATTATAGCTTCCTTGTCCCTAGTATCTTCACACCAGGAGTTTTGAGGGACACCATCGACAAATTCTTCCAGGGTAGGAAAATCCTCAAGATGTACGGATACCTCCGCAATATGATCTGGTTTAATTACACCAGCTGCCGGAGTTACCTAGTTAAGGTTGCCCATATTTTCATATGTCCAAATGATATTATTTAAAAAAAGATGCTATTTGTGCAAACCATGGCACAGTTTAGTGATAAATGCATATAAAAACCTAACAATATAGTTGGGATAATAAGTTTTGCACAAAAAAAAAAAAAAAAAAATATTTGTGCAAACCATGGCACAGTTTATTGATAAATGCATATTAAAAACCTAACAATATAGTTTGGGATAATAGTTATAATGCCACAAAAAAAAAAAAAAAAAACGACCAACTCATTATTCATCAATTCATACTGAAATATGGTCAAACCTCAAATATTTCAGTTCAATTCATTTTTTTTCCAAATTTATAATTCATTTGCGAATTTGAAACATTAATAACTGAAATTTCTTATCAGTTTCATCAAAAATTATTTTTCCCAAAAAACACTCAAAATAAAATTTAAAAAAAAAAAAAAAAAAAACACCAATCATTTTCATCAATTCATACTGAAAAATATGGTCAAACCTCAAATATTTCAGTTCAATCATTTTTTTTTTCCAAATTTATAATTCAATTTGAATTGAAAATTAATAACTGAAATTCTATCAGTTTCAATCAAAATTTTTTTCCAAAACACTCAAAATAAAATTTTGTATAAATTTATTTTCATTTAGTATTTTCATAATATCGTATTATTATAGTTTGATAGAAGATTAAAGTAAAAAAAAAAAAATGAAATAAATGATATAAAGAGAGGCAATGGAAGGAAATATGCAATAAAAAATAGAGAGGAAAATGAAAGCATAAGAAAAAAAACTTCCAAAAAAGTAGAAAACAAAAGCAAAACAAGATCACATCCACTGCACACCCTTCCATTATAAATATAGATGAATGTGAAGTACGGGAATTTACCTCAAGCCATCGTGGAAAGCCATAGGAAGCTCTTGGCTGATGATCTAATGCTTGCCCATCTTCATTGATTGTGGACTGACCTTCACAGATAATTTCAAATAAGGCATCTTTTTTTGCACATTTATTTGTGATGCGCAAAATGGTGGTGTCCTGATTTTGAAGTATTATATTGTTTGTGCTGACAATAGTTTCTGGAATCTTGGACTGTTCTTCAAGCATGTATCTAATTTTCTGGTTTGATTTGATAATGTCACCAAACTCTTGTCTCCTTACTGACTCATCAACTCGTGCAATATCAACATTAAATATGCAACGCACAGGCTTGTGATCACTATCAGTGACATCCATGCATGCTTCATACCTGATTCAATAGACAATAAATTAGAACTAGAGGCACTGTGTATGCATATATATGCACTCAACCGTACACAGAAACTATTTAAAACACAGTGTTCTTGGGCATATGTGGATAAGACCATTAACAACATGAAAAGCAAGTATGACCTTGGCAAAAGATGAGGAGGATCAGTAGATTAAGGTACCTTATATCTTTTCCAGGTATCAATCACCTATGTTTCCAGAAAACAACGTCATTAAAGAGAAAAACTTACTGTGAGATCAGCGAGACAATAGGACAGTCTAGACTGCATTCAGACACCGAAGCAGACCGGCTGTCACGGTAAAGTATTCTATCACACCAGGCTGGAACGCGCTTTTTCTCACCTGAATCATACCCTGCAAAAAGATAGTTCGAGCTAGTTGGAGTTCTGTAACTTCTGAGTATGCCCAATAACAATTTCTATCTCATGCAAGAATTTTACTTTTCCCATTCTTTTCTAATCAGAACAGGTTGCATAACACTAGAATCACAAATATAAGTCAGGTTAAAAGAAATGGCTCTATTAAAAATAGAATGACTGTCCAGGTCATGTATCACAGACTTGTACAATCCATGAAGTTATCAGAGCTTCTGAAACAGTTCAATTACCACAAATTTCCAACCAATTAACACAATTCAGTTACAGTGGGCACCTGCTAAACCAGGTTGGTGCTTGTCAAACTTGTATGTGGGAGGAAATCTAATGACTGCTTCCCGCATTCCTTGGAAGACATTCCCAGCTTCCATTTCTGCTCGTAGCTGATCCCTTTCTCTAAGCCAATCAAAGCATCTTTGAGAAATAAAGTCCCTTGCCTCATCATAAGATATACCATTGAGCCGATAATTGAAGTCACCAAGAAATATGACCAGGTCTGCCTCAGATAACTCAGGCATTCCTTCTACAGAATTAGCCCCCATAACCTGTACGTTAATCAACACTTTATCACAATATGTACAAGTTAAAAAATCTTCTAAATGGCAATTTAAGATCAAGCTTATATAATACAAGTACATACATTAGAAGTACGAAGCATCTGGACTGCTGCTGATGAAGAACCAGCTGCAATACAAAGGAGCAATGGCAAGCTAGATCGATAAACAAGCCAAAATAAATACAGTAAGCAGGCAAGTGAGCAAGACAAGAAAAGGTATGGCGCCATACCAGCTGCAGCATTGAAGAGATTTGAAGGACGACTGAAAGTCATTGTTCGATATACATGGTCAAAGTCAGCATTCCGGCGATTCACAGCTTCCAAGTGTGCTGCAAAGTGACAATTAACAAAACACATTGTCCGATTATATACTCTGATCCTCAAACCAACAGCCCCCTGCATAGATAACATTTAGCCAAACCAGTAACAAAGATAATTAGAAAAAGTACACATCAAGCTGCGTATCATTCAGAAGAACTGTGTCATTGTTGAAGCTCAATCTGAGGAGATTTTGTTTTCTTTGAAATAAAAATAAGAACCTACAGGAGTAGGCATAGAATCCCAAAAATTGTGCAAGGACAAATAATCAGAATAAACAATGATTTCCCTACCTTGTTGCCAATTGCACGCCCAAAGCCACATGGAACTGCAGCAGCATCGACATCCCCAACATGAGCTTTAAGATTATTTCTAACCCTAAAAGGCAATTATTCAACTATCAAAATCAGACCTGCAGCACCCAGTCATATATATGTGCCTAAGCTGAATGGTGAGAAATCAGAAAAAGTTCAAGGAAAGCAAGACAGTATGTGTAAATAGAATCAGGCTGTATAGTGCATTTTAGGACCCAAATAAGAACTCTGGCACAGTCATTACACTTCAATTTTGATACATATCATCTACTTTACTTTATGTTTCAATAAGGTTTGTATTACTAAATTCTGATAGAGATTTTGCTCAATTTGTGCTTATACCAAAGTAAGAAAGACTTATGTGATAAATTGAAGTTGAATGACATGAATTGAAATTTAATCATAAATTTACTGCAGCAGATAAGATTAAGCGATTAAAGAAAAGAATAGAACTAAAAAACAAGTAGCATGCTAGCAATATGTTTATGTTGCAGTTTTCTAACAAGTGCAGAGAGGCTGATTTACTGGGAATAACATAATGAAAATACCTCATGTATGATTTATAATCAATAAAATCATTTGATTTATTCAGCCATCCAAATATCTTATAAGTGGTTAAAGCTAACAAAGTCCATCATAATACTAACCACACAGCAATGAGTAAGCCTGCTAACTGCCGTGAACCAACACGTTCAAATGTTGATCCTTCATCCAATGTTTTATTAATCATATCCAGCCACCACTGCCCAACAGCACTACCCTCAAGTCCAACCTGAATTTGTGAAGAAAACTTACAAACAGAACAACACAGCCAAAAAAAAGAAAAGAGGATAATCATGAATTATTTATAACCATTAACATGATATTGACCTAAGACGTTTAACAAATTGGTTCCCATCTATCAATATTTTCTTACGTTTCTTTCAGGCAAGATTAGTCGCAGTCATGATGATAAAACTAATTTATGGATTTCAGAATACTGTGATGAGCTGCCTCTGCAAGGCACAACCAAAGCCCATAATCCTTATCTGAGTATATATGAGGTTACAGAATAGATCACACTCTATGAATCTTATCCCAATCCCAGCCATATAAATAAAGCACACAGTCTAGATCATATCATAACAATTCCATTAGGCTGTTATGGTGTTCCTTCCAGCGCTATTGCTTCATGTACAAAATGTTTTAAAAGATACTCAGATTGTGAAAAAAACATAAAAGCCAAAGTTTCTCATTCTTTCAGCTGCACTGCAAGATCTGTTCTTCATTTATCCTAGACAATTCTTGGCCAAGCATGTAGAGTTATTGATGTCATTGTTCCAAATTGATAAAAAATGGCAACTTTTAGAGTACGGAGCTACAAATTTTAAGGGCTATACATATCACCAATGAGTATCTAGCCCACCCCAGAAAGAATTGCTCCTTCTATCTCAGATTTAGATGCATTAGAGAATTGTTCATTACATTTTAAGTAGCTAAATATTTGAGTTACTGTAATTTACCGTCACAGTGGGTCCTTCACCCATTAGCAATAGTGCATCACTCTTCATTCAATTTAAAGTTGCAACAAATCATCACTTAACACAGTGCTTACCTCAGTATTGATTATTTGCTACATTTCTTGGTTGATGAAATCCATACAACATGCATTAAAATATCCCAATAGCTTGTGTGGCTCTAATTGCAGATAAACAACCTATTTCAAAGCTAACCTAAGGACCCAATAATTTGACATGAAGGGGTTAGCAATAGTAACTTTCAACCCAACTGCAATGCAGCTTAAGTTTGGAGCATGAGAAATCTATTAGACTTTTCCATATCAGAGGAAATTTAGCCTAGGAATTCAATGCAGTGACAATATCCTTATCCATTTGGAACTTGCCAGAGTAGTACTGGGGTTGGGGGGGAATTGGGAGAAATTGTTATGGGAAGGCTTCTAAAATTGAAATTTGCAAGAATTTTAGTAAGGAAAGTTTTCTTACAGTTTCTTTTGCCGCAGACATAGCTAAAACACCAGCACCCATTTCAACTTCTTGCAACCCAACAACGACAATGCCAACATCCCCAGCTGCAGAACCTAGCCATGATACAAGTGAGTCATGGGATGCTCTTCCTTGCGCTACATTCCACGTACCAGCTAATATTTTCAAGTTCTCTATCTTTGTATACAAGAATTCTTTTCCAGCCAATTCTGAACGCAGTATGTTGTCCAAAGGTCCAGGAGACATGATGCTCCATCCACGTATACCTCCATGATTAGCCAAGGTGAAAACATAACCAGCCCCAACAGCCATTTTTATCACAGGACTGCCATGAGCCACCCACTCTCCAAGCAAGTTACCCTTCAAGTCCAAGACCTGGACAGTACCACTTGCATAGCCCACCCACAATCGCAACCCAAATGTACAAAAGCATTGAACAGCAAAAGAATGGTACTGGAAATCTTGCAAACGACTGCCATTTCCATCCCATTGGACGAGTAAGCCATTTGCACAACCAGTCCAAATCATTCCATCAATGGTTGTGATTAACGCCTCAGTTCTCCGGTTATCATCTCCAAATCCACCTTTTGCAGCAACTCTGCGAACAGCATCAGCTGCTCCCATTATAGCATTACGTGAACGCTGAAAGAAACCAAATGAACTTTGAATCTTCTCTTTCTTTGAACCTGCAACAACTTTCATCTTGATCTCATCTTCAAAGGTAAAATCCTGTCCATATGACAGGTCCATTCTTTCAATTTGACCATCTATATTGAATACTTTCAGCAACTCCCGTGTATGAGCATCCCTGTACATTCATTTTTTCTTGTGAAAAATGAGAATTCATCAAGGCACCAAGAGGGTGCAACCCCAAAGTAGTATGAAATAGGAAATCTATAAAATCCAATAGAGCATGGACAGAAACAACAAAGTATTTTCCCTACTAAAAGTTTTACTCCATCTATTCATAAGAACAGAAAAAGGTTTTCCCTTCTCTTAAAAACCTTCCTATCTATTTCCCATTTAGAACGAGCCAAAAAATAGAAAGAGTGATTAGGATCCTGTCTAAGAGAAGCATAGGTAAAACCAAAAAATATAACAGGAGTTGTATATGTGCTTCAAATTTACGCTCTTTTCTTCAGTGTAAGAATGGAGATTTCATTGAAGCATAATACAATTCAGGAACTGCATTACTTAGCCACACAAAGGCATTATGGCCAGAATCGGCCCTCGGTAAAATTTAAAGCTTAACGAATCCTTAGCAGTGTACTTGGACAATATTCAGCACATGTTTAGAAGGCTTTATTTTAATCAATTTTCTTTCTATTAATTTTTGGTTTCTGTATCAAGAACATACCATTTTCTTCAGTAAATTTCTCATTCTCATTCTCTTTCTAATAAAGAATTCTGAATATTTTGGGACATAAAACATATTGTGTTTGACTAATTTCTAATTCTTAAAATGTTCAAAATCTGATGTATTTAAAGGATCATTTCACAGTTTAACTAGCAAATCATTAATGATTTGCCCCTCAGAAATGGTGAGTTGGTGTGAGATTGGACAAACTTTTTTAACACTTCAAAGTTAGATATTTGTAGTTACTTATCCTGAAAAGGATAAAGCACAAAGATTATATTAAAGAATAAAAAGTCGCATGTTATCAAGCTTCAAAGTAGTAGGAAGACATACCACAATGCAAATGACAAATAACCAGCACTCCATATTTTTGCTCTAGAATTATCAGATAGCAAGAACTTAACATCAGAAGTTAGCATGTTGCAGAAGCCATTTACAGCGTTCTGGCTTCTAGGATCAATATATGACCTCTCCACTAACAAAGCAGCCATGTGCCTTTCCCCCTCTGTAAAAGAAAAGGATTTTTCAAAAGCTTCCCATGGCCATATCTTGATAGCACCCCCTTCTGAACCTGACCATAAATCCCCTGGACCAGAAAAGAAAAAAAGAAATAAGAAAACAAAGGAGGACAGAAATTCAAAACAAGCAAAATAAGGTTTAAGATCCTATTGTGTTACGTTGATATGTTGCCATTCACCTCAATCAACTTCACTCTAATCCCAAACTTTCCTCAAATAGAGATACACCAATAACTAAGACAAGTATAAGCATTTGGAAACACATAGGCCAGAAAATGTTTTACAGGAAAGAAAAAGACCCAGCCACGAAGTACTCCATTTAAAGAGAAAATAGTGGATAGGTTTATTAATTAAGAAAAGAAATAAGCTTATTACTCCTTTAGCAGCAGAAGAGTAAATATCTTACGATGGTGCATGAGAAATTCCATAATTATAGACCAGGAAAGAAGATTTTTCATTCAAATAGAACGAGGGACCTGAGAGTTAGAGATTGGGAAAGAGCCAATATATGACCAAGAGTTTTGAACCCATTTCTTAGTTCTTACCCGGGTTTTCTTTTCTATTTGTAAGGACAGTATCTATAGAGTGAGCACTGCTTAACATGATTTGAACTGGCAAAATCCTAGGGAGAGTGAGTGATCATAACACACTGGAAACAAATATTACAGAAAACGGAGATCTTTGAACTCTTGCTTGTAGGAATGAAAGAGATTGACGGACGGAAGTGGAAAAGAAGTGAAAGAAGAGCAAAACTAGCTACAAATAAAAAACATGAGAACAAAAGATCTTAGCTTTCTAAAAATTTAACATCGGACCACAAGAATGATTAAATGATAAACCGTAAATGAGACTTAACATGCAATCACTATTCACTATTCACCACTCTCCAATGCAACAAGCATTTATGTAAATGGATTAACTAAATCTAAAGTTGCAATCAAACAGCCCATAGACTAAACCTTTGGCATCATCATGAATGAAGGAATGAATAGGAATGCAGAGTGAAGAAAAGCAAATTGAAAGAGTAGAGAGTGACCATATGAACTGATGACCATGGAGAGAACAGGGCCACGATGAGCATCCCAAGACAAGATTTCTCTGAATCGATCGGAAGTGAAATCAATTCTCCAACATCTGATCTTCCCGTCCCTATGCCCACTCCATACCATTCTGCTTCCCTCATCCCCGACAATGCACATTACCGCAGACCCGACAGCCACAGACTCCGTATATGGCGCTGTGTCCTCACTTCCACCGCACAAATCCTTGAATTGCCAGACTTGGAGACAGCCGTTCTCGGTTCCAGACCACAATTGAGCATCCGTTGCGGTGATGGTTCTCAAAAAACAACCTATTTGGGTTTCCCTGAAAGGGTGGGGTCGAACCTCGAGACTGGGTGGGCGGCCCGGATGAACAGCACCTCGAACAGGAAGTCTGAAAATTCCAGTTCCACCTCCGTTACCAATGAACTCTGGTAAAGCTACTGCAGAGGATGATGAGTTGTTTGTGTTAGAGTAGGCGTTATCATTATGTGAAGAATTGACATTATGAGTGGCGGTTGTAGCAGAGAGCTTGCGGTCCAAGAATTGGATCATGTAATCGAGGCGTTTGCTGGTGGCTTCCATGGAGGAATTGGAGAGCTGAGATTCATCGTCGGAGGAAGACGATGAGGAAGAGAAATAACGGTCGAAGATTTTGGGAGAACGAACGGCTGAAGCATCGCGGTGGTGACTAAATGAGGAGAATACGTCGTCGTCGAGGTCCATGAGCAAGTGCTTGTACTTGCTACTGCTATAAAGAGCCCGATGCCAACGATAACGAGAGAGAGAGAGAGGGAGAGAATCTAGTGAGAATAAATCGAGGAGGAAGGTATTTTTCTGTTCCGTTACTGTTGGGGTGTCAACATGTTAAGACACAGAAAAAGTGCCGTTAACTCAGTTCCGTTTGGCTTCCAATACAACAGCTTGTATTCCATTCTATTTCCACTGTTAAACGTTACGTGTGCCGCATTAATCCTTTCCAAGTCCAAAAGAATTAGAAGAATTATGTGTTGGAAGTTGAAATTATTTATGGGTTTAAATTAAAATTAATAAAAAGAATAAAATGGTATTTTTGGTCAACCGTATCCCATTTTACAGCTGACGGTAGGTATGGTATTCATCATTCCTGTCATTGTTTGTTACTATTCTATTCTATTCTATGGATGGATATTATATATTTTCAGTTCACAAAATTAATTAATTATTATGTTCTCTAATCATATTCATAGGCTTTTGTTTTGTCATCGTCGGTTCCCCTTTCATCGCTCTGTCGTCCTTTTTTCCTAATATTTCTTTCTTTGCTGCTGTTCTTCAACCTTCTCTCCCTTTATCTCACCATCTGTCCTATTATTGCCCTAATAAACAAAATACCTTCTCTTTGTTCTAACTCTGCAATGGAACGTCATTTGCTTTTCCTCTGCACATGCAGTTACGCTCGTTTCTAAGTAAGCTAAGAGATGATTACAAAGCCGGAAGATATATGCATTCTTTCCTTTCTTTTATGTTGAAAGTGCAGGGATAATTTTTTTGACATTGATATTTATGATTGCTTTTTTTTTTTTTAACAGCATTGCACATATTGTTTGACATTTCAAATAATATTCAAATATTTTTTTCTTTTTTTTGAAGTAAAGTATGTAAAATTAATGTATTTGGTAGTAATTCAGAATAAGTTATTGATATTTTCCCTAGTTATTACGTTCAGGCATCAAGATAACGACAGGAAAACCAACTCCGGCGGCCTTTTATTACAATTACAACGGCAGCAGTCAGCAGAGAGTCCTATCGGCATTTAGGGAGAGTTTTTAATATAATCATTAAAGAAATTAGTCTCAGCGGGAGGCGCCCCAAACACCATTAGCGTTCGAGCTTTGTTTATTTGTGCCGAGATTAAGGAAAACACACAGCCACAGGTCAGAATAAATTAATAATTAATTAAGGGGAAGGGTGGGCGAGGAAGAGGAACCAGAGCTAGCTAGGACCTCTGCCATCAAGGAAAGGTAGTTGAATATTTAAGGTTTTGGTTAGAATAAGGCGGTTAACATGAAGTTGAAAATATACAGGCAAATAGACAATTCACTCTAAAATGATTTTCATATACATTATCAAATTAGCATGATATCGACATAAGCTGGATTGTCATTAGATAGGTATCGTCTTACTCTAAAATCGCCATAGTTGCGTTTAATTCCTGTGTCCACCTCCACAGCCACAGCCACAGGCCCACAGTAGATGGATATGCTTATCTCATAGAGCAACAGTCTCTGGCTACGAACAATTAATGTTAAAAATTGAATCTGATATGGTGCACCATGTGAAGTATAAAAATATATTTATTTATTACCGCGCACCACGTGGACATCAGTCATTGTTGGTTGACCTTTGAATTTGATGTCGGCTGAGTGGAGGTGGTGGTGTGGTGGTTGCTTTTCACTCCCTTTAGGAGAAAATGAAAATGGCTTTGGATTAAGACAAGAAAAAAAACCAAGTTTTTTAAGAAAAGCACCTAAAATTATTATTATTAATTGTTATTCCAGGACAAGACAATTGCTGCTGAGTGCTGAGACTCCAATCATCCAGTAGTTGAAGTAGCATTATTTATCTTTTCATCAGCGCCATTGGATTTAATAATTCTTTTTAATGCTAGTACCCGCAAAGTCCTCTTGTCCATTTCCTAATTTGCACCAGATTCTTTTGTTTTAAAAACTGCTTCCTTTTCTTACATAATACAAGTCATAAATATTAGCATATAATACTGTGTGCAGCTCTGAAGAAGAAGAGCTGCTGCTGAATGATGATGGGGAAGGGGAAGGTTCAGCTTCTGTTACTTTTGGTTGGACTGGCTGCTATTCTTGGCTGCGGAGGAGCCAATGCGAATGACTTTAATGTCTGGCCAATGCCTAAATCAGTCACTAGTGGCCACAACAAGCTTTACATGTCTCCGGATTTTCAGCTCATCACTCAGGGGAGTAGCTACAGCGATGCTTCTGGGATTTTGAAGGATGGCTTCGCCAGAATGCTTAATATTGTCAAAATAGGCCATGCCCCTTATGCCAATTCCTCCGTCCACCTTCCTTCTCAATCTCTCCTCCTCAAAGGTCTTCGCGTCCTCGTTTTCTCTTCAAATGACCAGGTTTTTTTAATTTTTCTGTCATTAAACCATCCAAAGATTTTATTTTTGCTTTTCCTTCTCATTATTGCAAAAAAAAAAAAAAAAAATTTACTTTTTGAATCGGTGATTCTGTGGTTCTTTTGTATAAGGCTATAATTAACATATTTTGATACTTTTCCTTACTTTTCTTTTATGCTCGTTGATTTCCTTCCTTTTCTTCTTATTTCTGAAAAGGAAAAAATGACCGTAATTTTCTTTTTATAATTCTTTTTTTAAATGAATGCCATCTTTCTTTTTAGGAAATGGACTTCCATTTTCCGTTAGTATTTTCTAAATGTGCTACCTTCAATCATGTTTGGAGACCTTGTATGTATTTCGTTAATTTTACTTCATATGTATCTGCTAAGGGGAACTGGGGAAAAAACAATTAAATGTTGGGGTGAAGGTATGATTTAATATTTGATACTAGACTTACAAATGCCAACACATCTCCACTGACATTTCTTCTGATGCTTTGCAGTTACAATATGGTGTTAATGAGTCTTACAAGTTACTAGTCCCTTCACATGACAAGTCATATGCACAGCTTGAGGCAGGTTAACTGTTCCCTTTTCTGCTTTAGAGTTTTGGTTGAAATATTGGTCACCAACTTGCCATTTGGTCCACTCGATCGGTAGTTAAGTTGTTATCTTATGCTCTTGTTGAGATGGTTTGACTTAGAAACCAGTGGTAAATTTTGTTGATATTTCAGAAAGTAGACATCTAGGAGTTTGATTTGGAGTGTTGTACTTATGCAGACTTTAGACCTGCTCTGTCGCAAGGTGCATGTTCAGATTGTGTAATTAGAAATTAGAGTGGGAAGTTGTTTAACAATTCCTAAGATAGTTTACGGTGAACTGTGCAGCAAGTACATTGTCAGTGCAGGCAGGCAGTCTTCGCCTTTTGGACAACAAGGATGATTCTAGCTAACTAAATGTGTAGTATTCCAGTGTCTCTTCATCAATAAATGTGCGACATCCACTGATCACTATCTTGAGAATTGCCATGAAACAGGTTTACTTGTAGGAACACTATGTCCAGTAAAAATGAGATAGGAGATGCTGCATGTAATGGAGCTAAAATTGTTAACTTGTCCTTTGCATGTCTCTATCATGAATTAATGAATAAATGGGTGGCTAGCTGTATGAATTTATGGAAATCTTTTACATTGCCAAACATTGACCATTCAGAGATCTTTAACAAGAAAAATCTAGCCAGGGAGCCCTTATCACTATCAGCATCTGCTGTGGTTATAAGATGATGGAATTGTTCTGTATAAATGTAAAAAATGAATTTTATGTTAAGGTGCTGGATATGGTGGAGTATGTAGTATTTTAGCTGATTTCAAAATCAGCATGTAGTTTTGCCTACATTGGCAGCCTCTATTCACGTTTTGATTCTCTCATAACTCAGACATTGTTTTGAAACAATGCAGGCACAGACAGTTTATGGGGCTTTACATGGGCTTCAGGTTAAGTGTGACTTTTTAGGCCATGGAGCCTTTGCTGTTTTTGATATTTAACACCAAATCCAAGATCGTCAACGCATCTGATTAACACAAAATATTGCAGACATTTAGCCAATTGTGCTATTTCAACTTCACAACGAGCATGGTTGAAGTTCCTATGGTCCCATGGACTATCATTGATCAGCCAAGATTCCCCTACCGGGGACTCTTGATTGGTGAGTAGTTTTTTGAAATATTCCTCGCTGGCGCATTAAAAGTATTTTTTTTATGTCTATTTCTTCTGAACCAAATAAAATCTCTGAGGTATAATAGGGCTTGTTTGCCTAACTGAGGGCCTTAGTTTAATATGGTTTTGCCAGGTCAAGGTCAATGTGCTTTCCTAACTTATGATTCAACTTTATGCAGATACTTCACGGCACTATCTGCCTTTGCCAGTTATTGAGAAAGTGATTGATTCTATGGCCTATGCAAAATTGGTATGTGATGAAAAATTGACACAGACATGAGAAACTTCTAAACGATTTTTTGTGATAAAATTCTGTATATTAGTACTTCTATATATTAGCTGAAAGTAGCCGGTGTATTTTGTCTCAAGCATTACGTGTAAGACATAATCCATTGGTTCTTCCTTGCTTTATCCAGAATGTTTTACACTGGCACATTGTAGATACACAATCTTTCCCTTTGGAGATACCTTCATATCCAAAACTGTGGAATGGTGCCTATTCAATTTCAGAGCGATACACTTTTGCTGATGCTGCTGAAATTGTCAGGCAAGTTGTTTCTGCTGTTCATACCCTCAACCTGTTTCTTTTCTCCTTGATTTATGTCTAATTTTGTATCACAAATTTTGCAGTTATGCCCAGAGGCAAGGAATTCACGTATTGGCTGAAATTGATGTTCCTGGACATGCACTCTCATGGTGGGGATAGTTTCTCATTTTTTCAAATTTTCTATCTTCCTTTCACAAATAGATTAAGGGTTCAATTAGATTAAAAAATTTGAAGTTCTCTTTTTGCACCAAATGTCCTTTCTATGGAAACTTTTAGATTTTAAATCTGTATCCTCTTCAGGTGAATCCAGAAATCAGGATCTCAACTTCTGATAATGGCACCTGCAATAACTAGAGAATTTCACTAGAACTACGAATAATGCTTAATGATGAATTTCATAGATAACAAAAGAGAATTAATTATAACTAACATCAGTAATAGTAAATTGTTGGTCCTTCTTTGTTTCCTTCTTTTTCTTTTGTTTGAGACCATGATTTGGTCCTTATTTCAGTTTGGCTAAAACATGAAAGATTTTTTGGGGGTCAAAAAAATGTCAAGACTCCAATTCAGTATTTGATGTTAATTTGTCATGCAGGTATTCAAATTAGCATCAGTTAACTTTTTAGAGAAGTGCTAAACTGACATTCTGACAAAGGTCAATGATTTGCAGAATCAAACATGACAAGCAGTTAAGGTTGATAATTTAGTTTCATAATGAAAGTCTTAGGTTTGGGACCAACAGATTGTAATACGTAAGCTAGTCGACTAGTCATATCATATTGTTGACAGGATAAGATACTTTAATCAAAATTTAAGCAAATCTTTTTTTTTTTTTTTTTTTTTTTTCATGACAAGCAGTTTAGGTTGATAATTTAGTTTCATAATGAAAGTGCTTAGGTTTGGGAACCAACAGATTGTATACGTAAAGCTAGTCGATAGTCCATATCATATTGTTGACAGGATAAGATACTTTTAATCAAAATTTAAGCAAATCTTTTTTTTTTTTTTTTTTTTTTTTTGGGGGGGGGGGGGGGGGGGGGTGTGTGGACCCAATGAAAAAGTGACCATCCATAGCTTATAAGCTATTCAGTAAATCCTTTGGCTATCACCTTTGTTTTGACTTATCTAAATATTGGTGTTTTTCCAAGTATTCCTCATTGGACTTCTTTTGTCAGGGGGGGGGGGGTGTGTGGACCCAATGAAAGTGACCATCCATAGCTTATAAGCTATTCAGTAAATCCTTTTGGCTATCACTTTGTTTTGACTTATCTAAATATTGGTGTTTTTCAAGTATTGCCTCCATTGGACTTCTTTTGTCAGGACTTGCAAAAATTTTTTGAAAAAAATGTAATTTGTATTGATGTTGATGGAGATTTTTTTTTTCTTTGACGAAGTCAAGACGGCCGAGACTTCCAAGGCAATATATCAGGGAAGGGTCATTTTGCTGCCACTTTGATGCTTAAGTTAGTGAAAGCTCAAGAATTAAGAGAGCAATTTAAGATTTGCTGGGATCTTACCTTAACAATTCCCTCTTTAGGAAAGGATTCTTGGATTTCTTTTATTCTATGGTCATGGTTTGCATTACCGAGTCATAACTTGGCTCAGCACCTACCCATGGTTAATGCCAAATTCCGAGCTGTATTTGAATCTAGATATTTACTTCGTGCTTTAATCTACTGGAGATGTGTCTTTATAAGGGACATATCATCTATTTTTAACTCTTGACCATATCATATCTATGCTCTTACCATTAAAGCCAAGCACTTCAAGTCACTTGATGGCAATTTTTTGTTTTCCTTTATAGGGGGAAGGGTTATCCTTCTTTATGGCCATCAAAGGATTGTAAGCAGCCTCTTGATGTGAGCAACGAGTTTACATTCAAAGTGATAGATGGAATTCTTTCAGGTTATGCCTCCCTTATCCTTACAATGATGGTGGATTTAACTCATGAAGGAAATGTTTAGAGAATATACAATGCAATTGGCATGGCCAGTTCAATTGAAAAAAGAGGCTAACATGATATGATTTTTCATGTTTCAGATTTCAGTAAGGTCTTTAAATTTAAATTTGTTCACTTGGGAGGTGATGAAGTTGACACAAGTAAGTTTAACAACTGCATTTGGCTCTCAACACCAATATTGTTTAATATTTAATGTGAAATCACTTAATAATTTTTTCTCAGCTTTTGAGGTTTCTTTCTATTCCTTCATGAGGTTTTAGGTGATGCCTTTGTGATTGCCGACCTAAAATTATATTTCTAAATGTTTTCAGATGAAAGTTATGCTGTCGCACTAAGTATCAAGTGATCATTTCTATATTTCAGTGCACCATAGGTGATGAAATATAGCTTTCCATAAGGGGAAACTTATAAAACTTTCTGATAATAAATAGTGGCATGAATTCCATCAAACAGAGGGAATAATTATCTTGAAGTCTATTTTCTTACAGATCCTCAAGTCTTTGTATGTTTTCTTAACTTTCTTGGATATCTAACTCTTACTGATACTAAGCTGAGTGTAAAAGGCAATCACCTAAATAAAATAGTAGCAAGAAAGTGTAGCAGCAAGCAAGAAAAGATAGAAATGTGTGGAGGTTGACAGAAAACTCTAGGCAATGTTAACAAAAAAATTGGCTCCCATGTTCTTTTCTTTCAAATTTCAATAATATGATATTGTCACCTGTCTCTATTTTTCATATGTAACTTAATAAATTAACAGCCATAAAATTCCGTTATTCATTTCAGGTTGTTGGAGTTCAACTTCTCGCATACAGAAATGGTAACCATCTTAGAATACTACTTAGCCTTCAAACTGTCAAGAGATGGCTTATTACAGTTTTGACTATCCTGAAACTGCAGGTTAGAAAAGCATGGTATGAATGCATCTCAAGCTTATCAGTACTTTGTCCTGAGGGCGCAGAAAATAGCTCTGTCTCACGGATATGAAATTATCAACTGGTATTTACCCTATGGACAAAGCGAGATATCAGTTACGAAATTTTATATCACATCTAATCATGAAATATAACAGGGAAGAAACCTTCAACAATTTTGGCAATAAATTGAGCCGGAAAACCGTGGTGCACAACTGGTATCTCCTTCAAATACTATAACTGAGATAATATATGCTTCGGATACAATTTTATGTAGTTTCTGTGTCAGATTCATCTTTTCTCAATTCTCCTGTTGATCATTAAATACGTAATATAGGCATCATATGTTTGTTATATCAGATCATATTTCTAGTTATATCTCTTTGCTTGATTTACTACTAGATATAAAAGAATTTAGGTGAAGATATATAAACTGAACTTACATTAAATCATTACTCTATGTACAGCATTAATTCAGTTATTGGTATTGCTAAACTTGATCACATGAATGATTTCTGCCTTGTTGAGAGTTTATCTATAATGCTAATTATGTGTGTGTTTATGTATGTGCATAAGAATATTGAAATACAATGAGTACCTACTGTCTTTTAATCTCATTGTCTGCCAGCAGTGCTGCTGAAGGCAAACATCTGGTTCGCCTGCACAACATAAATATTCAGCTGAAAAACTTAATTTGTGCATAAGTAATGAATGACATGTTGGTCCTAATTACAGTATGGTGACCTCTCTCTCTATGGAGTTCTCTTGTGTTAGTCAAACTGGGATCTGTGGTAGGAGAAGTACCATTTAAACCCAGATAAAGAAGTAGTTCTCGCCAACCCCAGAATAATCGGTACATTCATGGACTTGGATGCACTTTCCTGCCTCTAGACATTTCCTTGGAGAACTAGTATACACTTTAACATGTATATTCATGAGGATGCTGAAACTGAACTAGAAGATACTTGTGAATTCCTTTGTTTTCCATGATAGTTTACTTTGGATCTCATATAAATGCTCTTTAGAATGCTTGAAAAGTAAATTGTATGCTCATTTCTTGTACTTTAGGATGTAAATCTTTTCTTTTTCAATTTCTGCACTGTTTGCACGTTGAAGCTCAGAGCTGATCCTTTGACAGATCACAGAGAGATACATTATTTGGTCTGTTCAGCTTACAATTTCCCTTGCAGGCTTGGTGGTGGTGTTGCTAAGCAAGTGGTTGCTGCTGGGTTGAGGTGCATTGTGAGCAACCAAGACAAATGGTATTTAGATCACTTGGATACTAGTTGGGAAAAATTTTATATGAATGAACCACTTGCAAATATCAATGACACTGAGCAGCAGCAGTTGGTTATTGGGGGTGAGGTATGCATGTGGGGAGAAATGGTAGATGGATCGGATATTGAACAGACCATATGGCCACGCGCTGCAGCAGCCGCAGGTACTTATCATACTTCAACTCATGTCACTGTCGAATGAAATTCCTGATAAAATGCACCATATTTATAAAGAAACATTTATTTGTTTGCATTTTGTGAGTAGTGGTTAAGGAAAACAGAGCATTATGTCCTGAATATAAACCTAGTTAAGTGATACAAAAATTTTGTTGTCCAAGATGAGTAAATAAATAAGGTTTTATATTGCACAAGAATAAAAATCATTAAGGTCTTGAAGGATTTCTACTAGAAAACTTAAGAGATTTGTGAGCTTAAATATCTTTTGGGAAATTACCTATCAATTAATGATGTTTATGTTTCTGCAACCTGAAGTGGGCCTGGTAAATGCATGATTATGTTATGAGTATGACTGCTATAATTGGAATGAGGCAGGTGACTGGAAGCCTTATTCAGCGTGCTTGACTTGCATAACTATATTTGTAGGAACACCAGAACATGGTATTTCTTAAGGGATATATTAGTTGACTAGTTGAGTTTTTTCATTATCCTCATAAACAGGCTTCATACTATACATTTTCGTTTTAACAGAAAAATCCAATCATTTAACTCTCTCAAGACAAATACCTGTGTGCTTTATTCTTTGTCTATAATAGGATATAAAAACAAAAATAATTAAATAGTTTAAACTTTTAGGAAGCTTAACATCATTTGTATGCTACGGTTCAAAATTCTTGGTCTGGCATGCCACTGTCCCAGTTTATTATAAAAAACTACATAGACTAGTGCAAAACACATTTACAAATGAGGAGATGCACATTTTACTTGTGGAACGTAGCCTGCTAGAGGGGAGCTATATGTGAAGAAGAATATAAAACTAAAAAGAAAAAAAAAAAAAAAAAATTTGTTAGATGCACCATTTTAAACTTGTGGAACGTAAGCCTGCTAGAGGGGAAAGCTAATATGTGAAGAGAATATAAAACTAAAAGAAAAAAAAAAAAAAAAAAATTTGTTTATGGAGTAGAAAAGTAGTTTAATAGCCCTCTAAATGAAGAATCCTTCATATAGTTGGATCTCATTTCTAATTTATCTGAATCTAATTGTTGTAGATGTGTAAAAAAAAAAAAAAAAAAATTTGTTTATGGAGTAGAAAGTAGTTTAATAGCCTCTAAATGAGATCCTTCATATAGTTGGATCTCATTCTAATTTATCTGAATCTATTGTTGTAGAATGGTGTCTTCACATTTAACTAACCTCATGTTTCCTTTGCTTCAAATTTGTTTGACTGAAGAACGGCTATGGACACCTTATGACAAGCTTGCAAAGGATCCAACACATGTTACTAGAAGGTTAGCACACTTCAGGTGTCTGTTGAATCAAAGAGGAGTAGCAGCGGCTCCATTAGCTGGACCTGGTCGAGGAGCACCTGAAGAACCAGGCTCTTGCTACTCACAGTAGCGCGTAGCAACTATATTTATTCAAGTCCAACTTCAATTCTTGTGTGTTGAATGAAGTTCATTTGCAGTTAACCTCATTGTAATGACATCATAATAATATGTAATATTAAAAATCAGGTTGGTTTCTGGTTCCTTCTAATAAATAAGATTTTTTTTCTTGCTATTGACCAAAGTATATGCAAATTCATTCTTGAAAACTCTTTGGATGTTTATGTGCACGCATATAATTAAACGACTGCATGCTGAACTGAAAGCCTGCAGGAACAAGCAATATGCCATTCTGAGGATCATTAACTATGAAAAGCAGCGTGTAGACTCCTTGACATAGCAGGGGACTGAAAATCTCATAGCAAGGATAAAACAATGGCATGAATTGGATAACCGCCGAGGAATTTATGCAGCTATGGGTAGAACAGTGCCCGTGTATAGGCTTTTCAAATTTTAAAATCTTGAAAAAGATGGCATGAATGTAACTTTTTATTTCAAAAATATACATAAGAGAAATAGGATAGGTGCTCTCCACTCGAGACTGATTAGAAGGGTATGCATGTGAAGCTGCAAGTATCAGAATATTCCAGATGAATGAAACTCATTATATATATTCTCAAATTTATAGACAGCAGTTGTAGAACCAAACTCACAGGAGATCAGGTACGTTAAAAGCTCTATTCTAACCATAAGAATCATTTCATCAGCAGCTCAAGGCCTCCAGGGTGGAGGAGGTGGTGGGCTCTGGGGATAGAGTGGTGGAACTGCTGAGAATATGGTATTTTTGTCAATGCCAAAGCCACCGCTGCTAGTTAGGGAGGCAAGTGCAGCAACTAGACCAGCATTTCCAGCTAAAGTTGGCTCACTGGAGTTATAATTGCTCCGCACATCATGGAACTTGTCGAACCTATCAGGTCCTCCAACCATGGCTCCTGTTATGTTATTGGGATTGGGGTTACGAGTGTCACGCCACTTCCATCCACCTTTGCACGAGTACCTGTTCTTATCATGGGGTATTGATGCCCCGCGGTGATGCACATGTCTGGGAAACTTCGTGCCATAACCCACCACGTAGCTCATATTCATGGGATTTTTACCTAGAATGTAGTCTATCTGCATGTATCAAAAGCAAATACCACAAATCAGAACTAGGCTGAGTCGGCTGGAAAATACATGTAAAGCAAACTTGAAACTGTATTGAAGTGCATATGTACCTGAGAGTTGGCGAAAGTCTGAAGTTCATCCAATAGAACAAATTTAGGACCGCAAACGAATCCGGGAATACCAGAGGCATTCATATAATCAACAAAAAGTGATGCCAAGAAGGCAGCATTAGCCACATACTGAAGACGCTGTGGCCTTCCATGGTTCAGTTGGATCAATCCCCCTGCAGATGACGAACATAGACAAATTAAATACTTATTTAAGAAAGAGCTGCACATAATCAATTCAGTTCAAGTTACATAATATATATGATATATATGCAATGCACCTTTAGTCCAGTTGAAGACATGGAATTCCTGAAGATAAGAACACATATTCAGAACAGTGACATTGTGATACATCCGCAACATGTCCTCATAAGGGTATCCTGGACTCAAGAATATCCTCAACCTGGTCAACAGCAGCATGGCTGCAGGTAACTTGTTATCCCAACTCAGCACGCTTCTGTCTGGAGTCACGAAAAATGCCCTGGAGTTCCTAGGGATGCCTGGGTTGGTTGCCAGTGAAATATAGGTAACATTTCCTGTGGCATAGTACAGCCACGCAGCCCCCCACATGTACTCATCGTAATAGCCAGTGGAGTTGTAGAAAGGTTCGATGTAAGGTTGTCCGCGAGAGTACGTTCTGCGTCTTCCAGATTCCCTCGCAAAAGCAAAGACAGTTTCTGCGCCTTTTACAAGCTTTTTAGAGTAAGCATTATTGTCTCGGAACACTATTGAGGCGGCTGCTAAGGCTGCTGCCATTTCCCCTGCAAGGTCTGGGCCGGCTGTAACGGATATGGAAGGTCGCCTGTAGTCCATGTCTTCTGGTCTCTCCCAGCAGTAATGATCATCGGGTGTCGTAGAACCATTTAGAGATCCACCAACCTATATATAACATAAAATTTATCATTATTATTTTTGAGGAAATATAAAATCAAATTACATTATATTAAAGACTAAAAGATTTCACCTGACAGTAAATTTTGTCAATTCTGGTAGCAGTGGAGTTAAATGTCAAGAGCAAGTAATCAGTACCCCACTTGATGAGATCTCGCATATGGTCATACTCACCAATGGCATGATATTTGTGATTATATTCTATGAGACTCCAGCTCAACATTGTCATAGTAAATGACATTGGAAAGTTGAACTTGACATTGTCTCCAGCATCATAGTATCCACCTACAAGCCCTCCCTTGTAATCTGTATCGTTTCCATCCTGAAGCCCTGAATCCCCTCTCCATGGTATCCCATTATTCTTGGGCAATTTTCCAGCTGCACATGCATCTCACATTTTGTTAAAAATGTTTGTTGCTGATTAAGGAGTTTCATCTATCAATATTTCCTCTGTTCCCAGACAGCTGTTCTTATAAGTTATACATATTTTTAGTCCTGGCCGGCAAGCTACAAGTTTTAATTTCATTGTTGCTAATTAATTGATGGCAATGGAAGAATGTAAAAGAAAATTATTCAACTTACATCTCTGGGCATTGAAAAAGAGGAGGGCCTTGTGGAGCGCAAGAGTGTAATTGTCAGGAGGAGGGGGATGGGACTTGTGCTTGGGCAAAGTCTTGGCAATGATGGTAGGCAGCGCAATCACTAGAAACGCAATAAGAATGGAATAAACCGTCCACTTCAAGGCCTTGCGGCTGCAAACTATACAGCCGAAGTCCACATATTTTTTCTTTTTGGTTTCTTGTGGGTACAATAACCAACTCTGTTGTGTTTCGTCGAGATTATTATGGTAGCGTTGCTGTTGAGATTGAAGGGCCCCTCTGTCCCATTCCATGTTCCGGCTTCTCTCGTCTTCTGTTGTTGATTCTGCTCCATTGATTATCTCGAAAGATCCTCCCCAGTTATTCCCAGAATGCATTTTTCTCCTTCTTTCTTAATTTGATCCAGGAAAAAGAAGACGATGGATGATCGTTAATTGAAAATCATCAAGCAGTAAAAGATGATCAGAAATGAGAGGTTGACTGACTTGTTATATGCTGGCCACGGGCAATACAGAACTTTCTGGGGGAAATTCTATGCCCGCGTCTCTCTCTAACTACTTAATATTCCAAAGAAATTCCTGTATGTAATCCATGAAGAGAGCAGAGAGAGAGAAAAAAGAGTTGACTTGATGAATGTGAATGTGATGTTTAAGGAAGGCTTCGGTATTTTACTATTTCTCAAAGAAAGAAAGAAAATGAGAAGCTAGCTGTAGCTGGTTTGGTTATGATCAGAGGTGACTTTCTAGCATACGTCCTTACGTTCAAACTCCAAAGTCAGATATTTGTATTACGCGTAGTGTGCGTGTCGTTTTTCTTGTCCATTGTTTTTGTTTCTGAGTTTTCTTCTCCATTTCACTTTCTTCATATTTAAAAAACTAAAAACGAAGCCCTAATCAAAGCAATGTGCTTGCACGTTAGTTATGATTAGGCTTTCAAATTTTCTTTAATACAATAATAATATCTAATGCAACTACAAACGTTGAATCTTGAATTTTTCAAACGTTCGGCCACAGCTTTCTAACAAACTCTCTATAGAAATGCTCGTATAGTTTGTTCCAAATTGAAAAATGTTTGCAGGATACAACCGATGAAAATAAAAACTTCGTTAAAAGTTATTTATATATTTTTTTTTCGATATACAGTAAAAAATATCATGTTCCAATTAAAATTTTAATTTTTATTAATTTAATCTATAAATGGAAGTTTGGACAAGTCAATTCGTTCCAAATTAGCATTTGAAAAGAAAAAATAACAGTGGATGAACCTGTCATATCTACAGCTGTGATCGAATTGTTTATTTGTAATTTATAACAGCACAGCCCACTATCTTAATCTTAATTAGTAGTATTGATTAATTATGGTCAAAAGAATTATATATATGTCCTTTTCATTCTAATGCTGTACTGCTACTGTCATTCTAGAAATGGAAAAAGAGGGTGGTTCGAGTTTTAGAGATTGCATAGTTCAAAACTTCAACAGACTAGCGTGTAGATACATTATCTGGATTCTTGTTGTTAAGTAATTGATAAGTTTTGGATGAATTATCATTTTTTTTTCTGTATTATCTTCAAGATAAAATTTTAATTTTAAAAACTTATTAAATAATGTGATTAATAGTTCATATGCTAAAAATATAATTATTATTTGAATATAAATTTAACCCTTTCTTGCTCTTTCTTAAAATAACAACAAAAAAAATTAACCTCTTGATTAAAAGACGAATCGTTTCCACTACTTTACCTTATTAATATGTTCCTTTCTTGATAAATATATTAGTCAAATTATCACATGCCTATACTACGTATAAAAGTGAAAATGAGAGGGAAAAATAAAATTACCTACAATGCCCTTAGTAAAATTTTAAATGTTTTAAAATAACCTTATTAGTGAATAATTAAATTTTATTTTGAATATTATGTTTAATAAATAATTAACGTTACGATAATTCCCTCAATGAAATTTAAAATATTTTAAAAAATAATATTATTAATGATCAATTAAATTTTATTTTAAATATGATGGTTAATAGATAATTAATGTTAACTATATACAGATTAAATTTTATTTTAAATATTATGCTTTATAGACAATTAATGTTAACTATATATGTATATTTTATTTTTAATTATTTTAATGTTATATAATAAGGCTATACATGAAAATTAAAAATTCATTTATTTATTATATATGCTTTTAGTTTTATTCGATTTAGGATTTAAATCAAATGTTAGAGCTAAATACATATTATACATTTCATGTATCTATTATAATTATTTTATCAAGATCAATTCCAAGTGGAAAAATTTAATATTATATTTTTCAATTTTAATTTCATTATTTAAAAAGATTTGAATTCCTTTCTATATCACTTTAATTAATTTTTTATGCATTTGAATCGGAGAAAATAAGTCTATTTATCATTTTAAAGATTATTTTTAGTTGTTTTTTTTAATGCTTTTAATCGAAAAAAATAGATTCTGTTTTTAAGAGGTAAATAAAAAACTTTAATTCAACTATTGAAAATGGAATTTAAATTATTTTAATTTATTATGTTTTGAATTTTTAAAAATGTGATTAAACACTTTATTATTAGACTCTATTAGTTAATTTCAATGCAAGTAAAATAAATTTTTAAATATATTATTTCTTTTTGATTTTTTTTTTTTTGAAGAGGATAGTGTGTACTTATTTGGATAATTTACATATTATTATATTTAAAAATTTTTTAAATTTAACAAAAACAATGAAAGTATGAAATTATAGTATTTAACTAATATAAAAAAAGAGAGTTTTTCCCTTTTTAGTCTAATGAAATCTTTTTGAAAAAATAGACTATAATTATTTGAATTTGCTATCATTTTTATTTTCAGCTTTTCCATATTAAAAATGAAATAGAGAGAAAATTCAAGAACTCTTTTTTTATTCAATGTTTTATTCTTTTCTTTTTGAAATTTATAAAATTTTATTTAATTTTTCTATGATTTAATTGGATATGTTTTTTTTCATTATTTTAAATAGATATAAAGATAATTAAACATTTCAAATTTTAATGTTTTTCAAATATTTTTTAGATACGACTTTGTAAATTTTGAATTTAATCTCATTTATATATTCTTTAAACTTGAAAAAGTACATTTCATTACCAATATATTGATTCCCAAGTGGAGCAATTTATCTTTGATTTTGTATAAAGACATGGTCCAAAATATTGATAAAATTTCAGCCCGCAAAGATAATTAATGTAGAGATCAAAGTTATATTTTATATTGAGGTTATTCAGAAAAAATCTTAATTTATTAGCATCACCAAATTATAGAAAATTTTTTTATAGTATGATAAATGTAAATTTGCAGTGATTTTATATAATTAATTAACAATAAAATTATATTTTTTTATTAAAGGGAGAAGGAAAAACATTATTTTCTTTTCAATTAGATGTTATAATATAAGACATGTTAAAAAATCCATTCTATATATAAAGTGCAATATTAATTAATTATAGTATTTATTTTTAATCTAAATAAGAATTTATACTTTAATATTATATAAATAACAAAATTGAATCAGTATATAACGAGTAAAGTCAACATACAATGCATTTCATAAAAAAACTAGTCATTAATTAAATATCGATATAAATAAAATTAAAATTAAGATACTGTAACTAATTGATAAATATTATTATAATTAATTGACTTTAATAATAATTTAATATAATTGATTTAATTTTAATGAAATACTCATATAAGAGCATGTAAAAAAAATAAAAATTATAATTTAATTATATTAACGAAATTTTATTAATCTGCCGGCAGACAAAATTTGAAAAAAAAAAATTTAGAAAAACATTTTTGTCACAGGACTCACATCGAACACTAGCTGATTTCTATACAGCACAGCTGCATAAGCCTTCGAATTTACTTTACAAGTACACATATTGTACCTTTGTGCAACTGGAAGCATTTTATCTTCTTCTACCTTGCAGTTGTTGGCGATCAGAGACAGCAACAAGGTGAAGGTCGCAGTTCGAATTCTCTTTTAGCACTTTTGGATCCCCCAGATCTAAATTTTTTCTTCTGTATGCTAATACAAACAAAAGAGAACAAACTCATGCAACTGAGCGACGGAAACTGATAGATGGTTGTGAATTTTTATATCCGAGTATTCAACCATTGATCATGACTGTATCGTCTGTCTCTGCCGACGACCGCTCTGCCACACTTAGCGGTGGAGGTTACCGAGATGCGGAGGCACTATTCCGTTCGAAACCGATTTCCCAAATTCGGAATGTGGAAGCCACAACAAGAAAACAGATTCAGGACAAGAAGGAGGAGCTCCGCCAATTGGTCGGAAACCGCTACAGAGACCTCATTGACTCCGCCGACTCAATCGTCCTCATGAAGTCTTCGTGCGAGTCCATCTCTTCTAATGTAGCTTCTATCCAAAGTAACATTCTCTCCCTCTCTTCATCTCCTGTATCAGAAACCCCCAAATTTACCAACTCTAACCCCGTCCGCATCCGAATCTACGGGATCGCCTGTCGCGTCAAGTATTTAGTTGACACTCCTGAGAACATCTGGGGATGCCTCGATGAGTCCATGTTTCTGGAAGCGGCCGGAAGATATATTCGTGCCAAGCACGTGCACTACAATCTTATGCAGGCCAACAATGCTAATGCTGAATGGGATCACACCAAGATCTTATCCAATTTTCCTCTTTTGCAACATCAGTGGCAGATCGTTGAGAGCTTCAAGGCCCAGATTTCACAGCGGAGTCACGAGAGGTTGTTGGATCCGGACCTCGACGTTGGGGCCTATGCTGATGCTTTGGCTGCAGTTGCTGTCATTGATGAATTAGACCCCAAGCAGGTACTTAGTTTGTTTCTAGATACTAGAAGGTCTTGGATTTTACAGAAATTAGCTGCTTTTGGCTGTAATGATAATAATGCTGCCTTAGGCGAGGCTGTGGTTTCTGTGTTTTGTGAATTTTTGAAGATCATTCAGGTTAGTATAGGGCAAGTAGGCGAGCTATTTTTGCAAGTTTTGAATGATATGCCTCTGTTTTACAAAGTTATCTTGTGTTCTCCTCCCGCCTCTCAATTGTTCGGTGGAATTCCTTATCCAGATGGGGAGGTGAGGTTGTGGAAATTGTTTAGGGAAAAACTGGAGTCTGTAATAGTCACTCTTGATAAAGAGTACATCGCAAGGACTTGTATGACTTGGTTGAGAGACTGTGGTGGAGTGGTTGTCAGTAAGATTAATGGCAAGCACCTGATTGATTCTATTGCCACTGGTGGAGAGCTTGCATTGGCTGAAAAGTTAATAAGAGAGACCATGGACAGTAAACAAGTTTTGCAGGGGAGTTTGGACTGGCTCAAGAGTGTTTTTGGATCAGAGATTGAGTTGCCTTGGAGTAGGATCCGGGAGTTAGTTCTAGAAGATGACTCAGATCTCTGGGATGAGATATTTGAAGATGCTTTTGTTAAGAGGATGAAAACCATTATCGCCTCTGCATTTGAGGATTTGGCAAGAGGTATCAATGTGGAGGACTCCATTTGTGCAATTGGAGAGACACCTGGTGAACATGTCGATTTTCAGGCTTACTTGAACAGACCTTCCACAGGTGGTGGGGTTTGGTTCATTGAACCCAATGCAAAGAAGTATAATCCAGTATTAGGTCACAAGGCATCACCTGAAGAAAATGATTTCCAAAGTTGTCTCAGTGCCTATTTTGGCCCTGAAGTTAGTTGTATTAAAGATGCAGTGGATAGCCGCTGTCAAAATGTTCTCGAGGATATGCTCAGTTTCTTAGAATCTCCAAAGGCAGTAGTCAGGTTGAAAGATTTGGGACCTTTTCTACAAGATAAATGTTATGATAGCATGTCATCCATATTGGCAGAGCTAAAGAGCGATCTTGATAATTTATTCTCTGCCATGGGAAATACCAGCAGTGGAAATCAATCCGTGCCTCCTGCTATAGTTGTTGAGAGATCTCTCTTTATTGGGAGGCTGTTGTTTGCGTTTCAGAACCACACAAAACACATTCAAGTCATACTTGGTCCTCCAAGGTTTTGGGCAAAGGATACCATGGCTCAAGTGTTTGATAAGTTGCCATCTGTGTTGAGGCAATCTAGAGTGGTCACTGATTGTCCTAGTGCTGATGGTCAAAGCAGGCAAATGCCCTCTGGCTCTAGACGACAGACTTCCTCTGCTATTGCAGCTTTGCTTGGAGCAAATGAAAATGCAAGCCCAAAACTTGAAGAACTAGCCAGAACTACCAGGGATCTTTGCATCAGAGCTCACAATTTGTGGATATATTGGTTATCTGATGAACTTTCAACTATTCTTGCTCGGGATCTTGGTAAGGATGATGGGTTGTCAGCGACAATCCCTTTGAGGGTAAGTGGTGGTCTTGCTGGTCAAGTTAGTTATCATTTTCTTTTGACTTTTTCATGGCATATATATATTTGTTCAGAATTGCAAGTGGACATATGCTATTGCAGATTATAGTAATTGAATTTAGTGCTAGTTGTGTTTGAGGTGATAATAATATGAAGCATATTATATGGAATTAACGTAGGCCATAAAAGTGAAGCCAGAGAAGTTTTCATTCTGAAACAAAAGCTTTACATGGGGAACATAATGATTGCTATTTTATGTCCTTCCTCTTAATGCTGCTTAAAATACTTCATTTCCCTCTCTTATCTTTCTCTGTTTCCTTTTGTATTTTTACTAAATTGCAGTATGCTATTTGAAATTTACATTTTACTTTTATGTTCATTATTCTTAGCCAGTGTTTGTGGGGATCCATTTAGAGTGAAAATTTATACTTAAGTGTTGAGGGATGTAGGAAGATAAATTTCTGTGCCATTTTTAGAAATTTGGATCTTTTACTTTCTTTTTCAACAAATATATACATGCCTGCATGCAAATATGTGCGTAAACACATAGAGAGGCATAAAATAATGTTCTTGTAAATGAACATGGCAAGTGACTCATCAGTAAAACATGGGGGCTGGCTTAGTGTGTCAGTAGATACATGGGTGTATATTTATGGTCAGTTCTCTTGGAAAAAGTACCTAATTCTAAGTGATATGCTAAATAGAATCTTCTGCTTGATTAATTTCATATAGGATAACCTAAGGAATTTATTGTTTATTGTTTATTGTATTCTATATTTCATGGTGTGCATGTGGCTCAAAAGTATATTAAGTTTTATCATCTCCTGAGTGTTTGTCAGGGCTGGGATGAGACAGTCGTCAAGCATGATCAATCTGATGAGAACCAATCTGAAATGAAGATCTCACTTCCGTCCATGCCTTCTCTCTATATAATTTCTTTTCTGTTCCGAGCATGTGAGGAAATCCATAGGATTGGGGGACATGTACTTGACAAATCTATTCTGCAAAAGTTTGCATTAAGACTGCTGGAAAAGGTATGCTACTTAACTGGACATCTAATTTTATGTATTCCACAGATTCTATTTCAAGACGCACATGCACATGCATGCTCACCATTCACCAGCTGGTACACTTGTATGATGCGTGCTTGTATATCTTATTTGACTGTATCCTTATCATCTATTCTTATCTTGAGCACTTTAGCTGTTTACACGTGATTAGGGTGCATTGTTGCATTAGGGTTTCTGTTTAAGGTTTTCTGTGTTTTTTTTTCTCTTGTTGTAACGTTTAATCATTCTTATGTAGAAGCAGGATGTCTTATGAAGTAATAATATGCTGGTTTAATTTTAAACAGCAAAATTTTTATTATGGTTTTTTGGTGACTAAGGCTTTATTGTTGTTGTTGGTGACTAAGAGTGTTTTGGATTAGTGTTTTGTATGATTAAGGTTTAATTTTAAACAGATTGGAGGATTGTTAGTTTCTTGTGTCTTTTTTAGGAGGAAAGCATACTTTGGTTTCTCTTCTGGGATAGTGAAACTACTTCTTTTATCTCATTAAAAAAAGAGAATTTTAAGTGTGACTAATTTCTAGTTCCTCTACTTCATAACAACAATAGTTAGAGGTGTTCATCGACACAGGGCCCTGTCCAGCCAACCCAGTAAAATATTGGGTTTCAACAGAGGGTTTCACCCCTGGTTCAGTCTGGAACTTATGAGGTATGACTATTATGAATCTGAGGCTTGGAATACCTTAGACATAATGCCCAGACTGCCCAAGTAATAAAATAATACAACAACAATAACAACCAAGCCTTAAGTCCCAAAAGTTGGGGTTGGCTATATGAATCCTTTGTTTCAAAATCCGCAAATTAATATCCGTGCAAAGCAAAGTATAAGTCAGAAATAATTTGAAATGGTTTTTGTAAAAAAAAAAAAATTTTGAAGGGAAATTTGAAAATCATTTGATATATTAATAAATAGGACAAAGCATAAATTAGGGAACAACAACTAACTAGGGTTTGCGACATGAATTTTTTGCCCCAATCTATTCTGTTCATAGTTTTATTCTAACTAATATCCAAAGACAGTAGATCCTTGGCGACAACTTTCCAGCAAATAGTTCTGCCTCAACCTTTGACAAGTCCAATAAAAATTAATAACTACTGAAATTTATTTTCTTTGATTTTGTTTCTTTTTTAATAGTAAAAGCTTTCTATTTCATCCCAAGCAAAGCTCTGCCCCCACAAGATTCTCAAGTGACTATGAAGTATCATTTTGTCATGTTGAAGAGAATGTTGCCTTGCTTCACACCTTGCGTTGGCTTTTGAACAAAGAAAAGTTTGTTGTGCCAGTTATGCAACTTCTACTTGATTTCTACCTTTGCTGCTTATTTTCTTTGTTGTGTCCCTTTTCTTTCATAGTAACTTGTTTGCTGCTTATCAAGTTTTTTTTTTATAAGGTGGATCATAATTTATAGGGAAGTTATAATTGTCCCTGTATTTTGCCAAAAGTTAGTACTTTGTCCTTTGTTTTGAAAAATAGACTACTCTGTCTCCATCGTTTCTACCATTATACACTATTCTCCTTCTATTAAAAAAACTTCAACTTTTGCTGTTAAAGTGCCATGTAAGAAGACAGAAATACCCTTGAACCCCACTCACACCCGAATCTCTATCATCTTCATCACCAAAGCCCACCATTGCAACCTTCATTTCCATTAATCGCAGCTCAAGCTTCCATGATTTTTTGAGGGAGAAAGGTTTAAGGGTAGAGAGGGATTAGGTGTATTTCTGCCCTTTAGCAAGGCAATTAAGGGCAAAATGTGGATTTTTTTTGGAGAGGACAAAAGCGTATAAAGGGAGAAAAACATGGGGACAAAGTATTCTGTTTTTTCAATATAAAGGGACAATGTAGTAACTTTTTGGCCAACTACAAGGATAAGATTATGATTTTCCCTAATTGGTATTTTCTGATAGCTAGTTTTCACTCTTTGGGTTTCTTACCCAGTCCATTTATCCAATTCATATCATCTTCTGAAGAATCGAAACAGTTCCCTGTATTTTGAGGCTGAATTATTGTTCTTTTCTACTTGTAGTTGCTTGTCATTTGCTTCAGTTCAAAGTGGTCAAATTTTTGATTTCATATATTGCTCTTTTCCCTTCAGTTACATCTTATCATATTTCTTCCTCTGGCATTTATTTCTATTGTCGTATGTGGTGGTTCAGTATGTTCAAAGAAAATTATTTGCCCTAAGATTGGATAATAATTACTATCTTCAATTCTAATATTTCATGCAGCTTATTGAAATTTACGAGGACTTCCTTTCTCATGTATCTCAAGTGTCAGAGAAAGGAGTTCTGCAAATTCTGTTAGATCTGAAATTTGCTGCAGATGTTCTCTCGGGGGGTGATACCAATATTACTGAGGATTTATCTAAAAGTCCTGCGGTGAAGATTTCTTTTAGAAGGAAGCAGGAACAAAAACAAATGAAGTCAGTCTTTAGAGCACGCATTGATGGGTTAATCAATCATTTTTCACAAAATTTGGATCCAATAGACTGGCTCACGTAAGTTTCTTTCTCTTGATTCAGAAATGAAACTTCTTTTAAAGGTGTAAAAGAAGTGTGGAAACTATTATCTTATATCCTGAACTTTAATATATGTGAGGGTAGCAATTAGCCCTTGGTTTAATGGTTGTGAGTATCTCTTGCTCACGAGTCATGATGCAATTTTGAAGAATGATAAGTGTTTTGGGTATTACCATTATTTTTTGGCGTTAGAATCATTGGTGGCATTCTGTTTTTGAAGGTCATGTTTTGAGGCCATGCTGGAAATTGGAAATGAGACATTCCACAACTGGAAAGAGCATATAATTATATCCTATTTGGATCTATTCCACTTTAATATTGTTGAATTCTTGTGATTTTGGAAGTTAATTTAAAGATTGTAAGGGTTATAGATGAGATTGCTTGTTTAAGCATTTTAGATACACTATTTGCATCTTAAAAAAAATTCATATCCCAAAATTTTTTCTCCATCCTTCCAAAAACATGGAAAAACTTTTCTATTTATTTTTTGTATATATGCCATTACGTTTGGCAATGGCGAAAGGAAAATTTTTCTTGGCATAGAGGAGCAAAATTGTCATATTTTATGAGTATTTTTGTGCCGTTGGTTGAGGTGGTAAACGATTTTAATCCTCGTAAGAATGAGAATACAAGTTCGATTTATCCCCAAAAAAGAAAAATATTAGACCAAATACTATATAGTATGGGAAAGCAAACAACTTTTTGCATAGTCTAATTATAAAAAATAGCCCTAAACTTTAGTAAAATCCTAATTTTCCATTTATGAAATTATATAGACCAAATACTATATAGGATGGGAGAGCAAACAAATTTTTACATAGTCAATTATAGTAAATGGCCATAAACTTTACTAAAATCCTAATTTTCCATTTACGAATTTTTTTTTTAAAATTGAATTTCATAATTAAGAATTTTAATCAAAATAATCCCTGAAGTTTTCGTTTACTTTATCATCTTACACCAATTAGCATCAAATTTGTCCAATATTTTCTTCAAAAACTATTCCCTGTACTGTTTGTAGTGCAGACTGTTTACTACTTTAACATCCCTGAACCTGATTTTCTTCATCTTCTTTTGATGATATAGGTGAGACTCCTTGAACTCTAGGACACTTGTGAGGAACTTTTAAGTCCTTAGAAAGCCCCTTTAAGAACATGTTCTAACACTGCCTACTTGTGCTTCAGAATTTCATGCAATCTTTCCTTGGTCTTCCTATGTCATTAAGTTACACTTAGGGGTTTTTTTTCCTTGATATGCACCTTCATATTATTTACATGAAGCTTTAATGATTAAGGCGTGTTTGGATATCTCTGTTTTCTGATTTATTTTATTCGTTGAAGGTATGAGCCATACCTCTGGGAGAATGAGAGACAGTCATATCTACGACATGCAGTTCTTTTTGGATTCCTTGTGCAACTGAATCGGATGTACACAGATACTGTGCAGAAACTGCCTTCTAATCCAGAGTCAAATATCATGAGATGCTCTACTGTTCCTCGTTTTAAATACCTTCCAATCAGGTAAATGTTTCGTTTGCAATTTTCATTAGTAGGAGCGATGTATGTAGAACAAAAAGCATAATCGAAACCCAATTCAGTTTTCTTTTGTCCAATTCCGTTTCAGTTTTAGTATCTAATTCTACAGTCAACCAACATAATGTCTATTCATACTAATACAGTAAGAATAAAGACTCATGGCCACAAACTGAAGCCTTTTCTGCTTCTATTCCATATGTACAATGGAGGTATTCCTGTCATTTTCCAGTCCATATGTTATCATTCCCCATATCAGCAGGAACTAAATAACAAAAATAATTGCTATGTTACTTCTTATTGGGACAAAAAATTTGGCTATAGGTGTTCAAACAGAAAAAAAGGTTCACTTATTGAAGTGTCATGAAAAGATCATCTGCTAATTTTATCCAAGAGAATTTGGAATCCTTAACATTATTAAATTACTCTGTCTTCCTAATTTTGAGATGATGCCTGTTGAATTTATGGTTGTATTTTTTATGGGTCGATGTAGAATTTACAGTTAATATGTGAATTAGCATCGCAGTGAAAGAAGTATTCTTTTGTTCAGTTCTTAGATGTTCTAGATTTATCACCGTGAATATGACTGAGACTATCCATCTTTTCCAAGAAATCGCCAATGCAGGTTGAGTTGTAGATCCATTCTGGTATTATGAACTGCTTGAGACAAATCAGCAAAGTGGAGCCCTGTACCTTCTCTTTTAAATATTGTGATGTGAGAAATGTCCCATGTCAATTTGACAAAAATGTGCCTGGCGCTGCCTTTACATACTATGGAAGCCCTTTCACATTATTTTTCATTAAATAGCTTATACCTTGGCCTTGTAAAGGGCCTATTCACTTAGGCCCCCTAATGGTTTGACGAATTTTTGAACCAATGCAATTGAATCAGTTTGAGTTGTGTGCTCGTGGTTCAGTTGCCATTCATATATTCTATAGATTGACAAAAACTTATCAATTTTACCATAATTGACATTTCATCTTTATGTTTTAAAATGGGTGTTTTACTTCTGTTTTCATCTTAATTACCCAGTGCGCCAGCATTGTCTTCAAGAGGAACAGCTAAGCCATCTATTCCGGCAGCTTCAGATGATATCTCTTCAAGAAGTTCTTGGAAAGCCTACACCAACGGGGAGTTCTCCCAAAAGATTGATTTGGATGACAACTCAAGTTTTGGTGTAGCAGCACCAATTTTGAAGTCTTTTATGCAGGTACAACTTTCTGTGTTAGACTTCTCTCTTTTTTTATTTTTAAAAACATAGGAAACGGAAACGTGGGGAAACATGTAAATATGAAAAATGTAGGGTTATATTTATAAATATTAAAAAATAAATTATTATAAACCATTAAATATATACAATAGAAGTCAAGTCCAATCAACATTTAATTATATCCAAAAGAATTACAAGTTCTATACTCATAAAAAATAAATATTTTGTGAATTTGTTTTTATTTATGTATTTATTTTAATTACAGAATTGAGTTTTTGAGAGTTTCCAGTTTATGGAGACGTATTTAAGAGAGGGGAAGTGTGTTTCTAAATTTCTCAATTTATGGAAGCGGCTCCGAAACATTTCCGAGGAGTTTCCAAGTGTTTCTGTGCAGGAAACATTTCCGAAATGTGGAAACGGCAGCCAAACAAAGTTTCCGTGCAACATAACAAAATAGCAATTTGAACCCTGAATTGTAAACAAAGCCTGTAGTTTTTTCTTAGCTTTGCATTAGGTTGCTTAAAAGGCTGTGGAATGAAGAACGATGTAACCAAAATTTTAAACAAAGGTTTGAGTTCAGGAAACTCGGAGTTTGTGGAGTTCTCTCTTAAAAAGATCATAGGTTCTCTTTTAGCGAGCCCTAAAAATTGTATGATTCTCTCTTAACAACCCTAATATCTTTAAATCCAATCACATATACCAATAACCAGATTCAAATTTGGGACCTTAACACTCATAGACATAGGAGACTGAAATCCTCCCATGGATCCTTTATTTATGTATCCAGTTTCTTTTGTATCTGTAGCTTGTTTAATCCACTTGTAAGATCAATAACCTCTAATTATCTTTAAGCAACCAGCCTACTAACACTGCAATACTTCTATGATGCGCCAAATTCGAGCAATTGATGAGATTTAAGTTCAAGATTTAAATAAGGGAGATCAGGCTAAGAGACGGAATTAGAGCCGGTTAGAGTGAGGAGAAGTTTTGTGGCTGTGAACAATTTCTGGGATACTAAAGTAGGAGAGCTAAGGGGTGAATTATTAATTAGTCCCTATAGTTAAGTGAAATTCACAAGTCAGGACCTGTTCCAAAATAGTTAAATAGTTCCTCTATTTTGTTGTCGTTCAAAAAAATAGTTTTCTGCTACAATTTTGCAGTTGTTTTTGTTAGTCAACTAAAAAGTCGACAAAAACCAGAATTTATTTCCAAAGTGTATCTAACAATTTAATCTAAACATATAAATATGGCTTCTTATTTCCAATGAGGTTCTTATGTATAAATTATGATTAGTGATGTTTAAAATGAAAAAAAAAAAATGTTAATATGCACTTTGAGTTTTGATTATCAACAAAAAGTGTAAGTCCTATAGAAAATAGTTGGTCTCAGAAGATAAAATACAAGCAGGCTTAATTTTCTTCTTTATCGATTCGTAATGGGGAAGTCTGAACGCAACCTATCTTCTCTATTCTGTAAATATGTACCCAGTTTGTTTAATTCAATTGGTCTACAAACTTGGGTTAATCTGGCTCTCTAATTCATTTATAGTTTACCTTGTAAGCAATCATTGCCACAGTGACTGCAATTTCCTTTGTAATGGACAGGTTGGCAGCAGGTTTGGAGAGAGCACTCTAAAGTTGGGGTCCATATTAACTGATGGGCAAGTAGGCATATTCAAAGACCGATCAGCTGCTGCCATGTCAACGTTTGGTGATATTTTACCTGCTCAAGCTGCTGGTCTTCTTTCATCCTTCACTGCTACCAGATCAGACCTCTAATGTCCACTGAATTTCTGTCCTCTTCTTTCTCCCACTTAGTTGCGTACTTTATCCAATAAAGAGCACTAAGAAAATACTCAAACATAGGGATGTTATGGCGCAGAGATTGAAATAACCTTTGATCCTGTGGAAAAGTTATCCATTATGGTACATGGATATTGAATGAGAAGGTTCACTAGTGAATCAAGAGGGGGCACTGCGAGACTATAGAGAAATGGTTATATATATATGAAGAAAGATAGAAAATAAAGAATTTTAAACAGCGCGTGTAGGAATGATACGATGCAAATATTTTTCTCAATCTATATTGTGTATTAAGTGATAAAAGTAACATGGTTTGAAGAATATGAGGTTTGCATCTGGAGTTATCTTGTATATAGGAACTATTGTCTCTACAACTATCATAAAAAAGAACGGGGAAGCTGTAAAGTTTAAGTGAAATTATATCTAATCTGAGGTCATGGCATTGGAGCTGAATAACTAAAAGTGGTCTGTCTTGTTTTGTTTCCCACTCCTGCAGATGTGGTTTGCGTGGATCGCATGGCTTGTCCCAACAGATATTTTCTTGCACTTGTTGGCTTAATCTTGCAGAAAACTTTGGGCATTGAACTTTTGCTTGGTGGGTATGGTGGATATGGTGGATATGGTCTGCATCCCGGTCTCATCGTTCAATCAGAATGTGGTGAAGAAAGGATTTTTGAGGAGAAGCATTTTGTTTTGATGTTGAAAACGGGTCTAGACTCTAGATTAATGACCCACTCCACTGGGTGTCTTCCCGTTAAGTTGTTTTTGCTTTAGCTTTAGATATAATTTTATTTGTTCCTGTTAGGGTAAATGTACCTCCTACACATTTTTGTTACTTGTGTTTCTTTGGAACAATGACTTCTGCATTACTAAGAAACAAACCGAGAAAGGGTCATGACCGAGTAGAATTAAGCTTAGGTTGTGATACACGTGTGGTTTAATGCTGAAGAAATGAAAAATGATAATGTTGTTAGGTTGAGACATTGACCTTTTTTGCATTCTTTGATCTTCTGCTTTTTACAGGGTTAATTTCACCGGTGATTTCTCAACTTAGAGCTCTGCCTGTGTCTGAGCTATTGTAACTTATAAATGTCTAAACCTCAATTATGTAAAACGAAAAATGAAGCCGTTTCAAATGATTTTCCCGTGCCAAATTGCCACGTGGTATGGCGTTTAAAAAAATGATATAATTTATTTAATTTTTTTTAAAAAAATTGAATTTTAATATAACTAGAAATTAATCCTCTTAGAGTTTAATTTCTCTACCTATCCTCCCTTCTTCATCTCTTCTCCCACACCACCTCCACCATAGTTTTAATTTTTAGAATTAATAACAAAATTATTATTTTGATTTTTAAATATAAAATACAATTATAAATAAAATTTTAATTCGGACATAATCATTTAAAATATTAATATAGGACTGTTTTGTTTCATGATATTTATGACAAAAATTTATTCTAAAATACTTGTTCCACGATACTTGTCAATTTTTGAAAAAATAATTTATTCTAAAATATTTGTCAAATTTATAATTTTAAAGAGTAATAAATATTTCTTTTCGTATTTACCCTTTATACATGACTAATATTGAAATATAAATAGTATAATAATACAACCGTGATCAATAACAATATAACTCAAACGAAAGTGATTTGACAAATTCATGCATATACTCGAAGCTTATTATGCTTTGGCAAACGCTTTGGCAAAAGCATCACATGTGTATGAGGATTAATCTATGTTATATATATAATTTAATATAATGTGCGGAGTTGATAACTATTACGGAACAGTATTCAACGGATTAGAAGAGAAAAATAAATAAATAGTAGCAGCAGCAGCAGGAGGCAAATGAGATGGATCCTATAAATAAATGCGTATATGGAAAAGTGGCAAGCTGAGGTAGCTGGCTAGCTAGCTGGATCATATGATATAAGAAAGAAAGAAAAGAAGGATATATTTAATTTTATTCGTTTTGACATTTTCAAAGGAGGGAGACAAAAAGCACGTAATTAAGGAAGAAAAGGGTTATCAAACAGATGTTGCTGCTGAAATGTTCTTTTGTTCTCACTTCCAATTGTCTTTTCTTTTTCTTTCTCTTTTTTTCTTTTCAATATATTTAAGAGTAATGTATGTAGCTTAGATGGGTGGGAAAGCGTGCAAGTGCCAAACTCCAAGAAGGGAGAAAGAGAGGAAGAATAGTCAATTAGGGGAGGGAGGGATCTGATGTCACATGAATGAATATGAATAAGAGTGAGAAGAGAAAGAGAAGGAGAAAGAGAAAGAGAGGGATGATCGATGGATCGATGAGTCAAGTCATCAAGTAATAAAGAAATGGTCATGGTGTTGGCACTGTCCAATAAATGCCATGTCATTGAGTTGGACAAATCGCATATCTTAAATGTAAAAAATGGATCGTAATAATAATAAGAGCATTGGGGATTTTGGAGAGAAAGAGAGAGAGGGGTGGGGTCTGACGGACAACCCGAAATAAATGCGAAACTTTAAAGCTTTTCTATTTCTTACTGCTCACTTCAGTACCAATTTTGTCTTCGTGAGGCGTGCAACTGTCGGGATATCCCCCTACCTTTAAAACCGTCCCTTTCACCTCATCACACTCCTTTTCTTCCCTTCCTTCCTGGGTTTACTTTTCATCATCATCATCATTTTTCTTCTATTAAGTAATAAATAATCACCATCTCTGTTCTTTAATTAATTCATTAAGTCTCTCCCCCAACAAAAAATACGTTCATACCTGAAACAGAATATACACAATATCTATTTGACAATATATATAACCCAGACAAGTTCAAACAATGAATTAAAGCTAAGAAATAAGAACAAGAGTAGTAAAAGGAAAAATAAACAAAAACAGAGAATCATGTTTTAGCACATACACTTACATATACATACATACATATAGATATGTCCTAACCATCCATTATGCATGCATGCGTCAGCAATTCCTGTGTGTTGATAAATATGAGAGAGAGAGAGAGAGAGAGTTTGTAAGGCTGGCCATGCATTTAAAGGTAAAGACATCATTGCAAAAGTACGTCATCATTGTCATGCAAACAATGCAATGTTTTTGACTACGTTTTGAATCAAAGATGATCGATTAAAGGTTAGAAGCCAGCAGTAGCGTTGTGTTGGACAATATGCTTTTAAAATTTTTTTTTTTTCAAGTTTTCAACTCCAATATTTTGTGCGCTTTATGCTTTGGATTTGGGGTTTTGAATTTGCATTACAGTGTGAGTATTAAATGGCTCCTTTTCTCTGTTGACATTTCCTCTGCAACGGCCTTTCATGCTTCTGGCACTGAGAGGGAGGGAGAGAGAGAAAGGGGATTTCAATTTGGGTCTCTCTTAATTTCCCACCTACCCTTACCCTGTCCTTTTGTCTTATTCAGTTGTCTTCTGTTTTATTCGGGAAATGCCTTTTGCTTAACAGTCTCCATGCCTCTCTATCTAAATCAGCTCCACCACCATATTTAATATGCATAACCTAGCTAGCTACTCAATTTTCAATTTCTGTTACTTCCCAAGTCTCAACGGCACAACTTAATTTTACCACACACCCCCGCATTCTATTTAATTAACGTCATTTTTTCAGTTATTGTTTCCATGTTCGACTGCTATTTTTTTTCTCTCTCATCAGCTCCTTGTTTAATTTGTTCTACTAGAAAGTATATATGACAGTTGAATTGGTGTCGCTAAATAATACAATAAGTTGTTTTTTTTTAAAGTAAATATTATTTCTCTTTTTTTATCAGCAAAAGAGAAATAAAATTTATTATTAGAAAAAGATAAAAGTTATTATTATATTTCGATAATTTTTCTCAATATTATTAAATCTTTAGTATAAAACACCAATTTTTTTTTATCAGCAAATATGATAATAAACTAATATTACTTTAGTTTATTATCATATTTTGAGAAAATTTAATATAACATGAGACCTAAACTCAAGTCAATAGACTCTCCAAATACACATTAAACTAAATCGAGAAAGGATAGATACTTATTATTATTTTTTAATTCTTGTTATTGATATTCTGATACAGCTTTCCATCACAATTGCTTGATTTTAACAACCTAAACAATCATATAGTTTCTTCGTAATTTTCCTTTATATATGCTTTTTTAACAAAAAATTTCTTTCTTTTTTTTTTTTTTTTTTTTTTTTTTTATCAAGGTTGGTATTATTACTAAACAATTGAGAAAAATCCTGATCCATTACATACCCAACAGATGTTCAGGGTTAGGTATATATATATAATATATATATATATATATATATATTACAATTTAATCAAACTATAGACAATCCACATTAGAATTAAAATATAATCGAACAAAGAAAACAAACATGACCTTTATTTATAATCATATATTAAGATATAAATTCCAATTAACAAAGCAGATAGCAAAGTAAATGCACCCATTAAATCGATAATATTTTGCATATATAAACCAATCATAGGGTTTTGATCAATAAAAAATTGAAAATTTTAATTTTATAGATTGGGTTCTTAGCCTCGAGCAAACCAAATAGCTTGATGATACGTTGCAATAATAACGATGATATATTGAAAATTTTTGATTTTACGTCTTGGGGTTCATTCTACTATTTCAATGTAATTTCTTCTAGGGAAAAATGTTTAATACATACTTTTCTTTTCATTTAATTACCTTGCAATACAAATGAATTTTTGATATTCCTTTTTTCTGAAAATTCTGTGTGCAAAAGAAGACGTCGATTGGAATAGTATAATTATGAGTTCGTCACAATAGCTCCACATGGAATTCCGAACCATCAGAGTGCAGAGTTCATCATTTAAAGAAAGCACATGTAAATAATCCACCGTTGAAGCATCAGCTAGGAAACAAAAGAAAAGAAAAAAGGTAGCTTCAAATTGAAAATAATATCAATTGTTGTCTGTTTAACTGTTAAAAGAGAAAATTTCAAAGGGATGAAAACAAAACCAGTCCATCTATATGTCTGCCATGGCACACTTTAAGAGGCAAAACCCCACGAACTACTGGTGTTACTGTGATGGTAGAGGAGCAAGTACAATTTTGGCATGGCAAACATATATATGGCAAACATATAGTATATATATATATTTATATATATATATTATATATATATAAATTTTTTTTTTTTCTTCTAGATGATTAGAGATTGGATTATATATATATATATATTTTTTTTTTTCTTCTAGATGATTAGAGAGTTGGAATAAGGGAAAAAGTAAACTAGACATGGCAAAATTTGTCTATGCAACGCAACGGGTGTTTAATTAAGTGAAAGATAAAAATTGCCCTCTATCTCAGTTTCACTCAATCCTTCAAAGTCCAGCCTGCATAAACCAAGTCAATGCAAAAAGCATACATTAAGAATATTATTAATTAATTCAAAACTAGCGTAAAGTATGTACAGGTTCATGTGGTGCCAATTTATTCCTATTGCATTGGGTGAGTATACACGGTGAAGACAGTTCCAGAGTCATAACCAGGGGATGGATGCGGAGCCGGTATATATGAATTTTGAGTTATCCGTATTGGATTAAAATTTACAATCTCAGAATATCCGATCTCACTTCCAATCCGACACATCATACTGAATTACACCTTTCCAACTTTAGGCAAGAATATGAATTGATCATTTATATTTGATTTGACTGGAGACCAATTGTAACATCAATCAATTTACGGTAAAATGCTTGGTAGTTATCTTGGTCAACAGAGGGTTTGACTCTTTTCATTTCTTTAACCCTAATTTCAGAAATCAAGATTTTGAAGCACAAGTTTCTTGATATTTTGGGCTAAATATATGTATAAAATAAAGATAGCAATAGGTGAAAACCAACTTACCCGGAAACAAGAAACTAAGAGGGATCAATGGTGCGGCGGTCATCTCCCGCTGCAGCCCTTGGCTGCTGGAACTGACTGAGCTGTCCAATACTTGCAGAAACATTCATGGCAAGAAGGCTTGCGTCGTAGTTGTTTGCAGCATCAAAGCTCCTCATCATCTGCTGCTGCTCCCTGGGAAAGAACTGGTGGTGGTAATGGTGGTCCCTTCCCCCACTGCCTGCTCCGATGAGATTGATCCCAAGGTTCTGCGGGTGGTGATGATGATTGTGGGTGGTAGCCGTGGCAGCCGCAGCCGCAGCAGCGAATAATCCAGCATGGCCAGTGATACCTAGGTTCTGATATTTGGAAAGTTCAGATTTGGCACAGCTGAGATCCATCTGTAGCTGGCGCAGTTGGTGCTGTAGGAGAGAGATGACACCAACGCAGCCATACACTGGGTCGCGGAGACGCATGTCTGCCTCATATGCCAAGGAATTGACGGCATCCTCACGCTGGGAAGGGTGCAACTCGTTTAGCAGTTTTGTGACATTGCTTGCCCCAAACACTTTGTGCACGTTGGCAAACTTTTGGGGCTGATCCGGTGGAAAATATGGAGCAAAAACGCATTCCGGTTGGCATTTCCGCCTCAGAAACTTGCAGGCTGCACATGGAGAATTTGATGACGATGCCATATTTTCCCACCTCTCTTCTGAGACATATAAGCAGTATAAGAAAAGGTCAAACAAGGTTACCAAAAGCTGAAAATTTAAAGAAAAATATAAAAAGTGGGAAAGAAACCAGATTTTCTGTTTGCCTAGCAGGTCATGTAAAGGGAATACTATAACGTACAGCTTAGGCCCGAGTTTGATTTAAGTTACTGATCTATTTGCTCTTTGACATGATATGCGCCCGATCAAGGGCAAAAAAAAAAAAAAAAAAAAAAAAAAAAAAAAAAAAAAAAAAAAAAGAACTCAATAAATAAAAAAAAAAAAAAAAAAAAAAAAAAGAACTTCAATAAATATGTGGAGGTAAATCTAAAGCAAAAATAAAACACAAAAGACGAATTGAGTTGTGAGAGATACAATATGTATGGCACAATAATGGGGGAGCGGCTATAAAGGCTGGTTTTAGGGTTTGGGCTTGTGTTTATTTTGGAGAAGATATATCTCAGAAAAGATAACAAAATTAATCAAGCCAGTACCAGCCCAAAAAAAATGGCAAAACAAAGGGTAGGGTTGATGGCTATATGCTCGAAGAACTCTAAAATGGGAAGGTACCCTTCTGCAGGATCTTTGCCTATAATTATTGACTTGTCAATATCTTCTGATTAATAAAGAATCAGAATGATGATTCTCCTATTTTTAGCTGGAAATTGAAAGATCTAGACCAAAAAGGGCATGAGAAGATATATATGGAAAAAATATATGTGTGTGGGCATAAATTAAGCAGCTGATGAGATCTTGTAAAGTCTAGAGAATTGCTGCCACCAAATTGAAAAATATCTCTTCTTTCCCCATGTATTGTAGGGCTACCCAGAAATCTAAGTAGCTCCTAACTGGAACAGAGGTGAGAAAAAGGAGATGAGGGTGTTACTGAGTGCAGTTTTAGAGGGTGTACTGTGTACATGGAATAGGAAGGAACGAAGATGGAAAATTAAGGAGACTGATTTTAGCGGTAGGTTTGTGGATTGGATCTCGTGTAGTAATTTTGTTTCACTGTTTTCAATGGAAAGGTTCGGGAGCAGATCTCGCTTAAATTTCATAGAAATTAATATATCCATATTTCCTTGTAATTAAAATAAAATCTCGGGATGAACTCCCGCCTTATTATAAAAATAAAAATGAATTCATACATGCAAAGAGCAAGGAGCTTGATCAAATCAAATAAAATATTGGAAAGTGGTAACAAAAAAAAATATTTATATATATGAAAAAGGGAAGGGAAGGAGATATGTAAAGAATAAAAAGAAGTCCCTGAGTCAGACTGTGGGAGATCTTGGGACGAAGGATTTCCCTAATTCTATTCTTTTTGTCTTGCAACTTCGAGAAAATTATTATTATTATTATTATTATTTAAAACAAAGAAAAGAACATACGAGTACTAGTGCGAGATAGTGGGTGCCGTGACCTCTACTTGTTCATTCAAACCTTATTTCTTGGTTCCAGTTAAGTCTTTCTTCCAGACTTTTATGACGAAGAAGAGGCTGGATCTCTTGGTTGATAGCTTTTTCAGTCCAAGAATCTTTTGTATGTTGGAGTTCTTTTTTTGTGCTTTTGTTCTTTTTACCTTGCAATAAGCGGAAGTTGAAAGATGAAGCCCCTCCTTTAATGCCTCCCTGGAAATTCAAATATATAGAAATATGAGTTCATGCAAAAATGTATTCTTTTAGCTCTCTTATCGCTTCAATTTCTTCGCCGGAACCAAATGGAAAAGAATATGCATATAAAGATGATGAACTGTAGGCGTGCCTAACGAAAAGGGGGGTAGAGAGAGAAAGGGAGTGATGTGTTGCTCTTGGTCTTACTTTCTCTGGTGTGCTATAGAGAGAGAGAGAGAGAGAGAGAGAGAGAGAGAGAGAGTGGTAATATACTACTAATATCAGCGAAGGAGAAGGGGAAAGTCCCCCCAGGAGCAGAGGCTAAGGAGACGCGGAGAAAGCAAAAACAGGCCGCGAGTGCGAGTGAGTGAGTGAATGAGTGAGTGATTGAGAGTGATGAGGTTTATTGTGTTTGTTCTTATTATCAATTCCTTACTCAGACTCCTCAGAGATTTGGAGCATGTTGTGTTCTTTTGACATGACATTTCCTCCTTTCCTCTCTGTACACTACACTACTACTACTAGTACCATCTTTACTATTATTTATCTAAATATTTATTTATTTTTAAAGGCTTCCATTTCGACTTTCAGGTGTTGTCTGTATCCAATATCCACCTTGTTACCAAATTCTGCTTAGACATAATTATTATTATTATTATCATCATTATTAATTTTGTTAATAAAACGTATCATCACTCAATTTTTTCTGTTTCAACCTTGAAATTAACTTAAGGAAATAAACAAAAAGAAGTATAATAGTTAAACCATTTCATTTCTTTGTTCTCGTTAATACATTGCATCATTTTAATGTATCTTTAGGGTTGCATGCCAGTAAATTACTGATCCAATTATACAAAGGTCTGACCCTCTCAATCAATTCCATACCAGAGCACAATGCTATGGCCCTATATAGGCTAGGTTCCGTGGGTACAGAACAGAATCACCTTTTTTTTTTTTTTACTACAAATGATAATCTTTCCGTCCTGAGTTTGACATTGAAATGAAAGTCTAATCTCTTTTAAATCGAGAAAGATTATATTAAAAGCCCTCTTTATGGCTTATAGGTGATTGGCATTTTGTGAATGATTGTGTTTATTGTGAACACTAAAATTCATTTATATGATTTTATTGAGTTTTTTTTATAGAAATTAAGGAAATAATTAATTCTATTAAATTATAACAAAATTAAGAGTAATTTGAATAAGTCATCCTTTATTTCAAAATAGGGTAATTTGTGAAAATAATTATTGTATCTAATGTAAATAAGGATACATTAAAAAAAGATCACTTATTACTCTTTAAATTACATAGAATAACTTATATTTTAGGATATACATAGTATTTAATATTATTATTGAGTCAATGTTCATATTTGTATCCTAATATTGATTAGTAAACTAAAGTTTCACAATTACATTAGTACTTTTATTCCACAAAATTGATAGTTTTTTTATTTTTTTTTAACTTAAACTCTTTAGTATTAATTATTTATTTCAATTTTATCCTTATTTAAATCTTTTACTTTTTTTTTATAAAAAAAATGAAGTAATTCAATCATTTTATTAATTCTTATGCAAAGTAAAAAAAAAAAAAAAAAAAAAAAACTTATTTGCAAAAGTAAAAAAAAAAAAAAAAAAAAATCAATAATGGTAAAAGAGTATTGAATTAGATGCAATCAATGCTTATTAGAAAAAAAAAAAAAAAAAAAAAAATCAAATTTAATGGAAAGAGTATTGAATTAGATGCAATCAATGCTTATTAGCTTCTGTTTTTATATGGATAAAGTATTGGGGTTAGTAGATTAATTGTTGGGTTATCCATGTGCCTTAGAGTCTTATATACTTGTACATTGACATTTTCACACGCACGAAACTTTTAGCGAACAGGCACTTGAATGAATGAAGTTAATAATAATATTAACAATAATCCAGCCAAACTTGTGGCACCATCATCTATCAAATAAATAGTTTAAGGAGCCGATTTTAGGCCATTTCACTTTCTAACTCGCTCTGCTCATCAACAAGGTCTCTGGACATGGGAGAAGGTATTCTGTGACGTTTCAAAATTCTGGAAGTGGCTACTCTTGCGGAGCTATAGTTCAATACAATTACCCTATCGTCATCCAAATCAAATCTCAAGCTCTCTGCAGTACACCGCTCAACAATATGGCACAAATGCTTCAAATTTTCAATTTCTACTCCATTCACTTCCTTAACCTGCTCAAGATAGGAAGCACACAGTTAACTAAACTGCATAGAGCAAGAGTTAAAAAAATGGCCCACAACTCCCTATGGTACCAACTAAGTGAAGTCATGATAGGGATAATCTAGTGACACCCTTCAATTATTCTAGACAAAGTGGTTAGTCTCAAAAATAAAAATCTATTCATGGATATGGCCCAATGACCTTTATCTTTGATAAGCAATGCCCTTATTATATATTGTATGTGATACATAAAACATAACTGAGTGCCTATTTATAATTGAATTGGAAACGTGCTGGTACCTGTAATTCTGCAAGACGCTCATATCCCGCATTTATATCATCCATCAGCACCTGAACCAGGTAAGAACTTGTAAGCATAGATGAGTAACTAATTTCAGTAACTTATGCAATAAGAAGCGATTTGGGATATGAACTGAAATATAAATCACAAAATTGTAAATGTTTTTAATCAAGAGGAAATAAAGAAAAATAATATGATCTAATAAAATGTAAAATGGATGGCTTGTACGCTGGCTGTACATACTACAATTTCAAGAAAAAGGTGGCTTAAAATGGTAAGGAGTTTTAAGGACTGATCAGCAGTTCTAAGTTTCTACCACTTACATTCATGGTTCTGTTGTAACTTTTTCAATTAGCCACCAACTTTTTTTACATCCAATACTAGATGAGAAACATAGTATCAGTTCCCTGGAAACTAGCATGGTACAATCCAAACAGACTCCAAATATTTTTTTATCTAACTGCATGCTTCCAATCATGATCCACCTTTTCCATCAAATTTTGAAAAGCAAATGATAAATTGTGATATCCAAGTGCAGACAAATCCTTTGATTAAGACAGTTTTCCACTCCACTTCAGCAAGTGCAAGCTTGATTTTTATTTTTCCTCAACCATTTATCAAGTGGAACCCATATTTTTTACCTTCCATGGAAATACTTTAGACATTCTGAAAATATGAAGATCCATGTATCTGTGTTTAAAAAGAAATGTTTTCCAAAGCATATAAATTTACACTTTAGCTGAAAAAGACATGCGGACCTGGGAAAGAATGACAAGTTGTTCACCAGCTTTTTTGGGCAGATCCCTCAATGCACGTTCACACAATCGACGAGGTGAAGTATTATACCAGTCCTCCCCATACTCATGAAGATATGGCTGTGAGAGTGGAACAAAGACCAGACCAGCAAAAATGTAATAACTAGGAAGCTTATCGAATTGATGGACTGGAACTAGTGGCTGCAACTGCAGAATCCACAAACTAGAGATGAATAACAAAACAAACTATTAAACTAAAATATTAGTAAAATGATTTGCAATCATGGATTACAAAATTAAAAAAAAATTCATCATATCTTGATTTAAGCATTTTTTGCAGATTGAGAACACAGATTTCAAAGAAATTATGTCTTATGTTTTCTACACCTGCAGGTCTCTGACATCATAGTATATCTTAAACTTATTTTATGTAATCCACTAAAGTGGCTCTCTTTAGGTTGTATTTTGATCTAAATCCAATTCATTTAAAAACTGGTTGGCAATGTCAAGGAAGTTGAAACTTACAAATATGATGAAACGAAATCCACTAATTAGTCATCATTCTAACAAAAAACAAACAAAGGAACTTGGAGAACCCTTACTTTGTATTTTCAACTTGCAGAGCAGCTCTAATTTTTATGAAAGGAGAAGGGATCATTATACAGAGCAGAAAGATTCAATATTAATTCAAGAAACTATTTTCAAATGAATTTGTGATGATATTAAACTATCTTTTTCATAAAGTAAGGAGAAAATTTAAACCATAACTTACAGGTCTGACAGTGATACTGAATTCATGCTCTTTACCTTCCCTGAAAATTCTTAGTAAAGCTGTTTCATTAGGCTTCTTCATTGATACCAAATGATCAAAAGTTATCCGCTCTCTATTTCGGAAAGGAACTGTATAGTATATAAGCCATAATACAAATTAAGAACACATGAGGAAACCCCATATATAGAAGTGAGCCCTGGAAACAAAAATAACTGAAAAAATAAGGGAAAAAAAAAAAGTCTGCCACTAGAAGCATCCTACAAATGATAAACCACATTTCCAAGAAACTAGCAAAGAAAGAATAAACTACAACTCAAATGGGAGTATAAAAGAAGTCTGGATGGGACAATATCCTTGATTACGTAATCATGAATAAAAATGTAGAAAGCAAATACCTGTTCCATCATTTGCTATAGGCACATCATCAAATGCCATAATTATGTCATCTTTTCTTATAATTCTGTAAGCATCTGATAAAGGATTAATTTTGCTTACGAATACCCCAGTCATTTCAGGATGCATATTGAAGTGCTTTCTCAATTGAATATTTTCAGTTGGTTGACATGACAGACCCAAAGAACAGAATCCTACATATTTTCCATTTTCTTCCACTCCGGCTATAAAATGCTCAATCACAGGCACGGGAATTATGTAACTGAAATCACAAAATGGGAAAAAGTATTAGCTAAAAATAATACTTAACTACATAAGAAGATTAAGAAATAATAGTAATAACTCAAAGTTAAGTCTATTTCTTTTTCTTCTATATAAGTTGTAATATTTTTACAGCAAAGACCACCCTTGTTCATTTTCCAAACTTGGAAGTCCTGCGTATTTATTTGGCATGAATTTAGGTTGCAATCAAGTATTGAAGCTGCAAAATTTCATCACTGTAACAATAACATAATTTTGAAAAGCTTGATATTTCAAAATCTAATTATCCAAGTAATCAACTCACCCAATGTTCTCAGCACCTGAAAGATTTTGAAAAGCTACACCAGCAACTTTGTTGCCCATTATTGCCGGCCCACCACTGTTCCCTGGATTTATGGCTGCATCAATTTGTATTGCCATCAGCTGGCTTGCACCATGAACATATTGTGTTGGTTCAACTCTAGAGACTACACCTTTAGTAACAGAAATGTTGTCCCCACCTGCCACAATGAAAAAAGACTGAGGTTGCCTGCAGTCTGCATAAGCTCACAAAATAGTAGCACCTAACAGCACTATGAAAAAGAACAAAAAGTCATTTGTAGTGTAAACAGACATGAACCATTACCCTAGAAAGTTAGACCATACTTAGGGCTCAAGGCTTCCGAAATAATGTCATAGGGAAACCGCTGCATAGGCTATAAAAATAAACCTGTAAATTTATGGTTGAATTTGGAGGGGAAAGGACTTGATTTTGGAGGTCGAAATTTGCAATTACTTGTAGGAACTCATATCTAGTTGTAATTAGAGTAAGGAAAAATAAAAATTCTAACCCTTGCATTTATAATTATTCAAGCATCACACTTAGATTGAATTGCATCACACATTCCATAAGGCAACAATTGCTAGAATTTCTATCAGTGAAAGCTTCATGATAAAGAATTATGAGTGTTTATATACTTAAAAGTTGCTCTAAATCCTTACGCTGTTGGACTATAAAAGTAATATATGAGTATTTATAGACTCAAAGTGCAACTTGAAGTTTTAATATAATGGGCCAACAACTAACACTGAAACAAAGATGCTTATATCACCATATACAAAACTAAATAGTATCCGACGGTGTTCCAAATAGGCATCCTATAAACCTATACATAATTCTTAGTTTCTTGCTTTCTGCACCATACTTAAACCCATCATTTATCTCCTCAGTATCAAGTTCATGGTAACAGTCATGGTCATTATTGTCAAACAGCATATTATGTCTAATTATGAGCACCCCATATATTCATAGTGATAGTGGACTTTGCCAAGAGTCCTATTTCAGAAACTATCTCAAAGAAAAATAAGACACCCAAGATGCACATTTGATCAAGCGCCATAGATCTTCTATGATTTTGTTTTCTTTATTATTCTTTGAAACATGTTAAAATCAGTTCTCATCTCTTATATATTCAAACTTCTTTTCCCATCCCATTGTTTAAAAGCTACAATACATTTCCAGAACTTGAGCAAACATTCAAAACTATGCTGGTTAAAGAAGCCGAGTTCAAGATGGAAATAGAAGAAAGGAAAAGAAAAATGCTCATTCACAAATACCTGACATTTAGTATAGGTATGAATCTGAAAATCAAGTTGTCTAGATTATGTTTTGCTTAGTGAAGCAACCTCAATTGAAATACCCATGACATAATGTAAGAAGTATTCAAAGTAGTGATAAGTTATATTTTTACCCTGAGGATAGCCAACTACAGCAACAGCTTCTTGCAGAAACGGGACGTCTCCTAGCTCTAAGAAATTCATGCCCTCCCAAAACTCTTCACTTTCAATAACAAGAATAGCTAAATCACATTCATGACCAACAGCTTGAACTTCTGCTTTATATTTGGTGGGAGATCCATGTCTTCTAACAAGTACAAATGTATGATCAGCCACAACATGAGCATTTGTGAGAATCTTTTTTCCAGGAATAACGAATCCTGCATTTTAAGTTCAAAAAAAAAAAAAAAAAAAAAAAAAAACCTGAGGATAGCCAACTACAGCAACAGCTTCTTGCAGAAACGGGACGTCTCCTAGCTCTAAGAAATTTCTGCCCTCCCAAAACCTTCACTTTCAAAACAAGAATAGCTTAAATTCACATTCATGACCAACAGCTTGAACTTCTTTTTTATTTTATGCTTTATTTTGGTGGGAGATCCATGTCTTCTTAACAAGTACAAATGTATGATCAGCCACAACATGAGCATTTGTGAGAATCTTTTTTCCAGGAATAACGAATCCTGGCATTTTTTAAGTTCAAAAAAAAAAAAAAAAAAAAAAAAAAAAAAAAAATCTTAAGTTAAAAAAACAGAATAAAATGAAAAAACGGGAATATATTTATCAGCTTATTAGTTTGATAATTTATATTTCAGGATTGATATCAAAAGTTTGCTATTTAAGGTTCCATCCGTTATTTTATTGCGCCAGCACGATGATACTTTTTTGTCCAAGAATTTATACTACAGAAACAATTTGATTAGGAAGGACATCTACGTGCAGCCATACCATTGCCAAAAACAAAAGTTACTTTAATTCGAGATTAGACCGCGCAGAGGCCAGAGGGAAGGGCAAAAAAATCTCTGCAGTTGCGTTGGGATGAATAATCTAAATTCGAGATTTGAATTGAGTTTTTAGTTGAAAATTGCACAAACTAGGATGACGGATGCATGCCAATGCGACATTTTGTCTGAAGAATTGAAGATAGGTGTAGCAGAGCAAATAAGTAAATTAGAGAGAGGATAGATACCGGAACCCATAGTTTCCCGCTGGGGCTTGTTCTGCCAAGGAAGGAAATAGTTGGGGCTGCTGGATACTGTAAAGATTTTGACAACCGAGTCCAGTGCCAACTCTATTGCCGAATATGCATCCGTCAGCTGAGAATGACGATTCGCAATTGAACTAAAGCAGGCTGAAGACTGACTTATTGCAAGATTAGCTGCTCCATCTCTTCTAATAGAGCGCAACAAGTTATTGTTAAAGAAATGAGTGATTTTGCTGAAGCTTGATGAGAGAGAAGAACTATCTCCTTGTTTTAGCAAGAAGCTGCTACGACTAGTAAGGTATCTTTGTCTGATAGAAGAGGAGGAGCACAGCTTCCGCACTGTACGAACTGATGAACCCAGCATGGTCGCTTTACTTCGGGGCTTCGCCTGGGATGCTTCAGTTCAGTTCGTAGAGTGGAAGCATTTAAGCTCTCTGTTTCAAAATTTCAACTTTCTTTTCAGGCAGTGTGTAAATGTAATCACGGGGTAGGCTTTTAGGTTTTTACGTGCTAGCTTGTCTTGTATTAGCCCATTTACTACGGAAGGCCATCATCCACTATGCTCGGCCCACTGGATTTCATTGCATAAAATCTTTAATTTAACAATAATAAATTCGGCAGGCCGGAATGTTCTTTGCATTTCATTCTAACGCCAAAATATGTATCCTAAGGAATCTGGTCTGTCTTCGACGCCTGCCTCGTGTTTTCATGTAGTTGAGCCATAGACACTGTTAAATAATAAATATATTGCCGGCCTAGATACCACGCAAATTCTCAATACATATAGGACGAGCGATCAACATAAAATTCAAATTAAATCAACGAAGATCATGAAAGGAAGTAATGGAAGAAAGGACAGAGACGAGGACCTTCTTCTATTCAGGGAGTTGCATAAACGTGAAAAAGATAGTGTTGCCAGCCTCCTTCAGCCCGTTTCCGATGAGTTTGAGCCCAACGGTGGTATTGGTACCTGTTTTTATACAAGCATTTATTATTACGTTGAGAAAAAACAGAATCCAACTTCTAAAACCATTGGCAACAAAAAAATAATTCATCGCCTAATCTTTTCAATTTTGGAAAATGCAGGGAATTATGCACTGTACAGAATTGCATCTGGGAAGAAAGGATCTGCATATGAATTGTATGGCGAAAACGACAAAAGTGATTATAATTGGTAACTAATTTATAATTAATATATTTTAATACTCCTCCGTTACATTCATTCTAAGAGGTTAATTTTGTTCCATTCAATATGAGACTTTGTAAGAGTTGTTAATTTTTTGTTACTATTTTGCCCTTATTAATTAATTGCAGTATCAATTCTCATTAATTAGTGTCAAGGGTATTGAGGTACATTTACAATTAAAATTTTGTCATTTCCTTGGTCTTTGCATTGAATAGTATGGATGGAGTATCTTTTATGTTTTCTCCAATTTCTACCAACTTTATGCTGTTAAGGTAGCTAGATTGATATCTTTAATTCTGTGATGTTATGATGGATATATGAAGGTTAAAAACGCCACCGGCAACTCCTCTGTTTCCTTCTCTAGAAATGGAAGCAAATGCCACACAACTAGTCCTTCAACGCGAGCTACCCATTGCTCAACCTCCTTCGCGGGTACGTGTACTGTATGTTGCTACAGCTAGATACACATGTTTGTATTTATAATGTACTTTACTGATTGAAATTCGCTTATTTAGATCAATATACGGCTTATAGAACAAACTAATAAAAAATTTTTTATTTTTATTTTTATTGAAATGATAGTATTTCTATGCAATTTCTAAAAAATTCAGTTACCTTTTGATAATATGTAAAATTTAATGGGATAATTGGTAAGCTGAGGAGAAAATCACTTATTTAGATTTAATTTATGGAACCATCTATGAACCAATCAATGAAAAGTAATTTTTTTTTATGAAAATGAGTGTATTTCTCATTGTTCACTAGACAAAAAAAAAGAGCAAAACCGAAATAATTTAAAAAAAAAAAAAAATCTATGTTGTGATTGGTTTTATCCATATATGGATTCATAGCTTGAATCTAGATAAGTTTTATCCGCTGAAGCTAAGACTTTCTTTTTGAACAGTGATAATAACAAAAATAAAATGTAATTTCGTTGAAATCTTAATGGGACAGTGGAACAAATAAATGCTCCATTGCCCGCAATGTAAATTTGCTCTTGCTGTGTATGGTAATCATAATGTTAATTCCTATATTTTGTTGAACCGATTACATATATATGACCAGTTTGCAGGCAGTGCAAAGGTATTATCGAAACCAAATACCGGATCACCAAAATCTCCTAATAATTCAAAACTAAAGATGATCCCTTTGAGACCTGTGACCCTTGGGAGTAAAAGATCAAGTCAAACTAACAATACTAATGTAATAAACCCAGAATTGACTCATCCCAGTGAACCAACAAATACATCAAAATCCAATAAACAAAAAGAGACTCAGACTGCAGCAAGAATTTATATCGCAGGAACAGGATCAGATTCAAAAAGAAAGCCTATAAGTAGTAGTTTAAGGTCCAAAATTCCAGTAGGATTTTCCAGCGATACCCCTCCCAATCTAAAGACAGATCGAGCTACTTCTGCTACGCGAAGTCGACCTGTAGCAAGTAACCTAACTGCATCAACTCTCCAAAAACCACTTCCCTCAAGAAGGCAGTCATGCTCACCAAGCGTCACTAGGGGTAGAAAAGAAAATGAAGATAATTTTGTAACTCGTAAAGGAAAGATTCAAAATGGAACTCACATGTTTGGGAGTAGGATAGTAGACAAGGTGATGAATGTCAGAAAATTGAGCACCCAAGAAAGAGGGCAAAAGCCCAAACTTCAAACTACTGCTACTTCTGATTCTGGAACTACTTTTGGCACTGATTTTGGAAGGATGATCATGTCGAGGAGTTCACTGGACATGGCTCTCAACCAACTGGTATAATTCTCTCTTGTGTTTATATTTATGGTATCTTTGTAAATTAAGTAAATAAAAGATATTTAAAACAAGGATAGTAATGTAATTTATTTAAATTTTTTTAATACTTTCACATAATTAAAGTAAATACAATTGTTTTATTCTCTTAAAATCTTTTTATCATCATCCAAATAAAGTAAATTGAAATTTTACTTCTGTTAAGAAAATAATTTATAATAAAAATATTAATTATGGTAATTAAACATCCCTAAAATAAAAATAGCTCTTTGTTCTGACACTAAAATTAAATATACTTGTTGGCATGCAGGAAAAAAAATGAGATGCTAATAATTTTTGCCAGTTTGGGTTTGTCCCAGGAAGAATGTACACTCTGGAGTAAATCGATTGATAAAGGTCTTTAGTTATACATATACATTTGGTCGGAAACAAAGAAAAAGTTTGTAGTCCATTTACACATATTATATAACTAGTTTGTTGAACGGTGTTTGTATTTATTATTTATACTCATGTGTCTATACTTATTAATTTTTACTCGTTTTTAGTAGTAATTTAATTTATATAATTAATTTTTTTATTAATTTATATATGTTTTATTAATTTTTGTTTAAATTATAAATAATTTATATTACTAAAAATCTAAGAGTATTTACGAAATAAAAAAATAAAAAAGTTTAATAATTATATAAATTTGTAAGAAAAATTATAATTGACAAAACAACAAGATAGATTATTAAAGTTGATATATTATTCTAAAAAAGTAAAATATATAATAAAAATTACTATTAATAACATTTTGGGATTGGTCCTCGTAAAATTATTTGTAATTTATCTTTTTTTTCAGATTCTTTTGCCTTTTCAGGTTAGTACCCTAAACTCTAGAATCTATAGTTTTGCTATATATAAATTTAGGTTTGTACTTATTTTTCTACTTTGCGCAGTTCCTAATTGGAGAATTCAACTCTAATTTTAATGGTTAAATGTTGATTGTATATGTGAACTTTAAAAATTGGGACTGCATATTTCTTTTATTTTTATCTAATTTTTGTCGGTTTTCATATTTCTGCCCTAAGAATATTGAGAATTTAAGGCTTTTCTTATGTAAATTTGTATTTCTTATATTAGTTTTAGCTTACAAAATAAATAAAATGCTTTCTTATTGAGGCTAATTTTTGTCTGTTTTCATATTTCTACCCTAAGGATTGGAAAATAGATACCGAATGCGATCTTCTGAATGTCTTCCATCAAATAGAAAGATATTTGATTATGAAGATAAATGAGTGATTAAAAAAAGTTTCATTTTTTTTTTTTTTTATACAGTGGGTCATGTTGAAATTTTCCTTTTCTAGTAATTGCCATCCAGGAAAAAGTATTTTCATTTTGAACTTATTTGTATTTGTTGTAAAAAATAAAAGAAAGCTACATTATCTTTTTGCTTTATCGTTTTGTTTTATATGATTTGATTTGCAGTCCCTAAATTTACTACCGACTACTGATTGTTATCAGTTTTATGTTGATAAAAAATAATATTGACATAATAATAACAATAATAATAATAATAACAACAAAATATTATAAATGGAATAAAGTTGTTTATAATATTTCCCTATGAAAATTTAATAAATTAACATAATCAATCAAAATTAAACTATCTCTACTTTTTCACAAATAAAATTAAAGTCCTTAATGATATTTTTGTCAATCCATAAACTTGATAGGGACGTTTAGGAACCCAGTGTTTTCCACCCCTAATTCTTCCTAATAGACTTTAGATTCAAATAGAAAATTGACATAACCAATCAAAATTAAACTACCTTTATTTTTCAACCAATAAAATTAAAGTTCTTAATGATATTTTTATCAATCCATAAACTTCATTAATTAAAATGTTAAATAGAATATATAAAACAAGATACATTTATTTTATGTGCTTAAATTAATTTTTTTATTCTTTAATATTTTTCCTTTAAGAATCTGAAAGGTATCAAAACACTGTTGCAATGTTAAAACTAAATAATAATAATAATTAGGTCCTCTAATTCAAAAATATGTAAAAACTTGGAGAAAAAAAAAAGTTACAACCATGGACTAAATATAATCTATAACAAACTAATAAACTTATATTTATTACTAAACTATAAACTTTAATTAGAATATTAGGAGTAAAATAATTAATACCTCTAAAAATAATTAATACCTCAACGGTTATGATGAATATTGGACTTAAAAATATCAAAAATTCACTACAAAAGTTATGAATATAATAAAGTGGTAAAAGCTAACATGTCTCAAATATATATTTAGAAGAATATTAGCCTTCTGAGCTGCAATAATTGATCCCTGATATATTTTACTCGACTACAGATCTCAACTGGTCTAATAATAAATCACATAGTAAAATTAGATACTCTCAATATAAACTACACTTCAAAAATAAAAAGTAATATTAATTAAAACTGTCATAGGAGTGATAAATTCATTGAAGCCAAAATATCCTTATTTAGTTTCTATAAATGCACAAATTTTTAAAAAATTAGTGTAGCAAACAAAAACAATAAAAATCGTTAGTTTGACATAGTAACATAGAACAATAATAAGATCTATAATAAAATAATAATATGAAATAATATGGAAAAATTATACTTGTTTAAGATTTTGTTGACTTAAAATCCTGTCAAGATAGATTAAGGTAGAGAATTAATTTTCATAGGAGTTTATAAATTAATTGTTTTTTATATTGGTGTTAGGTTATAAAGTGAACCCCTGAATATAATAGCTTGGTTTATACTAAGGACCCCCTCCAAAAAACTAATCTACATGTCTTGTATGCACACGTACGTCCATAGGGTCTAGTGTTAAGAGTTGAATTCAATATATCAATAGTAATTTAATTTGAAATCTAATTCCTAAACAAAATTGATATTTTTAATTAATAAGATTATTGTATATTATTTCATCAACCAATAAGTCTTATAATATGTTGCTTAACAAATAATAGTAAATAATAGTGTGATTCATCATATCTTTATTTTTAAAGTGTAATTTATATTAAATTAGTCAGTTTTAAATTAATATACAGAAACACATTAATAGAATTATTCCAAACTATACTATAGTTGAACCTAATTCTAAATTTTTTCAAAAACAATAATAAATTTATAATGTGAAAAATTGAAGAAGAAAATCAATTAATAAAATAAAATAAATCAAAAATTGTGAATTATTAGAATTCCAAGAGATGAAATATACTTACATTATTGAAATCTATTAACTGAAAATTCCAACTATTTTGAGAAAGTCACACTATTTTCATTTTTATTTATAAATAATATACGATAACAATAAAATAAAAAAGAAATCTAATAAATCAAATTAAATATTTATAAATTTTTATTTTTATTTTTTTAGCCAATCAAAATCATGAAAGCATTTTAAAAATTATTAAATAAAATTATATTCTTTAATAAAAATAGGATTTGAATTATATAAGATATCAATATAACTAAATAAATTCGAGATATTTAAAAATAAAAATTTTTTATCTTATTTTTAGCCTAACCAAATTAGAAATCAATTTATAATTAAAAATTTTAATCATACCCTTTTTAAATCAAATCTGAATCATCTAAATATATTTATTTAAAATAATAATGTTGAAGTTAAATTATAAATTATAAAAATAATAAATTATTAAAAGTTATTAAATTATTTATCTATTTTTTAAGCCTAGACCAAATTAGAAATCAATTTATATAAAATTTTTAATCATACCCTTTTTAAATCAATCTGAATCAGTCTAAATATATTTATTTTAAAATAAATAATGTTGAAGTTAAATTATAAATTATAAAAATAAATTATTAAAAGTTATTAAATTATTATCAATAATTTATGTAATAATATAATGAAATAAAATATAATTGGACAAAATAAGATAATAATAGTAAAAATTAAAAAATTTTGAAATGTTTAATTATCTATATTTATTTATCCATTAAAAAAATTCAAAAAAACTTCCAATTAATTTATAGAAATATTATATATATTTTTAGGTTAGAATATTTTAATTGGTTAAAACTAAGATTATTTAGGATATTTTAAATTTCACAAGGATAATATTGAAAATCCCATTATTCTCCCATTCTCACTTTTATATAATAGTATATGTTATAGATAATTCTAAATATTATCGTAATATTTTCAACTACACTGGAACATATATTTTTGGAGACAAATTTTGTATAAAAGGTAATAAGTTATGACTCGTAGCCTTTTGTAGAAGTAATTCCAATTTACCCGATCCGGTTATTGATAGTGTGTAACCATTTTGATTATTATATGAAAAGTGGCATTTTATGTAAAAAAATTGACCGGAGGTGGTTAGTTACGTCTTATTAGTCCTATTTATTTATATTATGGAACAATTCATACAAGACTTCTTAGATAAAAGGGGTATACTTTTAGATTTAAGGGGTATACTTTTAGATTTAAGGACCTGAAGCTTCAACACGGAATGACTTAAGTTTGATTTTAATGATTGCTACAAGCTAATAGATGAAATATTATGGTCTCAAAATGTTGTGCCAAGCAGAAGACAAATAGATATTGGATAAAATGGTCGAATGCATCTAGAGTTGCACAAACTTTGCGCATGAATTTATATTGCGTATGCAATTCCTAAGGACGCATCAAGCAGGCAAGATAGACATGTCGGGCTGACCATGAGATCTCATACTATTGTCCAGAAGACCCTATACGAGCTGCCGTTTAGATGTACAGAAGATATCGGCACCGGAACAAACCTTCATACAGGACTTTTTATACCAAAGGGGTATACCTCTGAATTTTTAGGCTAGGAAGCTCCGGCATGAAATGACCCGAGCTTCATTTTAATGCTTCCTACAAATCAATAGATTAAATGTTATGGTCTTAAAATGACATGCCAAGCAACAAATATAAAGATAATAGGTCAAAATTGTCGAATGCTTTTGTAGTGGCACAAATTTTGCACATGAATTTATATTGCATACGCAATTCTTAATGACACATTAAGAAGGCTAGTTAGGCATGTTAGACGCACTATGAGATCCCATATTATTGCCCAGAAGATCCTATACGAGCTGCCGCTCAAATGTACAGAAGATATTGGCTCTGGACAACGTATCCATATAGGCTTCTTAGATACCTTTGGATTTTTGGGTTTGGAAACTCCGGCACGGAATGACTCGAGCTTGATTTTAATGCTTCCTATAGGTCATAGATAAAATGTTATGGTTTGAAAATGGCATGCAAAGTAACAGACAGAGAGATATCAGGCCAAAACTGTCAAATGCTTCGAGAGTGGCACCAATTTTATGCATGAATATTTATGGTGTATTCTTAATGAGGCACCGAGCATGCAAGATAGGCATGCTGGGTTGACTAGGAGAACTAAAACTATCTCCTAGAAGACCTTATATGAGCTACCTGTCCAGCCTGTAGAAGATATCAGCT